GCTACCTTGGTCCCGCCCCCTAAGGATAGATATGAAATGAATGGTTGAGAACTTCATCTATAGTGGGTACTACTACAAATACAATTCTGTTTTGTTTGATATTAATACATCCACATAAATTGTTCAAAATGTTTATTACTTAATATGTGAGCCAATATGAAATTACCTTGAAAATTATTTCAATATCCAAATTGGTACTTATTAGTAGTTGTCAGTACACCGTCCTTTAACACCATGAACTTCTGTTGGTACTTGAAAGTGAGGAATTTGCTCCCTGGCTTAAGCTTAGATATGCTTTCTTTTAACTCGCCGTTGGGAATGATTGGAAGAATCCTACCTTTGCTACTTGATAAGAGCTGTGGCAGATGTTTAAGAAGAAAGCATCCAAACTTTTCGTAGTTAACTCCGCAAAGAATGGACCCAAGGAAATAGTCTATAAGAAGTGTGTGTATGGAAACGCTGTTTTTAAGATATACGATTCTTTTCAATACAGAATAGAACAGGCTATCTACAATGTCAAAAGTTACTACCACCTCTAGCACTTTCTCCAATATAAGGAATATGTTTCTTTCTAACTCTACCTCGTCCAGGACAAGGATTTTTCTATATCCTGTTTTTCTTCTATAGGAAACGTCAAGGCAACAGAATATCTTTTCTGTTTCAGAACGCTCCTTTGTATGGCTTCTTATCTCCTGCGTCTTCTTTATTTTTGGTTTTTCTTTAGCCTTCTTCCTCTCGTTAGCCTTTTCTATTCGGAACTTCTTGAATAACTTTCCCATTGAGACAGGGCGAATAGAAGTAAACTAATTAACTCAAGGATTTATTAATTGACTGTTATTTCATCTAACTTCATATTCAGACTCTTAACGCTCATTGTCAGTCTCACTTTTGGACTGAACTTAAAAACAAGAAATAATGCAGATAAGATTAGTACAGTAAGAAACGAGAATACAGTCAAGATTATCAGAAACCCATCAGAAAGATAGCATCTGTTTAGAAATGTCATTGTATAGTTGAGGGAGTCCCTTAAAGGAACATCTCCTTGGCTTAGCTCGAACCCATTGATCTGACTCAGGAAAGAAATAAACCCAGATGATATGGAGTTTCTTCCTCCAAGAGTGACATAGAAAAGTGCATCTAAAAGTAGGAAAGGGCAAAGAAACAGCACATATGATGCCGGATATAAGTACTTCATAAACCAGTACCTGCTTCTTAAATCCTCTAATTCTATGCTTAACCAAAAAGGCCTCAAGAATGTTGTAAGTATAAATGCAGCCACCCTGGTTATATTCAGTGGATAGTTGTGTTTGGAAAAGGCCTTTATCATTGTCATGAAGACAACCATTCCAAGAGGTGTGAGCATAAACATTAGAACTGCCCTAGTTGTTAGCACATCTTTGAGCTGGGTCATGCTTAAGAGGAGGCAGAAATAAGATGATCTGATTATTGAGAATACACATTCATATATCAACGTTGAAATCAAAAGGGATATTTGGCTATAATCGCATCTAAACGACTCCTTTTGAATCAGTGCCCAGTTATCTAGAAAGGTCGAATCATTAAATATGGAAAAGCACGTGATAAATGGTATCATGTTATATGCGAAAAAATCCATTATGTCGCTATACAATATATCCAAGTCTCCATAATTCCTTTTAAGAAAGATTCTCAGGTCATCGAGATATTTTTCTCCTGGAACTGAATACTCTGGACATATCCTATTAATGAATAGAAAGACAGAATACCTCATCTTGTCACATAGAAAGAAAAACAACAATGTTGCAATTCCCATTTTGAATAAAAATACATTTCTCATGACCTTGTTTCTGTAATCTATCTTCAATTGTCTGACAAGCAGATGCCAGACATGCCTCCAAGTAACTGTGGAGACGGCAAAGCGCCGAGTATTCTTTTCGAAGGTGGATTCATTACACCATTCTGTTGATTCTTGGCCATTCATAAGTAAACATGAATGGGATTTTGCATTTCTTATTTCCAACTCAAACAGATATTCTGCAACAGAAATATTCACTGGCCTTTGGATTCCAATGGAAATAAGAAAATCATCTATACTAGAGGTGGGTCCCGCATAGACTATTCTTCCTCTATCTAGAAATATCATGTCATCGAACAACTTAAACATTGAATTTCCTGGCTGGTGTACAGTCATCAAGACAATCTTATTTTTTGATTCTGCATACCTTCTTAGTATTCGCACAGTATCCAAGGCCAAGCGTGAGTCCAATCCGCTTGTTGGTTCGTCAAGGAATATTACCTCGGGATCTATCACAAGTTCAACGGCAAGCATAACTCTTCTCCTCTCTCCTCCAGAAATGGATGAAACCAATGATCCTCTTAATCTTTCCAGCCCTAGATCTTTGATTATATCGTCTACCATTGATGGAATGTTGGAGTCTTTTATCTCTCTTCCTCTGAAAATAAGCGAGTATCTTATAGATTCTTCCACCGTGAGTCCTGAAGTGAAGATATCAAATTGCTCCAAGTAAGAAGTTCTTTCAATCCATTTGTATACTTTCCTCTGTTCTCCATCAAAAGTAATTATCCCAGATGTTAGTGCATCACTATCGACTTTCCCCATCAGGAGATTAAGAAACGAAGTTTTACTGCTTCCACTTCCTCCCATCACAGCAGTTAATCTTCCAGAAACTACTTCACCTGAAATCCCGGAAATAAGATCTATATATTTCTCTTTGAGGTTTTTGTTCTTATTAGGTACTTTCAAAGATACATTTTCAAATCTCAGAACCCTCTTCGCCATACCCTTTCATCGTCTCTTGCATTGAAAAGATGAAAGTAACCAACCATCCGTCCAATGCTATTCTTTTCTTATCATTGGGGAAAAGAGCGAATAAACTCTTCACTTCGTTAATATAGCACCCTCCTTTACTGAGACATTTTAATTAGATATTTTTGGTCTAAGGCTCAAAGGAGAAGACCTGTTTGAAACTCCTATACCCAAATTCAAAAGACATCAAGGATTATTTACTTTTCCATGCGAATTGACATTGATTCCTCTTGTTTCCACATAAAGCTGGGTACTCTTCTCCATTCTTGGAGAATACCCTTTTCTTGTAGTGTAGTTTTCTTCGTCTTTAAGGGTGAGATGCCCTTTCAACGATAATTCTGCAGGCTTAAAGACGTCCTCCTCAGTATCCTCAGATAATGATTCTCTCTGTATAGTAACACTTTTGAAAGTTCTAAGAAGCTGTGAAGGCTCGAGCCCAGAGGGATATTCTCTCATTCTTTCAATCTCGGCAAGCCTAATAAGATACGAGATATAATGGGTGTTTATAACCTGAAATTCTCTTTTTTCAAATGCATGTAATTCATTCATAGAATTTCTATATTCACTCTCAATTTTACCCCGAACATCGCTGATATTGTTCTGAAAAACTTCAACATTTTTTTTGAAATCACCGATGTTTTCCTTAAGTCTTTTCTCTTCTTCAACTAACCGAAGTTCTCCTGCCTTTAAAAGATCCTGAAGTTTGTCACAAGCCTCTACATAGTTAAGGAGATTATGTGATCCATTTGGAAGCTCGGAGTGGTTTCCACTTATCTTACATTTAGTACAAACCGGAATAAAACACTCTTCACAGAAATAATCTACCATTGTATCCATATGGCTGGTACAGTAAATAAACTTCTTCTTTCCAACTTCATTGAAGTAGTACCTTACATGTCTTTTAAGAAAATGGTCATTGTGCACCTCTTCATCACATTCTTTACAAAAACTTGCTCTTTCTGCAGGGCAAAAAGATGTAGACTGGCTTATGCGGCATCTGTCGCATATAAAGCTTCCCTTCGACCTCATCTCTAGCTCTGCATCATATTCAAACGTTATCTCAAAAAGAGGCAGAATTTTACTTGGATCCTTGATAGCATACCAGTAATTCCTTACATCTGTCTGAGACTCAGCCAAAAACCCCACTTGATATCCTAGATCACTAGTAATGAAAGAGTTGTAGTGTCCAGGAGGATTCATTTGCTTGACGTATTCCTTTGACACATAGATCGATTCTCCAACAGCAACAGAGCAGAGCTTAACCTTGTGGGTAATAGAATCTTGAGATAGTGGAACGCCGAACACAGGAAAGTAAGTTGTGGAACCTATCTCTGTACAGAATGCCTTTATTCTTTTTGTATCTCCAAACTTCTTTTCAAATGCGGCCGCTTGCTGTAGATTTGTGATGTCTTGCAATCTTTCTATTTTCAAGGTTGTACTATCCAATAGGTATTTCAGCAAATATTCAATGTCGTGCATGAGGGGAGTAAAAAACAACAAACAAATCTCTCCCGCAATTTATAATAGGTCTACAAATATATGAAAGCAATTTATTTTCATATTCTAATCTTACATCTATAATCCTCATACACTAAGAACACCTATTTGCACTATAACGGTGAAGTCATCTCCCAATGAATATGCTAATATGTGAGAATCCAAAAAGGAGAAGACAATCTCCCCTTTAAACTCTTCTAGAACTTTTAGATCCTTTCCTCTAACCTTTACCACCACTAAATCAACCTTATGTTCAGGAACCCTTAGCCCTGTGTACTCAGATCTTGTTCTAATAACTCCAAAAGACTCTAACACAAGCCTTCCATTCTTCTCAGCTCTTATTTCAATCTCATCAGAACTTAGAACCTTGAATCCATTTGTCACAATGCTGAGCAATGGAATTCCTCCCGTAATCTGATAGGTTTCATCATATACTTTTATTCTTTTTTCTACCTTAACCAGACTTGTCCCCATGCCGACTTCATAGCCATATCTTAGTGCCCTATCTTCCAAGACAAATTCCTGAGTTTGTTTTAACATCGCCCCAAAATCCTTGATTCTAACTGTAAAACAGCAATCACAGAACTCAGGCATTTCAACCAGAATCGATTTAGAGCATATACTTGTTTTCGACACAGTTATTCTCGAGGAGAACTTCTTCATAAACATAAGAGTGCTATGAAGCAAAGGCGATAATCTAATGTTTCCCATCAAATGGGTAGGTATCAAAATTGCTCTTCAACAAAAAATCGATTTTATTCACACTAGGGTTTATCATAGAAAGAATCACATGATATCAAAACACGCAATGGTTCCTCCATTTATCAGTACCTCGCCTATATAGGTTTCTTCCTCTCCATCAACTCGAAGATAACTGTCCTTGAGATGTGTATTTACATGCATGTCGAAGTTCTCCAGTACTCCTTTGTATGTTTTGTTGTTGAGAGTGATAATCCTGACATTCTTGCTCCTATTTTTCTTCAGAATCTCCAGGGCAGGTAATTCCATTCGAAGGGTCATCAACTAGTAAATTATTCATTATTTTCTTTGCGATCTTTTCTTTTGCTTTAACGTGACCGTTTCTCTATTCAGGGAATCACTGTTCTTCAGAAGTGTGTCTCCCCTGTATACATCCTGCTTGCTTACAGATATCCCTGTCTTATCATAAATAATTTTTTTGAGCATTCTAACACTTGAGCAGTTTACTACTAGGTTTTCGTACTCGGTTTTAATCCCCTTGTCAAATAATACCGTTACACTATTCTCTTCTTTCCCTTGTGTTTCCAAGTTGCATTCTCTTGTCCTTAAGTGGTCATTGATCCTCTCACTACCAATGTCTTCATTGCAAAACGGGCATCTCTTATAACCAGACCCACTACTTACTTCTTTGTAGCATTCATCTTCAAATACATAACAAGGCCCGTTCTCTTTCAATGTCTCAATAACCTTAAATCTATTAAATTCCGATAGCGCGTGAGATTTCATCCTGAACCTCCGATGATACTTATAAAAGTCATACACTTCTCCCCTCTCAATCTGACACACAACTCTTGCATAACTTCTTCTCACCTTAAGATAATCTTTCTGAGCCCCAGAATCATTTGGTAAAAAGATTGGTTCTTCTTCAGAAGTACCTTTAATCACGCTTTCCAATGCAGCTTTCTTTATTGTCTCCCACCTTTTTCCATCTGGATACAGAAGTGTAAAGCTCATGGGCTTCTATAAATATGTTTCTATAGTCCTTCAGCCATCATCCCAACAGCATGCAACATCTAAGATAAAAGACAATCCGTTTTTCAAGACTTAAAAAATCCTTTACTTGCATAAGCAATGGGCCTGAACTTATCTTATGCCTATTGTATACATATTCTTATCTATAGATGTTATAAATAACCTTTCATAGCCCCGGACGGAGAAAATGGAAAAAAACACTTCTAAACAAGGAAAACTTAAGGTATTCGATTCACCCGCGACAAAGAAAAAGGTGATGACGCCGATAAGATTAGCTCTACGAAGCTCAAATGGGCAGATCGGAAAATTCCTCAAGAAGGTACAGGAGCTAAAAAATGAGGATAAGGAAAACCTATAAAAACAATAACCAAAAGATTAAATCCAATCAAAATTCATTCTAACTGCTAACTTCTTTATTAGCATGCCTACTTTATATAGTATGCATGCTTCATTACCTCAAATGGATCGTTTTCAATGCATTTTCCGTTCACTATGTAGTTGTCTAGGATTATATGTGTTTCCTTGAAATTGTATATAAAATGTAGCTCGCAAACCTTAGTGAAGAACCTGTCATAGATCGACACAAGGTTGTTTATCAAAGAGAGCACATACATCTCGTTTTCATTCTCTACAACAAAGGCTATGAACAAATTTCCAAACTTATTGAAAACAATGGTTTCATTGCCATCGATAATGTTTCTCTCCTTCTGGGCCAGCACCATCGACCTTATTTCATCATCAGAAAGGGTGGGTTCATACGTTCTTTTGAGTCTTGTCTCCCCATTTGAGCTGAATGCATAGATCTTCTTTATCATAAAATAATAAACGCCATTGTTTTTCTAAGCAACATGAAACATTGATGACAAGGATCTTCATCTCACCCTCCATGGGGTCCTTAAGTAGCACAATGCTGTGTGAAGAGGAGATAGAAGAATTGAAGAACATCACTGTTTTCGATGAAAGGGAGATAGAACACTTGTATGAAAGGTTTCAATTTTTAGATAGAGAGTCTCGTGGATATCTCACATATAACGAACTGAACAATATTCCTGAGTTCCAATCCAATCCCTTTAGCCACCTAATAATGAAAAGCATCGAGAAGATGACAGACTATGAGAAAATGACGTTTCCCCATTTTCTGGAGTTTCTAGGGATTTTTTCTGAAAAGGCCAGCAAGAAAAAAAGAGTAAGATACCTATTCGACATCTTCGACTTGAATGGAGATGGCAGGCTTTGTAGAAATGTACTCATCAGGGTTAACAAGATGATGGGTCAGGATGGAAAGATGGAAGAAGTTGAGAATCTCTTAAACATTTACGACGAAGGAGGAAAGGGATATCTGGACATATCTGACTTTACTAAGTTTTATGAAAGCGACCCATTGATCGATAAGAATATGATCATTGATTTCTCGAAAAACCTAAAGCAACGCAGACAGGTAGGATTTATGCAGGTATTGTGGCCATCGACCTACAAAGATGGGGAATGAGCACGGGCATCGTATTCTTATTGAGTTTTCAAATAAAATTCATTATTGTCACACTCTACCCATCAACGAATGATCAAAACCCATATACATAAATAGGGAATTCGAAAGCCCACATCAAAATGTTTTTCAAGAAGCATGTAGAACCCAAGCCCTTAAGAGTGGAAGAGGAGCTGGGCCTTCTTTCAAACAGGCTGTCTGGATCGATATACTATGAAGACCGGGCCGATGCACTTAGTAAGATTTTAGAAATGTCAAGGACATATCCTGTCGAGGTAGGTGTATATACACTTCAGGACGTGATCCACTCGATGGAAAAAATGGAGGATATATCCATCCATCTTGATATACTTAGCAATGTTCTTAGATGCACCCATAGGTTGGAATTTATCGATATTGTTGTGAAAAACCCTGAAACTTTAAGGATATTGTGTGATTGCATTAAGTGTGGGAAGAAGGAAAAGGAAGTGTACGACCTACTTTGCATTTTGAGTACTTCTGAGCTCTTTCCACGCAGGGCTGTAGGAATCCCAGGTATGGCTTACCACTGTGTCCAAATGGCTAAAGAAAAGAAGATGAGGCTGATACCCAGACTTGTCGAGCAGGATCAGAACTTTAAAAGAGAGTTAACATTCATGGGGATATTTGAGAATCTTCTGAAAGTGCTTCAAGATGGGTTTTTTAAAGATGCAATGTCCACTTTAGTATTACTACTTAGGGATTGTCCGTTCAATCAGAATTATTTTGATGAGTTAAAATGGGATTTTATTCTCAACTTTATAGACAAACATCCTGGAGAAGTATTTGATGTTCTTTCTTGCCTGATGGATCCTAAGAATACCGAGTTCAAAAAGATACAAACCTCTATTTATGGAAAGGTTGACCTTAGACTCGTTCTCAAGTTTAAAAGATGGAGTCTGCTGTATCTTATCGTAAAAGACAACAAGTCGTATACAGAAAAGCTTCTTGAAAATTTCGTGTTTGACAAAATAGAAGAAGAACTATCTAAGGAGGCTTTTGTGAGAAAGAGGAATGAAATATATCTATTAGTTGACTACCTTCTTTTCTGGAACGATTTTGATGCTTCAAAATTAGACTCGTACAAAATATACACAATGAAGAGCTTGAGAGAACAGCATATTTCTACAAATGATTTGATTGAGAGGGCTTTTGAAACAATCTGCCAATTTGATAATAAAGAAGAGGGTGCATCGTTTGATGCATTGATATTTATAATCTTCAACTTTGAAAAGACTAAGGCTGAAAAAATGATTCCTACACTCTCCGAGATATTTGGTGATTATACTAGACCTAAATTACATAGATCTCTATGTCTTATCATTCTTCTAATGCTCGAAATAAACGTAGACAGAATTGGCATTAATCACTATACTGCAGACCATATGTTAAGAGAGGCAAGACTTCTTCTGTGCTCTATAGACTTGGAATCGCCGCTTTATCTCACTAACGAGATGGTGGATATCCTTGTAAGTAGTATTGGAGATTTAATTCGTAACAGATAACAGGTACTCTTAAAAATAAATTTCGGTAGTTATTATATCATGCCCTGAGACTTACATATAATTCACATTCACATTATTTTTTTAATCTCTTCTGAGAAGAACCTCAAGAACACTTTAACATCTTCAACACGTGATAGGACATGTGTTCCCTCAGGTATTTTCTCAACCCGAGAGTTTCTGACCAATCTTAGCTTAGCTTCAATGTCTCTTATGGAATATTCGTCCTTCCCAGATACTACAAAGAGGAGCCTTGTATCTCCCCTATTGAGCTCCATATAAAACCTGTCCTCTAGATAGCTAGAAAACATATCCTCCTTCCCATATCTAGAAAAAATATCCAAAATCCTTCTTGGTGTCAAATACGAGTCTGTACCACAATATTTAATTGCCACATCCTCTTTCCTATCTGTCATTTCTTTTGCCCATCTCAACGTCTCAGGAAGATCCTTATTCTTGTGTTCCTCGAATTCAACATCACTTACAGCTCCAAGAAGTACAGCGAGCTTGATTCTCTTGTCCCTTGTTGTATTCAAGTAATGTATGATGTCTTGACAACCAGTCGAATTTCCAATCAAAACTATATTTCCTCTAAGCTGGTGGAGTAAGCAACTTAGGTCTTCAACATCGTCATCGATTGTAAAAAGTCCGTAGTTGGGATAGGATCTTAGCTCAGGAATTATGAGCTCATACCCATTCTCAAAACAATGCTCATTCAACATAGTGGTGGGGAGACAGATCGGCAGACGAGATCCCAAACCTCCGACATATATAATCTTTGTATCACTTTTAACTTGATTGGAATATGCAATCAGGTTATTTGCAGGATCATATACAAATATCTTTCCTTCTAGTTCTTCTTTATACATAAGGGATAGAAAATAGCTTGGATTATAAGGATTGCATTCAGCTTGATGTTGCTATAAAACCTCCTTAACCGTATCCTTGTAATAATCGAATTGCTAGTAAGAAGGAGTTGGCCTAGATCTTGTATCGAGTTATTCTAAGCCATTGTTTTTAAAAATCGCAGAATACGGCCATCTAAAAACTTTTGTTACTTTTATCTGGCTAAAAGACGATGAATTAAGGTTTCGGGAGTAGAATTCATCTCCCTCCTCAACATCACAGAGAATATAGCATAGTCCTCTGCACAACCCCTTTGTAAAACAAAACCCTCCCCTGATTACACGCCCAACCACGTCTTCATTTTCATTGAATATAAATGCACATCTATCGGCAAAGCCTTTCTCAAGTTCAAAAGAAACAAATTCAACCGAGGCATCGGTGTATATGTACATGAGATTTATGTTAAGCTCCATCTTCTTTGACTTTGGTGTTCTCTCATACTTCCTTTTTATAGGCTCTACATGTGATCGTTCAAAGTCTCTGTAGAGCCTAGATGTTGGATAGTCAAATGGATAGACCATGTAATCATTTTCAAGTGCAAGTCTTTGAAGCTCCTCAACACATACCGGAACAATTCCCGCATTTATAATGTCTTGCCATAAGTTCATAACCATATTTCTCTTAAGAAGTATCTTTCCAGACTCCGATTCCGAAAGGCTCTTCACAAATATAGCATCATCACATTCATTAATTACTGCTTCATCAATCTGCCCTTTTTTCTTATGTGATAGTGCCTTAGCAAATCTTCTTGCCCCATCAATCTCATCGAGAAACAATCCATCTACCTGTATCAATGATAAGCAGCATTCGATTCTACTGTGTTCTTCCAAGGATGCAATTGATTCCATTTCTTCAAGATCAGACGTAATGATAATCAAAAACTTCTCGGTGACAATTGCTTCAAAAACTATACTGCCATGCCTAATATTTTGAACAACGCTTTTAAGGTCGAAGTCTATTCCAAAAACCTCTTCGTCCGGCCTGCTGTACACAACAACATCTTTATAGGATTCATCAAAAACAAATCCTCGGCTATTCTGAGATTTGTAGATAAACTTGCTACTTTTCATCCTCCTTCGAAGAGGGATAGAAGTGTTCCATACCTTCAGCATCTCAAACCTTTTTGCATACCATACATGTGTTCTTAGCCCGTGGCGGTCCTTTTTTCTCATATGCTTCTTCCTCTTTATGCGTTTTTCATGACTTCTGAGCCTCCTTCTCAAATAGAAAGGTAACCTTTGAAACATCATCGACTTCTTTCTATTGCTTTCTATGGCCGTCTCGATGAATTGGATCTCCTTTGCTCTTTCCTCTACAAAATTGGTTGGAATTATCTCTCTTTCAGCCATTCAAAAGTATTTTACCAGGGCCCTAGTTTTTGGATCAATACCTCACTACTGGCCTGCTCGAAATAGAAGGTGAATCCCGCTTGTGATAAATACCTAGGTGTCTCCCTTCCCATGGATTGTGTGATGTCCTCCCAAAACGCATTCACGGTTGATAAGATACTGGATGCAGTTGGAGCATCTACGATGTTGATAGACACTACAAACGGAATGGTTTTCCATCTGGTTACACATGATAGAACCCTTGTATTGGATTTCAACCTAGAAGAGTCTTTCTTCAAAAGCTTAAGCCTGAAGAATAAATGCATTCTTATTCCAAAACAGAAATTCTATATCAAGAAAATCAAAGAGCTGAAGATCATTACAAACGAATATGTCATGGTATTTGAATATGTGTTCGATAAATACACTTTAAGAAGAAGAGTATTCTATAGCCAAAGTACACGTTTCGTAATTGATTTCAAGATAGACTGCACGGGGGAAATCAATTCTAGTGCCATGGGCTTGGCTCTCAAGGAGATTGGCGACCATTTTGCTACCTTGAGAGTAATTAACAACACTGGAGAAATCTGTAGCGAAGGGACCATAATAAAGTTTCCACTAACACTCCCCACCGACTTTTCTGTGAAAGTCATTGGAGGAAACCTGAAAAGTATATTTGAAGTTTCCGATTTATTTATCAAAATGATCATGAGCTATGGCCCAACAAATTTGTCGATTAACTTTGTTCTTTTGGGGAATGGAACCAAGGCTTCTTTCTTCACCGCCATCAACCACAATCGAACTAGTAAGGGAGCCTGAAGGCTTTGAATGTTCTATGCACTTCTGTTTTCCGTTTGGACGTCCTTCAAAAATCTCTAGAGAACGGCTTATCCTGCCCTTAGGTTCAATAGACATTAAATTATCATTAAAGACCAAGCCTTTTTATGTAAAATGTGTTTAGAGAACCCTTAAATGAAATTCAACAAAAGATGTTTGACGGTGTTTTCTGAAGAGAAGCCTTTCATGGCCATGGGAACAAAGAGTAAGCTGTTCGACACATCGTTCTCCCTGACTTCAGAGCTATTTCTGTATGATTATAGTCTAGGAGTCCAATACCCTTCCTTGCAAACAGACAACAAATTCTACAAACTCAAGTGGTGTAACTGGGGCGATGGAGAAATCCTAGCAACAGGAAACGAAGATGGGAAAGTGACACTGTATACCCCCGCACCGGAGAAAAATGTATCTTTTGAGCTTCTGTCCAGTTGTTGTGTTCTTGAGGGTGATGTGCTGGGACTAGATTTTAACGCATCAAAGGGGGTTCTTGCAGCAGGATCCTCCAATGGAAAGATTATATTCTGGAACCTGAACAAGCTTGACAGTCAATATACAAGCGACATCCCACTTACTTCTAATATAACCTGTCTGTCATGGAATAAGAAAGTATCTAGAATCTTATGTGCTGGTACAGATGATGGAAAAATACTTATCCTGGATGCAAGAGCCAAGAATGTGGCAATGACGCTTGGGGGTGATGGCATAGTATCGGTATCTGATGTGATGTGGCATCCGAATGGGTCGACGTCTATATTGGCTGCAACAAATTTGGGTGGACTTCAATGCTTTAACCTCAGCTCTGACAGCACATCGCAAATAGGGGATCATGGAAGTGGATTGATAAGATTGTCTGTGATAGGCAAAGATCGCATGGCTGCTTCTTCCAAGAACCAGATCGATATAATAGAAGTAGGTGATGGCAAGATTGTTGACACAATCCCTGTTGATGGTATATTCGAGGTAAGCTTTTCGAAAAGGGATCCGTTGATGGCACTGTCATATGTTGGGGGAACTACAGAGATTCTTCCTAGAATAACAACAGACATTCTACCGGTGAATCCCGGATGTATAGTTGGAAACAGTGTCGTTGGAAAAGAAGTATATGAAATAGAATATGAAGAAATGAAGGATATCGAGGAAGATGCATTTATTGGAAAGATCAAAAAGCTTCTTTATCCAGATGGAAGTTATAATATCGATAGAAAGGGATTGGGCGAACTTCTATTAGCCGAGGCCATAAGAAAAAGTGATTCCGAAACTTCTGATACAGCAGAGGGCTTGAATGAAAAGATATCTGATATGAACTTAGGGCTAAGGCTTGATCTCAAGGATCCTTTGACTCTGGCCTTGATAAAAGGAGATCTTGAAGATGCTTACACGGAGTCTATGAAAAGCAACAGGTCAGTTTCTTTCTCTCAGTTTCTAGCTTTGGCTAAAGGAAGTGGGTCTTTGCCTTTTGATTCTGATGATCCACTTATTCTCCTGTCTACTGCTCAAATTACGTCAACGTACTCACATCTATTGGAAAAGATATCTACTACACAATGGTTGGCCCTTCTTTCGATAATAAGTTTTTCTCCATTATCTAATGAAGATTTCTTTTCAAATGCTATCGAGCTATCAAATAAGTTGGATAACGAGGGAAAGCTGCTTATATATGCCATGACTAATCATTTAGACAAATACTTCAGGCTAAAGGAGTCGATGTATCGGATGCCTACAAGTGTTTATGATGTACGAGATTTTTTCCAAGAATACAAAGGAATGATAGTAGATCTAGAATCAATGGGTAGGTTTTATAAGAGTTCCATGATATCTGAATACTTTTGGTATGCATCAGCCCATGGAGAAGCACCTGTTAGAATCAAATATGAGGATTTAGGTATCAATATCTATCTTGGAAGAACAAACAATAATGTGCTCTCTATTAAAAAGCCCGGATCCACACCTACGAACGACATTCAAAATAGGCCATCGGAGGTCCTTAAAAGATCCCCAGTTTTGGAATCACTAGCACGCCAAGACTCTAATACCATAGGATGTTATGGAGCTCCACCTATTAAGCCAAATAGTGTCATATCAAGGCCTCCATCATTTTCTGGGCAGAGTGAAAGTAGCTCTGGGGTTGTTGGATCTTTATCTAGGCCAAATATTCCTGGAGTGAATAACAACTTTGCTCACAGAAGTACAGTGCAATCCCCACCATCTCCAATGATCCATCAGCAAAGTTCAAAGGCGATTAGCCCTACCCTGGGATCCGGAAGGCCATCCCATTCTTCCAATCACCAAGAAAACCAGCAAAAGATGTATATTCCTAGACCTGGATATAGAACCGTGCCTAGCACGCCTACATATAATTCCGGGCCAAAACCCGCCTCATCGAAAACATATAGTTCTATGCCAGACATTTCAAATCTTTCCAGTAGTACACCTCCTGTGTCGACATATGGTATGATGTCCCGGGGATCTCATGGAAGCTTGCCACAATCAAGCACATCAAAGCCATATATACCTAGACCTGGAATGCCTTCAAGCCCTTCGCTCTCTACTCAAGATCAACAGCAAAAGCCTATTATTCCGACACCACGACCACAAAGAAAAGAGGATACACAGCTGGCTCCTCAAACCCAGGATAGTAGTTCTCAGAAGAAAACAGATGATTTGAATCCGGAAGATGTCCTCAACACATTTGAAGACATAATCAAGAAATTGATAGAAAGGGCGTCAGCAAAAGCAAATCTTATAGTTAGAAATAAGCTCAAGGAGGTTACAAAAAGATTTTCTATATACAACAGTGTCACAAGAGATACTTTTAGCCCCTTAATTCTAAGGGGAATTGACAGGATAAATAACGAAATCAAAAATGATGCCGATAGTGATAGAATGAAGCAAAAGATTAGAGAGATTGTCCTTGAATGCACTGAAACAGGAGAAAACAGAGCAGATCTGTGGATGCCTAGTGTCTACACTCTCCTACAAATTGTCTATCATTAGTGATTAAACAAAATGATTAGTATTTTCATATTCACGGTTTGAGCCTTTAATACCTTGGTTTTCCTGGAGAGCAAAAGATTCCTCGTCCGGGAATCGAACCCGAGCCTGCTGCGTGAGAGGCAGCTATCCTAACCACTGGACCAACAAGGATGTCCTAAGCCTGCATGGATACCTTCACAGCTTTTCTTCATTCCATGACATACAAAAATCCTTACACCATACCTGAAACACTTATGAAAACTTTCTCTATTCAAAGCCTATAAACAGAAATGACACGATACATTTTAGGTGGTGTAATAGGGTCTGGAACATACGGTGAAGTGTACGAGGCAATCGACACAGAAACAAAAGAAAAAGTTGCTTTGAAAAGAATAAAACTCAATGAGAAGGAGGGAATGCCAGGAACTGCATTGAGGGAGATATCAATTCTGAAGAAGCTTAACCATAGAAACATCATAAGCCTGGTGTCTACGATACATACGGACACATTGCTAACAATGGTGTTTCCATTTATAGACTATGAACTAAAAAAGTACATCGAGATGAATACAGGAAGGAATATAATGGAGCTCATTAACCAATTGATATGCGGCGTGCATTATTTACACAGGATGAATGTTGTCCATAGAGATCTTAAGCCCCAGAATATTCTTGTCACAAGTGACGGTGTGCTTAAGATAGCAGATTTTGGACTATCAAGAAGCCTAGAAATAAGGGTACCACCATACTCCAGTGAGGTGGTTACTTTATGGTATAGGTCTCCAGAATTACTTATGGGAAGCACCAGCTACCGGTTTTATGTGGACATATGGAGTTTGGGATGTATAATCTATGAGATGATAACACTTGAGCCTCTTTTCCCTGGAGAAAGCAAGGAAAACCAACTAACTCTAATCAGAAGAAAGGCAGGAACAAGAAGGTCTCTTAAGAATGTTGTTGAGCAAAGTCTGGCAGCCCCAAAGTTTTTGATAGAGATCATACTAAGATGTCTCGACCTCAATTACAACCAAAGGATTACTGCAGATGAAATAATAGGGATTCTTGAAAATGAATATGAAGCCCGGTGAGATCCGCTGGTAGATCAGGACTGAAAAGAAGGGGGATGGCGTTGGAATTGAATCGGGATATCAAATAACAGTTTTCGAATCCCTGGAATAATGAAGATAGAATGGGGGAAGTTGATAATCGAAAAGAGATTTGGGACTAAGCAGAAAGCCAAAACTCGAGTACAGAGGGCCTCAGTTACCGAGTACGGGGGTGTAGAGAAGCTATCTGAGGAATTGGCAATGAAGAACAAAAAAATAACTGGAGGAAAGCCAGCAAGAGCTATGGAAGAATCCGAGGATCAGAGTGATTTGGATATTATCGTAGAGAGGCTTATTCCATCAGTTGAGCTTTCAAAGACAATACCCCCGCGTGTTTCATACGAAAGAATAGAGAAAGAGATATTCAAAGAGGTCGAAAGCAGGATTTTTGACTTATGGAAAGGGCTACAAGGATCCAGGGTATTTGAGAGAAACATAGAGATATGGAGGCAATTGTGGATTACCTGTGAGAGGAGTGATGTAATAGTACAAATAGTTGATGCAAGGAACCCAGAGTTTTTTCTCAACGATGATATCCGCAAACTTTATCCAAGAAAAGAGCATATTATCCTAATTAACAAGGCTGATCTATCTTCAAGCAGGGTAGAGATAAAAGAATATAGATGTTTTTACTATTCAGCATTGGAGAGAAATAGCCTATTGAAATTTATTCTGGAGTATAAAGGAAAAGTGATTGGATTTGTAGGATATCCAAATGTTGGAAAAAGCAGCACAATCAACTCTATAGTGAACAGTAAGCGTGTAAGGGTTAGTCAAACACCTGGAAAGACTAGGCATATACAGACAATACACATTGAAGAGGGGCCGTGCTTACTTGACTGCCCAGGATTGGTTTTTCCAAGACATGACAAAATCGATCTGATACTCCATGGAATACTAAATGTTGATCAATTACTCGACTTGAATGGAAGCATCGATTACATTGTGGAGTTCATTGGAATTGGTAAGCTTTGCAAATTCTACTCACTGAAAGGATTCTACAATGACTCAAGACACTCCAGGGGTGTAAATTATATGAACCTGATGTCCATGTCCAAGGGATGGGAGGTAGGTAGATGTCTTAAGACAATAATCAAAGATTTTGCATCTGGAAAAATCCCTTATGACAGAGATGATGAAGACATCCCAGAGACCATGTTTGATTGGTATGAAAGAGAAATAGCTCCACAAAAGTCCTGTGTGCAATGATATTACTTTGCTCAATCTTTACACTTGAAACATTAAAATCTTCAAACCTATATATACTTTATTAAGCTCCCCTCCAGAATCATCCAGGAAAGGGATTCCAGATCTTTTGAAAAGAAAAGCCTAAATTCTCCATTAGCTCCACTCAGAAGAAATACATGTATATAGTGTCTGTATTGCATGAAATCTTATGTCATCATTGTCACTATTGATTAAGTTAAAGAGTACTTCCTTGACCTGGTACTTATTCAAAACTGCATTAATCTCCGGCAACACCTTTACTAACTGAAATATATCGCTACATGCAAGGCACACCCATGAGGGATTACTAGACTTTAAGTACTTCTTAAGCACCTTAACTATTTCAACTTTGTTCTTCATTAGCATATCTAGATTATTGTTCCAAAAATCTTCTTTGTGATGATACTCGGAATCTTCGAATCTTCCAGAGAACAGCTCGTTAAGGTAGTTACGTAAGCAAAATCTCTTTGCATTTTGCGCTATTCTGGCGCGGACTTTCTTAAGATCTTGCTCGAGTTCCTCGTCACCGTATCCACCTTCTAAAAGAAGGTCTGTACATTTCGAAATATCATTCAGCCTCCCTGGTGAAAAGACATAACCACTCTCGAGGACGTTGGCAATTATTCCATAGCATACTCTCAGAATCTTTTCTCTTGCTTTTTCTTTCACAATAATAACAACGTCATCAATCAAAGTGCCCATCTTACCAACACATTCTGTACTGTAAGAGAATATAAGAATAACCATCAATGTGTTGTACTGAACCTCCTTAACAAACACAGATGTATGTAAAATCTCCATAAACATTTTGTTTGTCACAAGTGCCACTTTCCTCTTCTCAACATCAAAATTTGAATTTGACTTACAGGATAAAAAGTCAATTAACAAGGAAAGAAGATAGTTACTTTCGTCATATGAAGTACTGTCTTTCAGCATCTGTTTGAAGAACGAGAAGTACTCTTTCCTATGACTCTTATTTTCATAGAGCTTGGTCAGCATCTCTGCACTCTTGTATCTTGAATAAATGTCTGAGCAAAAAAGAAGGTCTATCAGCTCGTCCTCATCCAATAGATCTGGATGGCTAAGAAGAATAGAAGCACCAGAGTTTTCCTTCCCAAGAAATGCCGACACTTCCTTTCTATCTCCATGGCTTTTTATCTCCTTGAATCTATCCACACTTTTAGATATTACCTCAGGAGGCAATGAATCTCTTGTTTTAGCTTCCAACCTTTCTAAAAACATTAGACTCTATTGAGGACTCCCATCTTTAATTTCTTAAAAACTTACTGCATTCACAACCTGCCCAATATGCATGCTCCCAAGACCATCATACAGTCTTTCACACCTCTTGGCTATCCACCCAATAATACCTATATGGCGTTTAAGACTCTGGAGGAGATAAACAATGCCAATCACTTAGCAATGTGAAGTACAAAAGTGAATCCCTCCCTGGATTTTCAGAATGGTTGTCTCGTTCAGGAAATCAGAGCCTTTAAAGAATGTAACAAACAAGATTGGGAAGAGATCCGAGAAGCAGACATTTCCACTCACAAAGATGGAAGAGGTTATATACAAGCACCAAAAAATAGCAGAAGCTTCTCAAATAATCATGGTAGATAAATATTCGGACGATATTTTTGAATACTTTTCAGAGGTCGACAAGCCATTCGTATATATAAATGATGGAGTATCATGGAAAATGAGGAGCCTGCTGGTGGATTGGATTATCGACATTCATGATAAGTTGGGACTTTGCCACGATACACTTTTCCTTGCAATTAATCTTATTGATAGGTTTCTCTCCATGAGATCTATCCCAGGCTCGAAGCTTCAATTAGTAGGGATTTCTGCTCTCATGATAGCATGCAAATATGAAGAGGTCGTGTGTCCTGCTCTTCAGACATTTGTCTTGCTAACAGAGAAGACGTTGACTGGAGAGGATGTAAGAAAGGCAGAAAAATACATGCTGCATACTCTCAATTACGATCTGCAATATGTATCGCCACTCAACTTTCTTAGGAGGTGCTCCAAAGCCAATAATTACGAAATCAGTAGTAGAGCAGTCGGAAAATATTTATTGGAGCTCATGACTCTTTATCAGGAGTTTCTGAGGTTCAAGGGATCGGTAAGGGCTGCTGCGGCAATGTATCTCTCAAGAAAAATGACATCCCAGGATCACTGTAAGAATCTGTTTCTTATGTACTCTGGACATATGAAGGATGATATAAAGGAGTGCTTTAATGCTCTTGTTCGTATCATAAGCGAAAGCATTCCATTTGAAAACATACAGAACAAATACAACACCCCGAAGTTCCTGCACGTGTCATCTTTTGTTAAAAAATATGCCGAGAAAAACTTCAAGTAGGTCGATCTTTATCTAATAAAATGTTACCATTTGGTTTAGATATCTGTTGCCTTATTTTGCTCATCGATCCCATATATTTACTCAGGCTAAAGGCCCTAAAGGATGGCAAATAGAAAAGTAACTTATGGGCTAAGTATGGTTTATTTCTTGGCATTGGTTGGGATTGGAATGGGCAGGTCCAACAGGGTGCTTGAATTGATTGTTCATCTCCCTCTTATATTTCTGAATTTCATACTCATGATGCTTCTTATATCAGCTGGGCAACAGCTTTATCAAAAGAACCTCTGAAGAAAGTTTTGCCCGTCGTTTGTAAATAAACAGAAGAAAATCATTCCGTGGCCATTCATTTTGAACTACAAGGCTGGATTGGTCCCAGGATTCGCCGTCAGCGCAGGATCTATAATTCCGAACCGGACCATCTTCTCAGTAACTATCCGGCAGAAAGACTCAAGGCCTTCAAATATCTCAAAGAAAATCGAGATAAATAATTTCTGATCTTCTTTGTTGAGTACAAAGCGTTCCTTGTAAATCTCTAAGTATGTAAGGAAATGGGATATACTTGGAGATCCAAGAAAGCAGAAGTTCTTAAAGAATGCCTCTCTATCTTTTAGGTCTGTTTTTTCAAACTCCTCTCTGCTTATCCTTGGAACTTTCTTAGTACCTTCATCCTTTCCCTTGTCGAGAAACTTCTCTACCTTACTGGAACCAGAGATCCTTTTCATGTTTCTTACTATATCTTCAGTGAAAAGCTGTTTAAATAGATTTATATCTTCCGAAGTCCTAAGCGGCATGTAGGAGCTGCTAACATAGACACTATTGTTTTCCTCACTGGGATTATAGAAATGTTCAAAAAGTAGTGGTATAAGGATGTCTTTGAATTCACGGTCAAAAGAGGAAAGTTCCTCCAAAAGGACTCTCATAAACCCTTGTTTCCTTGCAAGCTCAAGGACCAATGCAGATAGATATAAGCCGTTTTCTTTCTGTTGAAGGACTCGAATTCCATCGACCAGGGATTTAAGTCTTGAGATATATCCTAATTGAGTCACACATTCCTGTATAGAAAACCTGAAGTTTCTTATAGCTTGTGACACACAGAATACTTCTTCAAAGTTTTTTTCATCAGTAATTCTAAGTACTTTCTCAGCTTCCTCCTTGCATTCATTCAAGGAATCTGGAGGCACTTTGAAGTTCACCGACTCAAGAAGAGGACTAACTGTAGGAATTTCTTTGGTCCACCAAAGACTCTCCATTCCCCCAACACCCAGTTTTTTCAAGGTGAAAGATGCCGATATTAACATACATCCATCCCCACATGCTAATATTTCGTCAACCATCTTTACTATTCCACTCCTAAAGTCTCCATCATCCTTTATCAGATCGGATATGAGATTAGCTGCAATAGAGGATTTGTGTGGCATCAAGAGTACAACATTCTTTATGTCCTCGATGGCCCTTTCTTTGTCCTCGGACAATCTGACCTCCTCCAATATACGCCGGTAGTTTGTGCTGTTGATCCTTGCAATCGGAAGCTGCATATAAGGGAGAAATTTTCATGTGTTTTTAATAGCTTGCAAAACCAAAAACTCGACTCTATGACGATCCTTGTGGACTACTATCTTTCTGCCTTCATATTTGCTCGAGATATAACTAAGGCTGCACATTTGTAATTTTTGTTGTCTTTACCCTGTGATATGGACTCGTCAATAGGAATAAAAGGAAGCAACTTCGCAATGGTAGCTGCTGACACAAGAGTCTCTAGGTCTTTTCTTCTTGTTAAGGAGGATTATGAGAAGTTCCAAGTAATCAAGGATAAGGTTGTGATGTCAGTGGTTGGAGACCAGGGAGATGCATTCAGGACCATGCTAAATGTGTCTGAAAGTGCCAGATATGAGGAAATACAGAATGGGATAGAGATTTCCCCAAGTGTGCTGGCACATATGATCCAGAACAAAGTCCATGAGTCTCTCCGAAAGAGACAGCTCGATGCATCAACAATAATAGCAGGGAAAGGCCCTGAAGGATATGATCTATGGTCTGTTGACAGATATGGAGCAATCTCTTCTGTGCCGTTCTGTGCTAGTGGATATGCTGCATACTTTGTATATGGAATCCTCGATAGAGAGTATTCCGAGAACATTACTATTGATGATGCCTTGAAAATTATCCAAAAATGTATTAACCTATTGAAGGAAAGACTTATAATCAATTTGGAGGGATTTATGATAAAAATAGTTACTGACGATGGGGTCTTGACTAAAACCCTAGCTCCGGAAATAAAAGACTAATGGCTTTTGTGAGAAAACTTCTTCTAATTTAAATAATGGGCCTGGATCGTTGATTTCAATTTAGTAGATATATTCTTCCGTTTTCAAACAGGATAAGGTCCTTCTCTGCCAGTCCGGTGAGAACTGCTTCTACCTCCTGCTCTGTAACACTTATATCCGTTCCGAGGTATTTCATGAAGTCATTGATCTCCAACACCCTAGGATTCTTTCGATCTGCACTGTAATCATAAAGTGCATGGCTTACAAAGTTGACTTTGTCTTCATCAATCATCGTTGCCTCTAGATGCTGCTTCAAAGTTCCCTTCTCATCAACCAGATCAAACTCATCCTTCTCCTCCGAGGCCACAATCTTGATTCTTTTTCCAGGTTTGACTACCTTTTGGAACAGAGAATCCTTGATCAAATTCACAGCACATTCCGCATCATCATATTCAACCACATCAGACAATCTTAGCTTTGCATTTGCAGTGGCAAGGCGAATCATTGTTTCTAGCATTCTTGGAGTGATAGAAACAATCTGTTCCTTTTTATCCTTGGTTTGCCTCAGCAAGGTATACTCTTTTGATATAAGTCCTGCTGCTTCTCTGGAAAGAGCAGGCTTCTTTTGTCTACAATACTGTATATATGCTCGGAATACTTCCTGCTTAACTCCCATCCCTTCTTCTTCATATCCTTGTGCTAGCATATGCATTCTTAGTACATGCTCAGAAATTAACTGGTCAACATCTGCATTGGATTTGTCAAGAGTCACGAATATTAAGTCAAATCGTGTCAGCAGACTTTCAGGGAGCCTCACATTATCTTGTGGGGGTCTTGACTCCTTATACTGCCCCCATACTGGATTGGCTGCTGCTAAAACAGAACATCTGGCATTTAGCGTAGTATGAATCCCTGCTTTCGCTATTGTCACTGTTTGCTGTTCCATCACTTCGTGAATGGCAACCCTATCTCCATCACTCATTTTGTCAAACTCATCAATACATACTACTCCTCTATCCGCTAGTACCATTGCCCCAGCTTCTAGTCTTTTCTCTCCTGTGTCTCTATCTAGAACTACTGCTGCTGTCAATCCAACCCCGCTGGATCCCTTTCCAGTTGTTGCAACAGATAGCTGTGCCGCATTGAGAACATACCTGAGTAACTGACTCTTTGCAGTAGACGGATCGCCTACAAGCAAAATATTTATGTCGCCACGGATCTTGCTCCCATTCCTCATTATTACTTCGTTTCCTCCAACCAAAAGTAAGGCTATACACTTCTTAATAATGTCGTGTCCAAATATGCTAGGTGCTATCGAATGATGAATATTTTTCATCCGAGATAACTTCTCAAACTCAATTTCTGAAACAACCTTACACTCTTCCTCCTCCTTGGTTTTTTCTATGTTGTTTGCAATCACCACCGTCTTGAACCGAGAGGGAAATTGCTGGTTTCCAAAACAGAGACTCTTGTATATCCCATAGACTTTTGCCCTGTCTCCAGGTTTGAGCTTGTCAACCAGATCAAAGGTCAGTACAACCTCTACCGACCTTGGAAGCTGCCCCGGTGGTGCCTTTTCAGGCATCTCCTGTAAGATAACGGTTTGATAGTCAAAGTATTCAGAAAGCCCAAACTCAGTCATTAGAAGAGTTCCATCCACATCTCTTGTTGGGTACACCGTGTTGGTAACAGGAAGCTTTGTTACCATAGTGGCATCTCTGTACTCCTTCGAATAAAATACATTCTTTGATGGGTTGTAATGCACACTTCTCATCACTTTGGGCCTACATATGGAACAGGATGTTACTATCCCCTCAATGCAAACCATCTTTCCTATATATACACTTGATAGCGTCCTGGGGTTGAGAGTATATTCTCCAAAAGAACCTTTAACACCAAGGAATATTTTTCTTCCTCCAATATCGCTCAGTTCGTCCTCAGCAAATGGAATCAGGGTTGCAGGCTCCTCCATAATCCCTTTCGACAGTGTTTTATCAAACGCCCGCATGTCGTTTATATTCAAAATAATCCTTTGATGGTCCTCATATGGGAGTTTTGTAATAATCTCTGCAATATCCTTATCTTGTGATGTTCGGTAAGACTCGATGAAACTTTTGAATAGCTCGATGAATTCAGACTCCATTTCCTCCTAGGGTTCAAAAATTTCCATTACATCAAGTCACGCTATGCAATTTGTACCTTGTGCAAGCCCAAAAGTAGTTTCGAATCAATAGAATGTCGTTTTATTTAGTTTATGATGGTAAAATCGTTATATGACATAAAGTTGGAGAATAGCATATAGAGATACCTGAACCATATCATTTGGGATCTATGAAAAAGTATCATCTTGACAGGTGCCATGTACATCCTAAAGGGAACCGTACTAGAAACCTTGGAAAACCCCGTATCAACTATGTATTTACGAAATAGGCTCTTAGACTCTAATATTGCTCCTTTTACATCATTATGTACTCTCAGAAACAATGTTGCACCTTTATAACAAGAAATATGGTTTTTGTGTCCAGACACACCCCTCTCATCAAAAGTCATCAGAACGTCAAATGGTCTTGACATGTATGCCCATAGGAGTCTTAGATAAACTTTTAGCGGATCCCAGTCTTTCCCATCGGAAAAAAGAGTCGTTATGGTCACATTCGCTCCAATGTAGTATCCTACTTTCCTAAGCTCTTCTTCTCTCTCTTTTCCCTTTCCCTCTTTATTTCCGTTAGACAGGCAGAGGATATCAATGTTTCCTTTCAGGTTTAATAGAGACGGGGCAAAAAACATAGACTCATCATCAGGATGTGCAATGAGCAGTAGGTATCTACCAGGAATCAATGACGACTTTCTCAGCCTTCTTACATTTCTTAGTACAATAATCATTGAGATAGACAGCAGAAGTACTTTAAGTTTTGGAAATTTCTTAACCATCCCAGGGTATTGCCGGGAACTCATATAACGAAGCTTTCAAATTACTTTCTTTTACAACTTTGACTCAGTAATTAACCTCAAAGTACTTTGTACTGCTGCGGAACCTCCCCAAGGTCCTCAGATATTACTTCATCTATTTCTCCATTATCAAATCCTATAAAAGTAACTCCTCCATTGCATGTAAAGCAATTCACTTCAACATCTCTAGGATATTCCCCAACAATCCCGGACTTGTTGCAATACTTTAATCCATGCTTGTCCATACTGACTAGTATTTTTCCATTAAATAGAATTTTCTTGACTTTCTTATCGTGTTTGATGGTGAGTAATGCCCTCCTGGCTCTCAAATCATGGAAATAGACAATCCCTTCACTTGTCCCAACCCCAAAATCTATTCCGTTATCAGAGAAGTCTACGCTTGATGGGGATTCATTGTATTCAACAGTTTTAACTATCTCCCTACATCTTTGATCAATAAACTGCACCATTTTGCCTCCTCCAACCCCAATCAGCCCATTGCATTCGCTCATCCTAATCGAGCACACCTCATCCATAGTTACAACGTAACTTCTTAGAAATCTCCCTTGATCCAAATTGAATCTATAGATGCTTGGTCCTTTTCCTCCACTCATGACTTCGGCTCTGAACTTGTTGAGGCAGCCATCAAAGCATAGTGTAGGTGTTTTGACTCCTTCATGATATCCGTATCTGGCATGAAACTCCATAGTCCTGTCATTCCGAATAATGCAGATCTTTGAGGAATCCTCCGCAAGAGGTAACACTTTTATTGGGTCAGACTCTAAGTGTCTTTCCACCTTTAGAGCCACATTCTCCAGATCATAGATCTTGACAGAAGGCTTATAAACACCTACAGATACAAGATACCTCCTGTTTTCAGACAATGCCAGATCAATGGATGATCCGGTGTAACCAAGGTCCTTTACTATACTCACTTTCTCAAACTTCATTTTAACCACAACGGGTTAGCATTTTCTTTGGTTTTTATTAGAAGAAGAATAAAGGGCCCTTGATGGATAGTGAGGATGTTCAATCGGCAAGTGAATATTCTGTAGAGGAGAAGAGTATGGAGGTTCTTGGCACATCTAACACTGATGTCCAGATCAGGGGCTCCGAAAGGAAAACACTTCCTAGAATGACTAAGTATGAGAAAGCACATGTGATCGGCGTCCGTGCATCTCAGTTAAGCGCAGGCGCCCCTCCGTTCGTAGACATAGGGAATGAGAGCAATCCACTCAACATTGCTAATATGGAGCTGAACGAGAAGAAGATTCCATTCATCATTCGCAGAAGACTTCCAGATAATAGTTTTGAGGATTGGGCAATTGATGAGCTGATGATACCTGGAGTAGACTTTCAATGATAGAGCCCTTATTGTTTTCATTCAAAGACAAAAATAAATGAAGTAAGCACTCTTTAATCATGGTGGTTTCTGTCAATCTCACCAAGTAAACAAAGCTGATCTGTTGAATTCTTTTTGACTATTCTGGGTCAATGAATGGCTTTATCTGTGACATGTATACACATGCCCACGCAATGTACCCAAACGCCAAAGCCCCTATCAATCCTATCCTTATCTCATCCTTGTTCCTGACGGACTTTCCTCTTGTTAGTACCATTATGGCAGAAGATATCATAAGCATAAAAACAATGGAGCCCAAAAGAACAGAAGCGCTTGTCATCTATTGCCAAGGGCTAGTTTGGAAATAATAAATGATTTGCTCAATCATACATTAATCTACACATGATGAGATTCTAACTATTTATTTATGGATTGAAAGGATATAAATCATTCTGGATTAAAAGAGGCGTGTCTTATTCAGTTCTTTATGAATACTGGGATTATGTGGCGCATGAGCAAATATATGATGCTTGTATAATTACTCAGAGTTTCTCTGAAGAACATAAAGGCCCAGATTGGCTCCCCTTCTATGGGGATTAAAAAGAAACAGAAAAGCAAAAGACTGACCACAAGGAAGAGGGAAAGCATGTTGAAGAGGGCAAGAATCAACGAGAAGAAGAAAAGAAGGCTGAACAGGAAGATGGTGCTGAAGATGGAGAAGGTCCCACCGTTTGTCCTAAGAACCGACGAGGAGAATATGCAATATGCGGAGATAAAAAGAATGGCAAGGCTCCGAAAGATTGAACATGACGAGGCTCTGAAGAATTCTGAGAAAAAAGAAGATTACTTGGAAGGAATAATGAACTTGGTATCCAAAAGTGATGTAGTGATTGAGGTTATTGATGCAAGAGACCCAGATTCAAGTAGAAACGGTGAAGTAGAGAAGGTTGTCTTTGACTATGGAAAGAAGTTGATTATGGTCCTGAACTATACTCAATATGTTCCCAGAGACACAATCAACGAATGGAAGGATTATTTAAGAAAAGATGGGAATACATGCATTGAGTCAATGGAAGAAGGTATGGAGTGGATTGGAAAGGAAATGAGGATAGGGATATTTGGGAATTCAAAGTCTGGGAAGAATTTTGTTCTCCGAAGTATTACTAAAGCTTTGGGAGAGAAACCGAGATTTATGATAGCTTCTGTCCCTCCAAGCAGGATTACCCTTACAAGTGTTCTTAGAGGATGCCATAAGCTAATTGGGATGCCATTCAGCAGCTATATTGACGCAATTGTTGAAAGAATCGATAAAGATGAAGTTTCTCTTCGACATAGGATACCAAAATTCGGCAATTCTGAAGAGCTTCTGGAAAGTATCTGCGACAGGAATCAGATCAATGATGGGAGTAAATGTATGCGGCATATGAAGGCTAGTGAAAGGTTTCTAGAAGACTTTTTTAATCACAGAATTCTCTTCTGGAGAGGTGTCAATGATGATGAAAATGACATATCGTTTGCGTTTCCTTCATAGGCCTGATGAATAAACATCTAAGAGGTGGATGAAGTGTTTTTGTTAGTTGTTTGAGTCTTTACTTTTAGAATGTTGTTATGTTAGGATAATTAGGGCCCCGATGATAATCGGATTGTTTGTTGCAAATAGCCTGACGGGACAGACGGTCTCCAGAATGACAAGAGCGATGGCTGTGTCGAAGATAGAACACTTTATACTTGACTTTATAAGCTCTGGTGTGTCTGCAAGTGGGGTTTTGCCCAAGGGCTTCTACAAGTATGTTTACAGTATGGCTGACTCGACTTATTATGTTGTGATTGCAAGTATGGGATATAACAATGTCAAAGCCCAGGGGATTCTAGACCTTTTGCAAAAAAACACTGACGGGGATATGGTGGATGCTCTGGTGACAATGGACAATATTCTTTATGGACAGACGACTTTTGACCCGAACATCGCCTTGATAAAGAGCATGGATAGCCAAGAAGAAAAGATTCATGAGCTGATGATGAAGAACAAGAACAAGGAACTTATTCAGAAACAAAAGGAACTTCAGAGGAGGCCCATTGGAGACATTGACCGGGAACTTGAAAGGGTCAGGAATCTTGAAATCGAAATGAGAAACGAAAATATACAGCAGCTTAAGAGTATTGTAAGGACGGGAGGTAACCCTGCCAAAGAAAAAAGAAGGGAGTTAGAGACCTCGATGAGCTCAGTGTTTATTCTGTTCAAGGAGAGGCTTAAAATGGTGATTGATAAAGAGAACAATATTAAGAGTGGAGAGGTACAAGGAGACATGAGCATCACTATAAGGGAAGAGGAATACAAGGACATAGAAATAAAGCTCGGGAATGTGGATAAGGATATGAAGTTTAGCCCCAACCTTGATAAGTCTGTGTCTAATGAAGGGATACTTAGGTGTGAAAAGGGATTTCCTATTGAGAAGAATGTGGCTCTTGTAAAGTGGAAGGGGTCCGATATCCGAGAGCCACCCATCACGTTTACATTCTGGCCTAGTGAGACTAGCCTCAACGTATATCAGATAATGTTTGAATATACAGCGGAATGCAATATGAAGGATTTGAATGTCTTTTTTTCCAAGGCCAATATTTCCAATATTAAAATCAATGGGACGGCAAAAGAAAGGGATTCCCATATAGAATGGAGCATTGGGGATGTAGAAAAGGGTACATCAGACACATTGGAGTTCAGTTGTACATGCACAGATCCTTCCGAGATCTTTCCCTTGGAGATATATTTTACTTCTGACTTTGTTCTTACGAGATTATTTGTAGAGAAAGTAACAAGATGTGGAGAGGAGGTTGACGAATTGGAGATCAAGAAAGTTTTTGAGGTTGACAAATTCACGGTGGTTGATGAATAAAGCTATACTTTTATTTCTTGGACGGTGTTGGTACATTTGCCAAAAAAAATTTACCCTCTATGTCCGAGCTTGCTGATATTGAGCATGTGGAGAAGGAGGATAATGAAAGCCTCAAGAAGAAGAGAACCTTCAGAAGATACACATACAGGGGAGTTCCTATGGAGGAGCTTGAAAAGATGTCGTTTAGTGAAGTTGCAAAGCTCTTTCCATCAAGACTTCGCAGAAAGGTCAGGAGAGGCCTTTCCTCACGGGAGGTGCAGCTGATCAAGGACTGTATTGCAACAAAAGCAGCATGCACCTTTAACACTGAAAAGCCTGAGATGGTGCGCACCCAAGCAAGATCTGCCATTATATGGCCGGTGATGATCGGAGCCTTAGTTGGAGTTCATGTCGGGAATGGATATCTACCCATTGAGATCAAGCCCGACATGGTAGGGTTTAAGCTATCTGAGTTTGCACCAACCAGAGTTATTCCAAAGCATGGTAGGCCTGGGATAGGAGCAAGTTCTTCTTCGAAGTTTGTTCCGTTGAAATAAACCAACTTTCTCTATTTTGTATGGTCCATGGTGCCCAGGGTTGAATATATCAAATGAGAAACTCATCCCCATGAGTAAGGAGGCTGTTGATGATGGTGATGAGTCAGGGTTTTCGTATGAATACACTTCGTCGGATTCCTTGGAAACCATCTCCGAAGAAATTGAGGAGTACGAGAGGGAGTATTTTGGAGATGTTTCTGAAGAAGGGAGCTCCAGATCTGAGGATGTAGCAGCCTGGGAAGATAGTGACGATGACGAAAAGATACGTGAGAACTACAAGAAAACAGCAACATGGCTTGATGGTAAGCAGACCAAGAAGCAGGTTGAAGTGCGTAAGAAAAGAATGAGGTTTGAGTATGAAAAGCATTTATTTTTTTCCAAATGTAGAATCAAGCTGGCCAAGGCTCGTGGAGAGTATCTGGTTGTTGTAGACACTTATAGTAACATTTATATACTTAAGAACTTCAAGGTGCACAAAACACTTTGGATTGAGATGTTTGGGGTTTCGGATTTTGTATACATAGGAGATGTGATTCTATTCTCCTCGTGTAGACAAAGCAATTTGAAAGAGATTACATTTGACGGAGAGGTTCGGAACATAAGCATAAGAACCATCGAGGGTATAAGGAAGATGGCCAGCATCGGAGACTCTATATATGTGGCTGGTGAGCGGTTAGTTCTTTTAAACAATGCTTATGAGGTAGTTGAAACGATTGAGGGAAGGTTTATGGACATTGCTGTATCTGAGGAATACGTATATGCAATGAGCTTCAGTGGGGAGATTATTATATTGACACGTGACCTACAGGTCCTAAAGAAGGTGAGTCTTGAAGATAAGTTTGATTTCCGATCAATACATTTTTTTGCAGACAGGATATTTATTGGAATGGGAATGGGGATAAAGATATTTGATAGAGACATGAAGCCTGTCAAGGAGATTATGAATCTTAAGAATGAAGTTACCGGGATTACAAGACATGGCGACTATGTTGTATATGGATCGAACTACACCAACTCATTGAAGATGATCCTCCCAGATCTGAAATGCTACAATAAGTTCCCATTTAATACGATTAATATCTCTCCTATAAAGGCCTTAGAGTCCGATGGAAAGAACATCATCATCTGTTCAGGAAGGGCCATTAATGTCCTAAGAATAAAACTAGAATGAAGACTTGTTTTTTCCGAAGATTAACACTTGTAACATGCCCATTGAATGGTGGCAATAGCATTTGTAAAAATCTATGAAAAATTTTCATCCCCAGATGAAGAACTTAAGGAAGCAGAAGACATCGAGCAGGAGAAAGCAGAGGAAAGCACATTTTGCCTGTAACGATGGGGAGAAGAGAATAAGGTCATCGGCCCGTCTCTCAAGGGAATTAAGGAAGAAGTATGGGTTCAGGACATTCCCGTTGAGGACCGGAGATACTGTTGTTGTGAAGGGAGGTAAGTTTGATGGAAAGGAGGGCACCATCAGCAAGATTAATTACAGAGACTATAAGGTGTATGTCGAGGGATGCTTTGTGACCAAAAACAATGGGACAAATGCACTGGTGCCTATTTATCCTTCTAGGCTAACCATCACTAATTTTTTCCTTGAAAATGGTAGGGAGCAGCAATTAGAAAGAAAGAAGGCGGCCAGAGAGAAGAACATGGAGATTCTTAGAAGTAAGCAAGAAGCAACTGCTAATTAAATCATCTTGAACACCTCATTGTCTAAACCTATCAACAAAAACCCTATGTTTAAAAATCAAATGCCCTTATGGACTTACTCATAAAGGTGCTTTATTTACTTATCTACTCTGGACTTTAGGACCATGCTTCTCACTTTCTTGATTTTGCTTCTTACATCCTCTGAGAAAAAACATAAATCATCCTCAGAGATTGTACATATTCTTTCTAGAATCTGTGCCTTCTGCTTATTGAGATCGAAGGACTCTTTCAAGATCTCATCCACAACCCCGGGGTCAGCTAGCTTAAGTTTGAGTATGGCATGGATTATTGCATAAACAAGGCTCGAATTTTTATTTAAAAGCTCCCTTAGATATGATGGTTGATCCAATGCCAGCTTCCTCAAGTAAAAGAGAACCTCCTTGAGATTATCCTTATCCATGCCATCCAGTACATTGATCAAATTATCGATTTCTGGGATTTGGCTGTCGGGCTCTTTGGTTTTTGCCGGCATGTCATTCTCGGCATAGTTTATCTTTACAGGTCTTCCATTAAATGATATCTTCAAGTTCTGCAGCGCTTTTTCTACGATCAATGGGGATTCGTATTCACAGAACCCAAACCCCCTGGACTTTCCTGTTGTTTTATCATAGACCATTCGAAAGCTAACAACCCTCCCTACTGCCCCAAGCTCCTCTATTATGCGTTCTTCCGGAACCTCGAAGTCTATGTTTCCGACAAAAATACTACACCCACTCTTCATGGGTTTATCAGAAATGATTTATAAAAATATCTTGCCTACAGCGAAAGGGGAGGAAGACTCTTAATAAATAAATTTATTAATCACAGAGAGGCTTTAAGCTTTGCTTCCTTGACAATCTCTGAATACTCCTCGTCACTGAGGGACATTGTTTCCCAATTGATTTTCAATCGCTCACTGCTGGAGACAAATGGAATTAGATGAAAATGTACATGAAAAACGGCCTGATGGTTCCCGTTGTTTTGAAGAATGTTATATTTCTCAATACCGAACTTTTGAATAAGATGGTTGATGGTTCCAAGTATGTCCGATAATTCCTCAGGCTCATACTCGTGGAAATAGGCATGATGTGCCTTTGGTATAACCAAGAAATGCCCTCTTGACAAGGGATACCTATCCATTAGTACAAAAGCTTTGGCTGTCTCGTAAATGATGTTGTTGCCTTTCTGATACATCGTGCAGAATATGCATTTCTCCATTTAGGGCTTGTCCCTTTATTGATAAAATTACTGACATATTTCCTATACAGAGGCACCCAGAATGCCGAGAAACGAATATATGGAATATTACAAAAGGATATTGGAGATGGAGCCTGGTGATTTTGAGCAATTCAGTAAGTTTATCGAGAAGGATCTTGCATATGCATTTAGAATCACAGCCACGCCATTGGCTGACACAATAAGAAGTAGGATAGAAGAGTATCCATTTGTCCGGAAGATAAAATGTTTGGAGAATGTCTATGAGTTTCATAAGAAAAAAGAGAAGGATGATGAGTATAGAAGATTTACAAATTTTTTGATCAACCAGACTGGTGTTGGATTGATCCAAAGACAAGAGATTGTTAGCATGATACCTGTTTTACTAATGGAATTGAAGGAAGATTCCAAGGTCATCGACATGTGTGCAGCTCCTGGATCAAAAACCAAGCAAATTCTTGAGGTTGTTACTAACGGGCTGGTGATAGCCAACGATGCCAATGGAAAAAGACTAAAGGTGCTTGTGAGCGAGACTGCCAAGAGGCCAAACGGCTCATTAATAGTTACAAAGCATGATGCCACTGCATTTCCAAAGATATATGAATGTGGAAGCCAAATCAGATTTGACCGTGTTTTCTGTGACGTAGTGTGCTCGAGTGATGGAACTGTAAGAAAGAGTCCCGGGCTCCTTGATGAATGGAAAGTTTCCAGAAGTACAGGTCTGTTTGACACACAGCTCAAGATTCTAAGAAGGGGATGTAGTCTTGTTGCAGAAAGGGGGTTGGTATCTTACTCCACATGCTCTTTGAACCCTATAGAGAATGAATGTGTAGTCCAAAAGATCCTTCTTGAAGGGGAGTTCGAGCTAGTAGACTTCAGAAGCGATCCTAGGCTCTCACTTTTTCCTGAGTATGGAGATGGAACGAAGATCATCTTCAGAGAAGGATTGAAGAAATGGGCAACAGATAATCAGGTATTCAAAAATCCAAGCTACCGACCTTCTGGCTTGGACCTAGGGCTGGAGAAATGCATCAGGCTGTACCCGCACGATCAGGATACCGGGGGATTCTTCATTGCAATCCTTAAGAGAAAAGGTGGCTCTAAAGGGGAAACGAGCAAGAGAGAAGCATCAGAATCTTCCCTCAAACGCTTTATGTTCTTTCCGAGCGATGTTAAGAATGATATCTTCGAGACTTATTCAATATGTGTAGACGGGGAGTTATATAAAAAGACAGAAAAAAGTCGCACCATAAGTCTTGTGACAAGTGTGGCAGCAAGGGTACTTAGTGAAAATCCTGGACTTAATGTTATAAGTGCAGGCTACAGAATCCTGGAGAAGTCCGGGCTATCAAATGCAGAGTTTTATCTGAAAAACCTCTTTCATATTGGGGGGGGATTCAAGTGTAGCCTTAGGATTTCGACAGAGCAGTTCAAACTTCTACTGAATGAAACATTTGTCGATAATACTCTATTGGGGTTTGAACACATAGGATTAGCTGTTGCTAGAATAGAAGGAATAGGTATTACATTATGTGGGTATGGGAGCCATACCTCGTTTACCCTTTTCATGAACAATAACCTGAGAAAGGCATTAAAAGACCTAGTTCTATGAAACGACCTAAACACCAGAAAGTACAGCATTTCAAATCCATTTATTATCTTCAAACATTTTGCTACTGAGACAAACTTTATTTTCCACGGGACTTGGCCTGACTCTTAGAAAGAGCATTGTGAACCTCTCTGATGGCCAACTTTCTCAACTCTCCCTTGAGCAAGATCTCAAATGCGCTTATGATGTCGTCAGACCCCACTGTCTGCTTCCCAACCTTCCTTGCCAGTTCACCTGCAAGGTCAGCAACTGTATCAACAAAATCGAATGAGATTCCACAAAGAACCTGGATTGAATTGCTTGTCAGCATGATATTATTATCTGGGCTGACCTCACGAGAAATACGCTTGACTGCGGACTTGAACATACCGCCAACGCACATCGACGATGACTTCTTCTTAGTCTTCTTCTTATCTCCACCATCCAAGGCAGGGCCTGGTGCTTTGCCTGTAACATGTCTTGAGGACTTCGCCATTTCAAGGGGGATGTTTTTCTTTATTTATCCTTTTTGGCGGGGAATTGGATGATTTGGAGGGAAGGAGTGGTGCTTAAAGGAAAGGAGGTAACAAGTGCTTTTGTTTACTGCCTAAGGCTAGGGAAAAATCCTGAGAAAAGCCTAGATGGGTATATGTTTAAACATGATTTTCATGACCCATACAATATGGAGGAGTATTTCCAGATATCCGATAAAACAAGGACATTAGAACATCAATATACGGACCTTCTTACCAGAAAGCTGAGGTTGGAGACTCTACTAGTGGAAGAGGATTACAACAACCTTCTTGTAATGCATTCCGAGCTAGTTTCTAAGGCAAGGGATAGCGAGGATAGCTATAAGAAGCATATAAATGATCTAAAGACAATGATTGATAAACTTAACCAAGATAATGCTAAGAAGGAAGATGACATTAGGAGGCTGACAGAGGAAAACAAAAATCTGATGAGTACTGTTCAGGAGTTAGAGAAGAAGAGCAAGGAGGAAAGTAGACAAGGAGAAAGGAAGATTAAAGGGGGAAAGAAGGGAGCCGGAGACCTTGAGGAAGATGAGATATGGGAGGTTGAGGGTCTCAAGAAAATGGATGAGATACATAGGATTGCTAAGTCTCTCGAGGGTGAGTTACAGAGTAACCTAAGTAAGCTTCAAGAGGAATGTATTCGGTACAGAGGAGACACAGAAAGAATGGCTTCTGAGATAGAAAAGTTGAAGCTAAGGAATGCTGATAACATAGAGAAGATAAATGAAATAAAAGAAAATAAGGCGGACATTGAGGAGAAGTTAAAAAGGCTAGAGGAGGAGAATGCTAGGTTAGCGAAAGAGAAGATATGCTCTGATGAGCTTCGAAGATCCATTAATGAGAAGGACGAGATTATATCTGCATTGAAGGAGAATATGAAGCAGAAGTCAGAATTGATTGAAATTCAGAGGAGGATGATTGGGGGAGGGCCACAGGAGAGCAGAGTTATCTTGAATGACGATGTTTGCAATGTATTTGATGAGGAGATCCTCAAGGCTGAGGAAGGTAACGATGAGCTGGAACTGGGTGACGAATGTAACGCTATGGAGGAGTTCTGGAACGATGTCCCTATAAAATCAAAGGCTACAATGAGAAAGAAACCTGAAGGGGTAGCATCAGCAAGAAGAAAGACAAATGCCCCCAAGGCAGAGAAGATTAGGAGAATCCTACCAAAAGCAGTAACATCTATAGAGAAAACAAAGTCAGATATAAACACCAAAGTATTTGATAGGGTATTGGACAACAAGGAGATATCGAAGACTTCTGAAACATCCAGGAAGTTGCTTACTCCAGGACACCTGCTCAAGCCCGAAAACTCTTCATACTTTGCAGATCTGACATTCAATAACTCAAGCCCGGTGATCAAGAAGGATCAGTTACCCAAGAAGAGGTAGATATAAACTAATGTCTTATATATTTTTACAGTCATTAAAAAGCTTAGGAAAATGAAGATGCTTTCCACACAGTGGGAGTTTATTCTTTACCCATTTTTGACCAATCAAAAAGGGATCATACGACCTGTGATCCTTGAAAAGGAATCTTGAATTTCTGAATTGTATTAGCTGTGACATATATCACAGTAAAGATAGGGAGAAGTGCTGCGATGGCCGAAAGAGGTTCTGTCTCATCCAATTTCTCTGTGATGGGTTCTCCTATGTGATCACTAAGTATCATCATAGAGGAAAGCAATGCAGAAACAACAATGTAAGACGTGGTTACTTCTTTCCATGCAATGGATGTTGCTAAAAGAATCAAGACCAATCCTATCAATAAGATAAGAAACTGGTAGAAGTCATCTTTCTTGATAGAAAAGTTCGACAGCTTCCACGCCAGCTTGGATATGTATACTAGGGAGATCATCAGCCCATAAGTCCCTATGCTTTCTGTACGGTGTTTATCTGTTATATGAAGGAGATGTAGCGATAAAAACATTCCAAAAGCCACTTGAAAGAGCAGCATTAGGTTCCTAAACCCAAGGAGTTCCCATATGCTATGCGTCTCTTTATACTTTACGTATGAGTTGTAGAGCTTCGTGATGCCTTGATACAATGAAAAAATGATTGCAACTAAATATCCAATAATTGAAATAGTTGTAGGAACGTAAGAATTATTAAATCCAAGAATGCTTGGCACTATTGGTGTAAAAATTAAAATCAAGCTCAAAACATCACTGCTATCTATTTCAATACCACAAATGTTTATAGATTTGTGATTTTCCTTTATCCTCTCCTTAATGCGTTTGCAGGCTTCATTTGTTTTCTCATGTAGATCCTTGAGGTTTTCTTTAGCTTTAGCCATTCTGACTGAGATTGACATTTAAACGTTCCCCTCATATTCATCTCTTTATATATAACCATAACACAAAAACGGAAATTACTATAGTGGAAATGGCCCATGGATAAGGAAGGTTGTCAAGGCTACCCAGAAGCAGGAGGAGGAGATTCTGAAGGGAAGGACGGTAGACAGAAGAAACCCAAGACTTCTGAGGGCCTGGGAAGAAAAGGAGAGCTAGATCCTGAGAAGGCTCTGGAAGTAGCAAGGTGTTTAAAAAGGAGGATGAAAGACATTCTGAAAAAGGATAACACAAACAATCTGGAAGGCCGGCCAGCAACGGGAAAGATAGAAAATGTTGAGGAAGTATCTGACATTCTGATGAATAAAGGGCTGCAGGAGAGCCTACTAGATGAAGGAATTCTCAATGAAGTCAAGGGATGGCTGGAACCTCTTCCAGACAGATCCATGCCCAACATTAAGGTTAAGAAGAGACTCCTTGATGTACTTAAGAGCATGAAGATCCATAAGGAACATCTAATAGTCAGCGGTGTGGGAAAGATTGTTTATTTCTATAGTATAAATCCAAAGGAGACTAAAGAAGTAAGGTCTATGGCAAAGACGCTTGTCCAAAAATGGACAAATGAAGTCTTCAAGCCGGAGAATGACTAGGAGGATCTAAAGGAAGTGTCCCGTTTTGTACAAGGTCTGCCCCTCTACTTCTTAAATAAACAAAAATTCAAATAGATTGCTAACATCGTTCTTCCTGCAGAAATCCTCCAAGTATTTCAGGAACTCATATTTGCTCATGGTCATGTTCTTTCTGATAGGAAGGCCATTTATCCATGCAAAATAATAGTCGATGAGGTTGGATACCTCCTTTTCTATTGATTTTTTATTGGGACGAACATCTTCATTGGAAGATTCTCGGTTGACATGGTCTACTAGGAATGATATACCCTTGCTGGACACTAGAAACTTTTTTATTGTTTCCTTTTCATTGTATCTTCTCTGTTTATTTCTTCCATTTACTTCTTCTTTACCCATGTTCTAAGCTTAGGGATGTTTTTTGAACAATCACGAATCCTACTGTGGTCTTTATATTTCGAGGTAGTATTCATCAACAAAGGGTTTTTTCTGAAGCCTCTTCACCCACTCCTGCACAATTATTGCGCCAAGAAGGCAATCATGAACAACCGAGATGTTACTACATTCTCTACACAAATGCCTTTTCCCAAGTGGATGAAACCCCATACATCTGGAACATACATAGATCCCCGGGCATGTTGTCTGGCCCTTGCAATCAATAAGTATAACTAGAGTATATCCATTCCAGGCTTCCTCTGTTTGCTGTTCATCAATGACGGCTACCCTTATTTTTTCATTTATCTTGGTGATTTCATTAACAAACATTCTTTTGAAGGAGGAGATGACATGTTTATTTACAGTCACCCTTTCTACACCAAGGAGAACGAGGTTCTTTAGTATTTCTCCTCCAACATCATTGATCCTCTTTTCCCTTCCCAATACATATGGAGGGCCTTGTATTATGGCAACATGGGATTCCTCTATCAATTTCTGTGTATCTTTTCCAAAAAGCCTTATCTGACGGTCATAAAGATCATAGAGTTCCTTCTCCATGAGGTTAGAAAAATTTTGTGTTCAAAACGTTAATTTTCTTTACCCCCCATACCCAATGTCTGAAAAGAACGATGAGAACACCCACTCCAACGTAGCTGAAGAGAACAAGAACGTCTATTTTGATGTGTATGCAAACGAGGAGAGGCTCGGGAGGATTGTGATGAAGCTCTTTGACGATGTTGTTCCAAGAACAGCAAGAAACTTTAGGGAGCTCTGCAAAAGGCCTGAGAGAGCAGGATATAAGGGATCCATTTTCCATAGGATAATTCCTGGGTTTATGGTCCAGGGTGGGGACTACACTGCACATAATGGGACTGGAGGGGAAAGTATCTATGGAGACCGATTTGATGATGAAAACTTCAACCTGAAACACTCGAAAGAAGGCATACTTTCCATGGCAAATTGTGGAAAGCATACAAACGGGTCTCAGTTCTTCATAACCCTTGAGAAGACCCCATGGCTTGATGGAAAGCATGTCGTCTTTGGCGAAGTAATTGAGGGGATGAGCGTTGTGCACAGAATAGCCAAGTACGGAAGCCAAAATGGGCAAGTGGCAAGGGGATACAAGGTTGAAATAAGAGACTGTGGCATCCTCGAAACTAATTAAAGATCTTTACTTAAGCTTCTCATGCCCTCAACTTTTGAATCTTAGTAGCCCTAATAATGGAAAAGTTCTCCAAGTATAACGATCCTTTTTCTGGAATAAACCCATTTGTTAATTCTAGGAGAAGTTCCATCTCAATCTTTGGATATTTCAAAATACTTCTGAAGATTCCTCTTGTTCTACTTCTTCTAGGGACAAACATAAATGTTGTCCAGTTTCTGATTAGGATTAATTCAAATAAGAAGGTAAAGCCTAAAGTTCTGGCTTCTAATGCATCCTCCTTCCTTGACATATTTGTTTTGAAGTATCTTACAGGTATCAATAACTTCTACTATGTCACCGAGTCAGGCTTCATGGATGCTAGAAATGGACGTTTCTACAAAAAGATTGCAGAGCCTTGTGTGTTGTTCCCAGAGGGTTGTCAAACCAACAACAGGGCCATTCTTCAGTTTGTGAGGAATGTTGAGGTCGATCATGTATGTGGAATAAGGTACAAAGGAGAATGTATAAACATGTATGGAAATTTCATGAGATTCATCTTTGGATTTCTTGCATCTAGAAACATTGTGGATGTCAGGTTCAAGAAGAGTTCAGACCTGGATGATATCTGTAAACTTTCTTCTCTTCCGCAAGTGAAATGGACATCAAAAGATAAGGACAGGTTCATGGAGGAGTTTGTTAAGAAATCCTAAGCGGAATAAAGAGTTTAATTCTTTCTCAGAATGGAGCCCTCATTGTTGTCCTCAATAATGTATCCATAATCTTTAATGGCTTCCCGCACCCAGTCGCATTTCTGGAAGAAGTTCGAGTAGGGCTCTTTTCTCCTTGCCATTCCTCTAATGCTTTCTCTGAAGTCGCTGAGCATTTGTGCAACCAAATCCTCCTTAGAAGATGCTTGTGCTTCTCCTTCACTCAATCCAAACATTTCCATAATTTCCTTGATGTAATCCTTAACAACCAGAATTGTAGATGGGGATATCCCTTTTATTCTGATGTTTGTAAAGTTTATCATTTCCACAACCTTCCTCATCACAGTAGGTGTATCGATGTTATCAAGAATTGCGGCATGAATAGACTCTTGAACATCTTTCAGCTCTTCCAAAACTTCCCTGTCCACATCTTCCAAAGTCTTAAATCCTAATGTATTCTTTCTCATGCTTTCTGCTATAGACATAAAGTTGAAGATCTTCTTCTCGATGCTTTCCGCAAATTTGAGGTGCTCTCTCTCATAGCTCATGTCTTTGTTCCATTGGTGATATAGAAACAGAACCCTTAGCTGCCGTGGAGAAATCATTTCCAAAGCTTCCTTGATTGTTGTAAAGTTCTTTAGAGACTTAGACATCTTCAGCCCATCAATGTTCAGGTGTCCTGTATGAAGAAACCACCTCACCCAGGGCTCTTTCATGAAGTAGGCCTGGCATTGAGCTATTTCATTTTCATGGTGAGGAAAGGCAAGATCAATCCCACCAGCATGTATATCAAGGTCTCCCCCAAGAATATCACTAGACATTACACTGCATTCAATGTGCCATCCCGGTCTTCCATATCCCCACTTGGATTTGTATCGAGGTTCATTTTCCTTAGACTTCTTCCACAAAACAAAATCCCACGAACCTCTTTTATCTTTGTTCTCAGCACCTTCGCTGTTTATACCATCCTTACTCTTGAACAACGGATAGTTGTGCTTTTCTTGATACTTTTCTAGATCAAAATATACACTTCCTCCGCTCTCATAAGCAAATCCATTTGTTTCAAGCTTCTCAATAAACTTTACAATCTTGTCTACATAAGATGTTACAAATGTGACAAACGAGGGCTGCCTGACGTTTAAAGCCTCCATATCTTCAAAAAACTCCTCAGTATACTTCCTAGTGATTTCTTCTGTAGATGCACCACTTACATTGGCTCTGCTTATTATTTTATCATCAATGTCTGTTATGTTCATCACAAACCTCACATCATATTTTAGATAGTCACTCAAAACACGCCGCATGACATCAAACATCACATAGGTCCTTGCATGTCCTATATGGGGTGAGTCATATACTGTTGGACCACATATATACATCTTCACCTCGTTGCCTCGAGAAGGCACAAAGGTTTCCTTGGTCTTGGTAATTGAGTTGTAGAGCTTCAGAGATCTATCCATGGTCATTAGGGTTTTCTCGAATGTTTATATTTGAAAATTTTGAAGAGACTGATTTCACAGGACTCAAATACGTCTTATAGGAGGCTTGAAGTGTTATGGACCTTTTCTATCACATTCCTTGTTTCTTCTTCATCCACCTCTTGAGCAATTTCATTTGCCATTCTTTCCTTTTCAGATGTACAAAACACCCTAAAGCATTTTCTTTCTGTCATACTATGGGCTCATACATTCATAACACTCTTTATTTTGTTTTGGACTTTAGATTTTGTATTCAATCTCATCCTTGCTCACAAGGTCTACAACATCTCCAGTTTGCAGCACATCTTTTATATTCATCTTACGACCCAAAACAACCCCGTTCCTAACCAGAAGATCTCCACGGAATCCCATCTCCTCAAGCTTTTCGAAAACTTCCTCAATCATGAGTTCCTTGCAAAGATTGACCTCAATTGTTTTAGTGCAATCGACATGTATCTTCAATTCAATCCCAAACTCCCCAGAAGCCTGTCCCTGCCTATGGATTGTGATGCAATGATCTCCATCAAACCCTATTTCTTCCAACGTCAAGTGTCTTGAAACAGGAACAGATTTGTACTTCATCTTGATGGGAGAGCTTCCCTCATGGTAAGCCTTGTAAATACTCTCCAGTGTATCTGTTTTCTTCATATGAAATGTTTTTTTGGAGTTTTGATCAACAACCGTTACTTTACACAGCTCTTTCTTTTCACAGAAATCACTCCCAGGCTCCCTTGAACTGAGATCATCTGCATATTGGGCTTTTTCCACTCCTTGCCTCCTCCTGGCCTTTGAAGTTTGAGAACTCTGAGTGGATCCTTTTCTTTTCACTCTGGTTGGTCTTTGGTATTTTCTTACAACCTCGACCATACTTATCTCACTACTATCATTATCCATTCTCTCGGCAAGAACTATTTCATCAGAAGAATCGTCTCCCATGGACTCGAGGATGATTGTAGATATGAAAAAAATCATCGATGATGTGGAGACAAGCTCTAACCAGTCTCAAGCATGGTGTATGTTTGACACGAATGAAGACACGTGCTGGTTTTCAGGCCATGGCACCCAGCAGTCCATAGATATTTACCTGAAGCAGACACTATATTTGCAGAAGATCCGAATATTCTTCCAAAGAGGATTCCATTGCACAAAGGGAAAAGGATATGCGGCCTCGAATCACTTTTCTGGATATACCAGAATGGAGTTTCATAACGGAGGAAGCATGGGGTGTCTAGACATTAATCGGGATGGAGACCATATCAAAATAGTTTTAGAGGAAGGAGCAGACATGTACAACAGATACTGTATCTACAGAATAAGCCTTGACTTCTGATATCCCTTAGAATTTCATAACATTGGAGTATTTACATGGGAAACGGCTTGCCCTCTAAGGATGAGGATAGTTGTCAAGGACTTACCGTTGTCCACAACCAAGGAAGAAATTGAAAAGGAGTTTTCTAAGCATGGAAGGATAACAGATGTGTTTATGGCAAGAAACGGGCAAGGGAGGTTCCGAAGAATATGTTTTATAGGATACATGGAGGAAAAAGAGGGAGTGGAAGCCATAAAATACCGAAATGGGTCTCTATTCAAGAACCAGAAGATAAGATGCGAAGCTCTGAAAGAAGACATTGTTCAAATGGGCGAGTCTGAAAAAAGGATGGTCAAATACTCAAGAAAAATCTTCATCAGGAATGTTCCTATGGAAGTTAGTGAACAGATTATTCATGACACGTTCAAAGAGTATGGAGAGATTGAGGAAGTTGGACTATTGGATCTGAAGGAAGGAAAGGGGGCATATGTGAAGTTCAGTGAAGGAGAATGTGCAGTGGAAGCATATCGAAGTGTAAAGACCATTGGGGGAATGAAGGCAAGGATGTATCCGTGGAAGGATAAGGCGGAGAAATCCCAGTACGAACACTACAACACATTGTTCTTCAGCTTTGAGTCGGTCGTGAAAAGGATATGCGAAAGTGAAAGGATTGCTGCCAAAGATCTTGTTGACATCAATGACAAGGACTTAGGTGCCAGGATGGCCCTTATTGAAACACACCTAGTCCAAGAAACAAAGGAATTTCTTGAGAACAATGGGATTTATTTGGACAATCTTACTGGAGAGATTGATAAGAGGACATTGATAATTCGTAACATGGAGCTTATGAAGTGTCTAGACCTTGTGGATAGTGGATGCAAAATTAGCATTGCACCTTCTAAATGCCTAGCACTTCTTAAATTTGAAGAAGAAGAAGAGGCTAGGAAATGCTACAAAAAGCTGAGTCTGAAAAGAATGAAGGAGAAGGTCATCTACTGCGAGTATGCACCTGTGTGCAATATTCCAAAGGATACAAAAGAGGAAATGCCGAAAGATTATTCAAAAAAGGACCGGGCAATCAATAAGCTTCTTGTTAGGAATGTTCCATTTCAAGCCTCCGAGAAGGAAATTAGAAAGATATTTGATTCGTTCCATGTGGTGGATGTAAGGATCCCAATAAAAAGGGAGGGAACTAGTAGAGGGTTCTGCTTTGTGACACTAGGCTCTCCTGACGAGGTTGATGCAGCCATTAGGCATTTTGGAAGCAGTACCCATCTCTATGGAAGGCGCCTCGTTCTTGAAAAGGCAAAGTCTTAATATTTACATGATGGAATAAACCACGAAGTTCGACAAAATTTGGTAACCCCAATGAAAAGTATGATAAAAGCAGCAAGGCAGAGGATTTTGTCTCTGATATCTAGCAGCTTTCTTTTGTTTACATTAACATCTTTGGACTTCCTTTCTTTTGGAGCGAAGCTATTGAGCTCTGAGAAGAGCCATAGTAGGAACATTGGAAATGTAAGCGCAACTATGTTCTTATACTCTACAATAGCAGCACAGTTTGTGTTTGGTATGTTTAGTGGATTGGGAGGAGTGTGTGCAGGCGCTATATTTGAAGCACAAAAGGATACTCGCAAGATTCATAAGCTGTGCTTCAAAATGTCCTCCTCTCTAGGAGAAGAAATATCTACCACATATGCCTGTATATTTCTTAGTACCGTATTGTTTGCTCTGTTCTCCTACATTCTCAAAAGGTTTAGAATTGGAAACAGCCTCAGATACATCCCTGTGTCTGCTCTGTATGGAGTTATGGTATCCATAGGGATAATGTCTATTGAGTGTGGGTATGAGGAAGTATATACAATGACATGGGAATATGTTAATGGGTGTCTTGTGGTAACCATAGGACTTGCACTTTTGGCAGTGGCCTTGGACATAATGTTTCCTGCATACTTCCTGATGATTCCCATGCTCTCTTTTGGCATCTTTGCAGCATTCTATATCGTCTTTGCAGTTGCAGGAAAAGATACAGAATGGATGAGATCTGTGGGGCTGATTCCAAAGGCCGAGGATATCAACCTTGACTCGTTTGCAACTCTGAAGCTCCTCAGGATGGAAAATATAAATGTGGGGGCCATCAAGGCCAACTTGATGAACATCCTCGGACTATCTCTATTCAACTTAGTTCACATTGCTGTGAATGTACCAAGTTTTGCAGAATCTTTTGGTCTGAAAGCAGACTTGAATAAGGAGCTTGGAGTTCAGTCAGTTGCAAACATTGTATCTGCGTTCTTTGGATATCCAATTTATTTTATTTGTTCAACATCTATTTATTTCAACAAATCTGGAGGAAGAAGCAGACTCCATTCTCTTATGGGTGCGGTTGTAATATCCTCTCTACTTGTTGTTGGAGGGCGGATAAGAGAAAGTATTCCTCTCATTCTTTCCGGAACCATCCCCATGTTCATAGGATTTGGTTTCCTTTACTCGTACCTATGGCTTCCAATATTCAAACTGTCATGGATGGACCTTGTGACACTAATGCTATCTGCCTTTGTGTCCTGGTACCTAACACCTATATCTGGGCTTGTGTTTGGAATAGCTACTAATCTCATTTACATTCTAAGATCCTCTTTAGGTACGAACAAATCTGAAGGTACAAAGGTAAATCTCGAGTTAAATGAAAATGTAAAGTCATCAAACGAAATAGTAGAGGGAGAGGCGTATAGAATCGTGGATATTAGTTCCTTGACTTCGTTTGGAGACCTTAATGAGTCTGTAAGGACGATGAAGGTTCTTTGCCGGGAAAACATTCTTTTCGACCTCAGAGGATGTGGGCATTTCGGAGTAAATGCAAATATAGCCCTTGAGGAGGTAGCTGAAGCAATAGTAAATAATGGATACAAAGTGTTGATAGTAGGAAGTCCAACCAATCTGTATACTCATTTATTCAGGAAATACATGATTGACCCATCTTCCACTACCTCATTGGGTAAATGAATTGTCCTCTTATTTTTAACCTACTTATGTATAACAAGTCTTTATTTTTAATTTTCATATGAAAGTATTACTATATACTTCAAACTGATTGATGCAAAAAAATTGCTGACTTATTTTTCAAATACAGCCTAATTCCATTTCCATATAAGGAAATAGAAAGCGTATAAATATACTCTTGAAAAAAACCCATACTAAATGTTAAAAGTTAATAGTGAATCTATTAAGCGGACACTAAACATTCATGTCGCTTCAGCAGTGCTGGCATTCATTGGAGGAATACTTAAACTTTCAAGTACGTTCACGGAAAAACAACAAGTTAAGGATATTTCTAAACTTGGGTTAAGAGGCATTTTGGTTTTATCGTGTTTAGGATTTCTTTGGAATTCAGTGGATACTATGCTTAGAAGAGTTACAGCAGAAAGATTTAAGAGAGATAATGGCTTTTTAAATTCAAGTGTCATTGTGTCTCTTTTAGAAATAATTATGATGCTGGTTTGTATCAAGATGATGTTCTTCTACCCTCTTGTTGCTAATGGTGAAGGTCAAGATGCTGCTGCCCCAAGAGGTTTGCCGGAAGAGAGCAAGTTTGGTCTCTTTGGAGCCATATTCCTGCCTTACATATTTAGTGAGTGCTTAAGACTTCTTCTGAGTTACAGGAAAAATATGAAAGGAGATAAGATAATTCTAGCAATTATAATAACAGGATGTTTAGTAATGGGAGGACTGGGTATTGTTGATTACAAGAACAAAGGAAACTATATTGGTGGAGGGATATTTGCTATTGGATTATTGATGGTACTTGCCCGCCTTGGTTTCATGCATGAAGAGGATGTTCCAGTACTTGGTGAAGAAGACTCTGATGAAGAATTTGATTCTACTACCAAGTATGTTATCATAGGTGCCACTTTTTTATTGGTATTGGCTATACTGCTATGTTCACACAAGATACTATTTAAGGACTGTACCCTCATTGATTATCTTAAATCATTTAATCTCTTTGGTAATGCTGAGACGAATGGGGCACAAAATAACACTCTTGCTAATGCTACTAAGATGAGTGAGTCACAAGGTGACCTTGATGCTCCTCCTGATGGGGGTATAAGTGCACGGAGTGGTACCTCTCCTGGATCTGGGGCTGAGGGTACATCAGGTTAGGAAATGAGTTAATAAGGATCGCTTAGATAATTGATTGAAATTATCTCTGGTTCCACTCTACAAACCAAGGCAACAGCTACTCGTTATTAAAGTCCTTGAGTTTTTAAAATGTTTTATTTGTACAGGATTTTTGAATGGTGTTATGAATATGGTTTACTGATGATTTCTATATCCATTATGAAGTCCCCCCTAATTACCACCAACCCCAGGATCCTGCGCCTTGCTTCTTTACTTCCTTTTATCTTTCTAAATTCTTCTGTGTCATCAAGAACTGCATTCGTATCTCCATCCACAGCCAACATTGTTCCTTCCATCCATCTTCCATCCCTCATCCTGGCTTTCACTCTATAATTAACGTATTTTTCTAAGTTTGATTTCATGTAAAGGCCTTCTTATCGAGAGAAATATAAAGAAATCACATTTTATTCAGGGGGGTGGCACCAAGGATTTTCAGCCCATTGTGAAGAACAATCCTGGCAGAGGACAGAACAAGAAGTCTAGCTCTGGCAAGCTCCTTTTCCACACCCAGAACCTTCAAGCTGTTTATTGCGGCATTGATGGTGCTAGCAAGGTCCTGTAAATAGGTAACAATTCTTGAAGGCTCATAATCCTCTAGACACTTCTCTACAATGTGCTCGAACCATAAGAGCTTATAGACAAGATTAGTGACCTCTGGAACATGTATAAGTGTAAAATCAATTGTACTTATATCACTGTAGTCAATTTTGCTGTTTTTGACCTCGATGCTCTTCAACCTACAATGAGCATACTGCAGATATGGCCCTGTCCCGGAGGTGTTTCTGGCTCTTTTCTCAATGTCAAACTCATAGCCCTTGACTCTTCTGGCGGTAAAATCCATAACAAGTAGTGTTGATATGGCAAGAATCTCTGCAGTCTTGTCCATTTCAGCCATAGTGAACGAACTTTTGTTAGTATCCGACAGCATCACCTTCTTCATCACATCTGTCGATTCCTGGATTATGTCCTCAAGAAATTGAACCCTTCCTGCTCTTGTAGACATTCCAGCAACCAGCCCATAGCTCACATGTAAAAACTTATCTTCGTCATACCCAAGCACCCCAAGCACCTTGAAAAGATCTTCAAAGTGTTTATTCTGCTCACTAGATACAACATAAATAATCTTTTCTGGAGAGTAATCCTCAACCCTTTCAATTGCAGCTGCAATATCTCTTGTTATATAGAGTGTTGTCCCGTCATTCTTCATCACAAGTACCTTCCCCCTTTTTCCAAGGTCAAAGACCTTAGATCCATCTGCATCCGTCCTCACTAGCTCGCATGTCTCGACTATCTTTTTTCCTTTTTCATTGTACATGCTTTCACCAGAGTAGACGTCAAACCTCACATTCAATTTCTCATAAAGGGTTTTGTATCTTTCGATGCTTAACTCCCGGAACTTCTTCCAAAGGCTTATACACCATTCATCCTTCTCTTCCTCCATCTTCCTGAAAAGATCCTTTGCCTCAGAATCAACATCTGGGTTTTCCTTTGCATCACTGCTTATTTTCACATAGACATTGAGCAGATGCTTGAGTGGATCCCTCTCCAACTCCTTCTCATCTCCATACTTACCGTATCCAAGCAAAACAAACCCAAATTGCTTTCCCCAGTCTCCAAAGTAGTTTATGCTAGTAGTCTCGTATCCAGAAGCCTTCAGTAGGTTCACAATGAACTGCCCTAGTATTGTTGTCCTGAGGTGTCCCATGTGGAAGACCTTTGCAATGTTAGGACTACTATAATCCACAACTATGCGCTTGCCTTTACCAATATCATTGCTTCCAAACGTATCTTTGTTTTTTTGGATGTATCCAAGCACGTCCCTTAGTATTACCTTCTTGTTTATGTCAAAACAGACAGAGGATCCTCTTATTACTATATTCTCAAAAAAATCAACGTTGGCCCTAACAAGTGCTTCATATAACTCCTTAGCATCTTCTTGTGCAGTTGATGATATCTTGATGAGGAAAAGAGTTACATTGGGCTTCCTTGGCTGGAAAGACTTCTCCATACATCTCTCGACTTCCTCAGGTGTGAATTTTGAAACCTTAGATATCTGGTCTACAATCTTCTTGAAAAATTCATTAAACATTTCTTAGGGTGCCAGCCTCCCAGTTTTTACAGTCGAGAGATCTTTTAGATAAAAAGAGAAACAAAAGATATTAAAGTAAAAGCTGGATCTACATCCAGCGGCCTCTCAAGTTATACATGTCGTCCTTACGCAGGGGCCATGCTAATCTTCTCTGTGTTGTTCCAAATCAATGGCGGTAGAATACTACAACCCCTCTTCACAATATTTTTTTTATCCCATCCAGTCGTAGCCCATGCTTCCTAAACCTCGATGTATTTGGTGGGCTCCCATCCAACCGCAAAGACACAAAAAACAATTGGTCTAAGAATTAGGAGACCATCCAAATTCAATTGGTGAGCAGATCATTAAAAGTTTCGCCCTGTCACATTACAAAGGGAAAAAGATGAAACAAGGAACAGGCCAAGACCTTAGACTATGGGTCGAAAGTGTTGTTTCAAGAGTATCATCTGGAACAGACATAAACGAGGTGCTTCTGCCCAATACCAGGATAAAGATCTATGTCTTCTTTGTGAATGGAAGAGTTTTGTTCAACCTGTCTGATCTTGCGAGCGTGTTTAAATGCTTTGGTGTTTGTGCAAGCCCCTCCCAGATACGTGAATACATGAGGTCTGCAGGACATGTAGAAAAGTTGGAGCGGTTTAAAGATTTCTTCGGAGAGCAAGGCTTAGAAGTTGTATGTAGTGATGCCATAAACACTAAGGTTCTTGAGAGCATGGAGTCCTTCATGTATGATGGGAAAAGGCCCCATCAACTTGAAGGCGTAGACAAAGAGCTTTCTAGCCCCGGGCTTTCTTGCGGAGAGTATAAGCTTGAGACGCAGAAAAAAGGCTTTGAAGGATTCCATAATGTAAACGAACTATACCCTTTTAATTGTCAATGGACAGATAGCATCATGGACGGTATACTCAAGAACATATACACCAGCGATGGCAAGAGAGCCGAAAGCAATAGTATAAGTAAGGAGAGGTCCGATTCTACAAAGCCTGGAAGTAGAGGAAGGCACATGAAATACAGTGGAAGTCTAAAGGACCGCCCATTTGTATGCACATACAATGAGTGCAAGCGCGCCTTCAAAAGATACGAGCATCTGAAGCGTCACAATTTGATGCATACAGGTGAAAGACCTCATAAATGTAAGTTTCCTGGATGCTCCAAAGCTTTTTCCAGGTCAGATAACCTATCTCAGCACTACAAAGTTCATACCACCACAACTGAGATGCATGCAAAGAGCTATGGATCTTATAGATACTTGAATAAAGAGTTTAACTAGACCATACTATTCTTCCACCTTATCTGATCCATCAAGAGTTGAATTTGATGAATTGACATAACTCGTCTGCATTCGAAGTTTAATTATTTCGTCTTTCATGTCTGATTCCTTCTTCAACTGTATAGATGAATCTTCTATTTTGTCTTGGATGTTATCTTCCCCATCTATCCTTACACACCCATTTTCAGTGATGTATATACCATTCTTTGGATCTGTCCTTATACTCAATGTTTCATTACATCCTGTACATTTGATATAAAACCGATGGCTCTCAACTCCCAGATAATCCTTACCCTGAGCCACTTGTCTAGTAGCATTATGCCTTTTGTTCTTGTATATGTAAGCTCCGCATGACAAGCACTTGATCGTAAATGGAGTAGCTAGCCTTGTGGCTGCACCCTTTGACTTTGACTCTTTCTTTCTGTTTGCTGTGCTTTTCATCAAGGCCATAGATTATCATGATTTATTTCCTATATCTCTCGTCGTGAAGGAGGACCTGCTGTATACGCCTAGGGTTCGTAGCTCAGAGGTAGAGCAATTGATTGCAGATCAATCGGTCACAGGTTCGAGTCCTGTCGTGCCCTTTCTTTTGCACAAATCTCTTTTTTCCGCCCCATCCATGGATGAAATGGAAGTTCTTAGGAAGTTAAAGGAAATATCAGCCCGTTCCAAAGAGCTAGATTCAAAACTCCTCGAGACAACCAAGTCCTTTGAATTATGTGCCGATGTTTCCTCGGAAATGGAAGCCATCTCCAGTAAGATTGCAAAGGTTTTTGCTCTCTACAGAGACCTTGTTGGCCTATTGAGTAAATAAACGTCTTCTCAAAATGGTTTTATTTAATGTCTCTTACCAGAAGTAAGCATATTCTTCTAAAGATTGCTGGATGCCCCCTATAGCAGACGTTATTGTACCAAACCCCTTCAGAGTTCGAGACAAAGTTGATGGTTCCGACAGGGAAGTACAGCGACCCCATAAGATACGAAAGAAATATGAAGTAGAAAGGGGACTTGTCCCTGTTCTCAATCGTCTCGATAAAGCGGATTATGTACTTGCTGCTCACTATTGTCTTTATCTTTGTTCCATTTACTATTATTACAACTCTATCTCTTGCAGGATTTATAAGCCTCAATGTGAAATAAAATCCCTCAAAGTCTTCTTTTTTTATCATTAGTTCCTCTTTCATTTTTCTCGAGGCTTGAAGGTATGTCTTTGTTTGGAATTCATCATTAGACACTTCTGCTTCAACGGCAATCTCTCTAGGAGATGGGAACATTATCATGCACAACACAACCGCTATTAGTACCCCAGTGATAACCATCAGCTTGGGTGTTAAAGAGTTATACCCAAATCTCCCATTTTTGATCATCTGCTTCTTAAATCGGGGTGCCGGCCAACAGTTTGTTACATCTCATGCATAATAAAGGGGATATCATAGATCCAGAATGTGGAGCCTGCAAAAGACTGGAAGACCAATAAGATTCGTCATTCATACAAACCTTTGATCATTTTGGATAGTGGGCCTTCCCCGGGATCCCTTCCCTCAAATATGTCTCCGACACATTCTAATCCCATTCCACTCTTCCATTCTCCTTCTCCAAACATCTCTTCCAGTCTCTTTATCGTTTCAGCCAACTCAAAGTATTCCGAGGTTTCAAGCCTGCACTTCAATATTATCTCCTCGAGTAGAACCCCATCTATTCTCTCCTTCACATCCCGCTTTATGGCGTCATAAGATAAGCATTCCTTATAGTCATCAAGATACCTTCCAACGTCAATCACCAGATTCCGGAAGGTTCTGCTCGGGTCATGGAAAAACCTTTTGATTGGCCGAAGCCCCTCGCTTGTATCGTTAGCTGCTAATGACATGATCAGCTTGAGATTTTCACTATTGAATTCAGAAATCCTTTCTAGAGATCCTGTCACAGCCTCATGGAGCATATCCTGAGCATTCCCATTCTTCTTTACATTCACAATCTTACTCTCCATGTTCAGCCTTGTGTCAAAAACAACCTCGCTCTCCTGATCTAACAAAAATGCCTTGAGCCTTTCAAACTCGCTGTACACCCAGCAAAGAACCTTTATTTCCTGCCTGTTTATATACCTGAGACTTTCTAGGAATACTTTGTTGTAATCGACAATTATCTGAATTGCATCGTCCATCTCAAAGATAGGATCCAGTGCCCTAAATCTGTAGATATAGAGAAGACATTCCCTCAAAAGCTCCCTGTATCCACCAAACCATTTCACATGCCTCGCTTCATGTATTTTCGATAACTTCTCACGAACATACTTCTTTTGTTCTTTACATAAGGCATCTCCCAGTTCGGAAAATTCAAGAATAATGCCGTAGTCGTGGCAAACCTCATATCTGAACTTCAGAATCTCCATTCCAAGATGCAGCATCAGATTTCTCTTTTGCTTACTACTACACCCAGATATCTCTTCTATTTTCGTCCTTATCAAACCACACACCCTGGATACCAGTTCTTCAAATCTTCCATCAAATTCACCTTCCTCGACATCTTTCTTGTTCAAATCTAGGTATATATCAAATACCACTTTACTTTCTTTAAGCTTTGCAAGGATAAAATCAAGGAACCACTCAGGCTTATCCAATCTATTAGAATCCCTGTCGCTCAAGAAATGGTATTCAAATCCTCTTGATATCTTTTCATAAAGAAAGCTCTCCATCACTTTTTCGGAAAAGTATTGTTCATATCTACTCAAGAACTTCATGTTGAACACAGCCTCATGCATCCTCCGGTCATCCTCCAGCTTCTTTTCCATCTGGGACAAAATATGCTTCCTTAGCTTCTCTTTTTCCTCACTATAGAATCTTGTCAACCGCCTTCCAAGATTTCGGAAGATATTTCTTTCAATTAGACCTTTAATCTTTGTGAATTCCCCAAATGTCGAAAATGTTGCTGAGGGACGGATTCTGGATGCCTCTTCAAATATCTCTCTGTACAGGCCCTCAAACTCGTTTCTAGCCTTTTCTAAGGCCCTCTTCTTGTACTTAGAAACCTCATCCTTCAGACACACGAACTTTTCTCTCTTTTCAAGAAGAGTTAGCTCCATCTCATGGATTTCTTTTTTCACCGCCTCTATTGCTTCCCTCTTCTCTTTGGCTTGTCTGGCCAGGTGATTTCTGTGTTCGATCCTGTCGCTTTCCTTTTGTTTAAATTGCTGTAGCTGATGTTCCAGGTGGTTCTTCCTCCTCAAGAGAATATCCATCGATGGGCCATCACAAGAATTTATAAAATTGGCACACATCACTAATATCTCAAGGCAACCGCAATATCTTATCTCTTCTAGAGAGACAAGCCTTCAGGGACCTTCCAGCCTTGGTATAGCATTTCAGTTCGAAAAAATTTACCCCTATGAAGTTGAAGGCCTCAGAACCAATGGCATTCTCAAAGGTAAACATGACAACCCCGATAACAAAGGAGTACAGGATTCACGGAAGTGCCATGCCCACGGAAGGCGATCCAAGGCCTCAGATATTTGTTGCAACCATCTTCACGAAGAACCATGTGTTTGCCAAGGCAAAATTCTTCAAGATCCTTGAGAAGAAGTACAAGATTAAGGCATCCAAGGGGTTGATCATCAACTGCGAGAGAATTCCAGAGCCTTCATTCAAGGAGGTCCAGAACTACGGGATCCGCTTTATCTACCGCAGCAGAAGTGGGGTTCACAATGCATATAAGGAATGCAGAGCAATAAGCAGGTGCGGGGCCGTTGACCATGTTTTAAGGGAGCTGGCTGGGAGACACAAGCTAAAGAGATCTGCAGTGGACATAATAAGTGTGGAGGCTATTCCCTTTGAGTCTCTTAGAAGGTCAAAGACTATGGAGTTTGCTGATGAGAATGTCGAATTCCCTGTTTTCACTAAGATTCTCAATACGAAGAGTCTATTGATTCCTTCAGATTACAACCCTTCTGACTAACTCCGCTTTGCCTACTATTAAAGCTTATTTTATTCATTTATATTTCTTCCAAGGCGGATTTATTCTGAGTATACATACCCTAGACCTTGAAACCATGAGTGTAGCTGAGACTTACAGCCTTGAGAGAATGCAGTTGATGTTCAATGAAATCCAGTTGTGCGATACTAAGAAGTATTCTGAGTCTCTAAAAGAGGTTATTGAGATGCTGATTGGACAGGACCTCTTCGAGGAGTTTTGTAGGATCTTAAATGTTGTACTTACATGCAGGAAGCCGAATATACCATCAAGGATATCCAATTTCCTCAGAAGGATATTTGAGGATCTGGTCGATATGCCAAAGGGGGCAGAGTTTGTTTTTAAAGTGCTTTTTTACCTCGTCAAGCTTACTGAATCAAAGGTCGTGAAGATAAGAAAAAACTCGCTTTGCATCTTAAAGCTGGCCATGGATGTGGTACAGCCGGAATCTATTGACGAAGGAGTCCTAGGAAAGATCTCGGAAAGACTGTTTGACAAGGAGAAATCAGTAAGAAAAGAGGCACTCAGACTTCTCTCTGGCTATCAAGAAATGGGACTGAATCGAAATGTGAAAGTTGTGAATCTATTCAAGGATATAGTCAGATATGATCCAAATGACGAGGTAAGGACCCTTGCATTGAGCTTGATTTCAGTGAATCAATCAACCTACGGATGCATAGTTGAAAGATGCATGGACATAAATGGAGCAATAAGAAAGATGTTCTATGAGCACTGTCTTCCCGGAATTGATTTAAAGAATCTTTCACAAGACAAAAGAATCCTTTTAATGGAGAAAGCTGTACTAGAAAGGGAGTTTGATGCAAAGGGATTGCTAGTAGATTCCATAGTTTCTGCATATAGGTTACCTTCGGAGTTAAGACCCATGTGTGCGTCATTTTACAGTAGATCAAGCCAAAAATATCTGGAGACCTTGCTTAAGGGGATCTTCGAGAGGGTGGGATATGAAAAGGAGTTTGAGTATCTTCTTTCGAACCCTTCGGAAGAAAACACGTTTTTGTCAAGGATTGAGCTATCGTACATAGAGGAGCTTTTCGGAAGGGATGACTTAGGTCTACCAAGTCTTGAAAGTTTTGTTTCTGTGATGTACCAGTCGTGTCTTTCTGTTGTTGAGTCTTTAGATGCACCAGAAAGAGGTGCGCAGGTTGAAATAATGAAGAACCTGTTTAGGATTGCAAGGTTTTATGACTTCTTTAACGAAACATCTCGAAAGTATATTCTTAGTACGGTTTACAAGCTCCTTGCAAAGAACTCTGTGGAAGAGGTTGTGGAAGAGGCCATGCAGATGGCAAGTCTTGTTTGTGACGATGACCTGAATAATTTCATAGGGAGCATCATAAAGAAAAATGCAAAGGCATCCCCGAGAGTATGCTTGATGGTATGCAAGCAGGTTATGAAGCACATTCGCCCTCTCGGCAGACTCCATGAAGCAATAGTAGAGGAAATTGTCCTCCCTAACTTGGGACTACAAGAAACAGCTGCAGAGATACTTGAAGTTGGGTTTCATTATATCCTTACCAAGCCTCATCATGCCATTACTCAAAGCCTTATACAAAACATAGAAATAGACAGTAAGGTGTTTGAGATGTGTGTAGACCTTGCCCTCTGTTCTGATGACCCGGAGTTATTAAGCCATGTTTTGAGGTACTTGGAGAAAGAACTTGAATGTAGGGAAAGTGAAGGCATCATAATTCCCGGTTCTAAGATAGTGCTATCACAACTTGAAATTCCAAAAAGCCTTAGAGACAGATTGATTGGATTTGCACTCGAGAGATACTATTATACCCAGGACGACCATCTCAAGCAGTATTGCAGCATATTATTCTTTGAGTTGTTTTCGGAAGACAGCACACCTCTCATTTCTGTATTCTGCGAAGTTCTGGAGACATTGGTATGCTCACAAAAGATATTTATCGATCAATCTCTCTATTGGATAGGAAACAGCAAGTACCCCAACGGATCCCAGCTACTCTTCTACAAAATTTGTGTTTACCTTGCCGGGGGGTACGGAACGGATCAAACCAAGAAGGCCTTACTCAAGGTTCTTGAAAGAATCGAAGTCCTAAGGTGCTGGGATCCAGATATAACCAAAAAGATTCTGTTCTGCTGCACCTTGATGGCAAAAAAACTTGGGGGTAAATTCAACACAAGCGAAGTAATGGGAAGAATCATGGAGATAGACGATGGGGTGCCTATCTCTAAGAAAGATCTATGTGATGTAAAGAAAGATTTGGAGAGCTAAACATTCTTTATTTTGTCATTCTTGGGCCTCTTTCAAGCTTTTCTTGAGAAATTCCAAAAGCTTCTTCGATAGTATCTTTTCTTTACTCTTACTTAGATTGCAAAGCATGAACAAGCAGTGATATCTATCATTCTTTATGATAGCTCGTATCAAACAGCTGGTGTCAAGAATATGGAAGTAGTCTAAGGATATTAGAAACATTTTTTTAAGAAACTTCTTCGAAAGATTGAACCTTGCCATGCTTCCAAGCAAACGGAGGAATTCTTCTGTAGATCTTCTCTTAGTCTCATTGAATCTAGATATTCCATGCATATCTACAAGGTGTAGAATAAAGCTTGACTTAGCAATTCTATTTTCATAAAACATCCCTGTGCTATCTATGATTTTCCTAAGTAGAATAGAGATCGCCATAAGCTCTCCCTCAACCGGCGTAATGGCTAGCTCATTCCATATAATGGCTGCGAGTACATTCACGTTATCCTCATCTATATTCTTTGTGTCTACTCTCCTAAGGATGTCTTCAGAGACTGGACATCTGCATTCTATATCTTTCTCTTTATGTGGTGCATTCGAGTAAGCATCATTCTCAATGGCTTTGTCCATTAGAGCATACTGTACAAATAACTCACCGAGTATTTCGTACTTCATACACCTGATTCTGTAATCTTCATTGTCTAAGTACACTAATCCATCAAATATCCTCCTAAGAATCGATCTTCTCAGACAGTCCTTTCCAACAACAATCTTCATAAAGTATAAATACATACACAGTCTCTTTGCATCATTACATCTGCTGATAAACTCCATGGACTGAAGAATGAAATCCTCCAGCTTTGGCCTAAACTCAATCCCTATTAGATTGATCAGAATTCTAGGGCTATCTTCAAGCCCATTGAAGGCATACTCAAGAAACTTATCATAATCTTCTATTATCATCTTTTGAATCTCAAATCTTCTGGAAATGTTGCATTCAAGAACTTGCTTTGGAGACTCGCACAGCTCTAAGTATTTTCCGATCACATTGATGTGCATTGGAATATGATCGGCATCCCTAAAAAACCTCTCGATTCTCTTCAAATCATTTGTCTGAAGAATATTTCTTGTTGTCTCTTTATTTACCGGGAATAGTTCCGCCACCCCATCTTTAACGTTGTGTCTTTCTTGGATTCTGGATATTACGTCAGACACATCCTCTCCTCTTTTATACATCCAGACAAGTCTGTTAAATATCTCTTCGTTGTTTCTGTACTTCCCTCTATCCAGGAGTTTCCTAATCAAATCTGGGGAAAACACTTCCTCAATGCTATCATTCACAGCATCGTAGTCATTGTCTTCAAGTAAATGCCCAAGAAGAAGAAGCTCTGAAATGAAAAACAGCCTTCTCCTTGTTTTAAACTTCTGAGCACACACCCTATAGATATCTTCAAACTCTGGTCTTTTGTGAAAATAGAAGAATTCATGTATTTTTCCCTCAGAGTTATCATCTAATCGAGACACGGATTCTAGCACATGTTTCATGGAGACCGTTGCTGCTTCCCTTATTCTACTCCTGGTCTTTTGGTCTTTGAGAAGGCAGAAGTAGAAGGATAAAAGGCCTGGAGCAAATTTTGTAATGAGAGAAGATGGTATTCCATTAAGTAAACGACTATGAGACAAGGGATCTTTCCCGAACATGTCCATTGTTCTTTTCAGTAGATACGCTACAACTTCGGAGGAGCCCAATGGATGTGAAATACTTAGTATCTTGTCTATCTGCTCTTCTAAATCTCCACTCTTCTTGATTATCTCGTATATTCTGCCATCCATTTAGGAATATGGGGAACCAGAATCCAAATCCTAATTTCTCCAACTTCTCGCAACATCAAGGTATGGATCAAGCCGTTCCGGTGATTCTAGAACATCCTTTAACCTTGGAAAATCCTCTAACTTTACGGAGTCCAAGTCTGAAGGATCAATGGGAACAGAGATGATCTCTGTGCTTGGATGTACAGAAAACGGCATCTTTATAAGGTGCTTACTCTTCTGAGTCACTTCCTTATCAATTCTTATGTACATTCTTTCAAACAGTACAGACTCTTCCAGTCCCTCACTTTCGAAAAAAGGAGAATACTCCCTCAATATCTTACTGTATTCCTCAGAATACATCTTTCTTTTAGCCACACAATCATAATATCTCACTATCTCTCCTCTTTCAATATCACTCAACTCAAGAGCTGTATCATCAAACACCCAGCAGTGTACTCCCCGTCTTCCCGAAAACACAAATCCTACATTCTTGAACCCAAGCTCTTGTTTCAATGAATAATCAAGGATCTTCACAGCTACCTTTATCAGCACCAGACATTTGTTGCATATAAGCTTTTTCGAGCAGCATTCCCTGGGGTAGTCGGTTAGGTCAACATCAAAAACTAATTCCTTTCCAACAATCTTTGGAGCATTATGCTTTGTAGGCCTATCTCTGTAGATGGCTCCAACATCAATTCTCTCAGGAACAATCCCCAACAACTTCTTTCTGAATTCATCAGCCGTCCTGAATGTCAGAAACCGGATGTATCCGCCAGATGCCAATCCGAAAGAGACCTCACGGTTCTCATCTATTCGGAGGCATTTGAACATGAGGTCTATGGGAAACAGGGTTCTGTAGTATGTCCGAGCCAGCTGCTGGTCAAGTCCCATCTCAAGGATTAAAACAATATTTTATTTCTATGTTGTACATGCTTGGCCAAATGGATGGACTGCCTCCTTCCAAAAGAAGTTGAATATCTGGACTCCTATCGCTGTAAAGGAAAACGCTAGGAAGCGCTGTACATCTATCTCCCTAGATAAATATACATCAGAGACAACGGCAGAAATACCCGTGACAACGTTAAGCAAGGTAGATCTTTCCACAGTGTCCAGGAATAGAGAAATCTCCGATAGCAAATATGTTGTTAGAACCTCAATAAGAAAAACTATATATATGATCGGAGATGAAATAATTTTGACATAGTTGGACTTTTTACTGAACACTTCTTCTGCAGCATAAAACAAGGAGAAGAAGGTCAGGAAGAATGTATATGTTGTCATATAGCACCAGAATCTCCTGAAATCAACAAGGGCCGGCTTGATCTTGGACTCAAATATGGCAAGGCTGATTGAGTTGAACAGCCCGGACAGAGTTCCAATGAGCATATGGAATGGGATGGAAAATCTTTCTCCAGAGGATATCTCGATAAAGAACCCTCCCAGAATCATCAGTATCCCGACACACTGGGTAGACGAATATCTTGTGCCATTCCAGGCTGTTGCTATAAGTGCTGTGAATAAATATTGAAGATCGGAGGAAATGACGTATGATATTGAAGAGGCTTTATAGTAGTATGAGACCATACCCAGATATCCTCCGATGAAGCTCAGACCTGCAATAATAAATGCGTACTTCATTTTGAAATCAAATGATTGTATATTTAGATATGATATCATCATTTTTGCAAAGCTTGAAACGAGCATCAACAAACCTCCAGCCTTATAATTTACAAGTACCACAACTTTCAAGACAGAAAGTATCACAGCTGCAACTATGTTCAATATTACAAATGCTTCTAGCTTCTTCTTACTCCACATACACCCTCGGGGCTTTATTATTTAGATTTAAACATATCAGTAGATTAGTCCAATACATCAATTGAGTAAGTAGCTGCCGTGAACACCATTAGTGTATCCAGTTTGCACAAGACGGAGTATTTGAGCAATGGAAGAAAATGCGGCATCACAGATTATTTCTCTGGGCGTGATCCCCTTCTGTTTCAGATGTTCTACACCGTGGAGATTGAGGACAGAATCAAAGTTTCCTTAGAAAGTAGCCTAGAAAAGGAAAGAGAGGTTTTTGAAGAGCTGAAGAGAAAATATGTTGGAAGAGTGCTAGAAGATGGTAGTATATGTGTGCTTGTGGTGAGAGTGGCAAATGTTCATGAATATAAGGTGTGCGATGAATTTCTGGTGGCAAGAGTGGAATTTGAAGCACTGCTCTTCAAGTTTTTCAAGTATGAAGTGGTGTGTGGAACGATATTGGAGCAGAATGAGGATGGAATAAAGCTTGGTGTGCCCTTCTTCTCTAGTCTTTTTGTTAAGAAGGGAGACCTACCGGACATGACGGAAAAGGTGCATGTGAGTGATTGTGGAGAAAATCAGCTTGCTTGGGTGTGGATATACAGAGGGAACAAACTGTACTTCAGAAGGAATGCTTGTGTAAGATTCCGAGTTCTAGGCTGTAAGGAGAAGTCATCCCTTGTTTTGTGTAGCCTCGGGGAGGCCGGATTAGGTCCATTGGAATGGTGGGTGTGAGGCTGATGGTCATTGTTTTGGGTAGTGTAAATGAAGTATCTTATGGCCCTTATGGAGAAAGTGAGGCACGACAGTAATGAGAGACTGGACATGATTATAAGAAATCTACGCGAGCTATCTGCAGACCTAGATCATCTCCTACTTTTAGGATCTGATGTCAAGGAATTAGGCAGAAATCTTGACAAGTTCCTGTAACATTTCTGGCTGGAAGGTTGCTTCCTAAGAATAAAGAGTTTTTCCGAAATTAGATAGGATCCCTTGAGTCTGCAATGAAAGTTCAGAAGACCATTGAACTTATCAAGCGGTCCTATGGCCAGCCAATATTGTTCCATAGGCTTCATTGCCACTTAGCCTATATTCTTGGGAAGAGTAACCCACTTCATGAGGTGCTTGACGACTGGTCTAGAATGCTAATCTTCAGTGCAACCCGGAACAGAGGCCAGAACCAAGGCCTTGAAGGAAAGATTCTGTCGTTTCTGAAGGAAATAAGGCCTCCGATGAATGACAAGGAGACTAGGCTGAAACTGTGGATAGTCTTGTACTATATGAGGAGTAGATCCCCTAGCCAAGCAAATCATCTGGTGATTTTTGAGCTTGTCTCTAACTTTATGGGAGACTCGGCCTTTGTGGACGGGCTGATTCTCTCGATACTTTGCGGAGTCATCACCTGTAGTAATTTTGGGCTAGAGAGAAATAAGAAGCTGAGAAATGATACAATTGTTTATTTGCTTGAGGTAATAAAGGGAAAGTCTCTAGATGGACTGAACAGAGCTATAGCTCTTCCATGCTACATAGATCATGGCATCGAGCCTCCAAGTCTTCGGGACCTGAGTATTGGAAATGATGTGCAGACCCTTATAGTTTTGGAAAATGTGTGTTTTTATGCAAAGTATAGTAAATCCGTTGAGTTTGTGAAAAGGATAGTTCCTGACAAGGTGTCTTTTGTTGATTGCTTGAAGAGGTTTATCTCCAGGTCCTTCTGTGTGGATAAAAGAGAAGATTCTGAGTGTACAATTGCAGACGGTGTTATTGAAAGCTTTTCGATACTAGATGACATTAGGAAGGCATATAAAGAGGCCCGGGATAAGAAAAAGTTTGTATCAAAGATAATAGAATTTACGATGGAGTTAGATAAATAGGTGTTTGGTTTAGTTATAAGTGTATGTAAAAAGAGAACGCCCTGGGTGGGACTCGAACCCACAATCTTCTGCTTAGAAGGCAGACGCGTTAGCCATTACGCTACCAGGGCCTGCACGCTACAGGCTCAATACCCAATACCCCAGGCCACTAAAAGAATTCCAAACCCCTGCGAAGCCCTTTATGCGTGAGGTGATAACATTGCAGATCGGTCAGTGCGGAAACCAAATGGGAGGAGAGTTCTGGAAGGTGCTATGTAAGGAACATGGAATATCCAATTGTGGAACCCTTCAGGACGACAGAGATCTGGGGGATAGAAAAGATGTCTTCTTCTATCAAGCAGACGACAATGTATTTGTTCCTAGAGCCATACTTGTCGATCTGGAACCTAGAGTTATATCCCAGGCCTCATCCTTCTTCAACCAGGAGAATATCTTTTTGTCCAATGAAGGAGGAGGTGCCGGAAACAACTGGGCACATGGATACTATATGGGAAAGACTATGGGAAATGACGTGGTAGATATGATTCAGAGAGAGGCCGAGGGATGTGATTCTCTCGAGACATTCTTTCTGCTCCACTCTATAGCAGGAGGAACCGGGTCGGGGTTTGGATCCTTACTATTGGAGAGAATAAGAGAGGAGTTTCCCAAGAAGATAATCCAGACATACTCCATATTTCCTAACAACGATGAGTCTAGTGATGTTGTTGTACAGCCGTATAACTCCATACTAGCCCTTCAAAGACTTATAGAGAATTCTGATTGCATCATTGCTATGGACAACTCGTCACTCGGAAGATATACCCTGGACTCTCTACGTATCGGCACGCCAACCTTCGATCATATCAATCTATTAATATCGACAGTTATGGCAGCATCTACAAGTACTGTTAGATTCCCTGGATACATGTACTGTACCCACCAGTCGATAAACAGTTGCCTTGTGCCCCTTGACCCACTCAAGTTTATCGTTCCATCATACACTCCTTTTCTGTGTGATGAAATGTCCAGGATTGTCAGAAAAACAACATGTTCCGACATCATGCGAAGGCTTCTGCTGCCTAAAACCAGGCTTGCAAGTTATGACCAATCAAAAGCACAATCTGTTGTGTCGATGCTCAACATATTCCATGGAGTTGAGGATTCTGGGGAAGTGTCTAGGACGGTAATGAGGTTTCTTGACAAAGGAATGGTTAACTTTGTTCCATGGATGCCTCCTTCTTTCAATATTGCCCTTGGGAGAAGAATTATCAACAATACAAGCCCAAACAGGATTTCAGGACTAAGTCTTACAAACTCAACAGGGATCTCTTCAATTCTATCAAAGATATCGGGGCAGTTTGACAAGCTTAAGAAGCAACGTGCATTTCTGGATATCTATAAGAGATTTGGTGTCGAGCTCGAGATGTTTGACCAAGGAAAGGAAGTTGTCCAGAAGACTCTTGAAGAGTATCACAAAGCAGAAATGTCAACATATCCAGGTAATTAAGGTATAGTGAAGTAAATTCAATTATTGCCACATTATTTATTATTGTTTATGCTAAGGGACTTAGTGGCCTTATGCAGAAAGGAGGCAAATCCTTTTGGGACCTTTATTCCATCAACGCCCTCGAAGTTCCTCTTTGGTAGTCTATTGAGCATTTCGTCACTCTTTCCTACCATGACAATGCCCTCGTACAGGAATGTAGACACAAGGAGAACAATCTGGTCGTATTTCTTCCACACTCTTTCCCGTGTTGGTGTCTTGATGACACTGACAAATGCTGTTGTAAACTCGTCAAAGACCTGGCCTATAAATGCCTCGTTGACTTCCAAAGGCGAGTATATTACCAGAAGTATCTCATCCAATTTCTTACACATAACAATTCTTTCGTGGGATACCGATATGATGTCCCTGTCCTTTGTGCTCTTCTCCACAATCTTTGCAGCTATATCCTCTTCTTTTGAAAAGATTCTTTTGTAGAGGATCTCTCCTTGGACATCTACCACGACTAAGCCTTCGACATCAAAGAGGCTCATCTAGGGCTTATTCCATCACTTTATTTTGCTGTTTGTTTACCTTCACATCCCTTAGAGATGTTGCATGAGCTAGATTTTATTTCACAAGAGACAATCACAAGCATCTCGTACAATAAGGACCTGCTCGTTTCTTCGTGGAGTGGTGAGGTTATGCTGTATTCCGGAGTTACTTTTGAGGCCAGAGGGTCTGTAGAAGCAGAGACCCCCATCACTAAGGCTATGCTAACACCTGAAGCAGTGATTGCAGGAGACATAGAAGGTAATGTCCGGATTTATGACAGACGTTTGAATGAGATATCAAGGATTTTGAGCGGAGTGGGTGGGATACAACTTCTACATGAGTATAGAGGATGTGTGGTTGCAGGGGGATGGAACAAGAAGATTGCGTTTATTAACGGATGCGTAGAGAATGTAATGAGCACTGAGAAGAAGGTGTATTGTTCGGACTTGATAGGAGACATCCTCCTGGTAGGGCAGCAAGAACATGTTGTGGCATACGACTTGAGGACAAATGCATCTTTCTTCAATAGAAAATTCAATATGGTTGTGAGGTCACTAGTACTGACCGGTAAAGGGTTCTTTGCAGGTACGACAGATGGTAGGATATACTATGAGGATTTTGGAGATGGATCCAAGTCTTATGTATTCAATGCACACTACTCTATATCCGGAGACTCGAAGGTTTTTTATCCTGTAAACTCCTTGAGAATGGGGAAGTATCTACTTTCGGGTGGGTCTGATGGAAGAGTGCTCAGATGGAAGCTTGGAGTCAAAAAGACCTACAAAGAGATTGCTTGTGATAGAACGGGAGTAAGTAGTTTGTGTGTTGCTGGAGAGAGAGTAGCAGTAGGGTTTTCTTATTCATACGATAGGGGGGAGTGTAATACTGCACACAGGAGCAGAGTGGTGGTGGTTGATTTGTAAGGAAGGAGGGATATGAAAGTTTGTCTGGGAATTTCCCAAAGGGTTTATGGATCCTTTACAAGACCCCTCAAATGGACTTGAAAACATTAAAGCAAATCTATCTAGATAGGCTTGCTCCAAGGCCGGATGTAAGATGGGGAATTACAGGGGCGATGTTTGTCCTCTACTGTGTCCGGATATGGACGACAGGGGCCTTCTATCTGATAACATATTGTCTGGGCATATATCTTCTTCATGCACTGATCCTCTTTCTTACACCAAAAGGAGAGATGATTCCGGATCCCTTCGAGAACATTGAGGACGATGACTACATCCCGGAAACCATAGATAATGAGTTCAAGCCCTTCATCAGGAATCTTCCTGAGTTTGACTTTTGGATGTTTGTTACGAAGATTGTTGGAATGGCGTTTATAGGAACATATTTTGACATATTGGATATTCCTGTGTATACACCCATTCTTGTGATTTATTTTATTTTCATGGTTGGATATACTACAAAGCGCCTGATTGCACATATGAAGAAGTACAACTATAACCCGTTTCTCCAAAGCAAGGAGTACTATAAGAAATAAAATACAGTACTTTTATAGACTGAGTTGTTCTCCACCACTGATGCAAAAATACCTCTGGAGGGCCACCCTAGGGAATCTTGAGTGAATGGAGCCAATTAGACTACCACTGAGGCGACACAAGATCGAAGGTGGGGGAGAGTGTAATAAAGAGGTGGAAAGGATAGACCTGAGGAGGTTTGTAAGTATGTTCATCAATCAGACGCTAAGGGAGATGAAGGAAGCACTAGGGAAATTCTACTCGATCTCAGAGACAGTGTGTAGAAGAGAACTGAGCGTGTTTTTCAAGCAGAAGGCTGCAGATTTCGAGTGTCTATTCCTATTCATAAGCGGGATAGAATGTTTAAAAGAGGTCAGCTCGAATAGACACAGAATCAGAAAGATCAAGGGAGTGGACACAGAATATGTGTTGATTGCAGATAGACTTGCACATCTATTTGAGTCTTTCAAGTCTATGATTATACCCAAGAGTGATATCCTTACATCCCTTCAGACGATTTATAATCCTGGATATCTCCTCCCAAAGCTTACGGGAGACTGTGCCAAGCATGAAGTAACAAGTTTTGAGGAGATCAATAGGATCACCAGGATGTATCTGGATAAGGAGGACCTATCTATGTATAATAGCATTGCAATCGAGCAGGGGATAGCCATTTTGTCATCCAAGTTTTTTTCATTTAGCCTTGCCTTGTGTGGGGAAATATCAAGGCCAGAGTGGAAGCTGATAAATGTCAAGGGAGGCAACGAGGTCTTCAGTAGGCATTTGCTGTTTGCCATGCCTCACAGAATAGATAAGATCTCGAGGTTTCTGCGGATTTACGAAGCGCATACTAAGGCAAGGGAGATATTCCTGATGGTAAAGAAGTCTTCCAATCATATAGAGATGAATATACAAGGCCACTACAGAAGATTTGAAGTATCCTTCCATGTGTTCAGGATGAGTGTGAATGTGGAGCGCTGCGACATCAATGGAAAGATGTTTATAGAAAACGATGTGCTTCCTTCTGGAGAGGATGTGGTACAGTCGTTTGAAGACAAGGTTTCCAAGTATCTTTGCAAGGATGGGAGAAATGCTTCCTTTACCTTCAAAAGAGGGTTTACAGCCTTTGATGGAGAGGAGAGCCGATACTTTAAAAGCTTTGTGGAATTGGATGTGTTTCTAGGGAAGAAGGAGGAAAGCTCTCGGTTCTACAGATTCTTTGAGGAAAGGTTTCCCTGTTATAGAAATCATAGGAAAGGGATATTTGGGGACAGAAATGTTTTTATTATGCGAGACGGGCTTTTTGTATGTATCCGACTGGTAAGACTTGGAGAAAGCCACATGGAGGTTAGGGTATTTGTTGGATGCTATGACCTTGTGGATTTTCTAAGCTATACAGAAGTTAGTATGGAAGTAAAAGATAATGGGGAGATTGTAGGGATTATAAATGAGAAAGAGAAGAAGCAACCGAGTCTCAAGATAGAGTGCCTACATGAATACTTTGAGAGAAACATGGATCTTTTACTTCTTTCCTATAGATTTCTTTCTGTGGTCAATGGAAGGATTAGTATTGAAGGGAGGGTGTTGTTGAGCCACAGAACTAGAAATGAGGAGATTGATATTTCTGTAGAAAAGAAAGAAGGAGGGGTTTTTATTGCAACCTCCCGATTTGGAGAAAGGATGGCATCTTCAGAAGGTATTTATAACTGTGTCGCCTTTGCCTTGCTTTTGATGGATATCCTCACGTATTCAAAAGGCTTTAGTCTGGTGAATGTCATTTCGATGGATCTTTACAAAGGAGTATCATTGAGGATTTCTGGGCTTCTTGTTACTCTTCGGATGAATTCTGAGGGGCATCTTGAATCAAGTCCATTGGGAGTAAGTTATATATTGAAAAACTGCTCTGTTTTGGGCATTATGGATCTTCTATGCTGCTTTCACGGGCTTTTTTCCAATGGGCTTATACCCACAACCTCCACCACGACAAGCCTGGTGTTTGTATTCAGACATCTATTTAAAGGATCTGTAAAGATGAAAATGATTGATAGAACTAAATACACCCTCTCTCTAAGTGGAGGAAGAATAAAAGATGCACTTGGAGGATTTGGGCCAGAAATACTAACCTCAGACACTGTTTTCCTTCGCAAGTTATCTGGATTCTACTTCAAGGAGAGGATTAATATGATAACTGATGTAGCCAAGAAAAGTTACAGTGTAACTATCAATGAAAATGAAGTGAGTGTTTCAACACCTTGTGGAGATTTCAAGATTTCCATTGAAGGCGGGAGGTACATATTTCGAATCTGCTCTATTAACATGGCAGAACCAAGCGATGAGTTCACACAGACCATAAGTAAATACTTCGGAGAGATCATGAGTATAGAAAAGTATATTTCTGACTCTATGAGGTTTCTAAACAGCATAGACGAACTCATCAAGCTATTTGATAGTATTAGAACAAAGAGAAAAAGCAATTACAATGGCCAGATTTATTAAACACCCTATCTAGAAGATGCTCTGTTCATCCCTGGTTACAGACATGATCTATGATATCTAAACTTATTTATTTACACCTCTTCAATGCTGTTGACAGCCAGAGTATCAAATGTATTTCTCCTGCAGAATAGAATATAAAAAATCGAGCCAATGAACGAAAATATAAGGACAACAGCCAGTGGGAGAGCAACAAGAACCATCTGGGGGCCGACACCAAGGACAAGGCACACCGTTAGGAGTGTTACTAGCATGCTGATATGGGCAGTGAGAACCCTTTTCCATCCAAGGACCTCCTCATTTTCATCTTCTGATGCCGTTTCAAGGAGTGCAAAGAAGTCGTTCTGTGTTCTATCTATTTCAAACAGAAAGTCATCATCGGCATCCAGCGTGTTTCTTCTGAAATACTCTCTAACCTCCGGCTGCATCAGAAAGTCGTCATCCGAAGCAAAGTAGTTGGCACTGTATAGCACGCTTCTTTCAGGAGGAATTGCCTTTGGTATGCTTATTATACCTTTTTGGATCTTTTCTATTATCTCTCTTGGGTTCTCCTCGACACTATTTATCTTTAAGGATCTATCGTTCGCATCAAGACTATCCCTTGACTTATGACATCTCTTGCCATCTTCAGACGCCTCTTCTATCTTATGCCTGAACACCTGGGAAAATGCCTTTTTTGTAACCTTTCCTTCTACTTTGGTTTCAATGAAGAAATACTCAATCAATGCCCTATCAACTTCTTGCGGTGGTATTTTGTAATAATACACTTGCCCCAGTATGTACATGTTATTAAGGGGATTACGAACCTTCATTCTATGCAGTAGTCTTCTATCCGACTCGAACCTGAACAATATCCTATTCAACTCGGATGCGGCATAGTAGAAGTTGTATATAATGCTTTGGTCATCAGGGTCTGGCGTTGTGACCCTTGCAAGTATGAAGTCCTTATTCTTTGACCGACAATCCAGCACTATTGCCTTGAATTCCTCTAAAGTAAATGTCTCGACCGTGTTTGCATCCAATACATCCAGCTCGTCGCCCTCTCCATATGCCAAGTTATTTGGACCTCCAACTATTCTGATCTTAGACGGTATTCCCTTAGATCTTTCATACAGATCTGGTGTCTCTTTTGCCATCCGGCTTGAACTTGTTTGTAAACAAATAAAAATAATATTTGCCCGATATCACTAAATTAAAAACAAGGTGTGACCTTCGCTTACGATCCATGCTCTTGTTCCGGGGATTGTCCTCACTTGTGACTTGAGATACCGTAAGCCTTTTATTTGCTGATCTGAAACAGTTGGTAATAAAAGAACCTTTGCGATAAACAAAAAATGCCTGCATTCAAAGAGAACATGAAAACCTATACATTCAAGGTAGTGGTTCTGGGGTACTACTCTGTGGGCAAAAGCAGTTTGGTGCTTAAATACGTCAAGGGGGAATTCAACCCCAATGAGGAAAGTACGATAGGTGCATCCTTTCTAACAAAGACCATATTCACCCAGGAAGGAAGTATTAAATTTGAAATATGGGACACAGCGGGACAAGAGAGATACAATAGCCTGATTCCCATGTATTACCGTGGTGCACAGGTGGCCTTGATAGCATACGATATAACTTCTATGGAAAGTTTTGAGACTGCAAAAAGATGGGTCGAGGAGCTTAGCTTTGAGAAGCCGAAGGAGTTCATTAAGGTTTTGATTGGGAACAAGTCTGATCTAGAAAGTGACAGAAAGGTGGAGTATCAGAAAGGGAAAGAATATGCAGATAGCCAGAATCTGTTGTTTTTTGAATCAAGTGCAAAGACAGGTAAGAACATAGCTGAGATATTCAATGCAATTGCAGAAAGAGTCCCTAAAGAAGAGGCTAAGAAGAAGACAAAAGGATTCAGACTAAAAGACGATTATATAAAATACCTTTGCTGCTGACATTTATTGGCCTTTAAACATTCATTATTTCAAGAATAGACCTTTTGAATCTTATATAGGCATCTGCCGATTCACACTTTTCTGTAAATCCACCCTCATCTAGCGCCTCGCATAGCAAAGGGTCTACAGGCAATCTACATACAAAAGGAATGCCCATTTCTTTTGCAAGTCTTTCTCCTCCCTTGGACCCAAATATGTTGGTGAAGCTTCCACAGCATTCACAACAATATCCACTCATGTTCTCAATCAATCCGAGAATCTCGATACCATTCGAAGTACAGAAATCAATTGCTCTGGAAGAATCCTCAAGAGATATATTCTGAGGGGTGGTAACAATCAGAGTACTAATATCCTTCCCGATTAGAAATCCATGCTCCTCAGATATCCCGGGCGGCATGTCAATAACCACATTGCTAAATCCGTCAATAGATTCGTAAAACATTGACAGGACGGACATTTTTTTTGGACCTCTCCATATCACTGAATCATCATCTTTCATAAGTAGTGCCATTGAAAGTATATATAAGCTCTCAGTCACTTTTGCCGGGATCAATCCCTTTTCTCCCTTGAAGATGTTTTCTCTAATCCCAAACCCACTAGTTATGCTTGGTCCACATAAGTCAAAGTCTAGAAGCAGTGTCTTTCTTCTTTCAGACATCATTGTACTAAGCATTATGGAGATAGAGCTCTTCCCGACTCCTCCCTTGCCACTCATAACAGCTATCATTACCATTTCAGGGGTTATCCGTACACCGCTCCATCATTTGTGTTCTTCAGATTCATTTTCAGTATCCAATGCCAAACTCTCCACAAAGACCTTTTCCTTCTTTCGTGTCCTAGGCAACTTCCTTGTCTTCGATGCAGGAAGCAATATCGAAGATGGCTTCCCGGTGTTGTGAGCACCAGGACATGCAGAATCACAGAACCTGACCTTCTTTCGGTGCCTCTTAGTTACAGGCTTTGGAAATTCATTACTTCCGACAAACACAAGAGTAACATATCTATATCCAGAGTTCTTGATGGTGTTCCTTTCAATAATTTTTTTAGTTCCAATCCTCTTCTTTTCTATCTTGCCATTGAAATCCTTCTCACCTGATGTCTTTCTTCCGTTTTTTATTTGATATCCAATCGATGCTTTTCTCTTTTCACTAGAGCCATCCACAACCTGTACCAAACCATTCTCCCATGGCTTTCCACCTTTTAGAAACTCGAACTTCAGTTCAGCCTCATTCTCAGAAGATCCTCCCATTCCCCTTTTGCTTAGTATGTCGTCTCGAAGCTTGATGTTGTTCAGCAATGAATATTCCTTGTTTAAGAGATACATCTCTATCTCCCTCTTAGAAGGACTTCCTATGAATATCTCATCCATCGATTCCTTCCCCCACTTCCTCATTTGTTTTATTCCCCTTTCCCGTCTCCTGCCTGAAGAAGCTGTGGATAAGAGTGGAATTCTCTTTCCCCAGAACCAGCTCAAGACGCTCCATTGTGCAAAACACAAGGTCTTTCAGGTTTTTGAAATATCTTCTGACCTTCAGAATATTAAACTGCGTTATCCCAGGAATACTAAGTAATATCTCACGGAGCACAGGATCCATCTTAGATCCTTCGGAAATACTTGGCACTTCCTCCTTCTTCTGTAAGTCTCTTATCACCTTTGCAGAAAACAGCCTCGATTCAGACCAGATGATCCGAAGCGTTCCGAAATTAAATAGAAGCAAGGCAAGCTTCGCTGCAATACTATTTTTAAACGTGTCCTGGTCGTAGCGGTAATGATCAGATAAACACGGCCGTCCATCGAATTCAAGAAGGAGAATAGGACTTGGGTACCTATGACACATCATACTGGCTTGTAAGTAGAGTCTGCCTGTGCCCAAAGATGATGTGAAATCGGGAATGGATTTTCTTTCGATACAGATTGTAGGACTTATCAAGTAGTCCCCAATCGCCAGAGTAGAAACGCATATCTTATTTCCTGCCTTGAACAGAAAGAAAGGAAGCTCGGCTCTCAGCTCTCTTGAATCAATAACAACTCCATAGGCATTATCCAGAGGTTCGTTTTCTTCCAAGTCAATCACCTCCTCTACATCATCCAATCGCAGAGGAAGCCTTGTTTTCTCTTCTATAAGCTTTTCAAAGGATGCCTTTTCTCTTCTTATCTCGCTTAAGTATCTTTGCTCCTCCAGGGACTCAGAATGCATCAAGAAAAATACCTTAACAGAATGCATTGTTCCATATCTTTCTATCTTCCTAACACTGCCTTGCCCGGATTCTACAAAGATCACATTCTCATAGTTCTTTTCATAATACTTGAACTCATAATGGGTCATAATCTTTATTGGCCCGTCCTGCTTCTCAGGATACTCTTCAGAGGCAAGTCCAAATACAACAAGAGTCCTTGACACCATATTCCTCACTACACGGTTGGAAACTAAGACTATGCACAAAGTTTTCCCTACCTCCTCCAGGATTTCCACCAGTTTCTTGATCTTTGGATTCAAAGCATAGAAGGCTCTTAACCTGGCATTACAGAGCCCAGCTAGATATTCCAACTCGTCTTTATCAGCTCTAGCCTTCTTCTCTTTTCTCTCTCCTTCAACTAGATATTCAGTCTTCTCAATCGCCTCCCAAAAGTATTCTCTTGCCTCATCCACTAACACATGAGAGATCGGTAGATTGATCCATGTGCTATCCTTTCCTAATTCCATTTGTTTCTTTACAATCTCCTTGGTGTATTCATAAAATGTTCCTGGATCACAGGAGAACAATAGAAAAACCAAACCTCGTATATCATATAGATCCTCCATTATCCTATTGTTCGTAATATTCATCTGCTTGAATATTTTGCGAACACTTCCGAATATGATGGTTTCTGCATCCACCTCTTCCCTCACAGATCCTTTGAACACCATTCTCAAGAGATTGCTGATTATTTCTAAAAGAACCACTTGGAGTTGGCTCCTCCTTTCCGACATCTTGAACTTAATCTCAACAACATCTGTGTCCCTCTTCAAGGACTTCTCCACCAGGAAATGGAAGCGTGGAAAGAAAATGGCCTTTACCAACTTCAAGCTCTTCATTTTCCTGTCTAGCGGAGAGAACCCAAGAGAGAGAGGGACAGGCGATTCCGAAAACCCTTTTATAACTCCCAATTTGTTCCTGGACCTGAAAAGATGGGCAATAAATGCTTCTGATGATGTCTCAGTGATACTCTCAACATTATTGACAAGGATTGAGTCTACCTTCTCAACATCAATCGTCCCATCGATCATATCTGCAAGAAATACGCGGTTGCTTGCAAAGAACACACCTCCACGGAGATATCTCTCTCTCCTTTTTGTTCTATGCAGAGACCTTACATCCTGAAGGAAAGGAGACTCCATTTTTAGAAGTAGAGACTCATCCTCATTGCTAAAGTTCACCAGAAGTACAAGACTATTCCTACAAAGATATTGCTTTATTGTCTCGCGAATGATTCCTTGGATGTTCAGGCCACCCCCCATCACAAGGAGACAGCTCTGGCCCCTGCACTCTCTCAAAGCTTCCTCCTCGTATTCCAGAAGCATTTTGGGATTGGGAGATGGAACGCTGAAGAGGGAGATATTTTCAAGCCCTAAACCAATGGATACCGGCCAGTGTGATGAAGACACAAAGGATTCGCATCCAGTCATGCTGTCGGAGGCAAGGTATTTGCTCGAAGGACAAAAAGAAAGATTTAGAGCAGATTTTAGATCGAATGCATCGAAGATATTTAGGTCAACATTAGGATACCTGGATGAATTCTGCAGAATCAAAGATAAGTCTGTTGCCGAGGATCTCCGCACAACCTTTTCTGGGTTAGGCTTCAGTGAGCTTGAAATAGCCTTGCTTGGGTCCTTGTTTCCTCAGTCTGTTGAGGAAGCCAAGACCCTTATTCCATCTCTGGCCTCAAAGAGTGATGATGCCATTGGACAGGCTGTAGAGAAGATACAACAGCTGACCTGATGAGGCTTTAGAGATGAAGGCATGCCATTATTAAACCTTTGAGCTTTGGATTACTAACATGTCTAAATCCTCAAGCACTTAGCCAGCCCATGAAAGATGAAGGCTGGGAGCCTCTTTGCACTGAGGAGACAGTTGATTTGGAAAAGACCCTACATAGTGGACAAGTGTTTTCATTCAGACAGACAGACGAGAAGGAGTATACTGGAGTTCTTGGGACATGCCTTGTAAGCTTTCTTCAGGATGGGAATAGAGTTCTCTACAAAGTACTGAATGGAGATAAAACTTCAAAGGAAATTGAGCTTGAGATCACCAGTTTCTTTACATTGGATGTCAAGCTTTGTCCTCTCCTTCGAAGGTGGAGACTTGACCCTAATAATCTCTTGGTTGGACTGAGAGCTCTCAGATATAACTTGATTCCGACGATTTTTTCATTCATCTGCTCTTCGAACAATAATATTGCCAGAATAACTCGAATGGTTGGATTTCTTTACTCAAAAGGAGAGTTTATCATGAAGTACAAGAATGCTGACTTTTACCACTTTCCAGATCTGGAAAAGCTCGTAGATATTGAGGAGGAGTTGAAGTCCAATGGATTTGGATATAGATCTTCGTACATATGCAATGCAGCAAAGTATCTCCTGAAGAATCGACTGGACCACCAGCAAGCATCTAGAATCAGAGAGATGATGGTTTCTATCAAAGGAATCGGATATAAGATAGCAGACTGCATTCTATTGATAGGAACCGGGAATCTAGATGTTGTCCCAGTTGACACACATATTTTTAAGCATTCCAAGAAGATGTTTGGAATCAATGAAAAAGTGCTTTCTCAGAAGACATATGGCATTATACAGGACTTATACAGAAAGAGGTTTGGAGAATATGCAGGCATTGCACAGCTTTATATATTTAAAGGAATGATTGACCTAAGGAAAAAAAGTAAGAAGGAAAAGCCAAGCAGCCTTGAAGCATGCTGCTGAGTGGCACCGATACTGAATGAAAAGAAGGTGTGGAATCCCCTTGATGAAATGGGATGTGGATAAAGAGGATGATGTTAATGAGCCTCGAGAGGAAGTGAAAAGGGTCAAGAAGGCTATTGAGGGTATGGATGTCAAGGCTGTGAGGCCTGGAAAAGTTTCATTGAATGCAGAGGAAAACGGGGTCAGGGGCCAAGATCTAAACTTCAGGAGGCAAGTGAAAAGGAGGGTCAATGACTACAAGTACAAAGCCTTTTACAACATTGGGAAAACAAAGCGACCATATGTATTCACACGTAACAGTGTGGTGATGATGATAGAAGAAGAACTAGGGGTAGAGATTCTTGTCAAGGGAAGCTATAAGCCGGAGGAATTGAATGGAGACACGGACGATGAGGATGCACTGGTATATGAGATTTCTGCAGAAACACCTGAAATTCTTCAAGAAGCTATGGCTGGACTTCCATCGGCAATCAATGCAATACCTCCATTTCCATGGAACTCATCTAGTATCATTGGAAGATACATCTACAGAAATGGTGCCAGGCATCGTTTGCACAGGGTCATCATAGACAACGAATTAGCTGAGAAGAAAATAAATGAGATCCGTAAAGATATAGAGACCACTAGTGTTGATAAGTCTGTAGAGATTAGTATTCGAGGAAGATTTTCTGGTTATATAGAGCCGTGCTTTGGGGAAGAGTCAAATGGGCCCACATATATCCAAATAGTAGCAAAGACTAAGAGGGAAATAAAAGAAGCAAAGAATATGTGTGTTAAGATTATCGACAAGCACAGAGAAGATTTCAGAAATGACTGCTCAACCTCTTTACAGACCGACGAGTCCAGGAAAATGATTTGATATTTAGATTGGAATTCTGAAACAATATTACTATAAAGGTAGTTTGTTTATGGGACTAGTCCAATGGAGAATGATGTGCTAGAGATGGTTCTGAAGGGCTGTTCTAGAGTTGTATTTGATAGCGATAGAGGAGGTCTACCTTCATCCAGCCTTGATACAGAAACGGTGGAAGTTTTTACTTTAGAGAAATTCAAAGACCTGATCGTTTCTCACATAAAGGAAGGAAAGGATTTCATAATTGCTGAAGTGACCACAAGGGATCCCTTGACGGAGTCTGTTTTCAGAAGCTACTACTCTGCAATTGAATTGAATAGGATTCTTTTCTGTGTTGAAGGTAATAACAATCCTTTATACAGAGTAACTGCCAGGAACCCAATAAACAACCTTAGGATCACTGGAAAGGTTTTTTATTACAAAATAACATGGAGGACTTTGTCTGATGTAGTGAAGTCAAGGGAGTGCGCTTGCGATAATGAAATGCTGATCAAAGCAAACTATTTTGCCAATGATGAGGACCTTCTTTTTGACCCATCTATTAGAGGATATTTTGCTAAGAACCTTATTGAGGAAGGATACTTTGTGCATAGGCTTGAACAAATGGAAAGTTCGATGGTGATTTCCGAAGATCTGCTAGAGAATTATCGCGACGATAAGTTCGGTCTTAAGATTATACTTTATACAAACATAGGGACAATACTAGTTATCTTTGGCATGTGTATACTTCTTGGGTCTAAAGAGGCATTTATTGTTGCAATGGCACCTCTCTCGATGACCCTCCTCTTCTCAATTCTCTTCCTAATCCTCTATGTCTTACTTTTTGAGGCACCTGACGGCTTTTCATCGATATTCAACTTTAGAAAAAGTAGACTTAGTTGAGGCCTATTAATTAAATCCATATTGATCAACACGAAGCTTCTCCAAGTACATAGATTTGATACCAGTGCATTTATTTTTTCTTTTTTACTTTCTTCTTCCTGACAAGATTAAGCTTATTTTCAACATACACACCGTTTTGGACGACCCCTTGCACAACCTTTCCACTAGATTGCTTTTCCTTCGGGAGATCTTTGTTTCCTTTTGAGTTGGACCTCATCTCTGCAATTGTTTGGCTCACCCCTTCAATAACAAGCACCTTTCCATACTCCTTCTTTATCCGGAACCTTCCACCATTGAAGAAGTCATTTGGATGCCTCTTTGATGCCTCGTCAACATGCTCGATCTCAAGCTTTTCCAAAGCATTCTTGATCTCGTGATACCTTGGCCTTTGGACACAGATCTCCTTCTTGTATTTTCTTCCTTCAGAAAGTGACCTTCTTGAGTCCATGTGTATGGGATACAAGCAGAAGTACTTGGTCTCCATCAAGGGGAGATTTTCCAGAAAAATATATTACGTCTTTGCCTCTGCCACTTTCATTGCATCTCCAACTCTACACATTATCTGGCCTTCATTCATCCCATAAATCTACTTTGTTTATACCCTTTAATGTTGTTGAAGTCATTGGAACCTTTCTTTGGAATACCATCAGCACCAAATACGATAATATACAACACCTTCTGGCTTGCAGCTTTGACATTTCTTAATATTTTCTACATAAATGAACACCATGTTAAGATTGCAAGACATATCACAAAAAAGATAAAAAACATCTTTATTCAGGCTCTTGCCCTATGCTTTCTGAACAGCATTCCAAAGATAATTCTGATGGTTAATCTATATAGAACCTCCTCCATACAGGTGTTTGCATCGGCCATTTCGGGCACCACACAGATTTCAATGGCAATATCGCTTGCCCTTGTATTGATACTTGCCAAGACAAACTGCTTCGTTCATCACATAAGCTTCTACAAGGACATTCTCTTTCTCGAAGCCTCACACCTGTTGTTGTTGATCATGTTTACAAATACAACAGACACTCTGACTGCCCCTCTTATGGCCCTGGGCGTGTTTTCCACATTTCTGTTCAACACCTTCTCTCTTCCTCAATACATTTCACAAGCGTCAAATAATGACGGCCAAGAGATCATTTCCTCAGAAACCCAGCCTCCGTCAACATCTCTTGTACTGTATCCCCTTAGATTTGTATTCAACCTAGTCTTCCTAGATCCATCTCATCTGTTTCCATCGTCTTCAAAAAAGACACCGTACACCGTAGCGCTTTCTCCGATAATCAACTTTCTAATTGGAGCATTATACTTTCGAATGAGGATGGGACGTTTTGAGCTTCTTCTTTCCCTTATGTGTTCTTTTCTTGTGGGTCTACTTCTATACATGATGGTAAGAAAGAGGATTCTCTCCACAATCTCATGTCTGTACAGCCTGGCTGCATCCATACTCTTCTTCTCAATAATAATGGAGAGTTTTATAAACTTGGCGACGCATGTGAGTAGTGCAACTGGGCTAGGTATTCAGTTTCTTTCAGGAACATTTCTGTCATTGCAGTGTAACCTGATGGAGATCGTAACCTGTCTTAATTATAATGGAGGCGAGATGCTTGTCATATCATCCTGTTCCATCCTCTACACACATATGTACAACATCCTTCTCTTTTTCCCTGTCACCAAGCTACTTTTAGGGAAAACCGGGGCCTATGCACAATCCCATAATATTTCGAATGCTCCTTTTGTATACTTCTCGTATGTATTCATACTTGCAGAAATCAAGGTCATCTTTGTGAATTATCTTCTTAGACATCACAAGTTGACAAAGGACCTTGGGTATACGCTCATAGCAATATACGTGTTATTCATAACTGGATTCGCCATAGAAGGCAAGAGTCATCTTTGTAAATAAACGTACTTCTAGGAACGATTTCTGTTTGTGGAAATAAAGAAGACCGGTTTAATTAGTAGATCTTATTGCAGATGCATCGAACTTCTTGATAAATCTCAGCCTCTCCTTCATCTCTTCCTCACTTAGCTTAAGCTCTGTTCTTCCTACAAACAGGGGCTCGTCGAGAATAGCTTGTACAGCATCACTGTAGAACAACTCTTCAAGGTCGTCATGGGTCACAATCTTGTTAGGAAGTTTGAATCCAGGCGTAAGCTCGGCTTCTCTCTCAACTCCTCCAAATATCTTGTCCAGCTTCTCAAACGCACTTTCTGTCCAGATAATAAGTCTTCCAGCCATTCCTCCAGGTGCAAGCTCAAGAAGATCCAGGCTATCGATACTCATCTGATCTACCCCTCGGATGTTCCTGAATGCAAGCAGCTCAGAGGATTCCCCGTGGACGATTAGTATCCCTTTCCTCTGTGTGTATCTTCTGTTCCTCATCTTTCCCTTACCACATCGCACCCCTCTGCTGTTCTCTACCCTCTTCAATTCTTCCTTCATGTTCAAGTTTTTGAGAATCTGCAGTGCATCCTTGGTCTTCTTTACCTTGGAAAGGTCATCGGAAACAATAATCGGAAGCATCTTCACATCAGATATCCTATGCCCCCGGGCTTCAACAAGAGATGTCTGTGCTGATGCTGCAACTGCCATGGCCTCAGCTATCTTCTTGGTATTCTCCACAACCTTTCTTGCCCATCTCCTATGAGTCTTCGTAGGATGTGCCATCCTTCCCTTGCGACAGAAGTTTGCAAATGCTCCCTGCCCAGCCCTTCTCGTTCCTCCCCCCTTCACTCTTGGCACACGAGCAATAGCTCTCCCAGTTCCCCATGACTCTGCAGAGTGTTGCATACCTGCATACTTAGACACAGCATACGGCTGTCGAGTCTTCATCCTGTACAGAGAATACGTCTTCAGCACAAGATCTTGACGTACAGGCGTGGAAAACACTTCGGGTAGGTCCAAGGTCTTCTTCACAGTCACTCCATCAACTTCGTAGCAGTTGATCTGTTGCTTCATTTCAAGCCCTCAGAGCAAATTTTTTTTAAATCCTAAGATTTTCGAAGTGAAGCCTGCTCCTAAGTTTGGATGTAAATTGCTTGGTACAGCCTTCATGCTTCTTTCACAGGTGTTTCCTTTCTGTTTGTAGGCCTGCTCAGATTTATTGCCTTTGAAGCATCCCCCACCTCATGGCTTATGCAGGATGGTTGAACGGAGAAGAGGAGTGGCTCATAAGAAGAACACGAAGGAAGTCCTCGTCAAAAGGCTCGCAGAGAATCATCAAAGCAAAGAACTTGATAGCAATTGCAAATAACCTATATGTCAGAAACGAGCTTGGAAAGTGTGTGGAAATACTTAAGGAGGCAATATGTCTTATGCCGAGAAACCCTCATCCATACTTCACTCTCGGACTTATTTTTGAGGAGAAGGGCGAGATACCAAAGGCATACTACTGCTTCTTTGTTGCAGCACATCTTCAGAAAAACAACTATGGGCTTTGGAGGAAGCTCTACGACTACTCAAGGCAGCTTGGATACAATAGAGAAAGAATATACTTCATTGAGGTTCTACAAAGAAAGGGAAACAAAAGAGAGATGGTGGTGGAGAAGATGAGCCTTTATGGGGATGACAAGTTCAAGGAGCTGAGTTGCAAAATAGAGTTGTTTGAGTTTGACGGTGTTGATGATAAGATTTTCGATGAGATTCATGAAAGGATAACACACAAGGCCAGGCTTGCACGGCTTGCAAAGAAACTTCTTGGCCATCTTAGAAAGAACGAAGACTCATGCTCTGACTATTACATCAAGCAGCTAATCATTCTGAAGTATGAGGCTTCTGACTTTGCAGACATAAAGATGCTGTTCAATAGATATCTGCTTAAGAGAAACGTTGAACTTTGTATAAAGCTCAGGGTGATACACATAATGGCATGTTTGTATAGTGGCAATGATGGTGAGGCTAAAGAATGCGTCAGAATCTTCACTGAGGACGACAAGATATGGTCTGAGATTACTGACATTGATCTTCTGAAGCATCTTGTAGATCTACTTATAGAGAGTGACATGGTTGATGAAGTGACGAAGCTGCTAGGGAGGATAAAAAACAGCTTCAACGGTCAGAGGGAGTTCGTATATTGGAAGCTAGGAAAAATGCTCGATGCCAAAGAGAGGTATGACGAGGCACTTCTATACTATAAACTAGTGCTTGAAACCAATCCTGGAAATGATGATGTTAAGTCACGTATTCACTTGATATATACAAAGCAGGGAAACCACGAGTTGGCCAAGAAGTATGAAACGATTGCACAGCTCATTGATATTGTAGATGGAAGAAACAAGAAAAGATGTGCATACTCTCCAGAGATGTGCATGAATACAAGATCTCTTTATGAGAACACTAAGGCCCTTAGGGACGATAGTGAAAAGTTCATTGAGTCTAACAGGGTCTTGGTCGATGACTTCTTGAAGAACAGGTTTGTCTTTGAAAGAAGGAAGAAAAGAGCTTCTGCAGGAGCGGGACTGTGTAAGCAAAGACACATTGATAGTATAGGAATGCTTGAGATAAGAAATGAGGGGAAAGCTATGAAAGAGGGAACTTCTGAGGGGTTTAGATTTGTTGACCTACATGGACTGAGTGTTGACGAGTGGTTTGATGTTATTTCTGGGCAAATATTTTCTCTTCTTTCTGTTTCTTGCACCTCGGAAGCAATGTCGTTATTGTTCAGGTCTCTGGAAGCATACATCTTCAGACACAGAAGTGACATAATCTTTAAGCTTATTTTCACAGGTTTAAAGGCATCCCTGATGTTCGGGGAGTTCGGGGATTTTATCTCTTTAATAAGAAATGCGATATGCCACACAGGAAACTATTCATATGCATATCTGCTGTTCTACTTCAGTAACTTCTTTATGAGCTTCCAAAAGAGCAGTGACTTTTCATATTTCCAGAAATACCTTCAAAGGGTATGCAGGAGAAAGCTCAAGATTTCCCTGAACTCCGAGGACGAGATGATCTCTGAGTCTTCCGAGAATGAAACAATGGGAGAAAGGGAGAATGTAGGCAACCATGCAAGACCGCATGAAGAGGCATACAAAGGAGACGTCTCAGGAAGGAAAGCTGTAGGTGTGACACATTTTTTGTTCCTGAACTCCCACATTCCAAATCTTTTACAATCAAAGACCGTCGAAATGATATCCTCTCTCGAAATGGAAGGCAGCCCATCGGAAAGTGTAATTCTTGCCTCGATGTTCCTTATTCATTCAAAGTCTAGAAGAGTAAGTGACAGAAGCATGTTTATAAAGAAAGGAATATCTATACTCAAGAGGCTAAAGGAAAGGTCAAAAGGAGAGGATTCATATGCAATCTCCTACAACATTGGCAAGGCTTACCAATTCTTCGGGTTTCCCGGCCTTGCTGAGAATTTCTACATGGAGGCCTTGGGTACGTCCAATCTCGAGCTCCGAAGGCTTGTACAATTCAACCTGTATCTAATATACAAAAAAAACAACACAATGCAAATATTCAAGGACATCCTTGACAACGATGAGATGGCTTCATCCTTAAGTAAGCCCTCATCTGTTTTATTTATCGCCCCTGGATGAGTGAATGCCAGATACTTAATGTATGGAAGGACAATCTTCGTAGTGAGATGAGAAGGATATCTCAGCTGGTAAACACATATAATTATATAAGTATGGACACTGAGTTTCCGGGTGTTGTCGCCAAGCCTATTGGAAGCTTCAAGTCACCCTCTTCATTTGCATATCAACAGCTAAGATGTAATGTGGACATACTGAACATCATCCAGCTAGGGATATCTCTGAGTGATAGCCAAGGCAACAGGCCATGCCCCATAAGCACATGGCAGTTCAACTTTGCGTTTAGTCTTGAGACAGATATGTATGCACAGGAGTCGATCGATCTTCTCATCCAGGCAAGAATAGACTTTAAGGAGCATGAGAGAAGAGGAATCAAGGTGGAAGAGTTTGGAGAGGTGCTGATGACTTCTGGACTTGTCATGTCTCCGGATGTTATATGGGTCTCTTTCCATTCAGCCTATGACTTTGGATATCTTATAAAGATTCTGACTTGCAATCCTCTTCCAGAGAGAGAAGAAGACTTCTATAGATTCCTTGCAGCCCTGTTCCCAGACTTCTATGACATAAAGTTCCTAGTGCAGAACAGCAAATATCTGAAGAAAGGGCTACAGGAGATATCCAATGACCTTGGGCTTGTGCGGGATGGAATCCAGCACCAGGCAGGAAGTGATGCACTTCTAACATCTCATGCATTTTTCAAAACTAGAGAGGTTCTTTTCAACAAAAACATCGGAAAAGAGCTTATGTGTAAACTGTATGGTATTGAAGTCAAGGAGTCCTCATGAATTGTAGAAGATCTAGCGAACCGGTTTATTAAAAGCCTAAACTTTCCTCATCACTTAGGTTGTTGTTTGTCTCTGTATCTATCTTCTCTTTGGTTATAGGGATAGCATACTTCTTGACATAGCTCCTAACAATCTCGTTATACTTCTCTCTGTTGGTCAAATACATAGAACCAGCTTCACAATTCAAGGGGTCTGCTGCGTTAGGGTAGGACAGAAGCTGGGGGAGAAGGATGTCTACAATGTTGAGGAGGTCATATATGGGGGACCATATCTGGTTGAGGACATCAAGGCATATGGAACCACTTGCCTCGTCTACATTTGGGTGGAATATTCTAGTTGTGAATCCTATTGAAGGGCTTTTGAATGGGTAGTTATCTGGAAGGAGTATGTTGATAATGTACTTTGCACCACTGTATGGTGAGTCTTCTGGGCCGTTGATCAAGACTTCCATCTGTGTATGCCTCCCCTCAATCATCCTGACTTCATAGTTCGCGTTATAAAGCTTCTGGATCTCGTTCTTTATCCTTGGGTTTAGATTGACCATGTCTGTATTCTTACGTGACTTTATTGTGGCTGGATCACATTTTTATGCAACAGGTTTCAGAAACGCTTACAAATTGATTTGATAACAAGGCATCAAGCTGGAATGGCAAATTTATCTATGAATGAAACATTTGGCTTTCTGAGTAGAATACCATTGGGCCTTCGGTTTCTGGCAGCCAATAGGCTTGATTTTGAAGTCAAAAAAAATTTGCCCTGAAAATGCCGACTGGACACCGTGATCATCTAAAGAGAAAGACTGCGCCAGAGTCATGGATGCTGGACAAGCAGGGAGGGACATTTGCATTGATGCCTGCCAGTGGGCCCCATAGGAAGACAGAGTGCATTCCTCTTGGATATCTGATTTCAAGGTTTCTTAAGTATGCAGGCAATTCTAAGGAGCTTGGAATTGTTCTGGGAGGAAAGAATATCAAGGTGAATGGAAAGGTCAGGACAAACTCACACTTTCCTGTCGGGTTATTTGATGTGATATCCATTGAGAAGACTGGGGAGCACTTCAGGGTTCTATATAACACACACAAGAAGTTCCATCTTCATAAGATAAGCTCTCAAGAAGCTGGATATCGCCTGGCAAAGGTTACAAAGAAGTACACAAGCCGTGGAATCCCATATGTTGTTTCTAGTTGTGGTTTGAGTATTCGCTTCTGTGATCCAGCTATTGAACAAGAGTATACAATAAAGATCTCGAATGAGACATCCAAAGTGGTGGAGCACATTGCACCTGGAGTTGATAAGGTTGTATTTGTGTCAAGAGGAAAAGCCAGAGGGCGCATTGGAGTTATAAATACAATTGATGTCCAAGGGAAAGAGACGGTTTATGTTATGACAGACTTTGCAGGAAACACTTTTTCCTGTACAAGCAAGAGCTGCATAATAATCGGAGAGTCTTCCGAGAACATCTGGATAACCCTCCCAAAAGAAAATGGAATACGGCTTTCCGAGCTTGAAAAGATCAATGCTCAACTAGGAGAAATGGTTGATACAGGAGCAATTGAAGTTACTGAATAAAATATTTCTTCTTTTAATGCTGATGCTTTCCTATTAAAAAGGCTACTGGGACACCTACTCCTGATACAGCACTCTTCGCATCTTGGCCTTCTTGCAACACATATCGTTTGGCCATACCCAACCAGGATTCTGTTTATTGTCTTCCATTCCTTTTTTGGGATAATCTTTTCCAAGCCTTCTCTGGTGTCTTCGACATCTCTAGTCTTGACTAATCCTATTCTGTTTGATATCCTATGGACATGAGTGTCCACACTTATCCCAACAACCTTACCGCATGCATGGTTCATGTAAAGAATGGCCATCTTATTTCCGATGCCAGGAAGGGATGTTAAGTCCTCCATCCTCTTTGGTAGGCCTTTCTTTTTCAAGATTTCGGCAATCTTCTTCAAGTTCTCAGCCTTTTTGTTGTGGAATCCTACTCTCTTGATGCACTCATTGATGTGGTCAACACTTGAGTTCACTATGTTCTCTATGGTCAGCCCCCTGCGAATATTATCATCAATGGCAGCATTCTCCGGAAGAAGTTCCCTCAGCCTTTCCATGGCTTCGTGTGTAACCTCGTCCTTTGTCTGGGAGGACAATAGAAGAGAAACAAGGATATGGAACCTTCTCTCTTCTTCTGTACGGTAAGGTGGTGTGATAAAGCATCCCATTGTATCCACAGGAGATACTATATTTTCCCTTTGCTTCTTGATCTCGAAGTACAGCTCTAGAGGCCCTTCTATTTCTTTTTTGGATTCACTTTTCATGATCTCTTCAGATGGTTTGGAATGGGCCTACGTCCTCATCCATGTTTTTCAATAAAACACCGAAACCAAGGCTTCCCATCTGGAAAGTAATGCTCGACAATGTACGAACATATCTAAGGATTAAGCCGCAGGCCATCCCGGAAGACATTGTGGTCGGTGGAGACTCAATAGTGGTAGATGGGAATAAGTTTTCTTTTGATAGGATCTTCAGAGGCTCGACACAGCAAGAGGTTTTTCAGGAGGTGTCTAAGAGCCTTCTAGTGGAATGCATGCAGGGATACAATTGTACTCTTTTTGCATATGGACAAACAGGAAGTGGAAAGACTTATACTATACAAGGAAATGCTCACAACATTGGGATTGTTCAGAGGTCGCTGAGCCTTCTACATAGAAACACAGACCTAAAGATCTCTCTTTCGTTTGTTGAGATATACAACGAAATGATGCTGGATCTGTTTGATCCTGAAGCCAGCCTGTCCATAAGAGAGGATCCACTTTGTGGTGTGGTTGTTGACAATCTGTCAACCGTGGAGTCTGACAGTTACGAGAAGAGTATGGAGATGTATTCCAGGGGAATAAGAACAAGAAGGACTTCATCGACATGTATGAATAAGGAGAGCAGTAGAAGCCACTCGATCTTCATTGTATACCTCAAGAGCAACAGTGGGGTGATGTCGAAGTCATCAAGACTGTGCTTTGTTGATCTTGCAGGGTCTGAAAGACTGAGAGAACGGGAGATAGAGGAAACAAAGATGAAGGAGGCAGCCAATATAAACAAATCGCTTCTGTGCCTTGGAAAGGTGATCAACAAGCTCAGTAATGGAGAGGACGGACACATAGGATATAGAGAGTCGAAGCTTACTTTCTTGCTCAAGGACTCACTAGGGGGGAACTGCAAGCTGACGGTCATTGGGAATGTTTCTCTTGAGAGCAGAAGCGACACTGTGAATACAATGAACTTTCTTCAAAGATCCAAAATGATAAAAAACCTTGCGGTTGTGAACTCTGATGTGAATGGGGAGCTAGAAGAGGTGAAAAACAAGCTAAAAGCCCTGGACAGTGAGAACCAAAGCCTAAAGGCCAGGATTGCTCTGATGGACACACAAATGCAAGAGGAGTCCAAAGTCCTCCCCTCCTATCACTATGATATCAAAAGGATGAAGAGCGTTGTTGACGACACCATGAACACACTTCTAGAGTTGGAAACGGTTATCAAAAAAATACCCAATGTCGAATTTGACAAAAGCAGAAGACTTCTTCTCAGCATTCATGAGCGCTTTGTGTCAATGTATGGAAGAGAAGGGGAGGATGGGGAAAACAGTATGAAGAGAAAACGAATGGAGGAAAGAGAAGAATAAAATTGCATGTTCCGAATATAGGTGTGTGAAGATCCTTAAGCTCAAGGCCTGTAAATTTCGATATTTTAGATCCCTGATTTACCATGAACTTAGCATCGCAATGGGTTCTCTGGCAAAACAACAATGATGAGTCTAACGCCAAGAGTTGGGGAGATGACCTCGTGGCTGTTGGAGAGGTGTCGACGATCCCCGAGTTCCTTTATCTGTGCGATGAGATATCGAATGCTGGGATTGGGAAACTGTGCACAATGAATCTATTTAAGAAAGGAGTCAAGCCTATGTGGGAGGACGAGGCAAATATAGACGGGGGAAGAATTATAATGGATGTTCCTGTTGTGGGGAGAGACAACATCGGAGAACTGTGGAAAAAAACAATGGCGTTTTGCATATCAAATGTTGTAGACAATGTGTGTGGATGTGTTCTTAGTGAGAAGCAATCATTCTACAAGCTGGCCATTTGGTTCGGGAAGGACTACAACCAGGACACCATAAAGGAAATGTGGCAAGAAACTCTTGAGAGTGGGAGTTTATCTGTCTACTCTTTCTTGCATAAGAAATCATTGGACAGTAACAAGGGAAAGAAGAAATGGGGAGGGAGAAGGTAGAATACGACGAGAGCCCAATAAAGTTATCTTTGTTTAATCAGTCTTTAAACAATCCCTTAGACAGAACTACCTTCTGGATCCTTTTCTTGTTACAGATGTAACCTTTACAAAGCCATCAGGGCAAATGTCTGAGAGAATTGAGAGCTTTGATTCGTCAAGAAATAGGTTCAGAAACTCCTCACATTCAGCTTTGTTGAACCCGGCGACATTAGAGATTATTTTTATGGCATCTGAGAATGACTTTCCAGAGATCTTTCTCTCCATAAAGCCAAGGGAGACCGATGGATTTCTAGAATGAAGAAAGTTCCTTGACTTGACACAGCCTTCAAGAATCTTCGAGCGGTCAAGATCTTTTTTTGGATGCCTCTTCAGCGATAATGAGGAAAGATCTTCAAAAAATTCCTGGGACTTCTCAAGAGGCTTCTTAATAGCTGCATGCATCTCAAAGTACTCGTCAAGCTTCTCCGATGAAAGGAAATCCCCAAGGTCGATGGCTAGGCTATCGTAAGATACAAACCCTTTGTCTATGTCTCTTCTGATCTCTGTCCCTTTCAATTCTTCACTGTTTACTTTTTCTTTCATCTCTCGCCCGGTAAATGGACCGTAGATGCTTCCCTCTTTCTTTACGAGCCATGAAAAAGAAGGACTCCGGGGTGTTCCAAGAATAAAGTTTCCTCTCTGGTCAAAATGGCCTTGGTCTGCCCTTGATAGATCCACATCCCACATTGACTCGGACTCCCTTCTCGAAGCCTTCTTCTGTGGCCATCCACCCTTTCTGCCTGCGACCGCAAGTATCCGTTTCTTTAGGATGCAGGCCTTTTCTTCCTTTGAATATTCCCGAAGGATCTTTGGTTTGTTAGTTTCCTCTGTGCATATGGTCTTGTCAAAAACAAAGTCGTCTGGCTTCACTAGTCGAATCTCTGCAAAGTTTACTGGAAACATGGGTGCCCCCAGTCCATGGCTAAAGTAGCCTTCGCCCAGAATTCATGCAAGATTGGTATAAAAGGCCCTTTGTTTACATTGTTTAATAAGGAAAACGGCTATTTCTGTCTGGGTTGTAATTGTCTGGGTCTGGCTCAAAGCTATCCTTTTTGTTTCTTGAAGGAGTTATTGGATCTATGATGACCAGCGGGTTTGAATCCTCACTCTCTGGAGATTGTCTGGAGGGAGAAGAAAAAGCACTTGGGTCCATGAAAGATCCCTTTGGATGTCTTTTGCCTATTTTCCCCATGTTGACTCCATTAGTGTTTGGAAACAGGTCATCTCTTCCAACATGTTCAAAACCTTCTGTAGGAAGATCGAGCTTTTCAAGAAGTTTGTTTATATCAAAGCTGCTGTTGAGCTCCTCCTCATGAATCTTAACATGGTTGTTTCCATTTGAAATGACACATGTACCATCTGACATTCTTTTAACATTGTACTTTTCTTTAAGTATGTCCATGAGGTTATTGAATTTCATATCAGGATTACCCAAAGATGGAATATAATGTTTCTTTGGGTTTGAGAACTGTCACTACCTGAATAAGTAACCAAAAAATCCTCCCTTCAATGAGTAGAGACAACGAGGCCTTTAAGAAGATTGAGGATAAGCTGAAGGAGTTGAAGTTCAGTGTTAACGAGGATGTTGTCCAGAGCATTTATGAGATGGCGTCGAAAGAAGATGGTGAAGGCGATCCAGGCAAGCTTATCGAAATGCTAGTAGAAGATGGGACACTGATGAGACTGCAGTTGAATTCGAAAGAAAGTGACAAGAAAAGGCTCAATGAGGAGTGGCGAGCTTCTCGTAGAAGTGGGGTCTACTCTGAGAGGGTTACTCCGGAAACATTCCAACTGCGCTATTATCCAAAGAATGAAGAGACAATGAAGTTTCTTAGTGACATTCTTGTTGGAGACATTCCGTTTGGATTTCTGAATCCCGATCAAAAGATAAGGCTTATTGAATCGATGGAGCTTATTGAGATCAAGTGTGGAACATTTGTAATGCATGAAGAGGATGTGGGGTCGCAGATGTACATTGTGGAGAGCGGGGAGTTTGAGGTTACAAGGGGAGGTTGTTTTCTTAGAAAGTTATCCCGAGGAAGCTTTTTTGGGGAGATAGCCCTCCTCCACAACATCCCAAGAACAGCTACTGTCAAGGCAATTAGTGATGGAAAGGTATGGGTTGTGGAGCAGACGTCGTTTTCGGGAATAAGGATGAATGGACAGGATCCTAAACAAGAAGATCATTCTGGAGGGTCTGAAAGAGAATAAGATCTTTCCATTTTTTAAAGACGAGGATTATGAAAGGATTTTAAATTCCTTAAGCTTTGTGTATTACAAGAAGGGAAGCAAGGTCTGGGTCAAGGATTCCGAGTTTCTGATGAGTCTATTTGAAGGAGAGATTGATGATGGAGAGGCTAGAAGAATCAAGGCGAAGGAGGTTATCCGAAAAGGATTTACTGCATTGAGTGCAATACAAGGAGCACATATACCGAGAGAATGCCAAGGATATGGAAGTCACGATAGTGGTGAATCCAAAGGGTAGAATGGAACATATGATGGAGAAATAAAGTTTTATTGAGGGCCATCAGGAAATGAATGGAGATGCTCCGGAAGGGGATATGAGATGAGCAACCTTAGTGTAGTGGTTATCACGTTCGCCTAACACGCGGAAGGGCCCCAGTTCGAACCTGGGAGGTCGCATTCTTTTATGGTGGAGTTTTTACCAGAAAAATAAATTTTACACAAAGCAAAAAATCTCCCAAGCTGGAGTCGAACCAGCGACCATTCGATACCAGCATACTTCTACAGTCGAATGCTCTACCACTGAGCTATTGAGAGGTGTACATAGTCCGGATCCATTCCTTCACAACCTTGGCCTCTTTCATATAAAAGATTTAATACTAAGGGTTAAAAATGCCAATAATTATACCTGATATACAAGGTTTCATAACTCTCTAATATTCTTTGATTTGAACGGTGACCTTGGAAATGAAGAAAACAGAAGATCCATCTCGGTCTCGTCCTCCTGGGATGCTCTACTAGCCTCCTGTGCTGGTCTTTTTGACCTCTCCGTAATCTCCTTCAGTGCTGTATACCTCTTCTTCTGTTTTGTTTTAGTAGGTGTAAACTCCTTGATATGTGGATTATAGTTCTCCTTGTTACCAGGCCTGTCAAATCCTGTTTCATCTGGCCTTTCACACCTCATGTTCAGGGATTCTTCTCTTTGTCTAATAATTCCATTTTGGAGGGAAGTTTTAGTAATATACTGGAAAGTGCTTTGCATAGTCTTAGAAGAAGTAGAGGGTTTCATGTTTATTCTTGTATTTTCTGAGACCCTTCCGTGATCTCTACTCTCAATGGCTCTCTTCTTCTATTTGCAGGGAAAAACATCTCCTTAAGTCCATATCCAAAGTACCTGTAGTCTAGGATCGAGTAATACAGGAAGATGATGTTGATGGCTGCTTCAAAATTATTTCTGATAATGAAAAACCTAAAGTTAAAGATACCACACTTACCTTTTCAGATCCTGGCATAGCTTCTTGTCACTCCTGTATTTGTCAACCAGATGCACAGAGTATAAAATGTTCAGCAAAACTATCATGATCAAGAGCATTCTTTGCTCTTCGTTTTCTTCGTTCTGTCGAACAAACATCAAGAAAAATGTAATGACTTCAAGTAAATGATCGATTATTATGTAAATTGCACCCATACTATTATCTCCATTGCAGTGCTTTATCCCTTCAATCTGGAGATATATCCCTTGGATAGCTGCTAGAATCATCAAGGATCTTGCTGCCTCATATCGGGCCCTTGTTTTATATGCAACTTAAAATTACATCTACCACTTACTTTTCATGTTGGTGTTGGCTCCTCCATGCTTGAAATAGATCCATTCAAACATGTCTCCAAACTCCTTGCATATGAAGTGCACTCTAATAAATTCGCAAAGGCATAGCCCCAGATACACAAGAGAAAAGAATATGACCTCCATATCATTGTCACCAAACTTGAAAATGGTTTCTACAACCACAGACGCCTCAAGAGAGGCCATCACAATAATAACCCAATATGCTTTGCACTGCTCAAGGTTCTTTCGTGATATTGCATTGTCCAGATAAATGAACATGTAAATATTTGTAAGGGAAAGCGATAAGCACATTGGCCTGATTATGTTTATCTTCTTCCCGATAAAGCTTTTTCGGTAGAATCCGATTCCAATGACTATTAGCCTAAGAATCAGGTATAAAAACGAGCTTTTCTCTCCTTTTCCTAAGAGATCATCTTTTCTAAATAAGTCCATTTAATGGGTAATATTGCAACAAGAGATATATTTGGCCAAATTCTGTATGTAGTGATCTATCTAAATGAATCCTACCATATCTGTGAAGTAATCTCGTCCTAATTCGGCCAAAATTCGTGATCAATACGAGCCTGATAAATTAAATCGGACAATTTAGATATTTAGTGGGTGTCTTCATAAAATCATGGTCTAGGCTTTGTGAGCACAATCTCTCCATATGCCTGCTTCTGCACAGGCACAAAAGCCCCTCTCGAGCTCAATTCAAGCATGAGGTAGAAGATTCTTGCTCTCCTTCTTCTTCCACCCACAGCATATTTATTGAAGTCTGTATCGCTTGATAAGAAGTCAAGTGTCCTTTCTTCGGAAACACTGCTTGAGGAGCTTTCCCTGACAGTGTGCACAGAAGCATTACGGGGCCTTTCTATGGATCCCAGAGTTGACATCTCGCTATACTCAATTTCAATGTTTTGGAGGGCCGGCTTTATTTTCCTGGCTTCCCTGACCACAAAAGGCTCCTTCCTTACAGGCTCAAAGCTACTGATTACTGGTGCATTCCTTGAGGTATCTGAAACAATCATTCTAGGAATATCAAGTTCTGTCATTCTGTCAGTAATGCCTTTAGAACGTCTTTTTGGCTGATCAGTATATCCATCCACAAGTCCAAGCGTTTCACTATAACTACCAATCTGGCCATCCATGTACTGGCTATCGTCGAATTCAGAGCTACATATGCTTGATATGTGCCCCATGTCCATGGAAAGCATGTTCCTTCCCTTTTTCTTCTTATATTCCCCTCTCCTTTTTGTGATGCTCAGGATCTTCACTAATGATTGGATTTCAAGTAAATAAACCCTCACTTTAGCTTCATAGGCCCTCACTATCACTCTAAACAATACTGAGCTGATCCTCAGATTATACACAGGCACAGAATTCATTATGATTTCTACAACCTTAGAAATCCTAACCCTTGCTATGGGCCCTTTCTTCCGCCCAATCTTCTTTCCTTCGTTTATAAGTACACTAAATAAAGAAGACATTTCTTTATCTTCAAAGGAAAATTTCAAAACCACTCGCATTCTTCTCATATGTAATTTAATCACTTTAAGCTATACACTAAATAAGAGGACTGGCTAGCCTCCCTCTAAGCCTCTTTGGCTTCCATGCCTATTGACTGCATCAACTAAGTCTTTTGGGTCAAGAGGCATCAGAAGAGCCTCAGACACCCTAATTCCTAGGATGTTCATGTATTCATTCTTGAATTCTTCGTCAACAACTAGAACAATTGGGACACTTGCATCCAAGCTTCTTATTCGACTCACAGACTTACTACATCCAGACGTACTGGCATATAGCACAACCACATCGTATTTCCATCTCATCACATTCCTTACATCACTACTTTCCTCCACAATAGTCAAGGAATAGTTTGGAATCTTTAAAGCACTGCATATCCACTCAGATCCAGGCACATCTCCCTTGACAAACAGGACATTTATTTTTGAAGCAATCCTCATTCTCTCGTGATATATGTACTTCTTTATATCATTGATATCCTCAACAACAGTTTGAAGGTACTTCGAAATCGTCCGAACAGCATTCAGCACATGTGATTGGTAAACCATCCCACTCTCAATCTGCTTTGGACTCGTACTTCCAGACCCGCTCCCTTCACTTGGTGCTTTCTTTCTTCTGATCTTGTCTAGTAGTTCAGGCCTTCCTCGCTGGAAATACTTGTTCTTGTACTCCCATTGCCCTCTCTCTCCTATCCTTTCCTCATCCCTTCGTACCTTGTAAAAATCATATTTGTTAAGTTGTCTAACAAAGGAACTCCAATTCTTGTGTCTAAAATGCTTCTCAAGAACAAACTCAGAGAAGCCTTGGATATTGGATATGATAAAGCTTCTTCCATCCAAAGCCCATGATATGTATGGATAGTTCTCGGGCTCCTCAAGAATCTGGAAAAGCTTCACTACAAACTCAGACCCCATTGTTAGTTTCATAGGTCCTGCCCAAGACCAAAACCTTATCTCGTCAATAACTCTTATGTCAATTAAACTATATTAAAAGATAATACCCACTTCCATATCGGGAAACTACACACATCTATGGAAAAAAGAATAAACATTTATTTTTGCAGACTCATATCACTCATACTTCTTGAAATATAATCTTCCATTTCTTACATTCACATCATTTCCTCTTGGTTCCCTAACCCCGATCTTCAGCCTGAATACTGTGTTTCTCTTATTCAGCTGTTGTCTGTATCTTCTCTGAGCTTTTTGCTTCTTTCCATCTCCGTAGATAGAGTTTATATATCTCTGTTGATAATACAGAAGTAACTCGCAGACCAATGTCTCCTCCACTACTACAGGCCTGCTTTCAAGAACTACAGCATCTTTCATTAATTCTATCATCTCATCTATCTCTGATGAAATCCCTCCTGCCTCTTTGCTGCTCATAAATAGCATGTCTTCATACAGATCAAATCCAAATATATGGTACGGAAGGAGGCATTCATAAGCATGGTTAACATTCATAAATCTTCTCAGATCTGGTCTTCCTATCTGGAATAGGTCTTTCTGTAGAAACCCTAAGATCTTCTGTCTACGAGCTTGTGCCTGTTCATAAAGATTGCCATACAAGTATCCATATCCTCCTTCCTCTACTCTTTTGGCCTTCTTGTAGGGCCCACGAACTCCTTTTGTCTTCATCATGCCATGGGGTTCAAAGGCTTCCCTTGTCTGCGAAGTATCTCGGACATCAGAACTAATCAAATCCCCCCCTTCAAAGGGCTCGGCTCCATTCAAATCGTCCATCCCAGAATCAACCCCGTCAGGCCTATCCGAAGCCCTCTCCATTTTCAGGCCAAAAAAATTTCAAGAATTTACGATAGTGAATACCATCCTAAACATATGTATCTCCATATGAAATCAAGATGTGGTAAGATCTCCACAGGAAGCGTTGCAATGATGTGTGATAAGTGTTCCGGAAGGTGCTACATCTGTGGTCTGGATGCCGGCACATCTTCAAGAAGAATCTACATATGCAGCGTATGCTTCCACTCCATGTACAAGGACAGATGCATCGTCTGTAAGCTCAAAGACCCAAGGAACAATGCCTATTGCTGTAGAGAGTGCTGGCTTCTGCAGAAAAACCATGACAGATGCCCTGTTCTTATTCAATAGATCATCATAGACATCATTTAATAAGATATGGTACAGAGATCATCCCCCACTTCTCTTTGATGGCCATTTGTTGGGACTGTTGTTTGACACATTCCTCACATGAGGAAACAGTCTCTCCACATCAATTTCATGTCCATTCGAAAAGTATTTCTCGAGAGCTCGGTGGTCTTGCATTTTCACTTTGAAGTTTATTGCTGGGTCCTTAGCAAAGTCTGGAACAATAAAGTCTGGATCCAAAATAATGTCGTCTTCATCTACTCGTGGTATTTTTGTCTTTGGCTTGTAGACATCCTGAGGAACCCTACCTGCAGACTTAAGAAGCTGATGATCTATTGCTTGCTTGTAGAGATTACTTCCATCGAATCTTTTCATCGCTTCAGATTCCTGGCCATTTGCATTGAAAGGGGGTGACCCCACCTTGTGTGAACCTGCCACCCCTGGCTTGCTCATCTCCTCAATTCTCATCCCTTTCTCGGCTTTGCCACACACAGACTCATTTACCCTGTCAAGATATCTTTTCTTCAACTGGATTAAAGCTTCATTCAATTTGACATTTTTACTTAAGTTTTTGCCATCTTTATCTTTACTCATAACTCCAAGTTGGACCTTTCCCACTTCTTTCTCAGACTTTGCATCTCTAGCAGAAGGCTCTAGAACATCTCTTCTTTTGGGTGGATTGATCGCAAGATCTCTAATTACAGAGGGCTTGCTAAGCTTTACCCCCTTGCAAGACTCCGAAGAATACAAATCCACTCCATTTGTTTCCTCCTTGGCAATCAACTCTTTACAATTAGAATTATTCTCTCTGCTCATGTCCATGCAAGACGACATAGCCTGTGGACCCACTACATCCCTCCTCTCCTCTTGCATAGAAAGATCCTTCTCATCCCGGTTCTTTATAATAGGGATGTGCCCTGGGATTAAACTCTCATGGTCAAACACACTTCCTTCAAAGTCACCATCACAAGGAAATCTTTCGTCGTTTTCTTTGTCCACTTCACCGCTTACCTCTTTTGGACAAGCACCTGCTTTCTCAGAAACCACGGCACTACACTCATCCCTAATTCCTATCTGCTCACATATCACTCGGTCCTTCACCCTACCAACTGCACTCCTCCACTCTTCTAGAAATTCCTTCAGTAGCTCCATTAAGGGATTAAAAACCCTTACTTACATACAGCTTCATATCCAGCCCTACCTCAGGAAGTCAAAATTCACCATTTGGCACCCAACTTCAAGCCTTCTAGTAATGTCCATAACATTCCTAACTCTAACCCAGTAATCTCCTCCCCGTGGATCAAAAAACTCAACCATCCTTTTAATCTCTTGGTCTGCCTTCCCATTTACACAGCAGTATAATATGTAGTTGTCTCCGTTGTCCTGATCTCTCATTATTCTTTCTTTATAGTACTCCTTCATTCCGACAAGGCAATCCTTGCATATTCCATCCTTGTTGCACTCCTTGATTCTTGTCTTCTTATATGCATGATACCCAGAGTACTTGTTCCCTTCTGGAACATCCTTGTTTTCATAGTATCTTATTTCAGAATCAATCAGCTCAGACCTCACATGCTTCCGAGAGTTGTAGAGAACTGCCACAGAAGCTTTTCCCAGCTTCCTAAACATCACAAATCTCTCAAACCATAACCATTCCTCAGACACAAATCTTTTCATAACCTTATTGCTTATCTCCAGTCCCTTCTCCATATCTTTCCTCTTCAAATATCTTAGATATCCGACGGCAACCTTGAAGTTCTCAGGATATCTTTCCATACATTCCTCGTATATCCTGCAGGCATCCATACCTTTCTTCTCAGCCAGCTCTGCATATAGTAGCCAGTGCTTATAGTCAAAGAGATCCTTTTCTAATTCTGAAAGCGCCTTGTCCAGGTCTATCTGGGACAGTATCACATATCTCTTTATTGTTCTCATCTTTCCGGGAATCATGGAATAGCTTCTGTGATAGTCTCCAGCCATGTAGTAAATCTTCGATCTAGCAAGTATAAACAATTTCTTCTCCTTTCCGTAATGCCTTATTCCAGCCTGTAGAGCCTTTTCCGCTTTCCTGAAACATTTAATCTCCTTAGTAATTCTAAACATCTTCCACCACTCCTTGGCCTTCATAAGATCAACAAAATACCTCCGGGTTGCCATCACAAAAAACTTGTCTATGAACTCTGTGTCTAGGAAGTGCTGCCTTGCAATGTTATAGCAGGAAATAAACGTTTCATCATCATGGAGCTTGTGGGCGCTCATCGAGGTAAACAAGGACCAGAGGTCGGGAGGAAGACTAGTCATTGGCTCCACCTCTACCTCCTCAAGATACAGAAGAACATCATCCTTGTCAAGAACCCGGGATGGAAGATCAAGCCTCTGCTTTCCTTTCCGAAGAATCTCAAGAATCCTTTTCAACCCAAGCCCAAGTATATCCTCTATCAACCCAGAATCGTTTTTCTCTCCTAATAGGTAAGCTGATAACTGGTCGAAATACATGTCTTTGGCCTGAAGTTCCTTGTATAGGGACATTGCAAGCTGATTGTCTGGATTCGTGTCGATAAAGATATCTACCAGCCCTCCTTCCATAGTCTCAACTATAGAATCATAGAGAAACTTCTGTTTCTCAAAACCAGTTTCTAGGTTCTCAAACACCATTTTCCTAAGCTCAATACTCGCAGGATACTTTTTAACACCAGCCTTCAGTACCTTAACATCTTTGCTCTTCAGAAATATCCCCATGTAAAAGTCTTCATCTCCGTCTGTAACCTCCAGTGCCTCGTCAACCATCTCGGGTGAATAGCATCTATCAATAATCTCTTTCCACAGCACCATGTCCTTGATATCTCTGCCTTCAAGCAATACTTTCATACCCTCATCCTCCTCTAAGAGCCGGCTTAGCCTGATCCTAGCATCCACATTCAAGCGGTTCTTCCTCAGTAAATTCCTTAGGACGTGAACTTTCCACTCATCATTGCTTTTCTGAGGCTCGTCTTCTGCTTCTGCTACTGCTTCCACTTTTCTTTTTGTGGAGGGAAGGTTCCTGGGTACAACCTCCTCTATATCCATTTTCTCAAGAACTAGAACATCTTTCCGAGAAAGTATCCTTTCCTCCACCTCTGCACTTTTCTTCTTCCTTTTCTTCTCTATTGCTCTATATACCTCATCCTCCTCTTTATCATACTCAGAAACCGTGCTCTCTCCAAACAGATTTCTTATGTCAAAGAGCTTCCTTCCTCTTCCCATGTAGGTATAGATACAAGGAACAGAAAAATAAATTGGATCCAGGGCATCAAAACTGCATAGGGATGGATGAAAAGAAAGATACAAAAAAGAAGAGGGTCTCCTTTGCACCTGAGCCTCAAGTGATGTACATATATTCCGAGGAGGAGAACAAAGGCAATAGGGGCACTGATTCTGGCATATTAAGCGAGGAAGAGATTTCTGTGGAGCTGACTGTGGACCATCTTCGAGCTGAGGAGTCGCAGGGTAATGAAGGACTAAATGCAAACTTCCTCAGCACAGGATTGAATGATCTGATGAAGGAAAGCAAGGATGGGCATAATGCAAAGGACGGCAATGCCATTAAGGAAAATGTTCCTAATGACGGAAGAATAGGGAAGGACTACCCAGAGGAAGAAGGAAGTTGTACACAGATAGAGATTCCTGGGGGATGTGAAGAAGAGAAGGATGTGAATAGAGAAGGGGCTTCAGGAGAGATAAGAGAAGGCATTGAAGATGTAGATGGATGGAAAGAAAGCATCTTGAAGAACGAGGATGAAGTGTTTGAAGACACCCTAATCAGCAATGAGACGATTAATGTGGAGGAGATTATAAATACTCAGGATCTTCGGAAGATGATTCCACAAGCTAAAAGAGAAGTTGTAAATGTTTCTGAGCTACTAGTTTCAAAGGGGATCAGATTTCTTGATAGTCTCGTCGTATCTAACACAAGAAGAGATACGATGTCGAAATCCCTGAATGAGGTGCATCCAAGGCAAGAAAAGTTCTATGAGAGCTTTCTGGAGCCCCGAACACGGTTTTTTCTAGAGTTCAGCTCCGAACTTGAGGAAAGGATGTCCAAGCAAGAAAAGGTAAACAATGAGTTGGAGAGGGACTTCAACATTTCCGGGACTGTTTTTGAAAGAGAGGATGCCTCTAGCCAACTCAGAAGCTTGAAGACTGAATGCAGGATGAGGGCAAAGATTGAGTGGTATGAGCTTCGTAAGGAAAAGGAGGTTGAGTTCAACAGAGAGGTGACCGATAGGAGGAACCGGCTTGCTGAGGAGTATAACGACATATCTGGAAGACTAAAAGAGGTTTCTGAGGATGTTGAAGCGAAAGGAAAGAGCAATGAAAGGATGGAGGAACAGATAAGCCGAATAAGGAACAGGGTTGGGGGAGATGGAGAGGAAAAGGATCGAAAGATCTCTGAGCTGAAGTTGGTAATAAGTGAGCAGGAGAATGCAATTGAGAATATTAAGAAGGAGGTGAAAGGACTTGAAGAGGAGAAAATAAGGAAGCAAGCTGAGAAACGTGTGTTAAAAGAGGCATTAAAAAAGATTGAGGATGAGGTTAAGGACCTTGAGAAGGCATTGAAGGTCCAGAATGTAACTGAGGGGCAACTAAAGGAGATAAGGCAGGAGTTCCGAACCATATGTGCTATTTTTGGGATGGAGATAAGTAGAGTAGATACTTCCGAGATTAGGCTCAAGTTACTAGGATATGATTTCAAGATAGGTTTAGAGGAAGGGTTTATGATAAGGTCTATTGATAGTACCCCCTTATGCGACAGGAAAGGATTGGGGCTTCTATACCACTACTTTGGAAGGTATTTCAAAGGTGTAGGCCTTAGTTTTTTCAAAGGCATTAGGAACGTTATGCTTACATCAGCAATGGCATCGGGTATATACAAGGAAGTGGGAGAAATCGGGAAAAGTCACGAGGTTGAATGCCATCTCAATGATGACGAAGTTATTGTTAGAATACTGATGCTGGATATTGCAAAATGCACCAAGTGTGAGGTTGCTATCATTATAAGAAATGGATTTGAATGTTTGATCCAATGGGGAGGTAAAAGTAAAGCCTATGACCTTAGGAAGGATATGGGTGTGATATCAAGGTCTGTGGAAGAGGCACTTGTAAGTCTCTGATGACCATTGTTTTTGATAGATAACAAAGATCTTGGCGATGCAGACATAATAAACATTAAGAGTTTATTGACTGAATTCTATTGCTACAATTTGTCTTTCTCTTCCTCAGTATTCTGATTCTTTAATTTCCCCGAGAATGCATAATATTCTTCTAGTGTCTGGTTGAAGTCCTCAAGACACTTTATCAGCCCGTCCCTCTCTGAGCTTTCTGCTTGCATTCCCTCATACAAGGACACAGCCTTTTCATAGACGAGCCTTTGGTGTTGAATGGATTTGGACAAGAGCTCCAGATCATCCCTAGGACACGAGGCAGAGATGTCATTTACGACCCTGTCCAAGACCATCCTGAGAACAGATAGGCTTTCCAGGCACTCTCCATCTCTTATCGCTTTTTCTAGTTTTAGATAGTCATTCTTTTCCATATGAAGGGCAATGGTCTAAACATTTGATTCTGGAAGACAAGGGTGGAAGCCTAGAATAGGCCTGGGTGAACCTGAAGCCTAATACCCTGATATCACTTAATAATAAGCTGTTAAATTAATATCTATCAAACCAAATAATAAAAAGCAAACAATACAAGGCTTTTTTCATGGAAAGCCAAGCCGAACCAGAGAGAAACATCAGTTACACAAAGCTTGCATTCTTCTTTTTTCTGTTAAGAACAACATTAATAGGCCTTGCTTTGTTAGAAGGGCCTTACTTTGCATACCGTAGAGAAACAAGAACATTCAAGGTATTCGTGATCTTTTTGGACATAACAAATATACTACAATTTATATTTCTATGCGACATAATCTACCGGAAAATCCTGTTTCAATATCTGTTGTACATCCCCATCCTTGCGTACTCCTTGACTCTTACAATCACACTGGTAGTTGACGCACATGATTCCGATGACATTTATTTTGAACTAGAGGGGAAGATCAAGAGGCTGGCTATTTCGTACATCTATGCATACATGGGAATCATTCTTGGGGAATTTCTTCTTCTTCCAATTATATACAGAAGGCTCAAGAGTGACTTCATGTGGGCCAATTTCAAGAAGGTAGGAGCTGACCCAGTTATTAATGGTAAGTGGAGATGGAATAATTTTAGATGCATTTAAGAGAAGAGAGCAGTTCAATGCCATTAGAAGATTTATGGTGATATTTCTGTGTGGAGAGGTTGCAACCTTCAACATGGGTATCAAGGATCATCAGGATCTTTACTTTTTTGTAGCGGGGACACAAATCTTTGTACTTGTTATATCGAGCATTTTTTTGAATGAAGAATATATAAATCAGAGAAGGTTTCTTCTCATAGTTTCCGGGCTCTGTACTTTAATTGGAATAGCATATACAACAGTCTACATTGCTCTGCTTTCTACTGGTATAGGAAACATAAGAAAGTAAGTGAAATTACTAATTTTAGAGGATCGATCTCAGAGGTAATATTCTACACGATTACAATGCTTATTTTCTTCATTGGTGCATTGAGAGACTATCAGGCGTTTGGTAAGGGATTGAAGAATTACTATCAAGGAAATCTTGGAATAAGGAAGAAGCTTACCACTTGATGTTGTATTACTTGTAGGATAATAAAAACCAAAGACTTTATTGCTCTTGGGATGCACATCCGGCATACATCGTCATCCGGCTGTTTCCTCGCACCCTCTCAATCACCCCCTCCTCGCTCAGGTGCCGCAGTATGTTCTCCGCAACCCCAAGATTCAGATTGTGCCGGCTCCCAACCATGTACCGTGTCACAACACTGGCCCGGCCGACATCCTTGCGCACCTTCGACAGAAGGTCCTCGGACACAGTCACGATCTTGTGCACCTCCTCCTTCTTCTTTCCGTCTCCCCACTTCTTCTTGTCCTTCCTTGTCCCGGACATAGCCTTGAGCGCCTTTTTCTCCTTTGACTCCTGGATCTTCTTGGCCATTTGGGAGGACAATTTTTTACCTCTCAAATCACAAAGCCATTCTCCTACAGTAAAAGAGAGAAGCATAAATACTTAGAGAATTTGCCACTTTAATAAAGTCATATACTCATAAGACAGCCATTATTACTCTACACTCAAACATCTTCAAAGCTCTTTTCCATCCTCGTCAAAAAACTTCACATCAGGTCCGGTGTTATCCACTCTCTTCAGATCCCCGAGGTCAAACTGGAATTCAGAGGACTCCAGTAAATCAGATCCTTTTCTACGCTCCTCGTTAGATCCCAGATGGCTCCCATTTGTATCAGATCCAGGAAGCTTAAAGCATCTTGTTTCAAGGGCTTTCATCCCCCCATTAACCTCATCCTTGGGGGCCCCTCCATGTTTATCAATCATCACATCTTCTTCATTTAACCCTTCTGTATCACTCTTTCTGGTCTTTATTCCTATCTTTCTCTTTGGAGCCTCAGAGGCTACATCAGATCCCCCTTTGGTCCTGAACACTCCTCTCTGGAACTTCCTCTCAGACAATGACTCTCCAGCATAATCAGACTCACACAAATCTATGATGTCGTCACTACAATCTTCATTGCTGTAATCATTAAAAAACAAGTCGTCTATAGCATCCTCCATGCTCTCGCTGTCCTCCTCAATAATCTTATCCACATCAACATTATCAAGGATCTTCTTTATCAATGCCGTGTTATCTTCCTTCTCCCTTTGCCCATCCTCAATCTCCATCGACTGTGCAATCAGCTGCATGAGCTTATCCGCTTCTTCTTCAGACAGCAGCCTCTTTTTCCTTGCAAGTAGAAAGTTCAGGAGTTCCTCATACATTCATGGGCTTTGTTTTTCATAAAATATATCTCTCCTCACGAATAGAATCATTTATTGGATTATTGAAATTAGATGTCAAAAAGATACAGCCATCCAACCTTCCGAAACAATAGGTTTGAGTTTCAACTAAATCATTTAATGAGTTCAACGAGCTTTGGCTTCCAGTTCCCCGGAATCTTCATTGTGCGCTTGTAATATCTTGCAACACGATACATCCGAGATGAAACAAGAATAAGCCTATACTTTGCAGAGTTGTCCTTCCTGTAGATGTTCAGGTGACTTCGAAGAGTGTTTGCTCGACGGACAAGTGATTCAAGATCAAAAGGAATTTTAGGAACTACCCCATTCCTCTCCAGAAACTTTGTGATGTCACACCCTAGAACATCTTTGGCATTCCCAACACCATACTCGTCTCTCAACCTTTTCCCTATATCAGGTGCAGGAATTCCTTTGTTCCCCATCTGGACCACATCTGCCTTGATCTCATCTACCGACTTTGTCAGCCATGTTGGGAATGCAGTGTCATATGGTTTAACGCTTCCCGAGCGCCCTCTTCCACTGGAATGCATCTTTGCCATTTTTAGATTGAAGGGCAAATTTTTCAGATTCAGATATGCATCCTGTAACCAGAGGAAATAGTATAGGCTGGGTTTTTTTTTCATTGTGAGAGGATGTTTCTGTGATTTGAGAAGTAAAAAATTGTCCTCCCAAATGGCCAAGAAGATCCAGGAGTCAAAGGAGAAAAAGGCGCTCAAGGCTATGTCCGGGACAAGGAAGGACAAGAAGAAGTGGGGAGACGGAAAGAAGAAGGAGGAGGTGCACAAGATCGTGACTGTGTCCGAGGACCTTCTGTCGAAGGTGCGCAAGGATGTCGGCCGGGCCAGTGTTGTGACACGGTACATGGTTGGGAGCCGGCACAATCTGAATCTTGGGGTTGCGGAGAACATACTGCGGCACCTGAGCGAGGAGGGGGTGATTGAGAGGGTGCGAGGAAACAGCCGGATGACGATGTATGCCGGATGTGCATCCCAAGAGCAATAAAGTCTTTGATTTTTATTTTACTGTTGAGTGATGAAGATATTCGTCTTGTCCGTTTAACAATTGTAGTCTTTAAAATATCATGGTAAAAATTTACCCCAAGATGACGTACAGAGGGTATAGCGGAGATAAAAGAGGGTTTCGAGGGCCTTCCCGAGTTGACAGGGGCAGCAGATATCCCACTAGGACAAGACGTGAGCCACAAAGGTATGAGCCGATGGCTGAGCTTCCTTCTGTTGAGTTCCAGAAGAACTTCTATAAAGAGGCCGAATCTATCAGTAAAATGAATGCTTCCGAGGTTGCTTCGTTTAGAAAGGCAAGCGAGATGGTTGTCAAGGGAATGAATATCCCCCACCCGATTCACAAGTTTGAAGATGTAGGGTTTCCTCATAGGGTTGTTGAGGATCTTGTTAGAAAAGGATTTGAAGGCCCTACTCCCATTCAGGCCCAAGGATGGCCGATGGCACTAAGTGGAAGGGATATGGTTGGAATTGCTCAAACGGGGTCCGGGAAGACTCTAAGTTTTATTCTACCAGCACTGGTTCATGCAAAAGATCAGCCTCCTCTTAGGAGGGGGGATGGGCCGATTGTACTTGTACTGGCACCGACTAGAGAGCTTGTGATGCAGATTAAGAAAGTTGCCGATGAGTTCTGTGAAATGTTTGATCTAAGGAGCACAGCTGTGTATGGAGGGGCTTCATCACAGCCACAAATAAGAGCCCTGCATGAAGGTGCAGAGGTGGTTATTGCTACACCCGGGAGACTGATTGATCTACATGAGCAGGGACATGCACCACTTGGAAGGGTTACATTTCTTGTGCTTGATGAAGCTGATAGAATGCTTGATATGGGCTTTGAGCCACAGCTTAGAAAGATTATTCCAAAGACAAATCCAAACAGACAAACTCTAATGTGGAGTGCAACATGGCCAAAAGAAGTAAGAGGATTAGCCGAAAGTTATATGAATGATTACATCCAAGTGGTTATTGGGAATGAAGAGCTTAAGACTAATAGCAAGATCAAGCAAGTGATTGAGGTATGTAATGGACGGGACAAAGAAGACAAGCTACTTGGGGTCCTTGACAAGTTCAAAGGGGATAGGATTATTGTGTTCTGCAACATGAAGAGAACTTGTGATGATCTGGAGTATGTGCTGAACAGGTCTGGGTATGGAGCAGCAGCTTTGCATGGAGACAAGTCACAGAACATTAGGGATAAGGTGCTTGATGATTTCCGAAGTGGAAGAAGACCGATTCTGATAGCTACCGAAGTTGCAGGAAGAGGACTTGATGTAAACGATATCAAGCTTGTGATCAACTTTGATTTTCCAGGGTCTTGTGAAGACTATGTCCATAGGATCGGAAGGACGGCAAGAGGGAATACAAAGGAAGGGATATCACATACATTCTTTACCATTAATGACAAGGGAAATGCACGAGAATTGATAAGGATGCTTAAAGAAGCCAAGCAAGTGGTTCCCTCCGATCTTGAAGACATGGTGCGGGCATCAAACGATAGATATGGGTCCAGGGGCTCCAGATATGACTACAGAGGAAGAGCTAGTAGATTCTCTTACAGAGGATGATCTCTTGGATTGAAGTCCAAAAACAAAAAATATCGGATGAACTGAGAATTCTTTTAAGCTTTAGATACCCTTGCTGACTTGAAGAGGTATCAGATAAAATTCATCAAATAAAATTTTGTTTAAACAAGTTTCATTTATAAGTTAGCTTGTAAGGTCCTTGACCATGTATGGGCCCTCCAGTACATATCCAAACCTAGCATAATAGTTTCTAGTCCCAACACCAGAAATAATTGCTATTTTCTTTGATTTATGCTCCTCCCTTGCAATTCTTTCAGCCTCGGCTATCAAAAGTGTTCCATATCCTTGATGTTGATACTTCTTCCCATCACTCTTATTTATACCAACAGCACTTCCATACACATGGAGTTCCCTTATTATGGATGCATTCCCGTTGACCACCCCAGGATGATACTTACTTTCTTGGAGCTTAGCTTCTTCTCTTCCAGATAATAAATCTACATCCTTTAACTCCTTTCGAAATGTATCCACACTGCACTTGCGTAGCCTTAGGAGCCCTATAAGAATGTCTTGCTTCACATCTTCATAGCTAAGAAATGTCTCCCAGCCTTTGTTTGCTACATAATCCCTTCTCACCAGTTCAATTTCTTCAGGTAAAATACTCTCATGGATATTCTTGATCCCAACCTCTCTAGTTCTTATATCCCTACACCTTGTCTTATAGTCTCTCATTCTGGCCAGTGCGAGCTCTCTTATATTACCGTGCTCCACCCCAGAACTCACAAGTGTCATGGGAATGTCTCTTTGCACCCTGTATACCCTCATCCATGGCGGTACAAATGAAAGAATCCTTGCAAGTATGTCAACCAGCTCATCAGGTGAGTAGTTCTTGTATTTGTTATTTTTCCATAACTCAAACAATCCTGTACCCTTGATCACAAGAGTAGGATATATCTTTAATCCATCGCTCCTGAAGTCAGGATTGTCGAAATATTCTCGGAATTGTGCGAGATCTCTCTTCATAGGGACATTTGGAAGGTTAGGCATCATGTGTGCAACTATCTTGAATCCAGCATCTTTTGACAGTCCAAAAGACTCACATACACTACCCACAGTGTGCCCTCGGTTGGTGTCCATCGCCACATCCTCATATACACTTTGGACTCCTATCTCAATCCTTGTGCATCCGTATTCTAACATTTTGCTTAGATGTGGACGAATACAAAAGTCAGGCCTTGTCTCTATTGTTATTCCAACACATTTCAACCGTCCCTCTGCCCCAACCCTTATTGCCTCTTCAACACTTGAGGATGTATGGCCGCTGAGAGCATCATGCAGCTTCGAGATAAAGCTGTCTCTATACGACTCAGGCAGAGACATGAATGTTCCTCCCATTATTATATACTCAACCTTGTCTATACTGTGCCCAAGCCCCTTAAGCTGCTTCAGCCTCTCCCTTGCCTGATCAAATGGATCATACCTGCTTCTTATAGCTCTCATACTTGTTGGCTCATATCCTGTATACGATTGAGTAGAATACTCAAAATCGGAATCCGGGCCCCCAGGGCAGTACACACATATGTTTCCAGTCAGTGCTATATGCGGGCATCTATGGGGCTTACACATTACAGCAACTACGGCAACCCCAGATGCAGTTCTGACAGGCTTCACCCGAAGTTGCTCAATTAGATGGCTATACTCTGGAGGGATGAATGAGATTATGTCAACCACACGTGGGGTACTTCCAAGCTTATACTTTTTGCATACTCTGGACTTAATTCCATTCACATCTATCTTCTTTTCTTGCTTGTAAAGTTTGATTATTTCGCTTGAGATCTCGTTGCATGCTTTGAGGAAGTCAGACATTCTTGGGGAGTTTGATGGTAGGAATTAATTCTTTAAGAAGAAAAGTAGAGTTGGTCACACTTGCATACCAGGCGATTGCCAGGAAAGAGGCCTGCTCCGGATATTTTGTATTCGATTTTGAGCCCTAAAGATGCAGGCTTCTCTATACTTAAACACATCAACACAGATGAGAAAAGATGAAATCATGCAGAAGCTCAGGTCAAACAGCGAACAGGATAAGATCGAAGGAATGAAGCAGATGATAGCACAGATGAGCCAGGGAGAAGACTTTGGTGCTCTTACACACAAGATAACAAAGGAGATATTAGTAGTGAAGAGTAATGAACTCAAAAGGCTGTTCTACTACTATCTAGAGTTGCTCCCGAAGTCTAGAGGGACTCAGTCATTTGAAGAGATGCTTCTTCTGTCAAATCAGGTTAGAAAGGATCTCGAGCATCCAAACGAATATGTCAGGGGGTTTGTGATGAGGTTTGTCAGTACATTGGATGATCAAGACCTTGTTGGGAATTTCTACAAGTTGATCAAAGATAACTTCAGTCATCCGAATTCATATGTTCGAAGAAATGCATACTTCTGCCTAGGAGAAATCTTTTCAAAGATGGATACTTACAAGGAGGTTCCGGATCTCCTGTACCATGCACTGCTCAGGGATCTAGATCCTAATTGTTTGCGAGAGGCTTTTGTCTCTCTACACTTGTCAGACCCTAGCTTGGCATTGAGGTATGCTAGTGAGGTAGGCCTGTCAATACCCAGTGAGTTGTCAACAGCCATTATAGAGAAGATTGATGACGAAGACCTTCTGGAGAGATTTCTTTTTTCAGAGGATAGCCTGACGGCATTTGAAGCAGGGATATCAATCCACAAAACTAGCAGCAATCAACAGCTATTGAAAAGGGCTACAGATACTATATTGAGATGCCTTGAAGACCTTCCTGCATACAAGGAATACGCAATTGATGTGCTCCTCCTCTCTACATACACATTCTCTGGTTATGCAATGAGTTTCATATCATTGATAGATCCATATGACTTGGGCTTCTGCTCGAAATGCCTAGATTTCAGCTTCAAGATTTCGGAAACTCATGAGTTCCTGCACATCTCCGACTTCCTAGGATCCAAGTTCATGGATACCCACGATGCAACTATACAGAATCAGAACTTCAAGGTCCTTCTTCTAGAGAAGATGGCGTACTTTGCAAACGTCTACTCGTCATATAACGAAGAAATAGTTTCTGAGGCACTGGAGGGTATTGTATCTGAAAACCCGGAAATGAGCTATGGCTCCTTAACATTTCTTTCTTCCTGCCTTGAGGTTATGAGGAAAAGCTTTGAGCCTGGCACAGAAGGGGGGATGGAATATGTAGGTTACCTAGAGAAGCTAGTAAATAAGATAAACGAGGTGAAGTATGGAAAGATATTAAGGTGTTGCTTTAGTCTTCTTAGGAAACATGCCACAAGGGATATCTTCCTGAGGGTTGTTGGAGTGCTAGACTCTTCGTTTGAGCTTCCAAGCAAACCTCTGTATTTGAGAAGCACACAAACGTTCTTAGGAGCATTCATATGCATTGAGCTTTCGGAGATGTGTAAAAGCCTAGGGGAAGACCTTAAGGATAAGGTTATTGGTATTATGTTAAAGTTTGTCGAGTATGGAAAGGAAAGTAAAAGCATGGATGCAAGTTCACATTTGACTATCGTGTCATGCATCAGATCTTTGATATCTTCGAATCCTCAGTCTGAGATCTCATTTGACAACTGCAGGCGGTGTAGGGAAAATGTGCTTGATCCTATTGTTCTCCCTGGAGCTCGGGTTTGCGATGAAAGGAATCTAAATAAACTTCATGAATTCCTGAGCAGGGATGAGAGTGGAGAAGCAGAGATGAAGAATGTAACACAGCTTACAGGGCTGTCTGATCCCATCTATGTTGAAGCAACCACGAGTTATACTCGATATGAAGTTGTTATGGATGTGCTGCTTATCAACCAAACGTCATCCTATCTCCAGAATGTTCTACTGGACTTTGTTACGAGCCAGGGATTCAGCGCCATCTTCATTAACACGCCGTTTTCGTTGTCCAGCAGATCTGTTGTAACAAAAAGGTTTACATTCAGAATTGTAGATGGATCGAATGGGTTTATAAGTGGGTCCATCACGTTCAGGTACCCAGACGAGAGTGGGGAGTATGCCAACACGACATACACGATCAACTTGTCTGAGGTGAAGACGTCTGTGTCCAAGTTCCTTGAGCCAAAGAAAATGGATTCTGATGGATTTAGAGAGATGTGGAAGGAGCTTGAGTGGGAAAACACATATACTCTTAAGTTTGCTACGCGAAGAACATTGGAAGAGATATTTGGGGAGGTGTGCAAGACTCTTAACGGAGAGGTGGTAGACATTGAGTGTGATGAAAGCTATGGTGTTGGGAACATAGCATGTTCTACACTGCAGAATGTATGTGTACTAATCAATGTATGCCTAAGAAGAGGAGAGTATGTCCACTTTGAGTCACGGATCCGTAGTAGGAAAGAAGGAATAGTGAAGTCTGTAAGTGCAGTGGTTGGGGATGTACTAAAGTCTCTCAAGAATAAATGATGAGCTGATGTTCAGATACTCTTGTGTTCGTGGATTTCTTTGAAAATTTTTGATCCCTGAAAATGACATCGGCTGAGCTAGAGGTTTTGGAGTATTTGAATGGACACAAGGATGAAGTGAAGGGGTTGAAGATTGTGCGAGTGTCTGGAAGAGAGATTCTGTATTCCTCTTCCAAGGACAAGAAAGTTTTTAGCTGGGACCTGCATAGCAAGATTGAATCTGAGTTTGGCAAGATATTGAAGCTGTATGAAGGAGGGCATTCCAAAAGGATCAATGGGCTTGATGTATCGAAAGATGGAAGGATGATGGTGACTGTTGGGTCTGATGGAATAGGAAGGATCTGGGACACGGAGGTTAAGAAGTCAAAGCGGCTTGAAGGGCATACCAGGGATGTACTGTGTGTAAGCATTAACAGTAACGATACAAAGATAGTTAGCGGGTCTGTGGACAGGACTATGAATCTTTATAACACAAGGGGAGAGCTTATTGCAAAGATGGGGAAAGATACAGAGAAGATGCACCGAGGATGGATCAATTGTGTTGCATTCCATCCCATTGAGGAGAATGTTCTTGCAAGTGGGTCCACAGATGGTACAGTGAAAATATGGGACCTTGATTCTCAAGAGCACATGCAGACATACCTGGGAGGGGTCTATGTTGATTATGAGAGGGCAAAGGAGAAGAAGGTGTTACCTGTTGATTATGATGAATCAAAGAGTGTCACTGCAATGGCCTTTTCGAAGGATGGGTCCATCCTGACATATGGGGAGAAGAGCGGGAAAGTGTATCTTGTGAATCTCGACACTAAAGAGTGTATTCAGAGCCTTGATGCAATTACTCCAGTCAGATCCATTGCTGTTGGCGAGGCCGAGCCTGTGATTGCTCTAGGGACTGATGATTCCGTAATCATCTGGGAAACTATCAACTCAAGGGTTATTGCGAGCCACAACCTTAAGGAGATTGGAAATGGAGTACGATGCCTGTCCCTAGCGTTTTCTGGAAATGCTCTTTATTGCGGGCTATCTACTGGATCCATTATTCTACTGGAGCTTAGAAAATCGGATTAAACTGGTTCTTTGATTTTCTTTTACTATTTATCTCCCTGAGATGAAGAGGATTGAGTTATATGAGGGGCAGAAGCAATTTATTAAGGATGCAAAAAAGATTGTCGATGGAGAGGCTGTTGGAATATTTTCAAGCCCCACTGGAACAGGAAAGACCATGTCTCTACTCAGTGCAGTGGTAGATTATATCGATGTGGATGGAGTGGAGTTGAATCATAGAAATAGGGTATTAGAGCAAGCTCTTTTCCAAAGAAATGGGGGAACTGTATTCTATTGTACAAGAACACACACCCAACTGGCACAAGCAATAAATGAGCTTAAGAGACTAGACGTGAGATGCAACGCCGTTGTACTGGGATCCAGAAAGATTTACTGTCTAAATGAAAAGATTCTCCAATACAAGAATTCTGATGCTATGAATGAAGGATGCAAGCAGATTGTCAAGGAAGGGTTGTGTGCATTTTATGATGGAGGTGAGTTGTTTGATGGATGTGGAGTCCTAGATGTAGAAGATCTAACCCTTATAGGAAAGGAGCAAAGGCTTTGCCCCTACTATGCATCCAAAATATATTCCCACCAGTGTGATATTGTATTTCTTCCTTATCAGCTATTATTCACCAGAGAGGGTAGAAGAAGTGTAGATATTGATGTCCGAGGAAGTATTGTCATTGTGGATGAGGCACATAACATTTGTGATTCTGTGATCCAAATGAATACATCAACTATACTGTTTATGACAATAAGCAAATACATTAAGGCTATGGAGATGTACAAGGAAAGATATAGCGAGAGGGTTAGGAGGGATGGGGTGCTTGAAAGGATTTTAGAGGTACTCAGAAGAATTGAAGCCTTTGGACTCATGCATTGCAGGAATATGAATGAAGAAGAAGGCGTGATGGGGGTTTCTGAGTTTCTACTTAAGACAAGTATCGAGGATTTCAACATGCTTGAGATTGAGGACTATATAGCCTCTAGTGGGATTTCTAGGAAGTTGGAGGGATTTGAGAAAGATCTGAACCTACAACTTTCAGAGATATCCAAGTTCCTAAGTCTTCTGACAATGAGTGATAAGGGCGGAAGAATCTTTTACACTTCAAAGAGAATCAAGTTCACACCTCTGGATGCAACAATGTATTTTGAAGATGTACTTGAATGTAAATCATTATTGTTTGCTGGAGGAACAATGGAGCCTATTGATCAGCTCGCCTCTGTTCTTGGAAAGAGGAGCCCCCAATACTTTTCATACAGAAGTGTCTGTAGAGACTTTTTGCCAATTGTAGTGGGGTCCGGACCATCTGGAAGGGAGGTTGTAGTGAATTACGAGACAAGAGAAAGTACGGAATCCGTTAAGGACGTTGCCTCGTCTATACTCAACTTCTCGAATGCTGTTAGAGACGGAGGAATGGTATGCTTTCTTCCTTCTAAGGCCTATCTTAAGATACTTAGAGAAGTATGTGGAGACATGATAGGGAGAAAGAAGGCCCTGTATGAGGATCTCACCAACTTTCAAGAGTATGTGTTAGAGGTTAAGAAAGAAGCTTGCATTCTTTTTGCAGTGATGGGAGGAAGACTTAGTGAGGGAATGAACTTCAACGACAAGCTATGCAGGCTGTTGATGGTTGTGGGGGTTCCTTATCCCAGCCAGGATCTTGAGCTTAAAGAAAGAATTAAACACAATGGAAGAGGATATACTACATCGATAGCAATGAGAATAGTGAACCAAACTTTAGGAAGAGCATTGAGACATAAAGATGATTATGCCGTGTTGGTGTTATTAGATAGAAGATATGCTCAACTCTCAAAGCTTATAAGCTCGTGGATAAGAGAAAGGATTGCTTGCTGTAGCTTTGGAGATGGCCTTCTTAAGGCAAGTAGATTTCTTAATAAAGATAGATAGATGCCTCTAAGCGCTTTATTTGAATGGATGGCCTATTCAAAAAACCCATCCATCTTCTTGATAAGCTTCATTGTGATTCTAGGCCCTATTTCATTGAATCCAACTTTTATATCTTCTTCCTCCTTTGTAACAATAGCATAGTGTCTTACATGGATAAGGTCTCCATCGAAATAGAAGTGTAGGTTTCTTTTGAATGTCTTCGGTTGGGAGGACAAGGACATAAACAGCTCCTTGGTATCACTCTCTCCAGTAAATGTTATGCAAGGATCGTCTTTGTAATACTCACTACCCACCATAACGTACTTTGGATTGTAATCAATTACATTGAATACATATGTCGGTCCTTTTGGTCTAACTCCAATCTTGATGTCCCTTGCATCCACTAGAATAAAGTGAGACAGTTCAAGTATATCAGCAACATCCAGATATGACCTCACAGTCGTATTCTTATCTCTAAGCTTTGACGTGACATTGGGTTCTAACATTCTGCGTATGTGCATACACATCTGCTTGGATCTCTTTGTGGGCTTCTTCACCGTTATTACCAGTTTGTTCAGGAATCCCATCCAGGGGTCTTTCAAACCCAGACTTTGACTCGTTTGCAGACAGAGGTCAGATATTTGGGATTTTGGAAACGTCTATCATGCTGTCTTCATCTCGATGTTCAAGATTCAGGAACCCGGCTGCAACATGCTTCTTAATGTTCTCCATTTTTTGGATGGATTCACAAATACCATTCCCCGGGGTAACTAAGAACTTGATCGAATAGTAGTACAGTGCTATGAAAAAGGCTGTCTCCACAAGTGAGTTGACCGGGAGACCTCGACTATAGTCTCCAGCAAAAAACATCGCTGTCATCCTAGCTACTCCAGATGCACCATCAAGGCAGAGGTATCCTATAATACCAATAATCTTAGGTTTTACCCTATCAAGAACTTCCTCTATCTCAAACTTAGTGATGACTTGTGTGTATGAGAGAACGTCATGCACTTTACACATCTTGAGTAACAGCAAAGAGTACAGTGATAGCAGCAGAGAGGTTTCTGCAATGTTTAGGACTTCTACAAGATAGGATCCGAGATCATGCCCACTGCAAACATGAAAGACTAATGGATACAGGAAACTTCCAAGCAGAGAATAATACTTGACAAATGCAATGGAGGTCTTTTCGTCAATCCCTAGGACTCTAAATCTTCTTGATGACACAAGAGGTATGATAAGAGAAGTAGCATAGAACATAAAGCTTTTCTGGAAGCTCCTTGCAGATAGCTCAAGCATCTTCAAAGAGTGGCTGTTCACACTCACTCTCTTGAGCAAAGGCGGTGTTCTTCCTTCCAGGTGATTCTGTGTGTAGAAGAAATAGTAAACGGTTGTGAATATTAGGGCCAGGAGAAAGAATATCATCCCTTTCTTCCTTGTAGACTTGATTTTCTCTATGTACCTTGTACCGGCAGGCTCTGCCTTGTTGTTTGCCCTCAATGCAATAAGATTTACAAGCGTAGCTCCAAGAATAAGCATGATTGCAAGCAGAACAAATGGTGAGATGCTTGTGTTCATTTTTGTTTGTTTTAACAAGAAGGAAACCACGCAACTGTAAATTGTTCAAACAGATTTATGAAACAAGCCAACACAATGGAAAAGAGATGACTCAAAAGATGTAGAAGATCATTAATTAATCCCATTAAACCCGAAGAAACGGGCTCCAAATAATTTTTCTTTATTGCCCTGGAAATGGTCATCCAGCTAATATATCTGGGTGTGTCATATGTGCTGCTGAAAGTGGTCCCGATTGTGTATCAGTACATATACTCCAAGTGCAGGAATCATCAGGTGTGGGAGGGGATAAGAAAGAAGTATGTCCTCATCAATGGGGCGACAGGAAAGGTTGGAAGGGGCCTTGCAAAGAAGTTTGCAGAGAAAGGGATGAAGATTCTTCTTGTTGGGAGAAGCGAGTCCAGACTGACAAGGCTTCATGCAAAAATAGAAAGAATGACAGAATGCCATATGCACATTGTAGACTACAAAAGAAGCCCCAATATATCCTTTGTAGACAAGTACGACATAGGGATCCTGGTTAACTGTGCCAGTGCCATGAAGGATAGCCCTGCATATTTTGTGGAGCAGTCTGTTGAGGAGATCATGAATGCCAATCTTGTAGGCGTGATGTCTTTGACAAGATATGTACTTGTCAATATGATGGATTGCGGATATGGATATGTAATCAACGTTGGATCCTTGATGGGAGAGGCATCAACTCCCTTGTATTCTGCATTTGGATGTTCTAAACAAGCGTTAAAGGCCCTGTCGGACTCTCTTTATTATGAGCTTGAGGGATATAATGTGAATGTAGAATATATGGGAGTTGGAAGTGTATCGTCTGGAGAGGATGGAGAAAAGCCCTCGCTCTTAAGGCCTTCTTCGGATACACTTGCCGAGTCGATTCTTAACACATTTGGATCTGCAAAAATGTCTGTACCTTACTTCCCACACTTCATCCTGTATCTTATAATGCTTTGCATTCCCTCTCCACTTTTGAGTAGAATAATTCTCCGAAGAAATAAAAAGGAAATGATTGAGGTGAGGAATCGAGAGCTGAATCTTGAAAACCAGAAAATAAAATAGGCCCTCCACTGGAAAGCTTGAAGCGGATGCGCTGGGGTTAGTAAAGAATAAAGCCGATTTATTATCAATTGATAGATGATGCTTGGGATGATATCTTGGGCCACATATCAGCAACCTCTCTGGGCACAGGTCCAGCTATCTGTGCACCTCTCAACTCTCCCTTGTTGTTAATAAGGACTGCTGCATTATCCTCAAACATAATATGAGATCCGTCGGTACGTCTCCAAATCTTCTTCTGCCTTATAAGAATGGCATAGTGTACCTTCTTTCGGAGCTCAGGCTTTCCCTTCTTAACAGATACAACACAGATATCTCCTGGAGCTGCAGCCGGAAGTCTGTTGAGTCTTCCTCTGTACCTCTTCACCCCAATACATCTGAGGATCTTTGCCCCACTGTTATCTGCACACTTTAGAAGCGATTCTACTTGTACACCCCTTGACATCTTGTATCGAGGCTTTATTGAAATCTTCTTCTCCAGAACCTCTGTCTTCTTCTCGGCAGCCATATTTCTGGGGCTGGGATCTAAATTTTTTTGTAAGGGGAGAGGATTCAGAATAACCTTTCTTCAGGATCCATGTCCAGAATGGTTCAAGGCACTTCCATACAAATCTTTCATACTGACCGTGGGCCTTGATATCCCAGACCTCGTTCCATTCTTCTTTCCGAGATCTTGCCATATGCTTTGCCTCAACTCTTTGACCTTTGCCTCTCCCAGTTGATCGGTAAGAATCTTGTCCATTTCAAGCAATCTCAGTCTTATCTTTGTTTTGACCTCAAGCTCATCAGGTGCATTCATTCAAGAATGGGATGGTATCCTTGTATATTTACCCTGCTGTTTAGAAAGATCACTCTGGACACTCGTTCTTGGATAATAATTATCTCCACCCCATCCGATGAAGCCGTTTCTTGTGGGCCTTTTGAAGTGCAAGAGGTGCTCGTTTATGACAAGATTGGTTCTACAATGCGAAGAGGTGGAAAGCTGCAATGCAGACGATGTCCAGATATTTAACAAGCATGTGTTCACTGAGAATGGTGGGGAGAGGTTGAAGCTTCTTGCAAGGAGCCTTGAAGGTTTTTATAGCAACCCTGTCTCTGAACAGGAAATCGATTCTTTTGTTGAAAATCCTGACCATGATGAAAGAATAAAGGAGCTTTTGTTTGGTGTGGATGTTGTGGAGGGAAGTCTAAGATGTGATACATGTGGCCTTATATACCCGATCAGGTGCTCGATTGTGGAGACGGTTGATACCATTGAGTCCAAATAAAAATACGTTCCATAGTTTACAGGTCTGTTACTTTATCTGAAATCCTTTACTTCCTAGCCCTTGGGATGACAGATGTCAAGGCTTTTGAGGCTTTCTATGAACATTTGAGGTCACAGGGAAAGGGAGACCCGGAATTGAGAAGCGAGGAGCTGGAAAAAGCTGTAAGAGAGATGCTAAGAAAAGCAAAGATAGTGAACTTTGAAGAGTATATACGAAGCTACAAATATAGGAGAAGGATGATGAGCAGGCTTCAGGAGACGATGGTTTATGGAAAAGGAGATTCCATGCTCTATGCATCGAAGGAGATGTTCAGAAGCAGCATGGAGCTTCTTGGGCATTCTGGGCAGGTTGATAGGATATGCTTTGATCAGGGGAATAGATTTTTCATGTCTGGAGGCTCTGATGGAATGATTAAGCTTTGGGATGTTTACTCAGGACTTTTGGTGCATAGCTTTATAGGCCACAGAAATTTTGTAAGTGACCTTTGCATCAGCAGTGATGGAAAGATTTTAGTTTCATGTGACTCTCATGGGCTGTTGAGTGCTTGGTCTCTAGAACGGTTTGAGGTACTCTTCCAGCTAGAACTTGGGTGTGAGATCATATTCACCGAATTCTTTGATACGGGTGATGGATCTGCCTACAACCTGATTGTCGTTTTGTCAAGAGGTATTATCAAGACGTATAAGTTTGAAGGAGGTAGAGTTGTATTTGAGTCTGAGAATCTCTGTCTTCTTGATGAGGCCATAAAGGGGCTGTGTTTTACGGATGGAGGAAGGTTTCTCCTATGTAGCGGATGGTGGCCATTTCTTGTTGTCTTTGACACCCAGGGTTTTGATGGATGCATAGTTCTTGAGACCAATGGAATGCCTGTGAATACAATATGCGGGGCGAAGAAGGGGCTTAAAATAGCTGCAGCATGCGACACCCAGGTGTTCCAGTGGACGTTTTTTACAGAAGGAAATCCTGGGATGGGAAACTTCAAGAGAAGAACAAAGGACACATCGTTACAGGGTCACTGGAAAAGATCGATCATCAAAATAGACATCAGCGAGGGAGAATTGGTTGAGAGAATATGCTATCTTAGAGACAATTTTCTTGTATGTATATGCACAGACCTGAAGATAAGAATATATGCAGGGACAGAGCTTAGATGCATCATAGATACACCCGAGATGGGGATTGCATATCCACATCCATTAGAGAATGTGTTTGCGCTGTGTGGAAGTAACTTAAGGATGTATAGTATGGAAGGATTGATTTATGAAGAGATGCTAAGCTTTGGTATCAATGATGCACAATTTTCGAACGACGGGGAATTCTTTGTATTTGGAGACGAGAGAGGAGTTGTTCGGGTAATTTCGATGAATTTTTTGCCAAAGCCTCCCAAGGAACAGTTTTTTCTATCTGATCTTGATCATCTCAACTCTACTGAATGGAATGGGGTTGTTAGATGCATGAAGGAATCCACATACGAGTCTGATAGAAGGAGAAATGAGGATTGGTATCAGGTAGAATATGTTGTTACAGGAAAGCAGAGCAGTTGCATAGGGGTTGAGGACTTAGGATCCAAGCATTTTATGAAGGACCTTATCAATCTCGAGTCGTTCCGAAGAAAGTATATGAATGTACCACTTCCAGGAGAATCTCAAACTGTGGAACAGGCAACGATATCTGAGGATAGTAGTAGTCTGGTAGAGGACACAGAGAGTGAATTATCTGAGGAGTCTGTTGATTATACCAGCGATGAGGAGATGTCAGAGAAGAGCATAGAGACACCACCTCTGAGGAGGTTCCTTATTGATAGTGATGAGTCTTCAGGGAACATCCCTGTGCTAAGGAGGAATGCCCACGATGGAGAAGATGGAGGATTAAGCCCTATCGGGATGGCAAGAAGATTAAGAAGACATAATAGAACTAGAGCTGATAGTGAAGAGGACAGGACGGATGCCTTAGATCTGGGGAGAAGGGGCACTATAGACAGAACCATTCTTTCTCATTACGAAAGGCTGGAGGGTGCTAGTGATAGGAGGAAAGATGAGTTAGGAGAGAGTAGTGATGATAGGTATATGGGCGGGCTGGTTGAAGGATTAGGATATAATGAGCAAGAATTAAGACAATATGTCCAATCATGGCTATCATCGCCAAGTATGGGGCCTCAGCCAGGGGATGATGTTTACCTGGATTCCGAAGGTCTTAGAGAATTCCAGTTATTTGACGGAAGAAAGAAGTTTGAGGGGCCTACAGGAGTATGTTCTGGATACTACGAAGTAAGATCTCTTGAGGCTGTCAAGTACAATCCTCCATTCCTTAAAGTAGTACTTTGCCTTGGAGAAGAGAGCTTCTCTATAAGATATTATAGATATCCTGGGTCATCGCCTGTATTGTTACTGAAGGAACAGATGAGTGTCAGTGCTGGGGATTTCATAAGCTTTGCATTGAACGGAATAATATCTCGAGGGAAAGTATCTGGGGTTCGCGGTGTCCATCTTGCTGTTGACTCTGGAGGAAGCTCTGTATTAGTTGAGAGGTCGGATGTGTTAGTTCCAAGGATCCTATTTCCTTCGAATGTAAAGATGGAGATACTAAAGATGATCAGGCAGAATAGGATGCATAGGGGCCTTTATGTAACCTTGAGAAGAGAATCTAATGGATCTTACTATGAAAATGTTGCCTCCACTGTCAACCTGGGGGTCATTGAGGAGAAGATTCAGAATGATCTATACCGTACTGTTGGGGGATTAGAGTTTGATCTTGACATTGCAATCAGCAACTCGATGTATTTGGGGCCAGTACTCCACGGGCATTGCCAGCAGGTTGTGAATGGGATCCGGATGATAGTGAGAAATATCTAAGGATATGAGGAACTAATTTCAAGGCCCAATCACCCTAATGTATTATGACGTGAATATCAGCTTGGATTACTTGAAGCAAGACATGAAGGAGTTAGAAGAGAATGAGTATGAAGGTTTTTGTGTGAATAGAATCATAAAACCAAGAGATTTGGAGAAAATCAGATACGAACCTGTTGAATTCCTTGGAGCAAAGCCTTGTTACAGCCGTGTGGAGGTTGTGTTTGAAGAGAAGGAGGAAGTTGGATATGATGCAAAAAAGTCTATGAAGTATGATCTGTTTGTTGTGAGGCTGAACGGGGTTGCTGGGATGGACAGGCTAATAAGATGTCAGCCAGATATGATTACATTCAACTATGGGAGTCAGATTCTTCCATTCAAATGTGGACTGGTCAGGACGGCAATCAAAGAGAATATATTTTTTGAGGTACCATTGAGGGAAAGCCTGTATGGAGGAACTTCCAGTATTATGTGGATGAGGAATGTACGTAAGCTACTCTTTATTACGAATGGCAAGAATGTTGTGTTTAGTAGTGGGGCACGATGCTCCACGGAGATCAAGAGGCCTAGGGACATCACGAAGATGCTGGAGATGTTTGGACTTAAGAAGAAGAGGGCTTCTGAAGTGATGCTCAACTCCTTAAGACTTCTAAGAAGATGTGCAATGAAGAGGTATTATTATAGAGGCTCTATTACCCACAGCGTTGATGAAGGATCTTTGAAGAGGGATTTTGTACTATCTCTGTACAGGGGATGATTGGTTAAGAATAAAGCTTGGCTATGATAGCTATATTTCACCTATCTTTTCTAAGCCTTCACTGATGTATTTTGATATGAATGTGAGCAGTAGATGCCTTGGACCAGAGTTGATGGATGTTTTAAGACAGCTCGGACATGATGGGATCTGTGTAAACACTGTGGTTGAGTTGGACATAGTGAAGAAATACAAGAAGCCTTCTTTCGATGGCTGGAAAGACAGGAGGATTTATGAAAGAGTGGAGATAAAGTATAAAGATTGTGAGGATTGGGATGATGTTAGAAAGGATATTGATCCCGATGTTGTTGCAGTTCGATTGGAAGGCATGAAGGATTTCAAGAAAGTTCTTGAGATGCGCCCAGATGTGATTACATTTGATTACACCAAAAGCTTCTGTCTTGGAAGAGATGAGTTCATTGAAGCTACAAAAAGAAACATATTCTTTGAGATTCCCCTGGTATGCGGAATGTACAGCCAAAGAAGCAAAGCCATGTGGATGAGGAACGCTAGAAGACTTCTAAATGTCACTGGGGGAGTGAATGTTGTGGTTGGGAGTGGAGCAACATGTCTTACGGAGATGAGAGGAGGACAAGACATCATAAAGATACTCTGGGGGCTTGGGATGAGTGAGGATAATGGAAGAAAGGTATTGCTGAACTCTGCCAGGCTGGTCAGATCTTGTGATGTAAGAAGATATGTTATGAATTAAAGGATGGGATTGGTTCATTGGGAATAAGGTTCTGAAACGGCTCTTGTTCTGTGATCAGTGAGATAAATAGAGTTTTGAAGCAAAACGAAAAGTCATGGGAGCAAGAAGAAATAGGATGAGAGGGCGAAGTAGGATTCAAGGCCTTGGGAAGGGTACTATCCGAGAGGTCAAAGAGATTAAGAAGGAAGAGAAGCAAGAAGGAAAATTCAATGTCGACTTCCAAGAGCTCAACAATGAGTTGTCTACCATTGAGCTGAAGGACGAGAGTACAAAGCATTCTGATGGCAGTGAGGCGAGCTGTGAGAAGGATTCTTGTATGAACGATAGAGATGATAAGGCTGAAGAGATCAATGACAAAGAAGTGGTAGACGAGAATGGCAGAGACGTTGAAGAAGAGGGTAAGATAGGAAGCAGACAGGAGAATGAAGTTGATGTTGTAGGGATGTCTCAGATTCTCCATCCCATGACACCGAATGTATTGACTAATGCTGTGCTTCAGACACCCGTGAGAAGAGTACTCCATGAAGAGGGAAACAACCTTCTCGTTAAGGAGGAGGGCCTGATGCTTCCGAGCAAGATGATCATCAACAGGTATCCTGGGTATCTATTTATTCATATAGATCAGGTGGAAAGGTTCATGACATCTAGGAAGGAGGTAGAGAGCGTATCCATTAAGATTGAATCGAAAGGGATCCTCTGCGAGACAAAGCGATATCCTGTGAATACAAATGTGGGAATGAATGAGATGCTGCGGGTTCCTATAAGCAAGGTGGAAAGCACGGGGACACCATTGAGATTCATACTTCTGCTGCATCACAAATCCGGGCATGTAACAAAGTCATGTGAAGCCATGCTTATAATTGACAGTAGCCGAATTCGGTCAATACATAACAATCTTCTTGAAAGTAGGTTAGCATGGGACAACTATGTATCAAGGAACCTGCTCAAGAGTATACGAAGTTTTTTCACAAGTGGAGCACCGGATGCATGGAGTCTTAAGATCTATCTGTCGTTTATATCTGAGGACGAGTTTAAGCTAATTCCTGCGCCTCTCCCTCAGGATCTTAAGTCCCTCAGCAAATGGCTAGTGGTGAAGAAGTTTTCCTACAATATATGGTTCCGAGGATTTGTGAATGTCAGAGGAGATGCTGGAAAGGCATGCACCAGCCTGTGGAAGAGAAGATATGTAAGATGCTATGGATACATGATCTTTGTATTTAACGAGCATTCCAGAAGTCTCATTGGTACAATAAGCCTTGTGGATGCATGTTTTGACCCAAGCACAAGCAACAAAGTGTATCTAGAAAATTTCCTTCGTATTAACCTTGGGCGGAGTTCGGTTGAGTTCCACTTTGACACAAAAGACAAGTACAATACATGCAAGAATGCACTAAGTATGATGCTTCCTCAGTCGCTGTTCTACAATAAGGTGTAGTTGCTTGGAAGGATCTGTGCTTTCTTGGGAGACATTATCTTATTAAAGACCTTAACATGAACTTTCTTTTCACAATTTGGGATGGAGGGAAGTTTTCCCGCCAAGATTAAGGATTTCTAGGAAATTTAGGATCCCAGATGTTTATGCGACCTGTTTTGAACGAGACAACAAATGCCACTAAAAGATCTGATTCTAAGGGCAAGGAGATCGAAAGTGACAAGGAAAGGGTGCTTTGCTTTCTGAAGAATACCTACATGAAGACTAGGGATCATTCTCTGAGATATGACCTGAAGAAATGCCTAGAGATAATTGAAGGAAAGGAGAACCAGGAGATTACCGACCTCCGAAATGCCTTGGAGGAAGCCCTTGTTGAGAACGAGGCTCTGTTTGCAGAGAAATGCGAGCTCGCTGTTACTCTTGAATGTATGAAAGCAGAAAAGGGGGAATGACTCGTTGGTGGTGATATACATTAAAACTTATTTAGTGATGTGAGAGAGTTGAGCCGATTTATTGGTATGTGCTTTACCCTGGGTGGAAATGTATACGAGATATAGATTGTAAGTGAAGGTAGCTAATTTAGGGTTTTTGCAAGGAAAGGGGCACGGGTCGAGGATGGAGTGCTTCAAGAGTTTGTACAAGAGATCATCCGAGGGTTTGGAGGTCTTGATTTGCTGAGCAGGGTTGATGTAAAATGCAATGGAGGAATTATTGGTGTTGAGGCCGACGAAGAGGCCTCCAATGTTGTGCACGGGTCTCTGTTTTTCTGTGGTGAATATAAATCTGTTAAATGCAGATTCGAGCAGGTTGATTAAATAGTTTGCTGAATATGGTATTTACCTATAAATTATTTCGAAATGATTTGTTTAAAAAACAGATGCATCTGAAAACAATGACGAAGAGTTTGGAAGGATACAAAGAGGTAAAGGTGATCAGAAGGGAGCAAAGAATCCTAATTAGTTCTGCGGTTGACATGACGAGCGGAGAAAAGATTATTCTTGAATCGGTGGATCTTTCTGGATTTTCTGAAGACTATCGGTCGTTATTGATGAGTTTTCTATTAAACCACAAGATTAACCATTCTCCTTATGCCATGAAAGTTCTAAAGGTTCTTGAAGGGGAGGACTGGATCTGTGTAGTACAGAAGCATATGTCTCTTGGGCCTGTTGATGGACTTATCAGAGACCAAATCTTTTTGAGTGATGATTTCATATTCTACGTGTTTATGCAAATAGTGTATGCCATGAAGATAAATGGAGATGAAGGATGGTTCTGGGACAAGATGTCTCCGAGATACATATGGCTTGATGAGGATGGAAAGGTCCGGATATGTTGGGCAGACGTTGTACTGGGGCATATGAAAGCTTTAGGGGAGCAGATAGAAAGGTGGCGCAAGGGAACGGAATGCGGAAAGGATGTGAGGCTTCAAAGTAAAATTGATGGAGAATCGGTATCGTTCAGGAACTTGAGAAAAATATTTGTAGAGCTTGCCTTAAATCCGTCTGAGCCTTCTAGAATGATTTACACAAAGGATATGGAGGACCTTGAAGACTCTCCACTTGCAGGACATAAGGAGAAACTTTCCCCGGCTCTAAATGGATTTGCATCACTTTTGTTTGAGGAGAAAGGAAAGGTGAGTGATCTAGAAGAGTACACTAGAAGGATGATCCAGGAGAAGAAGATAGTTAGCAATCCTCGGGAGATATTCAAACCGTTAAGAATGATTATAGAAGAAAGGAATAGAGATGAGGAATTTAGTACCCTGGAAGGAATGAAAGAGCATAGTGGAGGGATTTTAAAGATGGAGGAAGGAGAAAGTGCCAGTGGATCTGAGGAGGGGTGGAAGAGTGAGAGTGGAAGCAAAGGGGATGATGAAAGGGTTGGGTCGTTTGGAACAAGAGAATATAAAAGAGGCAGATTCCATGTATGTGAAGCAATTCCATTAGGAGAGAGGGAGAAGGGATTAAAGATGAACGAACAGATGAAGAGAATGGTTAGGATTGTGAGTGTACAGAATCAACAGATAAGCCTCCTTACAAAGGTATTGAAGCAATCAGGACTCCTAACTAAAGAAGTAGATGGAGAGCTTTGTGAGTTGGAAGAGTTGATGAGCTTTCTCTTATTTGGGATGGAAAGACAGTAAATACATCATCATAGATAAAGTTTGTTTAATCTACTTCTTCTTTGTACCGAAGTCAAGCCCCAATGGAGGATGCTTCTTACTTGTGTGACTTGAGTTTCTATTCTTCATCTAGTGCCGGAGATTCACTAATTGCATCCGACAAGATGGGGGTTGTGCACATAGTGGCGCCTGTGATGAGCACGATGAGTGTGGATCATTTCAAGAAAGATATCAAGTTCTATCCCACTGATGATCTATGCTTTACTACTGCAGACATGTTCAAGGGAATACGGGTATGGGACAGATGCCTCGGAGAGGTGGTATATTCCTATAAGGAGGATAGTATTAAGATGCATGCATATAGCCGGACAGGATGCTTGGGGGCTGTCGGAGAAGGGTGTGTGAAGCTCTATGATCTCAGAGTCAGATATAACATTGATGCAATACCTCTAAAGATGTGCTGGAAGGCTGAGTGGGGAGAGGATAAGATATATTGTATCAACGACGAGTGTGTGGTTGAGTATGACACTAGGAACATGAGCAGCATGATGTGCTCTGAGAAGAGCGAAGCACAATTGAAAAAGAAAGACATTGAAGGAATTCTTGACTTTGCCAGCACCAGCAAAGGAGAGTTCTGCACGGTTCTGAGGGAAGAGGTGACGTATCTAATGAGGATATCTGGGCTGGAGGTAATGGAAGGAACCAGAAGAACATCGGTTGGGGGTAAGATCATAAAGATTGAAGACTCTTTTGATGATTTTGTGATTGGAACAGTGAACGGAAGTACAATGGGTTTTTATGAATATAAGGACACCTGGACACACAAGTTCGACGGGCTCACGAATGTGGATTGGATGTGGTTTGGGAAGAACAAGACATATATGTTTGCAGATAGAAAGGTGTATTTCATGGTGGGAGGATACGAAAGGTTCAAAACGGCTATGAAAGGAGGACCAGACACTGCTGAAGGATGAATAAGTATGGCATCATAGATTGCTGGTGAATAAAAATGGTCTGGGAAGATGGGGCATAAACAAAATGAAATTCAAGAGAACAATACAAAAAACATTTGGATCGTCGAAAGTGAAGAGCATACAAATGCATCCTACAAAAGCCATAGCAATAATAGGGCTGTTTAGTGGGGATGTACAGGTCTGGGATATAGATAAAATGAGCATGGTGAGTAATATCCATGTATCTAATGAGCCTATTAGAACCTGTGTAATCCTGAGTAGAATGGATTGGCTACTTGTGGGGAGTGATGATGGAAATGTCAATGTCTATGAGCTAGGGAAGTATAGGAAAATCAAGACTTTCTATGCACATGACGACTTTATCAGAAAGATTGAAGGCCATCCTCAGGATTCGTTGTTTCTGACTGCCTCAGACGACACGACATTAAAGATGTGGGTATATGAAGGAGAGATAAGCCAAAAGATGGTGTACACAGGACACACACACTTTGTAATGGATGTATGCTTCTATCCAAATGATAGTGGTAAGTTTGTTTCATGTTCTTTAGACTCAACAATCAAGGTATGGAACGTAGGCCAGTCGCATTGTGTGAAGACATTCAGGGGGCATGCATCAGGAATAAACAGTATATGTTTCCTCAGCGGAGATTACTTAGTTTCAGGGGCCGACGACCTGGTGCTAAAGGTCTGGGACTTTCAAACGACCCAGTGCATAACAACTCTTTCTGGACATACAAACAACATCAACAAAGTATATCTATTTACTAGCTTCCCATTGTTTGCCTCATGCGGAGAGGATGGAAGCATAAGACTATGGAATAACAAGACATTCAAGCAAGAGGACTTACTTATGTTACAAGGGGGGAGAGTCTGGGATGTGAAGGAGAAGGATGGAAAGATAATTGCTGGATGTGATGAGGAGCTCGTCTTTATCAATGCTCATCGAGGCTCGTCTCTTGTTAAGATGAGCAAGAGCAGAATATTCTATTCTGTTTCAGGCTCGATTTTTGGAGTCAAGAGTGGGAACATAAATGCGTCTAAGGAACTGTGTAATGTTGGGTTCTACCCCGATGAGCTAGAAGTCTCTCCAAGTGGAAAAACAATAGCAGTTGGAAGTGAAGGAGAATTCCATATATTTTCGTCGTTAGGATTCCGAAAGAAGTTTAATGGAACAGGGAGGGACTTCCATTTCATAAATGATGACGAGTTTGTTGCGAGAAACGGGGATGATGTGAGCTTTTACAAGAAGACTGAGGTTGTCAGAAGTATCAGTATAAAAGGGATTAGCAAGTTGTTTTGCCTAAGCCCTACTCTAATAGGATGTAATATTTGCGACCAGACAAGGATTTATTCATACTCGGGAGAGTTTATTTTATCCATTGACCATGCCTCTGACCATCTGGCCATAGTTGGGGACTTTCTAGTTGCATGCGGAACATTAGTAAGAATATACCGAGTGAATTATGAGGTCATCGACGGATTTATTGAGCAAGGGATTGAGGTTCCTGAAGAGGGGATAAGCGACGCATTAGTGCATCTTGGAACCGAATACTACTCGGTTTCATCATGGTGTGCAAGCGAGGAAGTCTTCTACTTTGTATCAAACAATAAGGGATACTATCTTATCTTGGGCGACAAGCCTTATGTACATCACTTTTCGTCTATCAATGGAGTAGTTGCCGGTATTGAGGACGGAACTCTATTCTATCTTCATGACAAGGAGATTGAGTCCAAAAAGATCGACATGGAGTTTCTTGAATTCCAGAGATCTGTAATGCTTGAGAAGGAGTACAAGATGACCGAAGGCATACGTAGCAAGGCGATTGCATTCTTTGAGTCTCTAGAGATGCATGAAAAGGCCTTGGAACTCTGCACCGATGATAACCAGAAGTTTGAGATTCTCCTTAAGCTAGATAGATATGATGAGGCATTCTCAAAAGCAAACAGTATTGTCAAGTATGACAAGCTTGGAAGGTACTTCCTTAAAGCAGGGGAGCTATCGAAGGCATCTGAATGCTTTCTTAGATCAAAGAACTGGGTATGTCTCCTTCTTGCAGATATTCTATCTGGGAAAAAGAATCTTAATGTTGCTGGAGCAGAGTGCAGGAAGGAAGGAAGGCTTAACCATGCATTCTTTGCATATCTGAAGGATGGGCAGTATGCAGAATGTGCGAAGTTGCTGGAAAGTACACCTTTCTTGCCCTTATTTGCCAAAAACTATCTTGATTAAATAGGCTTAGCTCCTTTTGAAACTCTCTATCTTCATAAGTACTGGCGGAGGAATCCCTGAATGGAAGGACTAAAAAAATGGTACCCGATAGAGGTGACGACACACAACCTGCACTTCCATGAGGAGGCATCTATATTTACAATGCATGGAAATGAAAAGTTCATAGCTACTGGGGGAGGAGACAAAGATATAAGGTTGTGGAGAGTGGAGAAGGATACATGCAAGGGCATAGATTTTTGCTACACCACAGCGATTGATTCTTCAATAAAGATAAAATACCATGCTGTGCTTTCCGGGCATCACAGAAGTGTGAATTGTGTTAGATTTAATGGAGACATACTGGCATCTTGCTCTGATGGAGGAGAGGTCATATTGTGGAAGGGAAGGAAGGCCTATGTGGTAAGAAGGATTGATGGAGACGATGCATATGAGCTTGTATGGGGATGCAGACATCTCTTTGTTGGATTTTCTAGTGGAAATATATTAGTGTACCAGGTGACTTCGGACAACAATTTCCTTGATACTGCCGATGCAATTAACGAAGGTGAATTTAACGAAGCTTCAGATAGTGAATGCTCCCCTGGAAAAGAGAAGGATTGTAAGCAGGGAATATCTACCAAACTAGTGCAGAAGATAAAGTGCCACGAGGACATAATCCAAGGTCTTGCATTCAACCATCACTTCAATGTTCTGACGTCTCTGAGTAAGGATTGCACAGGAAAGACATTTCTGTTTACAGATAAGCTTATTGAGATAGAAAAGATGGAGTATCATGATGGAAACAAGCTTTTCTCTACTGGAAGAGGATTCTTCAGGAGGCTTTCGTATTCTCCAGATGGGAAGCTTTTGTATCTTGTGTGCTGTAGATCAAACAGCGTTGTAGTGCTTCACTATCCATTCCGAATGGAGCATGTGTATGCAACGATAGGCCCCTTTGATTCTGAGCCTCTGAAGGTTGTGTGTGGAGAAGATAGGGTATTTATCACGACAAAGAAGAGCCTGTATATGGTTGCCCATAACAAGCCGGCGTTGTGTGTGGATAACATTTCCTTTATGACCATAACTGATGGGCATGTGTTTGATGGTGTTTGCTTTCTATCCTCTTTGGACGGGTTTCTGTCATCGATACGCATGAAAGAAGATTAGATCTGATGTTTACTGGTAATATTTCCAAGGCGAATGCAAGCCCTTGGATGGGAATCCAGGACAAGATTAATGAGATAGAAGCTGAGATGGCCAGAACCCAGAAGAACAAAAAGACCGAGCATCACCTTGGTATTCTTAAGGCAAAGCTTGCAAGATATAGGCATGAGCTTGATGCGCCAAAGGCCAAGGCTTCAAGAAGTGAGGGATTTGAGGTTTCCAAGAGTGGAGATGCCAGGGTTGCGTTGATTGGATTTCCTAGCGTCGGAAAATCGACACTGTTGTCAAAGATTACAAATACATACAGCAGAGCAGCGGAGCATGAGTTTACCACCTTAGAATGTATATCTGGAAAGATGTATTTGAATGGAACATGGATCCAAGTCCTAGACCTCCCAGGAATTGTTTCTGGGGCTTCGCAGAACAGGGGGAGAGGGAGACAGGTGATAAGCATTGCAAGAACAGCTGACTTGATATTGATGGTTCTTGACCCTCGGAGGCATGAAGATAAGAGGACTCTTGAAAATGAATTGCATGAGATGGGGATAAGACTGAACAAGAAAAAGCCTGACATATCACTTACATGCACAACAAGTGGAGGGATCAACATTGGGGTAACCTGCCAGCTCACAAAGACAACTGAAGAGACAATAAAGGCTATTCTGAGGGAATACAAGATCAACAATTGCCAGATGTTTGTAAGGGAGGATGTGTGTGATGATGATATTATAGATCTTGTTAGTGGGTCCTCTGTTTATGTGGATTGTTTATATGTATACAATAAGATAGATGAGCTTTCTTTAGAAGACTTTAACAAGGTTGCAGAATATCCTGACAGTACACTCATAAGTTGCCAGAAAGAATGGAATATCGATATGCTACTTGAGGATATATGGAATAAGCTGGGACTTACAAGAATTTATACAAAGAAGAAGGGAGTGTTCCCCACCCTAGATGACCCGGTTGTGATTAGGGAAGGAGGAACAGTGAAGGACTTATGTGCCCACATTCACAAAGACTTTCTTTTGAGCTTTAAGCATGCATTGGTGTGGGGGACCAGTGCAAAGCACAGCCCACAGAAAGTTGGCCTTGGCCATACTTTAGAAGATGAGGACGTGGTTCAGATCTTTCTGAAATAATTTAATTTTGGATGTATCTATCGAGATATATTTTCATATCACCATCAGCTTGGGTAAAAGCTTGTAAGAATATGGAATATGCAGCATCCTCTTTCCTTTGATTATACATTCTTACAACGCCTCTGAACAGGTCATTTTTTATGAAGTATCTGTGGATGAATCTACTGCTGCAGGATACAATTTGGAGAAGTACTTTGGAGATAAACACCGAGCTCATATTACTCTCACACCCAGATATGAATATTCGCTCCATAAGTCCTGTATTAACTAGAAGCTCTCTAGCTCTAAATCCATGGTTAATGAGCAAGTAAATCAGAAAGTTCTGTAGGTCTGGATGGCATTCTAAATTATCAAAGAGACCAGAGACCTCCATATAGAACATGTCCAGCTTTTCAGGTTTGCATTCATCCAATAAGATATACAAGCCCTCAAGAACGTATAAAAGGCCATCATCAAAAGTCTTTTCACCTATTAAATTTCTGGTTCTACATAGTATATGCCCTAGGTCAACAACCTCAGACATCCTTTCTCTGAATATAAAGCAGAGATAATAGAAAGTCTCACAGAAGTAGTTGTTGTCTCTATAAATCCTTTCCAAGTACACATCTATATTTCCAACCCTACAAACATTGCTCCCACATCTTTTGAGGAAACTTCTTATTTCCTCATCTGACATTTCCGTCACTTTACTTTCATTTCTCGTTAACTCTTGCTTATTTATCATGATGAGGAAGTTCTCATATGTCCTTGCAGTAGATTCATCAAGATTCTTTGCTATAATTTCTCTGTAGAAGCCATGTGGTGTGACCTTGTTGATTTTACTATTGAGAACAACCCCAAATAGCTCAAATACCTTCTCCTTGTTCTCTAATAGCATTCTAAACAGGTGGAAGTCTTCCATTCTTAGAAGGTTTAGTACTCCATCTCTACTCTCGAGCATTCTCCCAAACACTGAGCCATCCATATACCTGCTTATCCTAAGAAGATTTGAAAAGAGGTTTGACTCCTTTTCAAAAGTCATCCTTCCTTCCGTACTCATCCCGTCTTTGCTCAAAACATCTTTTTCCATAAACTCGACAAAATCATCTCGAATATCTTCGGTTTCAAAGCAAACAGCATGCTCTTCAAGGTCATTGTATACAATTACAATATTCTTCTCTGATCTCTCACACTGCTTCTTGCCTAGGGACATTTCAAAACATTTCCCAGTTCCATCATCCTCGATAAAGATACAATCCTTTTCAATGCGGAATATCATTCCCATGCATATCTCCTCCCACTCATCATTCACACTCCTGAAGATTCTAGCCTTTACAGGAACCATCAGGGATCTTCCACAAGAAAGATATTCACTAAAAAGAGTAGGCATTTATTACTGCCAATGACTTAGGGTACATTATAGCCCAAACCCAGGGTCAATCTTCTTAAGTCCTTTATAACCAAGTAACGAGAGCCCAGCTAGAGCGAACATAAGGTGGTATAAATCTGCCTCGTTCCCAGGCCTGTCAGAAAACCCACCATATCGCCCCTGACATGCAAGTATGAACTTTACAAGCTCTTTCTGATTCACACGGCTTTCCCTTCCAATGAGGACAAGGGAAGAGTATGCCCAGAAAGAATAGCAAACATCTTCTTTCTTGCTTACTCTTCCAGAAAGGCCTCCAGAGACCATCTGTTTCATTGCTACAAATCTTGTCACCCCTTCCACATCTATCAGCTCTAGAGCCCCAAGCGATCTTAAAGTACTCAAACAGCAGAATACTTGCGCAGCGTGGGATTCAGCCCCCTCAACGGCCCCAAACCCTCCATCTAGGTTGTAGCACTTCTGAGTGTATGAGACAATCGTTTTTATATCGATTCCAACCTCAGATAGAAATACCTTACATATAGGGCTTGATAAGCTTTTGGGATCAAAGTCTCCCTTTTCCAATAGAGATAGCAAATGCAACCCTAGTACTCCACAGCAATTGATTCGAGTATCTACCTCTCCATAGCTATCATTGAAGAAATATCCCTCAGGCTGTAGTAACTTTGATATAAATGATGCAGTACTTCTATCACGGTAATGGATACGGTAGATATAAAGTATTTGTAAGGCATTAAACGTGCTTGTTATGTTCGAAGAGTATCCTTCACATCCTCCAAACCCTCCATCATCATCATTCTTGCATCTCATCACATAATCAATCACTCGGCCCTTCATCTCCTCTATTTCTTCCTTCCCTAGCATTGATAGGGAATTCACAGACCAGTATATGGTGTTAAGCCTGTATGGCTCAGTCAAGTAATACAGGAAGTTCTTTGTGTGGATCGTCCTCTGGATAAAAGAATAATGCTCATCCACCTTCAATTCCATTCTAGGGTGTCCAAATTTCTCATCCTCTTCACAACCTACCTATTGAAAGGACAGGTGAAACATATTGTGCAGTAGCTCTCCTTTGATCTTATCGCAAAAACGAATCCGTATGTCTAATAAACACCAAGATCACTTCAAAAGTGTTTACATCCAATCAAAACAAAAACAAAGATGAATGAAGTGGAGAGCAGCAATCGTGACCTTTCTCACCCAGACATCCCCACGGAGGACCAGATAGAAGAAGAAGCCAATAGCAGACGAGGACTCCTTAGATACTTCAGAGTAGCAAGGGTAGAATATACCAAGTTCGCCATCTTAGGCTTGATGTTTGGAATAATAGGGTTCATATACTCATTCATGAGAATCCTGAAGGACATGTTTGTGATGGTGAGGCAAGAGCCTACAACAATACTGTTTATCAAGATCTTTTACATTCTTCCGGTTTCAATGGCCCTTGTATTTCTCATACAATACATGCTGGGAACAAAGACAGTCTCTAGAATATTTTCTATCTTCTGCGGAGGATTTGCATCTTTGTTCTTTGTGTGTGGAGTTGTGTTTCTGATAGAGGAGCAGGTTTCTCCCTCGAAGTTTCTGTTTAGGGACATGTTTATTGATGGGAAAATGTCAACCAGAGGCCTTAATGTCTTCAAGTCGATGTTCCTGACACTGAACGAGCCTCTTGCAACAATTGTGTTCATCGCAGCAGAGATGTGGGGAAGCCTTGTCTTGTCCTATCTTTTCCTGAGTTTCTTGAACGAGTCCTGTACAATCAAGCAGTTTTCCAGGTTCATTCCTCCTCTTATAATCATCACAAACGTGTCCCTGTTTCTTTCGGCAACAGTGGCCGGTGCTTTTTTCAAGCTTCGGGAGAAACTAGCCTTTCAACAAAACCAGTTTCTGCTTTCTGGGATCTTCATTTCTCAAGGCTTTCTAGTTGTCCTAGTGATCTTCCTAAAGATATATCTCGAAAGAGTAACGATGAAAAGGCCCCTGTTTATTGTTTCCTCGGGATCAAGAAGAAAGAAAGCAAAAGCCAATGTGTCCTTCTCCGAAGGCCTTGAGATAATGTCCCAATCAAAGCTGCTGCTTGCAATGTCTCTTATTGTGCTATTCTTCAACATCTCTTACAACATGATTGAATCTACATTCAAGGTTGGAGTAAAGGTTGCTGCAGAATACTTCAACGAGGAAAAGGGAAAGTACTCTGGAAAGTTCAATAGGCTTGATCAATACCTTACCTCTGTTGTAGTCATATGTCTCAACCTGTCACCGTTCTCTAGTTATGTGGAGACAAAGGGATTTTTGTTGGTTGGAGTTATAACACCAATTGTAACGCTCCTAGCCATTACCCTTTTCTTAGGATCTGCACTTTACAACACCAGCATGGAGGAATCTGGGATCGGAATTGTAAACGGGTTGTTCCCAAGCGGCAAGCCTCTATATATTCTCGAGAACTATTCCGGAATAATATTCATGTCCTTGCTGAAAATCACAAAGTACTCAGCATTTGATATATGCAAAGAAAAGCTTGGGATGAGAATCAACCCTACATATAGAGCAAGATTCAAGAGTGTATACGATGGGATCTTTGGAAAGCTTGGCAAGTCCATAGGGTCCATATATGGGCTCCTGATGTTTGAAGCCCTGGATACCGAAGACCTTAGAAAGGCAACTCCAATAACCGCAGCCATCATTTTCATCTTTGTTGTAATGTGGATAAAGGCAATAATCTATCTGTCAAGGTCCTATGACTCTGCTGTACAGCACAATAGGGATGTTGATATCGATATGACAGATAAAGGTAAAAAAAGCCTGGAGGCGTCTGAGCAACCAAAAGTTGTAGATTAAAATCACAGTTCAAATTTGTTTTATTCTTGGGGAGCACTTAGATCTGGTTTTCCATTTTTCTAGAAGCGTCAAGAGCATCATAGCGCGCAATTCTTTCCATATAAGACTTATTTTCTTTATCGCCATTCCTTATCCTAAATGCCCCGTAGATAGATGTAGATAAAACAAACAAACCAGCCAAGGCACATTGAAGAACTGCATATAATGGAAAAGACACAGTACCATACATCCTTATCAGGCATGTGAAGGTAACCATAATTATAAGAAGGCTTCTTGTCATTGGCACAGCTTTGTTTCTCTGCATGTATGGGGTTGTTCCCGATCTTTCAAATGTAAGAGGCCATACCCTGCCATCAAAAGGAAAAGGATCATGATTGAACAGTGAACTTGTACCCACACTCACAGGAGTAGAAAACAGTTTGACCCTCATCTGTGGATCTAACCTGTACAGTATTGTACATCATCTCTTCGGCACCACAGGCAGGACATCGGTGCTTGATCTTGGCCCCAGAAACATCGATAGCCTCGATACAAGAGTCTCCTTTAATCTCCACCTCAGTGTATATGGGCCTTATCATATCGACGGAGTTCTCTTTCTTACATCTCAAGCATTCTACTTTGGTGCTGTTCGATTTCACATAGATTAACGTTCCACAGATGCAAAACATACTGGGCTTCCATTTTAAGAAATCTTATATGGAGAGGAGTATAGAGCATTAGGAAGGGATAGAATGAAACAGGTATGAAGGATGATAGCTTAATATAGAGATAGATGTATGAAGATCAAAGTTTTAGAAAATTCACTAATACCCTCTTATGATAAAATGGCAAGGTGCCTGCCCTAAACATGGGGGGAGTTCAAATTGGTGGGAAAATAGGTAGAAGCATGGATGGGAAAAAGGAAGAAGTTGGTATAGGGAAACCATGGAATGCCGATCCGGACCTGGAAGCAGTAGTAGCATGCTGTGAAGATGCACTCAAGGCGAATCCCTGCAATACAGAAGCCCTATACAGCTTAGGAAAATATCACATAGAAAACAAAAATATAGATGAAGCAGAGATTATTGCAACCAGGTTGTTTGAATTGGAGCCAGAGTCCTACGAGGGGTGTGTGCTGAGTGGATATATAGGTCTGCAACGGATCAGGCTTGATAGAAGCTATGAGAACTTTGTGAAGGCATACTACAAGGCTGAGTACAAAGATAAGTTTTTAATATATGGAATCTCACTTTTCTATGAGGCTATAGGAGATTATACAAGTGCAAGACCTTGGCTTGTGTTATTGAATAAACTGGGAGTAGAGAAGTACAAGAGCTATGAAACGTTATTCAGAACAGGTGTCTGCCTTAAAAAGATGAACAGACTTCAGGACTCGATCAACATCTTCCGTGTGATCGTATACGACCCATTGAACAATATCTACAATCCTGATGTTCAGATCCAGATGGCCCATCTTTACGAGATGCAGTCCAAGCATGAGCTTGCAATTGAAGTTCTGAATGGGATAGAGAAACCGAATCGGCATCATCTCATAATTTCGAGGTTATATGCATGGATAGACTTCAAGATTGGAAACTTCCGTGGGGTAAAGAAATGGTATAGAGCAGATAGTACTACAAGCAACGACCCCTATCTTCTGTATCTGGTTGGAAGAATCAGGTACATGGAAAGGAATTACATGGCAGCGTTGAGAAAGTACATGAGGACTGTCCAGGTAGATTCTATAGAAGGAATGGTACATAATTCGATAGGATGCATATATCTTCGCCAAGGAAGGTTTCTACTTGCAAAGACAGCCTTCATGAATGCTTTGGAGATAAACCCAAAGCTTTCCGAGGCTTCGATGAATCTTAAGCTTATTGAAGAAATCGTACCCAAGAATAAAAAAGAAACTGCTGAATTCATGGATAGCACATTATATAACCCCAGTGATCCACCTCCAGCCATTGGGAAAACTAGATATCTTGATTCTGGCGAGTTCTTCAAGGATCCTGCTTATAACACATACCCAGGGATGCCTGGAGTCATTCTTCCGATGAAGACATCCAAGTTTGAGTTGCTTCCAGGAAGATTTTGAGTGGCTTATTAAATTGGAGTATGTAAAATCATGCACATCAAGATTTACTTATTCATTAACTATGTTTAATTTCTCTTAGAATTATCCAATTGAGCGTGATAAGATGCAAATGGAGATCTGATTGGTAGGTTTTGAATTAAAAAACAAAAAAAATCTCGGAATCATGATGACAGGCTTACCTGATGTGACAATAGACAGTGAGAGGGTGTTTGAATCACAGTTCGAATTTCAAAGGGATGTCTTCTTTGTGATGGTATTCTGCCTGTTGATCATAATGATCAAAAATCTGGTGATCCTCCCCATGGCATCTAGCCTAATTAGGAAATTTGGTGTGGAGGAGGCCTTGGGATTTGAGAGGAAGAAGAAGTTCAGTGTTTCCCTTTGGAAGGCCATGTTCTATTCATTCACATCGATATATGGGTATCTTATAATCAGGAGTGAGCCTTTGGCTTATACTATGAAGAACCTCTCAGGTACATGGGGCCTTCACAACATTCCTTTCAAAGTTTTGTTCTACTATTATCTGGAGTTTGCATATTACTTTGTAGAGCTGTTTTATCTGTTTAATGAGCATATGTACAAGGACTTTCTACAGATGGTGACACATCACATAGTAACCATTATGCTTCTGACGCTATCATACCACAGGGACCTGCTACGTCCTGGGGTGATCATCATAGCTGTGCATGACATATCAGATCCGTTTTTGGAGATTAGCAAGCTTACAAATTATATTCACTACAAATCCTTGGCAAAAGGTATATTTATGTGTTTTGCAGGAGTTTTTGTTGTTTCCAGGTTAGTTATCTATGCATTCTTTATTTCCCTTCCCATCAGTATCTCTATATGGAGGTATACATTTGATTTATATTTATTCCTTATAAGTATACTGCTTCAAGGTTTGACTGTCATGCATATCATATGGTCCTCAATGATCATGAAGATGGTGATTAAGGTTGGTCATAAAGAAGAGTTTGAGGATATTAGGTCAGTCAAGCCGCAAGGCAGCTCCAGTGACGTAAAGTGCAAATGAGTTCTTAGATATTCTAGTGCAGCTCCCCCCTGAATTGATGATCATAGCACTTTTTATATATCCATTTGTCCTTGGGATGGAGACCTGTAGGTTTTTGAAGTATTTCAGTGATGAACAGGGAATAAAAATGGCTGAGCAAATAGTCGATGATTACAATGAGGCTGAGGGAGAGTTTGGGACCAAGGCAATGACCTTTGATCATATATTCCATGGTGGAAGTAGAATGGACATTTTTCAGTACAAGATTGGAGAAGAATTGGTTGCATCAGTTTTCTTGTGCAGAACCACATTCTATGGAATGGTGGATGGAAATATTGTCAACAGAAGCGCTGTTTTTGTGTATACGATGTATGTTTCAAAAAAACATAGAGGAAGAGGATATTCAAAAAGAATTCTGAGGGATTCCACAGACTCCCTGAACAGTCACTACGGGATGAATGGGGACTTTCTTTTAGTTCTACATCTGAACCCAAGAGATAAGAGCATGGAGCTTGCATTTTCTATATACTATAACCTTAACTTCAGGAACGGAGGACTAACAATGATAGGCCCTGGTGAGAAGCAATATTTCTTAGAGGAGCTTCTTGATTACCGAAACCCTTGCGACGTAATTGATGAATATGATGAAGAAAGAGATAGGGGAATGTATATGGTGATGTTCTGTGAGTATTCGAAGCTCTTCATATGTGAGAAAGAGCGGTACAGCAAGCTGATGAGTTATGGATCAAGATTAAGAAGTATCCTGCAAAAGGGTAGGCTACAAGAGTCTTCTTCATCGATGTTATAAAACAAGAGTAAGACCAATATCAGGATTTCTGAAACAAGGCAAGAAATTATGGAATATAACCCAAAGAATGGGAAACAACAATGTGGGTAATTTTCTTAGCTATGCCGGTAATGTATGGAGCTCTGAACACAGGAGGTGATCTAGGAGAAGACACGACTGGTTATAAAGGGGTGATAAGTCAAGAAAAGTGTACCATGTTTGTGAAAAGATTCTGCCCTTACAGTATTGAAGCAAGAAAACTACTTCACAAGAGAGGGATTAGTTGTAAAGTCATTGAGGTTGACTACAGCCCGGAGGCCCATGATTTTGCCAAAAGGTATCAGAGGACATTCCCTGTTTTTTTCCTTAATGATACTCTCATTAAAGGAGGGTATGAAAAGCTTAAGTACCTCTCAGATAGAAATCTTCCTCCATTCGATAATTCCCCCTTACCTATTGATAGAAGATCTTATATTGGCTAGATTAAAGGGTTAGATTAAAGTTCTTTACTATTTTTGTCGTTCGGAATTATTTATTTCCATTTTTTGCTTTATATTCTTTTAGAAACTTTTCAATGTCCTCAACCCTCTTTCCATCCTCATACAGTAGGGGCCCACCATCCTGAGTAGTCATGAAATTATAAACATCCAGATTTTCCTCAGCATAGAGTGGCTTATAAGGCACGCCAAGCTCCTTAAGTTTGTTTTCTAGTTGTCTGGCATGGCTGCAATTCTCCTCAAGCATAGCAACAACTCCGGGGCCTCTTATCGCTTCAGGCACAGTATTTGTTACCGGGCCCCGTGGATGGATGTCGTTACCAATCCCCACAGGCTTTAGATTCCTAGCATCCACTACCCCAATGGATGTAACCCCTATGCCTAAGATGAATACAACCGAATGGAAAAGATAAAATGACTTCATTGCTCCGAGTATGGCACACAGAGTTAAATAAATTTTCTTCATACAATGTTTTAATATCTAAAACACAACAGTATTGACAAGACATATATCACTCTACAGGCCATACCAACTAGAAAAAGCCCTTGTAATATGTCTGCTGGGCTCAGCTCAATGCTATCCAATGAATACATATAGTCAGAAATAACCGAGGCTAAGTCCTCTCACGAGACAGATCTAGTAAAGCATTGATGGCTATTACCTCAGAATCCTCTAGATCCGTTTCATGTTCCTCATTGGCCTTTATCCATGGCTCAGAAGTGCTTTTTTCTGGCTCCTTTTCGTTCGATGTCTCTTTACTTTCAATTTCACTCATAAATGGTGGAATCCTTCCCGGCCTTTTGTCAAAATGCCTTCTAATCAGAGACTTTGTGGCTACATTTGTATGACGTCTATAATCCCTTTTGTCTTCCAGAATAGTATTTCTACCATATTCAGACATTCCAAAACCTTCGTAGAGTATGTTTTCGCTAGAATTTATCTGGGGGGCTTCTCTACCTCCCTTGAGGTTATCATGTTTCGTAGGATAACCCTCATGCTTAGAAACTGAGTTCATTTGATTTTCTTCTTGGTAAAGATTGAATAAACCCTGAGTCCTGCTTCTATGCTTGTAGAGAGTCCATGGCATCTCAGGGTCATATGCACCGCCTGCCTCCCCACCAATTCTTTTACATCTCACTCGAGGCTTGGATGAATCTGTCTTGAAGTTGGTCGGCCTTTTTCTTCCGTGTATTTTGTAATAAAGTCCACATGCGTTACAGAGATAACTCCCATCCTCCGCCCTTCTCCATAAAGGAGTTGCCGTGGTGTTACAGTTACTGCAAAAGCCTTGCTTAGACAACATTCTTAAAGGGTGGAACCCATTCTCCCTGTTTTACACAGGGATTAAGGGAATGCATATACCTCCAAGGCGCTCCTAGTGCTTTCGGGTTCTCCTTTATATTAACTTGTTTTAGAATATCAAAGTTTGACATGCAAACAGGCATTGTTTAATATCTAATTTCAATATTCTATTTACAGCTATAAGATATGGACTCTTCTCCGCTCATATCCTTGCTTGCCGCATCCTAAAGTCATCCTACTCCTACAGACGGGGCACACAAAGTTCTTGCGAAGCCATTTGTCAATGCATTCCCTGTGGAACACATGGCCGCATCCAAGATTTCGTACACACCCCCCATCCTCAAAGTCCTCTAAGCAAATAATACAACCCCTACTTATAAATTCTTGGCTAGAGTATGGGCATAACGGTATCTTTTCTATCTCCTTTTCAGATAACCCTCCTCCTTCCTCAGCCCCAAACGACAAAAATAAGTAGAACACTATTACAGCCACCAGCACAATCGGTATATGAAGGAAGATCTGAATTGCAAGAGGTACCCTGATCTCGATACTCTTTATCCTTATTTCCGGGGAATGGCCTGTATTCTTTTGGGTCTCCTGGCTCAGAATCGCCTTAAGCATAGAAAAGTCGAATGCCATGGTCCCAAAGATAACATCCTTGGATACCCTACCATTTAGTCTATCCACTTCCTCCTTGCCTTCGATCTTATATATTTCCAGGCTATCTACATAATAGTCTTTTTCTTCCTCGTTATTCCTTGATAAATGTCTAAAAAGGTCTGGGCTATTCTTGGCTTCAATTTTAACATCATTCAGAGTAAGCTTCTCTCCCAGATGAGCATCTCCGTGAATAGCGTAGAGTGGCATATACACGCTTACATCGAACATTTGGAGAATCACGTATGCACCTATCCTATAGACACTCATCTGTAAACATATCCAAAACTCCTTTTATTTGGACTACTGATACTTGGTTTCATCAATTGAAGTCATTCATGTCTAATTTTCCTTTGGCGATAAGAAGCTCTGAGCAAATGGTTATCTGCAATATCCTAGTAACCTAAGTTAATGCTAACAAACAAACAGATGCAAAATAAAGCCCATAAGAATCCAGATGGCAAGGCTGGTGTACTCAGAATCCTCAAAGAGGATATCATGGGAAACTGAATCTGGTGTTGCTACTCTTTCGTATACTGGAACTGTAAGTAAAAAGCCCGATTTAAAGCAGATTGAATTTCAAACCATCCTAGGAATTCTTAGGGTTGAAAGGAATAAGCACCACGAGGAATTCCTTGCATGTGTTACCAAAAGTACTCTTGTGGGAATGTATGATGCAGTTGAAGTATACAAGATTGACAAAATCAGATTCCTGAACATTAAAGGCCCTGGTAGGGCTGATGAGGTCATGTCCCAAGTAAAGGGATTTGTGCAATCACACGACTTTTATTACTTCTTTGGATCTTTATTCATAGAAGATGAATTTGTATGGAATAAGCATATGAAAGCCAATCTTTTGAAATACTTTGGGCCAAGCTCCTATATGTGGGTACTCTCGCATCGGCCCGGGAGAGAGCCTCTTAATCTTAACATCTCAACACTTTTCTGTGGATTCTTTGCAGCCGAAGCATTCAAGGCGTCTGGGGATTTTTACCACATGAAGCTCCTTTCACTTATATCCTCCAATAGAGTTGGAACAAGGTATTTATGTAGGGGGGTTGACAGCGAAGGGAATGCATCTCTTTTTGTAAAGACACACTTTCAGACAAAGCGAAATAATAATACAATATTTGATTTCACAACCATCAGAGGATCTGTCCCAATATTCTGGAGCCAAACGGAACATGGAATCTCTACAAAGATAAACATTTATGGGGATGATGAGAGTGTAAGAGAAGCATTTACAAAGCACTTCAAAAAGCTCAGGAGAGAGTATGGAAAAGTACATGTAATCAATCTTCTAGGAGAAAAGAAATATGAGAAGCAGCTCACCTTGCACTTCAATAGACTATTAAATTTAGAGAACATCCCATATACGACATTTGATCTGGATGCGCATGTTAAAAACTATGATGACTTGAAGTTTCTTCTCTACTTCAAGCTCCAGGGCATTGAAGAGGAGGGTGTGACCTTCAGAGTAAACTGTTTGGACTGTCTAGATAGAACAAATGTTGCACAGTCCTTGATCTGCATGTTCTATCTCGAGAAGGCTGTAAGCAACGGTGATGTTCTGAAGAAAATGCAAGAATGCTGGGCAAATAATGGAAATTCACTGAGTAACCTGTACACAGGGTCTGATGCAATGAAGAAAGAACTAGCTCTTAAAGGTAGAAGGTCATTTATTGGATACATGGATGACTTTGTAATTTCTGCAACAAGACTCATAAACGGTAGGTTTACTGACAAACAGAAGCACAGTATTATAAACACTCTATTGGAAAAAAAGGAAGATGTTGAGGAAGTCAGGGCCTCTTATTGATTTTATGAAGCAGTAATCATGAGCAAGTCTGTACTTTAGAATAAACCCTTCTATAAACGCTCTCTTGTGTACTCAATAGCTCTCTCGAAGAGGTTTATGTCAACGCTGCCCAGGTCACCCACAAAGACTGCTCTTAGAACCCCGGACTTAAATGTTCCATACATACGAATCCAAGAACCTGCATCAAGCCACTTCTTAGTAACGATTATCATACTTTTCCCCCGAAATGTTATCTCATACTTTCCGTCTCCAAGCCTGTTCTCAACCTTTCCAAATGAGTAGACAACCTCACCTTCTACAGGTCTATTTAAGGGGCAAAGCATCTAGCAAAGTTCGAAATAAGGTGATTGGTTCTAAAATGCTCAAATACAAACCATCCCTTAATAGTAGAGATGAGTAGTAAGCCCCGGGGATCTTTTGAGGATCAATTCAGGATAAAATTTGTGATGTTTATACACATCAAGATGTACACAGGTGTCTTGTTGTACCGTCTTCTATTCACAAGGTCTCTTTATGGATCTTCCCTTCTTGGTCTTCTGGTTGTGGCCAGCTCATTATCCTTTCTGAAAGCATGCTTAACTGATCCAGGAAAGGTTAATAGAAAGGTTTATCACAAATACATCCCAGATATGATTGTATTTGAAGAAGGTGTCTCAACACAGATACGCACCAACAGGAATGGGGATTGGATAAGAGCAATAAGGATCAATGGAACAGAGTATCAGGAGAAGTATTGTTTAGAATGTAATTTATTTCGCATCAATGGGATGTCTCATTGCAGGGAATGCAACAGATGTGTTCTGGACATGGACCATCATTGTATTTGGTTTGGAAACTGTATTGGTAGAAATAACATAAGATATTTCCATATCTATTTGTATACCCTGAGCATAGTTACTTTTATAAATGCAGCATTTATGTATGGCCTGGTGATCATCTGTAGTAGAAATACGCTTCTTATGTTAGCTCTCAGGATTCTTGCAGCAGCCTTTGGAGCGCTGTATACTCTATTTTTTTGCATCATCTTTCTATTCACAATGTTCAACATATATGTAGCCTTAAACTCTTCGACGTCAAGAGATTTCATCAAAAATGGTACGGGAAACAAAAAGCTAGACATTGGGAAGGCCTGTAAGAATCTTTCAAGGCTTAAGCCAAGCCTATCCTTTGACCTTCCATCTGTATGATTGGCAAGACTAGGTTCCATGAAAGAAGTTAGATCATGGAAAGAAGGGGAGTGCTTCAAAAGTTTGAACTGGGGTTATGCAACACTGGAGTCATTTTCGGTCTCTGTATCGTTAGGCCTACCATCTGCTTCGTAGTCCCTCTTGTAAAAGAGTTCTCTGGATGTGAGTTGCATAGAGCCCTTTGATTTGAACTCGCTACAATTATTAAGATGCTCGAATTCCACCCTGAAAATCGTCCATACAAATCTTCTACTTATCTCTACAAATGCCATCCAGAATGGAGAGATTTTGAACCAGTAAGCTAGCACCCAGAAAAACCTGCACATTAGGTTGAATGCTACTCCGCAAGTGTAGGTGTATCTTGGATACGTTAGCTTGTCTCTGAAAATACCCCAGTCCATAAATATATCCCAAGCGCTGGAATAGATGGACGAGATGGATATGACCATGATCTTGTAAATAAAAAGATCCCATGTCTTGTTGCTCTTATAAAAAGGTACTGCAAACCCTGCTAGGATTGAAAATGAGTACTTGAGGGCATTTGCAATATGTGGAAATTTGAGGCGAGTATCCTTATAACGCCTAAGGCACTGCAAAAACCTAATCATTGCAAAGAATGAGTTAATACATCCTTCAATCCTCCAATTGAGCTTGATCCCACAAAAAAATATCCTCTTGAAGCAAAATGTGAGACTTTGGCCAATGTCTGCAAAGTAGAAATGCCTAAACCTGACAAATGACATGGGAAACACAATTATTCTAAACACAACTAGGAGGAGGTAGAATCTCGACTCATGGTATAACACTTTGAAAGGTACTACTAACACAAAAAGGTGACCCAGGAGCAATAAATATGGATTAAGATGGATAAAAGAAATGTTAATCCATGTTCCAACTACATTAGCAAATACAGAGAGGGAGATCAAAAACAGATATTTGTCTGAACTCAGTGATGAACATACGTCGAAGTTGAAAATAAACTTGTAGTTTATATGGAATCTTTTGAACACAACAAGAGATATTCCGAAAAGAAAGGCTCCATACTGCAGAAGTGCCATGGAAAAGAACAACTCTTTATCCATCTGCTTCTTTCCGAAGTCAATTAGTCCCATCATTCCGAGAGATATTCCTCCTAACACCCCGGACATATAGGAAGTAAGAGGGTCTGTCTTACTCTTGACTTTCAACTTCTTGAATACCGTTCTTGCCTTGGCAGGATCATTCTTTGCAAAGGTATTTGTGTAGAGCTCTTTCACCGATCTATATACATCATCAATGCGTCTAGACTTGTTGAAGTATGATTCATTGACATTTCTAGAGAAGGATTCATGAAATTTCTCTTGAGGATACATTTTGTCGTATTTCTTTGAAAGCTTCATCAGTCCTGTATAGTTCAATTCCCTAAATCTCTTAATGCTTATCACTGCATGAAGGAACTCTTGTATGTTTTTTTCCCTTTTCCTCCTTTCAAACCTCCTAGAAATCTTAAATAACCCCCCAAAACCTTTTTCGTCTGTACCTTTTGCTGCTTTACTGACCAAATATTTAAATCTGCCGCTCTCTCCCTCTTCCGAGGTATTTGTAGATCTGGAATCCTCATCGTCTCCCTCCTCATCAAACTCATCCTTTCCATCTGTCTTGATCCTCAACCGATCCTTCTGATCGTCTCTTCCTAAGCCGTAATCATCGCTTAAACATCCAGCCTTCTTTCGAGAGTCCCTGATTCTTACTCCAGAGTCATTGGATGGCCTATCCTCAGGAGATACCCCAGCATCTACAAATATCTCCTCCTTTTCAATGACAGCCTTCTTCTCGAGCAGAAAGAAGAAGTCATTTATCTTTCGGAGCTCAGAGTCGATTAAGGTCTTGAATTCTTTTCTATCTTTCACCATCAAAGGCTTAAGAATTTCATAAGACACATAATTCTCCTTCCACTCATCAACCTGGTTTGCCCTCAAAGTGTTGGAAAATCTCATCCTTTTATGGGTGACGTATTTTCTCCAATTCAAGCTCAGATAGAAAGGATCGAGAGGGAGATCGAAAGGCTTTGTACAACAGTAGGAAGAATGATAAGGCAGAACATCAAAATCAGCAGGTTTCTAGCGTCTCAGGAAAGGATATTGACTAGAAGACCCCACAGGCAGCAAGACAAGGATGACCTCTGAATGTGGGCTCTAAAGATATATCTGACTTTTGGAGGAGGAGCAATATTGGGCATCATTTGAACCCCAATGGAAGCCAAAATCGATGCCAAGGAAGTGATCCTAGAAGAGTCAACGGTAATTACGAAGAACGAGTGGACGTTCTTCAACCCTGCACAGAAATTGAACCGAGATATATCTGTAGAGCTCATAAAAGAATACTTCAAAGACAAGGCCACCATCAGAATTTTAGATGCAATGTCAGCCACAGGACTGCGAGGAATAAGATATCTTAAGGAAATAAGTAACTCTACGGTCTACCTGAATGATATTTCCCAATCATCTATCGAAACCATAAAATCAAACGTTCTATTGAATGGAATTGAAGACATGGAGTACTTTGAATCAAACCTGCAGGAAATTAGGACAAGTGGAAATACAAGGGTCAACATCATCAAATCTGATTGCAATGTTTTGATGGGCTCTCTTCCTTGCTTCTTTGATGTCATTGACATAGATCCCTTTGGGAGCTGCTCTGAATACATAGATAATGCGCTGCGGGCAATCAAACACAGAGGGATTATATGTCTTACTGCAACAGACAAGGGGGTCCTATGCTCTAATGAGCGAAAGTGTCTCATAAAGTATTCTACGGCCATTATGAGGGGTGTAGGGATGAATGAAACTCCCTTGAGGACTATTGTGTCTCTAGTATCAAGGCAGGCGTCGAAATTTGGCTGTAGTGTGGAGCCAGTGATGTCTCTGAGTATCGACTTCTATGTCAGAATATTTCTTCGGATAGTGAGAAGAAATCCAAGGTCTGTGATTGAAAGAAACAGCTTTGTACTGATGTGCAGATGCCATAACATTACTGAAATAAGCAACGTACAAAAGGAGATTGACAACAGATGCAGCAATTGCGGTGGAAGAATGAAGTTGTGTGGGCCGTTCTGGAATAGGGCTTTGAATGACACAAGTGTAATCAAGAATGTTTTGAACAACACAAGCAGGGATAACAAAAGATTGATTGGAATCCTGAGGTATCTGGAACAAGAGCTACCAAACATGTTTTATTATGAGATTCCAAGGCTATGCTCCATCCTAGGCATCAGTACTATCAAGCAGTCCAAACTGATGCATGCTTTGGCAAACATGGGGTATCTGGTATCCTATACACACTCTGAACTCAATGCTATCAAGACAAATGCACCAATTGATTCAATAAACAAGGTGTTGCTATTGAGCAACTCAAACGATCAAGAAAGGATAAAGGAGGCTGGAATAAGGTTCGATGAGAATGAAAGTGTAAAGGCCCTTGAGGCCATGGAGTTCTTCAAGGGGCTTCTGAAGTCTGGGATGGGGCCCCTTTCTCTTCCCAGGAGATATTAAAGGTTTTTAACCACAGAGCTTGCTTCCTTCTGATTTCTCATATTCTGGTGTGGCATGATTCATGGGTTTCTTGTATTGGGTAGGCAAGCAAGCCCTTCATCGCATGTCCTGGAAGTTTCTTAATGTACTGAAAGAAAGAACAGGAATGGAAAGCATCACCAAGGAGCAGATAAAAGGAATCCGAGAGCTCGTGAAGAAAGCGCAGGAATGGGATGAGAAAAAAGCTCAGAGGCATGTCATGTTCTCATCTAAAATGTCTGATGAGGAATACACCAATCTTTGGAAGGTGGACTCATACATCATAGATGGAAATGATAAAGAAAAGCTTAAGAATTTGGACCAGAGGACGGTGTTCAACAACATCATGTGGCTGTCTCGAAACGTGGAAAAGATAGACTCAAACATGAAGAAGTTTCTTGGAATGCATGTCTGGGTCGTCAACTATTGGATTAAGACTGTTGGATCTGCAACAGTCAGAAAGTTTCTAAGAGAGAATAACTATAGTGGAGAGTTTGTGTACTTCCTGTATAAATACTTTAATCTTTGAGCTTTATCCTTCTGAGAAGCTTACGCCCAGATACATGCTTCTTTGTTCTCTTGGTTAGAAAATCTAATAAAATCCACCACAAAGTTAACAAACTCTATCTTGTTTCCTCCTGTGAGTATAAATGTGCATACAGTGAATGGAAACTTCTCAGTAAGTTCGATGCTTACCACCAAGCCACTAGTGTGGTGGACAACATATCTAGACTTCTTTCTAAATGTTATCTTTGGAAATGTAGCCAAAGAGTGCTCAATAAGAGACTTGGACATCTTCAGGTTTAGATTTATATCTCTTTTCACAAGATACATCTTTCTTTTGCCCCACAGTAAGGATAGAAGACATCCATTTCTCACAGGACTCATTCTACGAAGTATCTCATGCTTCCACATCCTCCTTTGGTGATTCGAAATTGTCTCTTCATCGATCAAGAAGTTGAGGTCGACAATGTTATAGGGATGGCACTGCCGAATATTCCCAGGCACCACCTGATGTCTTGACAATGATAATGGGTCTTTACTGACTAGGCAGTAGGCCGAATATTCCTTGGAGTTCTTGTTAGGAATGTTCCTAAGAACATCTTCTTTTTTGAATCCCATTCCAACTAAGCTCTCAACGACGTTGTCATCAATGAATACTATGCTTTTTCTATAGTCTTCCCTTGTGACGTTTACCCAAGGATGCCTCATTAAATCGTCCATCTCTATTCTTATGGACTTATCAGGCTCAATGATCCTTCTTATCAGGTCCTTTAGCTCATTCGATAGAGACTCATCAACACTCATTCTCGATATAATTGCATGTCTGCTAGAGAGACCTATCTCCTCTTCCTCAAATGGCAGCCTCCCGTGGACCATTGCATAGAGGATTATTCCTAAACACCAGATATCAATCTCTGGTCCAACATATGGAATCCCCCTCATGATTTCTGGAGGTGCACACTGAGGGGTTCCACAATAGTCCCTGAGTACAGAAGACCTATCATAGAATGTGGAAAGGCCAAAGTCACATATCTTAACAGTCTCTCCATCAACAATAATGTTTTCTAACTTTAGATCCCGGTGGACAATAGAATGTGTGTGTAGATAATCTACTCCATGTAGCATCTGAACAAATAAGGTTCGGGCATAGCCCTCCTCAAGTCTCCCATTTCTTCTGATATACTTATGAAGATCAATTCCCCTTGCCAGCTCTAGAACTAGTACTAGATTCCTCGATGTATTAACATGTCCATAAAGTTTGCATACACTCCTATGATTCAGAAGACGCTGGATCTTTAACTCAAGGCTGTGTTTCCATCGATCTACATCCTTTCTGATAAACTTCATTGCCACTCTCATGCCAGTTATGTTGTCAGTAGCTGAAACTACATCCCCATAACTTCCTGACCCCAGAAGCCCTGTTATGTTGAAGTTCAAGAACTTCTTTTGGAGGTACATACGTTCTGTTATTTCTCCTCAGAGAACATTTCAAGATATGTTTCAGGTTCCATTGGACTAGAAGACGCTTTTGTTTCGAACACATATGATGCAGCAAAATAAAAAGAAACCAAACATAAGTGGATTTAGAATTAATAGGTGTTTCAGAAGTGGACAGATCTAGATATAAAGATTGTGGCAGTTACAACAAAAAAGTCATGCTCCTGATCTATTTTGTATTGATATGTGCAAAGAGTTGGAAAGAGGTTGGATACATATTCTCAGAGGGAAGGCAAAGGTTTTTAACACATAATGGAGTGGATATAGTAGTAGCAAAGTACAGTGAGAAGCCACTCAAGTTCCAAATGGTAAAGATGAGGAAAGATCAGTCTAGCAATGTGCTGCTTTATCCAATCCCTGGAATGGGTAATAAGGTTGCGGACTTTAACTTTTCTGCACATACTAATAAGAGATGGTATTTCTATCCTGAGCATGGAAAGTGGAACCAAAGAACAAGGTTTGTTCTGATGCCCGGTAATGTTTTGAAGATTGTTATTGGTGATTCGTGTCTTGGGGTTGATGATGCCGACAGGGTAGTTGGGGAGTCTTGTAAGGATGACCAGAATGACAGTCTCCAGATATTCAGCTGGGTTCCGATAACTCAGAAAAGAAAAGTGAAGGCATGGATTAATCAGAATCGTAGGAGGGCACACTCAGATGAATACTACCCGTCGTTATATGAGGATGAAAGAGACTTTGAAAAGAGCCATGACCAAGAAAGCTCTGGATATGATGGTGATGAGAATTCTTCTTCTGATTATCATGGGAGAAGCGGTGGAGCATTCCATGAATTCGACTATGATAGTGGAATAGGAGGACATGGCCCATTCAAGAGCGGGATAGGATCTTTCGGGGGAAGAAGAAGACGATACAGACGCGATGAAGAGATGAAGCACATGGGAGAGAGAGATGAAGAAAGTTGTAATAATGATGAAGGCAAAGACTACCGAGAAGGAAGGATGTTTAGGAAGAAGAGAATGGGCAAACTTCTTAGGAATGGAAAGGCAAGACAACATAAACCTTATGGAAATAGAGAGCATGATGAGAATTTCCATCAGGGAAGGAATCCTACATTCAGCGATATTGGTAGTCCCAATTTTGTCAATTATCTGGACAATTCCCAAGAGTATGAACAAGGAGCAATAGAAGAAACCCCTTTTGTACCTTGTGATGACAGCTTGCTGATGTTTGGGGAAGATCCTGGCCATTGCAATGTAGGTGGAGCTGGAGAAAATGAAATATGTAAAATAAACAAAACAACTATGGCTTTCAGAAAGATGGTTGGGATTCCTATATGAAGCCTTCTCTATAGTAAATATTTTTAAGTATCTAACATCGTTTGTCTCTCTCAAGCCATGGGATTCTGACCTATCATATGAGTTCTAGGCAAAGCCCTAGCTGATTGATATGGTTGGAAAAAGGAGAAAAAGATTTAAAAGATAGATTGAAACAATTGTTATGGAAGCTTGGAGAATGATGAACAAGCTTGTGGGATATACAGAGATTCTCATTGTAGCATTCGTTATCATTCTATACCTCTTGGGGTTCTATGAAGCAATCATTGTTTCAGGAGTCTCTATCCGCCTTTACCTACTTATAACTTCCTTCTACTATTACGTGTTATGTCTAGTAAAGTCTCCTGGGCAGCTTCTTGACTTTGGGAATGCAAATGTAAAGGGAATATGCAAGAAATGCAACAGGATAGTGGGGACGAAAACAGTTCATTGTGAAATATGCAATAAGTGCTATTACAAAAGAGACCACCACTGCCCAATAATAGGAAGATGTGTTGCATCAAGCAACATTAAGGATCTATACCTTGCAGTGTCCTTCATGGGATTCCATTCACTTGCTGCAATTCTTAGAGGCTCAACCAGATTTGCATATATGATGTCTTTTCACAGGTATTTGTTCATCATGTCAAGTGCATTTGCATGTTGGTTGACATTTCTCATACTCACAGGCAAAACAACAAGGGAGCTTATAAGGTTCCAAGGAAGGATAACGGATGAAATAAGAATGTTTAGGCTAAAAAAGATATTTCGTGATGGGTTTGTGGGAACACTGGCCCCTTATCTGAGATGGAAGACAACTGTTGTCAATTGATCAGGATTTATTCGGAATTCATGCCTAAGCTTCATTATAAATGTATTTTTGGTTAATTACTTCCTTTTTTCCTCGAAATGTTAGCAAGCCTGTTCGCTTCATTTTTCTCAATATTGTTCTTTTTCTGTCTTCTGAGCGCAGATAGCGTTACTTCTCCCTCCTTAACAGCTGCCTTTAGAATTCGGTTTTTCTTGCTGTGAGGCCCATATCTAGGGACATAATCTCCTATCTCCTTATCATACACAATCTGGCTCTTCTTTTTCTTTTTTATTCCTTTGGATCTTGCAAATCTTTCCCATCTTGTCTCGGTGTGTTCCTTTAAGTGCTGCCTCGGGAGGATCATTGTAGGCTCCGGGAGAGCAAACACAAGATCAGATCCCCTTCTTGACGACTGACATGCCTTTATCTCCTTCACAATTCCCTTCAATAAATTAGATGTCTCTTGGTTTATATCAGAGCGCCCGACTGCATTGTTACTAATCACAGTTAGAAGCTTTAGATGGTTCATTCCTTCAAGGGCAGAAAGCTGGATAAAAAATCATCGAACCACAAATAAGTGATCCATAGCATCACGTCTATTCTGGACAATACATTCTGCAACCCACAGAATGTTCTTTATTTCCTGCTCTTTCATCTTGAAATATGAATACACACAGCTCAAATCACCATACATGCTGAACGATTCCTGATACTTTTGAAGCTCGGCCTTTATAAGCACGTTGGAGATGTCTGTATCAAAGTTGTATGCCTCACTTAATATGGACTTCATATCTTCTAGGTTCTCCACATGAGAGAGGAGTTCCCTTGCATTTAGGCTCATCGAATGAACATCAGGAAATAAGCTCATTCTCTTTTTCCCTACTAAATCTTTGGAGTTAAGCGTATTCACAGTGATCTCTATTATCTGTCTGTCTCCTTCAAGCCTTAGTATCTCCTTCATGTATTCCATATCATCGTTAAGATTTCTATACGTCTCTTCAATGTGGAACTTAAAAAACAATGTCTGTAGGACCTGGAAGTTGTTTGCAGAAAACTCTTTCTTGAACCTGACCCTCTTCTCAAACTTCTTAAGAAAGCTGTTCTCCATGCAATATCTCTGAACATCATCCATGTCGTTTGAAAACTTAATTGTTCTCAATGCACTGAAGTCTCCTATTTCTATCTTCTCAAAGCTCTTCTCGAGATTTGGGTCCTGAAGCTTACATTGAAGAAGATAAAAGAAGTTCTGAATCTTGTGAAAGTCCATGTAATAGTCCAGAATTGTTCTTATGCCTTTGTCCTCAGCATCATGATAATAGTCAAAATCTGCTTTCAAGGATTCCAGCAACTTCTTCTTCAATTCTGGCTTTGTATAGGCGATACCCTCCGAAAGCCCGCGATACGTCTTCGAAAGCTTTATTGCCACTTCTTCCAAACTCTCGCATCTTTTGAGAGCGTTGTAGTCCTCCTCTTTCAGCATCTCTTCTCTCTTTCCATTGATTTCAGATATTATGTATCCGTACCTTTCCACATGGTTGAATTGTTTTTCCATGAATGGGAAAACATGCTAAAATAAATAGAGCAATTACAGCTTCGTTATTCCTATACATTTACTTGTATGAATGAGGAACAGATCCTTTATGTAGTGGAAAGCATAATTAAAAGCCAACCGGATGAGATGTATGAGAACAAGATTTATTCTGTGAATGACGGAAGCAAAGGAAGGATAGACAAGGCAATACTGAAGAGTAAGCTTCCGCAAGGAGATTGGAACACTCCACATACGGAAATAATGGTAAAGGTTGATGATGATGTTAAAATAGTTGTACAAAATAGTCCAATGTATATTTATGAGGAGTATATAAAGATGGACAGAAACATGACACAGTCACCACTGATTGTGGATGGCCATCTTAAGTGTAGCAGAAGCGTATCAGACTTCGGAGTTCAGGTTAAGGAATTCTTTTTGTCGGACGATGTTGTCTTTACTCCTGTTGGGAGGGAGGATTTTGATGTCCGAATGGTGGAAGGAAGGCCCCTCCTGCTTATTGTGAAGAATCCTCGAAGAAACCTTAGTTTTGAAGCACTGAAATTAGCTCTTTATGACGGTCTTGAGATAAGGGATCTGTGTGTGGTGAAGAAAGAATGCAAAGGCACGATATTCCAGGGAGAGAGTCTGTCAAACAAGACATATTCTGCCTTTCTATGCTCAGAAAGGAGCTTGACATACAGAAGGGTTGTGTGATCGACCAAAGAACTCCATTGAGAGTTCTACATAGAAGGGCCAATCTAGCCAGGGAAAAGAAGACTTGCATTCTTGAATGTGAAAGGAAAGATGTAGACGGGTGGATCTATTGTCGAATTAAACTTGAGGCCAGTGCAGGAACTTACATAAAGGAGTTTGTGAATGGGGATTTTGGAAGGACGACCCCATCATTGGGAAGTAAGGAAAACTACTACGATTTACTTGAGTTGGATGTTCTAAGAGTGGAAAAGAAAAGTATAAGAGACTTTCTGACTCGAAGGATTAAGCTGGACATCATTAGATGTTGACGAGTTTTTAGAATGAATATTTTCAATAAAAATCTTAACCGTGAATGTCTGAGTTTGAAGGCCCCGAGGAAAAGAAATTGGAGAGTTTTACAGAGAGCGATATCAGTGAGAAATTGAAGGACGGAGAAGCCTGCAAAAGTGTTAAAAAAAGAATACTTTCGATGAATGACGAGAATGAAGATAATTCCAAACAGATTAGAACGAATCCTCACTACAGGAAAAACGTTGGGGCATCCACGATCCAGGATACCCTTGGGGAAGGCAAGAGAAACGATGTGTTGAAGCAGGCCATACGAAAAAGAGATCTATCATATATCAATGAGTTTTTGGTAAGAAAGGACAGGGGGATGCTGCTAAAGACGCTGTCATATGATGACAAGGAGGTTTTGGGGGAGATGCTCCTCGAGTTTGTTGATCAACCGGTACGAAGCGAGGCATTAGAAACGATGAGAGAGATTGTGACAAGCATAAGGGATGTTAGTCTTTTCATTGAAAGGCTGAAGGAAAGAGCCGTTGACTTTTCGAAACTGATTTATTTGAAAGGTAAGATCGACTACTTAAGATTTACGTCTGGAGGCCAAGAAGAGAAGGAGCCTGAAATGATTGTCAAAGGATGATTTTGAAAGTTTTGGAAATGGTGATGAAGGATGAAACGTTATGAGGAGGGCCAATGACGCCATTTATGATATGAAACATATCTGAGTTAGAAAGGCTCTCGATTGGTTACACATGTTACAGCATAAATATAAAAGAAGCCTCAAGCTCGTACAACAAGATGGCTGAATCAGTAAACGAAAATAACACTTCTGGAGATTCTAATGGAAACAACAGGACCAAGAGGAACACCATAATAACAATCGTTGTAGTTGTTCTTGTTGTCACTTTACTTCTGGCAGTAGCTAGCAAGAAAGGATGGTTTGGAGGTAACAAGGGTGGAAGCTCCACTAAAGTTGGCGGAGATCCAGCATCAAAACCTCCTTCCCTGAAGTCATCTGAAGAAAGTGGCAAAGGGGGCAATAAAGGGAATTCTATGAAGGGATCTCCTTCTAGCAACAAGGAAGAAGAAAACGAGGTCGGGGGCTCCAACACCTCCAATCTTTACGGATAATTGGAAAATGGAGACAATTAAATTGAATCTTCTTTAATTCTTTGTTTCTGTCTTGTCTGTTCTTGGCTCACAAGCCATTGAATGGAGGGATGTTGAATCTTTTTTTGATAGTTATTCTTTCTTTTGAGAATTTGTCTTCTATTGTGAACTTTGCAGGATGTGCACTGAAGGTTCCCTCTTCATCTAATGTGTAGATTCTTTCACCATCCTTTAAGCGGTAGAACATCTGGGGTATAGAAGAAAAGGACAAAATAGTCCATACCCTCTTGAGAGCCTGTGATGGTTGGGAAAAGAGGGTGTAACTTATTTATTCTCGGGTTGATATCAAGTAGTGAAGAGAAAAGACGGTTTTTGGATCGTATATTCTTTCTCCCGGAAAGGCTCACAAGGATTCTTACGGCAATTAAGGCGTTTGAGCAATCGAAAATATTTCTAAGCAGAGTTTTGAAAAAGGATGCACCCAACTATTATGAAATAATAAAAAGACCGATGGATCTAAGTATTGTCCAAAAAAAGATAGGAAAGTATAAGTCCTTTGAGGAATTCAAGGGTGACCTTGACTTGATTTGGGATAATTGTCTCAAGTTCAACCACTCCAAATACCATAGGGATTGTGCTTTTAAGATGAAAGAGGTCGTAAGTACGTTTGAGATAGAAGTAATTCCTGTTAGTATGGACACAGGCTTCGCAACAAGTTCACATGTCTGGGAAGGAGAAGAAGGGCAAGGGCCTATCATCAAGTATATGGTTAAAAAGATAATAAGTGAGGTTCTTCTTTCATCAGGGTACGGGTTTGCCTCGGAAACAGCTCTTGGAGTATTCTGTGATGTTTTTCAGTACAGAATACTCAAGATAATAAAAAAGATAAAGGCAGAAGAGATGGACGGATAGGGGTGAGACGTCCAATTCATCGGTATGGTCTGATTTTAAGTTAGCAAAATTTTAACCCTCGAAATGGGAAGAAGGCCTGGAAGATGTTACAGATATCTGTCGAAGAAGGCGTATCCCAAGTCAAGGTTCAACAGAGGAGTTCCTGATTCGAAGATACAGATTTTTGATCTTGGAAGGCGTAAGGCAGGGGTTCTTGAGTTTCCATTACTAGTCAATTGCATCTCCAATGAAAGGGAGAACTTATCTGCTGAGGCATTGGAGGCAGCCCGTATATGTGCCAACAAGTACATGGTGAAACATGCTGGAAAGGACAATTTCCATCTAAGGGTGCGTGTGTATCCATTTCATGTTCTTAGAATCAACAAAATGTTGAGTTGTGCAGGAGCCGATAGACTTCAAACAGGAATGAGAGGATCTTTTGGGAAGCCTTATGGAAGAGCAGCAAGGGTTGTGTTCAACCAGCCTATTCTTAGCATAAGAACAAAGGAATCCTTCAAGGATGTTGCTGTCGAGGCATTGAGAAGAGCAAAGAATAAATTCCCTGGGCATCAGGAGATTCAAGTCAGCTCGAAATTTGGGTTTACTAACATGCTGAATGATGAGTTTAACAACCTAAGGGAGAACGGAAGAATCATTCTACGAGGTGGATCCTTTTCTGTGATCAGGGAGAAGGGGAGTATTGACAACTTCAAGAGAAATCTTGAACAAGCTGCCAATAATTAAAACAATGATCTTTTGTGTGCTCTTTCTTTCTCTTCCCTTAAGAATGATAAACAAAATGGTTGGAGGAAGCCCATGGATTTCGGTCGTGAGAAGCCTGTGACTCTGTTTTCCAGCGAAGGAAACCTAGGGCAGTGTGACAATGCCCTCAGAGCTGCAGCCAATGGTAGTTTATCTATTGGGGCAAGTGCAGCTGATGGTGTTGTTCTGATGTCCTTTAGGGATGTGCCTCCGCTTGTTATAAAGGAAGAAGTGAAGAAAGTGTTCAAGATTTGTGACACAATAGGGTGTACCTATTCTGGACTACAGCCTGACTGCCGGATACAGGTAAATATAGGATGCCAGATAGCAGAAGAATACTATGATGTGTATGGGAGGTATCCAGATGTAGATGTATTTACTGCACATTTTTCTTCGGTTGTGCAAGAGTATACGCAGAAGAGTGGATACAGACCATTTGGGACACTCATGATATTTGCAGGGCCTGTAAAGGGAGTTCCAAGGCTATATCAAGTGGATCCAAGTGGGTCTTATCAAACGGCAGATGTATGCACTTCGGGAATAGGATACAGTGAGGCAAAGAAGTTCATTAAGAGACGACTAGAAAGCCTTGATGACAACATGGTCAATTGTGTGTCTTCAATGAGAGAATTTGCAGGAAAGGAAGTACATCCAGAAGATATCGATATTGGGGTGTATTATAAGACAAAGAATGTATTTAAGACATTCACTCTTGATGAAGTCAAGGAGGTGTTTGATTCTCTGAGCAAGAACTAGTAGTTTCTTTGAAATAAACTTTTTTGAGTATCTAGGCTCTGTCGTGCCAATCAGCCATTATGTTATCCGAAGGACAAGGCCCATATGGAAGAAATAGAGAAGAATGTGGCTGGGAAGATAGATTCTCTCCTTTACGAAGAAGCACTCCAGATAATCGATTCTACACCTTTGACATACGAATCTGGTATAAACATCTATCCTTACAAAGGACAGATACTCTATCTACAAAAAAGATATGAGGAGTCGGCAACCTTCCTGAGGCGTCTAATGGAGAGTTTTCCACAGAGCATCAAAGCCAAAAGATTTCTTTACTTGAGCCTTTTGGCTCTTGGAGACTTTAGATCATCCTTTACGATTGCAAAAGAATGTTGGAAGGATGGAGACTACAGAAGATCCACATTAATAAGGATATTGGCACATTCACTTGTATTGAGGAATTTCGATTTTCTTGAATCTCTTGATGCACACTGTGACGAGCCTCTTCTCCTATCAATGGCATATATATACTCTGGGAAATTGGACAGGGCTGTCGAGATAATGAAGACCATTGAAGATTCCAGTAATACTAAGATGTATCTAGATGCCTTGATTTCTGTACGTACCAAATCTATATACATGCTAGATTATGTAAGGTACCTGAACGAAGACATCTTTGTCACGGCAATAAACTGTCTTGAGAAAAAGCAGAGGGTTTTTGAGAAAATCGAAAACCTGGGATGCAAATATGTTGAGATCAAGATAATGCATATAGCAAAGAAAACACTAGGGAGAAATGAGTACGAGAATGTTGTGAAAAGCGTTTCCTCTAGAAACGAAAAAGGGCATTGGTGCAGAAGGGACTGCTTGTTAGGAAGACTTAGAGCTAGTAGAGAAGAGAGGGTATTTTTCAAGAAAAACAACATCTACGACGCAACAGAGAGATATGCTGATCTGGAGAACATATTTGAAAGTTTGAGATCTGGGAATTTTTCAGATGGATTGGAAGGTTTGAAGAGAATATATAGATTAGAAACAGTATCAGACCTTGAAAAGCATTTAAAGAATGGACAGAACACACTTGTACTAAACGAAATAGAAAGATTTTACTTAGACCATGGAAAGAAAGAGGATGCATGCCATTATTCCGATCTATCTGCGGCAGCTCACTCACTTCGTGTCAGAGATGTGATTGAATGCCTATCCAGATTGATGGATGAGAATATGATTGGAGAGATTATCGAGTTACTTGAGTTAGATTTATTTAATAAGAACATTTAGTGAGTCCAGGTGTTTCAAAAACCAATTACTTCCTCTCAAGAAATATGGAGGGCAGGGGCATTTCATTGACCGCAAGGTGGCATATGTATCTGGCAAAGCTCTCACTGGGACATCCACCAAGAAACATTTCTATGGCTTCATCATTAGAATAATTTAACTTCTCCATTCTACTATAAGGATCCATCATAGAAGATAGATAGACCCACTTGTCTTTGTCAAGAAGCCTTTTATCTATCTTAGAAAGATAAAAGGTAATCAACGGATATATATACACAAGACAAGAGAATATGGATTCTATGGCAGGTCTTGGCCCATTATCAACAGAAATGAACTTAATACAGGTGTCATGGAATCTATCCAGAAAACCAATGTCTATAAGCATAGAAAATTTGGACTGATCCTTGATCGCTGACGAAAGGAATATTGTAAGGGGAACCAGAAGAGCTAGGTTATCTGGATTTCCAAAAAATAGATCTATAAATGTGATGTAGGCCTTGCTTTGAAATATCTCATCCATAAGAAGGTCAAGCTGCCCTACCATTAGCCTTATGTAAAGAATTAGCTTGGAATCTATCCTCTTGAACTCTGGAATCTTCAGTCTAGGGCATCTGCGAGAACAGTTCAGGATCTCGATTATGTCATATATTTGCTTATATTCAAAGTAGGATTCTTCCTTAAGGAATATGGAGATAAGCTTTTCTCCTGCAGACATTATTTCGTCATGGAAGAAATCCTCTTCATCACTGGACATCGACCCACTATCATCGTCTATCCAATCAGCAAGAAGCAGCATCTTTAGTGCCACGTAATACTTCCTCTCAATGAGAGCGGACACAGGATGTGCATCCTTTAGCAGCATGGCTAACTTTTGCATGTTAAGGCCTTTTAACCCAAGAAGAATGCTGAAGAGATTCAATGCCGGTTCAAAATCAAGCATGTTAAGAAAAGATGTGATGAAGTCTCCATTAAGAGCTTCAGTCATATAGTGAGGATGAATTCTGAAGTGGAATGCCAGGACTTCAAAAAAGTACTTCAGAACCTTTGATGTGGGATTGAACACCAGATATTCCAAGTCCTCCTCCCCATTTCCAAAGTATTCATTGATTTCAAAATTCCTAAAGGCCTCTTTTGCCTTTGCTTTGTCGTCTTCATCCTCTGTATCTGAAGTGTTTGAACATTCAGAAATCAGTCCAAATAAAGCATCCTTGCTTCTTCTTATCCATTCTTCTTTTGTCATAGGATATATATATTCCATTGCGCGTGCAGAGGGACTATCCATGCTGCCTTTGATTGAAAGGTTATCAACAAGTCTATCTATGTTGCATTCATCTCCGGGAAAACCACTGCTATCAAACCCGATAATCCGTATAAAAACATTCATCTTTTGATAGAATGCAAAGTTGAATCGGCTGTTGTCTGTGCACAGGCATTCACTCACAAGAGCAATGTCTTTGAAATAGCAGAAGTTAGTTACAAGATAGTCCAGGTGGTAGATCATGTAGTTCGTAATCATCGGCTTTTTAAGCTTGAACTGTGTTAGAGATCTTTGGAGAATGTTATGAAAACGCTTTTGGTCTACATCATGACACACAGAACTATCTTCCATATGTTTCAAATTTGATGGGTTCCTCCCTTGGCTCAATAAAATACAGCTAGCATATCTCCTCATCCTCCGGCTCTTCTCTTCTCAGGATTAGGTACTTTACTCGCTCCCCCTCGCACACCTCCTTGAATTTCGGAAAACACTCGCTTCTTATAATTACATATCCGTCATAGACCTCTCCGTTCTTCTTAGCAAACTCCATGACTTTGTCATTCATATCGACACTGACTTTTATCCCAACCCTATCAAAGCCCATTTTTTCCAGTTTGCCCAGTATCTCTTGGGATTGCTTCTTACTGTTACCTATGTATATGTTGTGCACCTTACCTATTGCTTCTTTCAAGGAAGCTTCGTTCAGATGCCTTCCTCCCTTTGTCACTTTGTTTCTTAAGAACTCAATGATCTCTCTCTCTGTCTTCTCCTGCTCGTAAATTCTGGTTGCCTCGTTCTTCTGCTCATACCCATTGTTCAGTATCTCCCGGACTATCTCTTCATGAGACTTGCAGAATAAGTCCAAATCATCCTGCCCAGCTATCTCTCCTTTGGACACGCTCCTATAGATAGTGTCTGTAAGAAGAATCTCGTTCAGAGGCGTTGCCATTCCGTTTCTATACTCATAAAGCTTGTTGGGATAAACACCCAGTTCGTAACGCCTTCCAAACTTCTTAAGAGCAACAATGCTGACATTCACAAGCTTCTTTTGGTTTAATGGCGTGAACATCAATAGGTAGAGGGTATCTACTCCTAGAAAACTAAGCGAAAAAGTATTTATTAACAGAGCATCAAGCCAGGGCCTAGGTAAATATATCAATAATCTCCTTGGCATTGAGCCTTTTCTTGTAATTCATGTCAAGCATTAACTTACATACTCGATCAAGCTTGACTCCTCTAAAGTCATTTCTTCTCAGCCTCACCCAATTATCCCCACTCTTTGGAAGAATGATCTCTGCAATAATTTCCAAATAGATCAATCCAAGGCTGTATATGTCACTAGCCTTTGTGCACACATCCCTCAGCACTTCTGGCGCCATATACCGCTTGTCCCCATCCTCATCTATATCCTCTCCTTCATATCTACTTATGTTGAAGTCAGAAATCTTGAATACAAATGACCCAGGGTCTGTTGGAAACATGCATTGACACCTGCCAGAGCATTTCTCCTTGGAAACAATACTTTTCATAAGGATATTCTCTGGCTTTAGATCGAGGTGAACAATGTTGCATGAGTGGATTGCCTCTAACCCCTTTGCTAGCTCATACATCATCTTTCTTGTTATCTCAGGCGAAAACTTAGACTTCCTGAGAAAGTATACTTCATGGATGTAATCTCTTAGTGTTCCGATATTGCAATATTCTAACTCTATGAACAAATATCCTCGGCTTTCCCAAAAGTCATAATATCTAACCACATGGTCGGAACCGACTCTTTTAAGCATCTCTATTTCCCTCATCCTGCTTTTCCTGTCAAGCTCCCCAGAAATCCTCTTCTTACTTTTTTTGACAACCGTATAATCAGCGTCATAGACACAAAGCTTTCTACTCTTGTAGAGCATCACAGGCTCCTCTAGTATATGACCTGCCTCTCTCCTGCCATCTTTTCTGTTCACAAACACCTCATAAAACGCCCCCTCCCCAGTCTTACAGACAAAGTTGCACATGCTCTCCTTATCTGGCCCAGATGCCACATTGTCTGTGCATGTAAATACATCATCAAGGGTAGAGCCCTCATTGATTAGAGAGGAATCTCGAGTATCTGCTGCAAAAGGCACTGATGATATAAATATATCTTTATATGGAATCTTCTTTGACGGTGTCTTCGGGGAGCTAAATATGGCCTCTTCTCTTTCACGCTTTAGCATATATATCTTCTTTAAATGGCTCATTCTAGGTTCCTTAGGGTTAATGCATTTGGTAACGAAATAACCATCTTGTCCACCAGCGAGGCATTAGCAAAATTTTCCTTGGCTACAACTTTTTGGCAAACGCACAATAACTTTAATGGTCTTATAACACTACTTGCTAGGCTTTCTATAACTGTAAGGAACCTTTCCATATTCAAAGTCCTCCTCAATAAACTCTTCATCTCCTGAGCCTCTACCTATGCCTTGTCTATCGCCCAATGTTTCACCATTGTGCATCCATGTTCCGCCTGTTCCCTTTGGCGCCACGCCACCGTAAGACCCTGAAAACGAGGAGGGAACATCCTGGATATCAAACTCTCCATCAGGTTTGGAATACTTCCTTCCTGTGCTCCTTGAATATCCCCAGGTATTTCTTTGTATATACTCATTGTCTTTTCCTTTTGAATAAGGTGATTCTTTCGAAAACCCTCGAGGCTCTTTTTCATTGTATCCGTTCTTATGCCCCCCATACCCAGTCCCAGCGGACTTATTATTTCCTTGACTCCAAGAATTTCCGGGATTGGTCTCTTGCCGATTCCAATTATTACCTTTGTCTTTATACCCTCCCCTATTGTTCACAGGATACTGATGTGGAGGTCCAGAAAATCCGCCAGCCCAGTTTCCATCCCCTCTCTGGCCATCTCCATGCCCTTTCTGCAAAGTCCGTGCTCCTTGCTCTCTCATCTGCTTTATAGTGCTCAATACCCTGTCTACATCAAATGGCGCCATAAATACATCGGGATTCTCCCTGGGGTCCACATATCTATTCGACACTGACGCAATTCTGGCATCACTTTCAAGGAGGTCCATCTCTGCACATAGAGCTACATAATTCCTTATCCAGAAATTATCAAGAACCTCCTTCATATCCCCACACATCAATGCAAATCGCACCTCCTCCGGTGAAATCTCCATTACATCAAGTCCTCTGTATGAAGAATAAATCCATTGAGGAGGATCCACCAAAGAAGTGTACCGGACATGATCATACTTACACTTCGAGCCAAATTTACACTTTCCCTCAATGAAGAAGCGGCACACATTCTTCATCTCAGTGTTAGGTTACAAGGGGTCTTTGTTTTTTGTCTAAATTCCCATGGATTGCCCACATCTTCTTTCTAGGTAGAAAAGGCTTTCTGAAACCATCAGAAGAGACAAAAGACTTTATTAATTTATATCACCTGCATCTAAACTCCACAGAAGATCACTCATCCTGCACATCCCCTCCAATATTAATGCTCTTGATGTACATATCTATTTCCTCTACAACATGATCTGGAATCGTCCTCATGTCCACCTCGATCTCATCATTCTCTACAAACTCTCCAGCCCCGTTCTTCAGAACAATCTTTGCAACGTTTTCTGTTTGTTCCTTAGTCATATTCAGTATGGCATTCCCTATGCTAACCCTTTCGCTCAATGAGTAAGCTCGGGATGAAGGTGCTTCTCCAGTCTGTTCCACAAGCTTTGATTCTAGCATTCTAATCTCCCGAGTATAAGACATAACTTTTCTCTTCAGCTCAGATATCTTGTTCTTGATATCAACCGGAGATGTCTTTTCCATATGTGCCTTCACAGCCTTTTCAAACTCCTGGCCGCAGGCGTACACCTCCGTTCCCGGTGCATTGAACTTCTTGCAATTCTCCACAATAAGCTCAAGATCTCTTCCAAACTCCTCAACGCTATGATATTTCCTTTGATCAAGCTTGTTTTTCATCGTTTGAATATCCATAGGCTCTTTAATCACAGAATAATACCCAGGAACAAGATCCCCATCAACAGGTTCCAGAAATGGCCAATTATAAGATTTGTGCTTCGGTTTCACCAAATCACTAAGAACTTCAGAGCAAAATTCATAATCTTCTGCCTTCATGCCCTCGACAGGTTTTGCATTTCTTTTCACTTGTTTGGATCTTCCGGTCACAGGTATTTCACTCTTCTTCCTTTTCTTGGAAACCTCTTGGGGCATTCCCGCCATCATATCATTGTATGCACTCTCAAGGGCCTTCCCCATATCATGAACTATTGTTCCGGGTGGGTTGTATGTATAGCAATTATTAAACATCAATTTCATATCGTCATCAAAACCCTCAGGTCCTGAGTATTCCTTAGCATCTAATTTCTTTCTAATAGTGGATAAGTCCATGGGATTCTTTATTTTTTCTGGATAATCAGGAATCCCTAGCTTCACAGGATCCACAGGCTCTAGAAATGGAGGTGCATTCGAGTTCCGCTTAATCCTGGTCAACACCTGTGAGCAGTACTTAAGCTGATGCTCAGCTAAGATACTCCCGGCGCTTGCTTCATCCGACTCCATTCTTTTCAAGGGGTATGAAAAATTTCAAAACAAAAAATATCTAATATCCTAGACCTATTATATGATAATAAAGTATATTCGCTGCCCCAAACTTCAGGCTTGCCAGACATATTATTCTCATAAGCCAAACAAAACAACTTAACCTCTGCCCACGAGTTGTCCATTTTGTAAATTCTGGAATCCTTTTATATTCGCTCCAAGTCCATTGACATATGCACAAAGAGATAGGAGAGATATAAAAATAATAGGCAACAATATTACGTTTTTGCTCCCAGAATGCCGGAAAAAGGGAGCCATATACTGTAGTGTAGCAGTAACTATCTTTTGTACAATAAAGCTAAGTGCAAATGCTTGCTTCACATAACCAAATCCTCCTTTCAGAGTTCCCCAAATAATAAAGATTAACATAAAAATTACTTCTGTAAGTGTAATCATAGGCATACTAGAAAACGGCTCCTTGTCCACTCCATGATGCTCTTCCTCATCATTTTCAAATCTGATGACAATCCCTGCAGTGTTCGAATACACACCACGGGCTCTGAAGCCAGATATATACTGGTATCCTTGCATTACAAGATTGTAGAGAGAATACAAGAGAGATAGGAGACTATAGAGCCCCGAAGAACTAAACACCACACTCGTAACAAGGCCACGGCCTCCATTTTCATTGGGAGTAGCATTTATACTATTGATAACACGTCCTCCAACCTTACACATTGAAATAATCATCACAGATATTGCAAAAATCATCAATAAAGCCCCAAAAAAATCTATAACTGCACTCAATTTGTTTTTGATAAAGAATTTACGCAATCCCTTCAGATATCTGATTGTTTTTTCTTTGTAGGTCCCTTCCTTAGCCTTACTATTCTTCACTAGGTATGTGGTGGGAACCTTCTGAAGCCCATCTATTATACCCAGTGCAATTAGAATGCATGAAACGTACTTACAATATATATTTTTCAGAGGGTCTTCAGAGTATGTTAAGCAAATAATTCCAGCAAGGGCATAGAAAAAACATTCTAGAAAATTCAGAGCTATGGACGCTATATATCTGAAGTCTTCTAACCATCTTCTGGCTGTTGCAGCTACTGAGGAAATCCTCTTCTCTATATCCATAGGGGTTGACGCTGAAAAACTTTAACACGGTTTTGTTGGGTGGAGAATAGGAGTTGTTCTTAGACTTTACCAATAAAGATAAATGTCAGTTCTGTATAGGGGTGGATGGAAGGCAAGTTCCGAGGAACTCTGAGTGGGAAACTTCGTGCATGCTTAGGATGCTCTCAAATAAAGACATTGAATGGGTTTAGGAAGGACGGATGTGAGAATTGCCCGATGCTGGGCATGAAGGGGAATATTGCAAATGTTAACGAGTGCACTTCAAGCAATTTCAAAGGAGTCGTGGCTCTTTTGCAGCCGTCCAACAGCTGGATCGGAAAGTGGCAAAGAATAGGGGAGTTTAAGAAAGGACTTTATGCAATGGTTATTGAAGGAGTTCTCTCCGAAGACTTCATTAAGGATATCGAACAGCATGGAAGAGTTTATTATGAAAGATCGGAATCCTTTAGGTTGTAAGAAAATAGTATGATTTACTACATTCTTCTGTTAACAGTATTTTTGTGGCACCCTTAAATGGAAAAAATTGATCTAGAAGACGTTGATGATGCCATACTACGAGAAAAGCTGTTCGTGAAGGCAGCTTCGAAGTTTTTAAAGACATTGGAGTTCAAGAAGGTTGAGGAAGAATATGACGGAGAGCTAATGAGATCTCAAAAGGAGATTGAGCAGGGGGAGAAGGATGCACGAAGAAAGGCTGAAAAGATGATGAAAAGACACAATGAAATGAGGCTGAAAAGGAAGTCCAAGATGTCTGAAATGGACTCCGACGATCTTGAGCCAGAAAGCTTCATTGCGCCTATGCTAAGCAATAGGGAAACTAGAAAGAAAAATAAAGGAAAGCATCCTGTGAACAAGTCACTAAAAAGAAGAAAGATGAAGAAGAGGCAAAAAAGACATAGACACTAACTAGAAACAAGACTCTTTGGCTGATCTTGGATGTTTAGTAATAAATATAGTTCCGGGCTTATGTTTTATAATAGATGTCAGGGCTGAGTTAGGTAAGATAATTGGTGGGACTTTGAAACTGTAGTTCCTGACCTGAGGCACAAATAGGAGAGAGGTCTCCTTTAAAACAAGTGATAAGGCAGTCTATGTAGATTGAAGTTCATGAGCACCGGAAGCGGAGAGTATGGTCTGATAAATGATGTAACACTATCAAGGTTCAGGGAATTTCTCGGGACAAGCATAAATGATGGGTATACAAGACATAGGATATGCAAAAGCTTGAAAAGAAGCCGCACTAGCTTATACACGATTCTGACTGCAAAAATCCTTTTTGATAAGACAAAAAGATATTTTCCAAGTTACATCGAAAAAATAGAGAAGGGATCTCTGTCGGACGTAGATAAGTTTATGTCCAACAGGAGGAAGAAAGAACTAGAGAAAATCCTTGGCAACGAATATCTTTTATTTATAGGATGTACAATAATATCATCGAAAATATACATGGATCTTTCATACACCAACTTCTCATGGATTGAGGTATGCCATCACGGAGTCGATCAGATAAATGTTGCAGAAAGGCAGATCTTGCAAGTTCTGGACTATGATGTAAACCTTCAATGGATAGAGCTGAAAAGAATGTATGACGAGTTCGGCGCAGTGCCTAATAAAGCCCTTTTTGGCCAAGTAGAGATGAAACAAAGAAAAGGATTCTTTAAATGGGCATTTGGTTCCCTGTTCCGCTTCATCTCGTGTGTGGATACCGTGAATAAATAGACAACCCCAGCTAGACAAAAATCAATAAATGGACACATATCTATAAATCTTCAAATATTTACTCTGTCAAAAAGAGGATTTCTCACACTTAGATTTCTCACCTTATTCTGAAGGCTGCCTGTCCTCATCGTTCTTCTGTATATTCAGTGCTCCAAACCCTAGTTTCTTAACATATGATTCGTCTCCTTCAACATTGAAGGCTTCCTTCTGAGATGTCCGAAGAGATGGGAATGTGTTTTTTTTAATAACAACAGGCTTGTCTATCTTAATCTTGGTCTCCTTCAATTCATCAGACTGCTTTTCATTTGTTATACTTTTTTCTTCTACATATTTTGCATCCGAATCTGAAAACTTCGGCATTCTCCTTTCCTCTATCTTTCTCGGCTCTAAGACCCTTTCATTTCCTTTAGCCAAGCTGTCAATGAAGGAGGTACCAGGCTCGTCTCTCTCACTCTTCTTAGATAACTCATCAACGGCCCTGGAGTACCACTCTGCTTTTGTATACTTGGTTCGAAGGTCTGAAACCTTTCCAAGCTTGGGGGCGTTGGAATTCCCAGATACATACACCCTTCGGAGTTCAGATAAACTCCATGTGTCTAGGATAGTAGACTTCACTTTTGTTATTCTAACTCCAAGTTCTCGATGCTTTGAAGCACACTCTGTGCATATGAAGAATCCATACGTCACTGTTACCCATATGGGTGATAGATTGTTGCAGTCCGCACATCTCTTATTGTTTGATTGCATCCTTATGTATTTAAAGAACCTGTTCACAAGGGACTTGTCAAGTACCTCATCCTCAGACATAATTATCCAGGGCTTTTTGAGGAATGTTTTTGAAACTGTTCTAGGCCCTGAAGTGTAGAAAGGCCAAGTGCACAAAGGTGAATCCTAACTAGAAGTATTTAATTTACACAATGATCTGATCAGAATACTTTTGGTAGGTAAAGTACGGCGATTCATGTGGAGAATGATGGTGATGATGATGGTGTTTATGCGAGTGCCCCCTTCGGTGCTTATGTTTAGATCCATGATTATTTTCAGGCGACTCATTGAATATGAATATTTGGGGAGTGCCCTGAGGACTTGGACTTCCTATACTGGGTGCATCCATTGCTTCTTCAGAGGGTGGCTTGTACTCGGGGTCTTCAGGCGTGTAAACAACATCAAACTTCTGCCTACTGTTCTCTGAGCAAGTGGTTCCATATATATTCCCATCATCATCATACTCCAAGCATAGATCTTTGTTCTTATTCTTAAGTGTATACCCATCATTCTCATTTCCTTCAATCCCAAACTTTTGTGTCAATCCATTATTTCTAGAATGAAAGATAAGCTTAGTCTGCCCGCTTTTTGGATGATGAAGATCTAAGACGTCACTAGTACCCACCTCCTTCAAAATTTTGATGCCAGGAGACAATTCCTCGCTTCTGAACTCTGTCGGGGTTCCAGATGTAGACATGGCTGCCAATTGATAGTTTATTCCATAATCCGGGCTTCTCCATCGGCCTCCCTTGGTTATGTATTTTTTTACTCCACCTTTTGCGAAAATTGAAAGTCCGGAAATGGCCTCCATGAGTTGAAATATCATCATAGCCTTTTTCATGAGACACAAAATAATGTAATCTTTTATAAATAAATTTGAAAATCCGTTTCATATGATGAAACATAATCAAAAAATTGAAGACCGGCGATTGGAAAATGTTACAAATGTAATTAAGACTTTACTACACAATAAGACCATTGGTAGAAAGACCGTTACTCTCATCAAATATAGAAGAAGACTCCTCATTAACATTAAAATGTGAGTGGGGACGGTGTTTCTTTCCTCCATTGAATATAAGTATCTGAGGAGAAGGATTGGGAGTAGGCGAGCTTTCTGTTGCAACTGGAACTTCAACAGGCGGCTTATATTCGGGATCTTCAGGTGTGTAAACAACATCAAATTTCTGCTGAGGTTTTGAGGAACAGGTGGTACGATACAAGTTTCCTGTACTACCACGTTCTATACACTTGTCTCCGCTCTTAATATAGTACCCACTTCCTTCATCTTTGATGAGAGAGAATCTTTGATTTGCACCACCATGCCTTGCATAGAAGATCAGATTTGTCCTACTCCCCTCTATGTCCAGAACTTTATTGTTACTCTTATCGGTAAAGATCTTAACTCCCGGTGTTATCTCTTCGCCCTTAAAGTCCACAGCTTTACCCTCTGAAGACATAAATGCTTTTCCACTCCTATTAATGAGGGATTCTGTTTTATTGTCTCTTGAAACTATTGTGAACCCAAAAGCTATTCCGATCATGCATGCATAGGTAATCATCATTGAATGTAGGATACATATTTTCCTTTATATCTGTAGCATAGGACTTGTTTCAGCTGTTTCAATCTTACGAACAAGTTAATTTCTGTATTTCGATACATGAAATTACCCTATAATGCCCTGCTTTTTAGAAAGATATTCCAACTACTCAAGACCCGGGGATAATCAGCTCTATCATAAGTATCTGTTACCGATATCCTTGCTTGGGTTCACCAAATATTTAGTAATACCCCAGAGGTTATGAGTACAGTTGGTAAAAGAAAAAATGGAGCAGGCACAGATGTTTCCAAAAGGCATTCTAGCGAGCTTGGAAGAAGTAATGAAAAAGAAGCTCTTCATTCCAAGAGACAGATAATAGATTTCCAAGACATGTTTGGAGATGATTTAACCAGACTAATTGGGAATGTAGACATCTTGAGGGATGAAGACTCCGATAAAAGCTATACTGCTCTTAATGGATCTTTTCTTAATTCATGCATTGCATTAATGGACCATGGAAGAAGCTTAAAACCATTGTTTTCTCAATACAAGAAATTTGTTGCTCTCATCAAAAAATCTAAAGGTCATACCGAAAGTATTGAAAAGTTCAGCTTTTCACTAAGTGATTTCGAGCCTTTTTGGGAAGAAAAGAGGTCTAAGATGGAAAATAGCATGGATGTAGATGCGCACAAATGCTCACAAGGAGAAATATACAGGTTCCTCACAAAGCATTTTGGAGTGGAGTGCCCAAATGCAAAGGCGAACGATGACTTTATGGATTCTTTGGAGACATTCAGGAAAATGGAAAAGATGGCGGACTTCCCATTCAGTATGCCGTTGAGATTTGGGAAGGGGCCGGGGATGTCGTTCTCTCTGTCAAGAAGAGAAGACATAGGAAATCATAACAGAAAGGTTTTTGAAGCTATAACAGCATTAAGAAAGGACAGAAATGTTTTGACGTACGTGAAGAATCCTGAGTTCTTTGAAGATAGTTCTGAAGAGGAGGGCTACTCCGGGGATAATCATATGATTAGAGAGATTGTAACATGTAAATATTATGAAGATGGAAGATATAAATTTTTTGGAAATCTTGTTCTCAGAGGATTTTCAAGAAATAGGGTCAGATATGTTAATATGAGGAAAGGAAAGAGAGTTATTTTTAAAGACCTTGAGAAGAGCCAAGTGAAGCTAGTTTATAATAAGGGAGAAGATGTGGTGTACATGCTTATGTTGAAAAGTATGATCATTTATAAGGTTGTCTGTAGGCATCCAACGATTGCATCGAATATCTACAATCACTTGATGGATCTTGACCCTAATAATTAAACCATTTGGGACTTGATTTATTAGATTTTCTTGAAGACAAATCTTTTGGTGGTGATCCCATTCAGATGGAGACAGGACTTGGGCTGAAGTCATTTGTGTTTTCTCTTTCGAACATAATACTTGTTGCCAAAGTAGGGTTGGTTATATTAGGAACAGTCTATCCTTGCTTGTATGGATTGGTTGCTCTAATATCCTTGGTGGTTATACAGAGAAAAACGATCCACAAGGCTCTTGGGATATTGCTGATTATAATATACCTAAAGCTGTTGCTTGGATCTTCTTTTGAGTTCGATGCACCTTCAAAGATATGCAACTCCACTTTTTCTGATGAAGTTGATGATCAAGAGGCAGATGAATTCAGCTCATCAAGTGAGCACTTCATTGATGATAAGATATTTCCTAGCGAAGTGAAGAAGAACGAGAACATTATTGGCCATCGCCTTGAAGAATCTAACTTATCCCATCTTCAGAATAGAGATGATGCACGTTGTCGTTTCTGCTCAAGAGTTTTATCTTAGCAAAGATAAAATAAATCTTTTAACGGAGATAGTGTGATTTGATTGATGGGTTCCATATAACAAACCACGTCTATTCTGTCTAGGAGAATATGGCTATCCTTCGAAATGTCAATCAAGAACGACATAAAAGGAGAAAAGGAGGTTTCTTCCTGATATAAAGAGTATGGTATCCTGTGAAAGATTGATGAGAGATGAGTATTCTTACAATGAAGGGGTCGAAAGCCGATCTACTGAAATGCTTTTGTCAATTCTAGAGCATTATGACACAAATCTTATTGAAGAGCATATCATTGACGAATATGATAGGAGGAGGAAGGATTCTGGAAGAGAAAATGAGGATATGAACCTCAACAAGCCCTTGAATGCAAAGAGTCCGGAAAAGCATGATTCTTTCCATGAGAAGGTTGATGAATCCGAGCCTTTGGAGTCGCACATGTGCGATTTCATAAATAGCTATGGGATATCTGAAGACGATTCTTGTCCACAGGAAAAAAATAAACTTGGCAGCTTGTCATTGGATAAAGATGGGAATGATTTTGAGGCATCATCCACAAATCTCACTGGAAACTCCACTGTTGATCTTTCTGGTGTTCGAAATCTCACAGATCCAATGTCTCTTGAAAAGGCCTTAGAGTTTGAAAGATGGTCGATCAAGAAAGAAGAATTGGTAAGGAATACGGAAACACAAAGGAAGATGCTTGAGGCATTCCATTCTATTCCCGAAGTAGCCTTAAAAGAAGGGATATTTGACGATATCAAGATAAATAAAATATATGTTGAATCTAGAATTCACATCAGAAAAGAAAATGGAAGGAAAATCAAAGAAAAAAAAGGCCTAATAAGAGGTGAAAGAGATATAGAAGGGAGGAAGGAAACGAAGACCATGATGTTCGATGACTATGCTTCGGGATGGGAATTGTCGAGTGAGTCAGCCTCTGATGTGGCTACGAGGGAAAAGGCATTTAAGATTATAAGAGAGGCAAAGAAAAAAGCAACGGGAAGAGATCTGCTGTGCAGTGGAGATATGCAGCTACGTAAGTTCGTTGTGGATCAGGAGGAAAAATACTTAAAAATAGAAGAAGTTATAAAACTGAATGACCTTAAGTACAAGAACCTGATGGGGAAAATCTACAAGAAAGGTGGGAATGGAAAGTACCAATACAACTGGTTCACTTTGAAAAAGAATTTCTTCACATGTTACAATGGAAAGGGGATCAAGATAGGTTCAGATACTTTTCCTTCTGATAAGAACTATGATTTCAAGGATCCTGAAGACGAAACACTCTTCTTTAAAAAAAAGTATACCATAGACCTTCTTAGTGCGGGGATATACCTTGTTAAGCACCCAGCTTATATGGGATGCATAAGGTGGGGATCTAGTTCAGATGAGGACCTGATCGATATCACCGAGGACACAAAGATAATAAGAATTACTCCTGCAAAGAACTATTTTTTAATTTCTCTGAAGAAGAATCTTGTGAAGACGGAGATAAAGACGAGCACACTAGACTTTGCATTGAGGGCTGATGGCGAAACCTATTTCTACAGGTCGAAAGACATGGATAGCTTTCTTGGATGGCTGGTTGCATTTGCATTCAGACAAGGAAGGATAAAATGTAATATCGGTTGAAATAATGCTTGATGGTTGTAGTCTTAAGGGGTTTTAAAATGAATTCCTGGTCGGTATATTGTTTGAAATAAACTTTAAGTGATGAAATCATTGTATGCGAGCCCATGATAAAAGACTTTGATATAGTAGAATGTCCATTCAGGGAGGATAAGTGTGTACTCCCTCTTATTAAGACTGATTCGGGGTATGAGATGAGGATATGCAACAAGCCTGATGCCAAGAAAGTGACTGCAACGAGGGTCAAAGAACGTAAAGGATATTTCCATTTGGAAATAACTGATGGTGAATGCAAGATTATTGGATACACAGAGAACATGTATTCTTTTGTGGTGCCTGCAGATTTCTATCTTCCAGTTATGAAAGAGACAGGAGAGTTCTACTCTGAAATCTACTCTAAAATGGTTTATGGGGACATGGGGCAATGCATGGATGTTGCAGAGATGTTTGACAAGGCCTATAAAGATAGCGAGATCCCTATGTACCCTGTTCCGATAATATCTACAGTTGAGAGCTTTGAGAACTACAATTTCAAGGACTTCAAGGGAGGAAAGGAGAGGACCGGAGACACTATCCATGTGGGGTATGAGGACGATACTCCTGAAGGCCCAGTTCCAGGCCTACCTGAAAGGTTAGAGAAACTCCATGGAGAGGATGTCATGAAGTTACAAGAAGATCTATTTAATCATTTGTTTGCCACACATCCAATCCTAAGGATATCTAATATAATAAGAATGTTCAAGTCGGATGAAAGAGCTGCAGAAATGGGGTTCAGCGACTGGAAGATAAAGAAGCTCTTGCCTTTACATGCATACTTCATTGATTCTGGGCCTTGGAGGGGATGTTGGGTTAAGTTTGGAGTTGATCCTAAGCAAGATCAGAGTAATTTTAAGTACCAAATATACGATAGTCGCAAATCTGGCAGGACGTTCCAGGTATTTGAAGCTGAAAATGTTGTCCATGAAGTAGAAAGAAATAGGTCCTGGTACTTGTCTGATGAGCCCAACTTCAGGATGGGCTTTCATACAAAGGCTCTCTTGAATTTACTCAGATTTCGATATGAGGTTGACTTCCATGCCAATGAAGAGGATTCGGATGAACTGGAATTCGAAGTGTTTGATTGAGCTGAGAGAAATGCCTGTGGATTTTCTTTCAAGAATCCGATGGCTAGACAAATGAAGAAAAAATTTATCCCTCAAAATGGTAAGTGAGACCTTGAGGTAATTTTAGATTATTAAAGAAGTTAGAGTTATACCGGATGATGCAGGATTGTACATGCCGGATGATATTCCAAAATTTGTTGAGAAATACAAAGCAAGAACTGCTCGCAAGCCAAGAGTAAGAAGAACAGATCTTGTTAAGGGAATGGTCGTCGTTGTTTTGGAAGGGGTCTTTGCATCGAAGAGAGTAGTGTACTTGAAGGGATTGGAGGATAATCTTGCACTCTGTGCAGGCCCAAAGTCCATTAATGGAGTACCACTTTTTAAGATTGACGAGAGATATCTGTTAGCAACATCCACAGTCTTGGATATCAATGTGAATGTAGACATTGACGAAAAGGACATCATTCTGACTAAGAGGGATGACTACACCGCACCTATGGATGTTGAGATGACCGATGCCGAGAAGAAAATTGATGAAGAGATTGCAAAAGTTGCCAAGGAGATCAAATTCATGAAGTCTTATCTTTCAGAACCATTCGAGATTGACACTACAAGAAATTTCTATTCTTTGAAGTATTAAAAGGCTATCCATCAGTTTTTATTTTATTTTTCTTTCACATATGATACTAACTAAGGTCGTATTATATCCATTCTACTTGATCTTTAAATCTTTCTCGTTTCTTTTCTTTCTTTCATATAAAGCTCATGTGATTCCTCAAAGTTCAGCGGGATATAAGTATCCTTGTAAGCTGAAATGATAGAAAAGTGCCTGGAATTGACCACAGATAATCTCCTTCTACTGGTCAAGCATAAAAATCCAGAAAGAACCTTCAGTTCTTCCTCGTCGAATAAACTTCTGTATCTTTCGGTGATTATTTCTTGAGCATCCTTATCTTTGGAATAAACTCCAACATCGAGTAGGTCAGACCACTTGTATTTATCCTGAGGCACACCCAACTCTTCAAATATAAGCTTTATTTGGGACACTTCATCATTCCCTCTATATGGTGGTCTTCCAAGCCTCATCTCTAGCATTATACATCCAACAGACCATGCATCTACTTTGAAGTTGTAGGATGTTTCTCCAAGTAGCAGTTCAGGAGCTCTATACCAAAGTGTGCAAACTCTATTTGTCATCATTCCTGAAATCTCCCTAGTTAGTCCAAAGTCAGTGAGCTTCAGCATGCCACGGTGATCCATGAGAATGTTGCTGGGCTTTATGTCCCGATGCACCAGCCCTAGCTCATGCATTGAACTAACTGCTTCCACAAGCTGTGATATAATAGATCTTGTATGATCTGTACTGAGCCTAGCGCCTGATGCAAGGAGTCCTGTTAAATCATACGGCATGTATTCAAGAACAACAAATATAAAGCCCTCGTCAAACACGATCTCATCGAGCTTTATTATGTGCTTGTTAATCACACTTTTACATAGTTTTATTTCTCTTATGGCTGTAAATGGAAAGCCTGTCTCTCTATCTACAGGCATTTTTTTTATTGCAAACACCGTGCCATCTGACGTTCTTCTTGACTTATAGACCTGCCCAAATGCTCCTTCTCCTACTTGTTTAATATTTTCATACTTCTCCATCGGGGTCAATCAAAGAGATTACCTCTTTGTTTAAAGTTCCATATCGAAAAAAAAAGACCTTTCTAGAAACTAAGAGTTCAGGAGATGAAAAGTCATTTGAATTTATTATTATCAATTCTCAAGACTATGAATTCTCTACTACGCTTGCATCACTATCAATTTCGGAATCAAGGAGATTGCTGCTTTCATTAATACCAGACTTCTTAAGATTGCCCTTCTTTTTATTAGTGTTGAAAGTATCTACCGAATCTCCAGCTTCTTTTTTGGTTCCTTGTGGGCTGCTACGTGTAGAATTTCTTTTCTCCTGAGCTTTCTTCTTTTCTACTTGAGAGTTATTCATATCTTCTTTAGTAGGACCGGTACTCACTTTTGTGCTGTTCTTTTTGCCGTCCGTAGATCCGGCTTGAGCATCAGGAGAAGAGAGATTAGAGGAGTGATTGGTGAGAGAGGAACCTGATTTTCCACTCTCATTATTTTTATTTTCTCCACTAGACTTGGAAGATCCTTTACCCTCTTCTTTGTCCTCCTCTTTGTCCTCTTTTTTGCCATCTCCTTTGTCATCTCCTTTCTCCTTGTCACTTTCCTTGCCGCCCTCTTTATCTTTCTTTTTCTCTTTTTTGTTATTGTTCCCATTGCCACCATTGCTATCCCCTTTATCCTTGACATTACTAACTGAAGAGAGATTTGATCGCTTTAGATTTAAATGATGGTGCTTCTTCAAATTCATCAAGCCTGACCTGTGGTGGCTAGTCCCGTGAAGCCTTTTAAAAGCTTTTACTATGAGAATCCCAGAAGCAAATAATAGTTTCTTCATGTTTATTGCCTGCTTTGCAGTATAAATACTTGATTGTAAAACATGTTTCATAGGTTCAATACATGTTTCTTATCACCCAGGAATTAGTTTCAAATGTCCAAAACTTAGCTTCCAAGAATCCATTATATAATCATTTATTTACTAGGGAGAATGTTCAGAATAGTGGAAAGTAAGTCATCTCATCTCAGCATTCTATCAAGGTTTCGGATATCCCGGCCTTCTCAACAATGGCAAGATATTCATCATATGTCATTTCAATGGCTAGATGCCCCAAATCTCCTTTTCTTCCAGAATTTTTGGAAGTGACATATAGAATCTCATCATCATCCCATTCTATATATATGAGACCAGACCTCAGTGAAAGAGATAGATAAAATATATTCTCAATGGTTTTTGAGAACGACTGTGGGTTGATGACAAGCCTGAAGTATTCCACTCTACCTCTTTCTAAAACCACTTCTTTTATATGCATAAGGATGTCAAACTCTTCTGTAGAAGCTTTTTCCCGAGTAATCAAAGCTGGAATCCTTGTTTCTGGAAGATGCTGTTTTGATCTTTGTACTGGCAGTTTCTTCCTATTAGAAGCTTCTGGGTGGTTGCCCAGAGAGAAGCAGCCTAGGAATCTTATTCCAGCATTGCATCTCATGGCATACCTATAGAAATCATTAAGAAGGTTTTTTCTAAACAACTCCACAAATGTGCTAGAAGTGATATCATCCAACTCAATGTCTTTTTCCATTCTTTTGCAAGCTATTTTGGTCGACAAAGCAGTCATCTTAGCATCTAGCTTAAGCTCAGAAGATGTTTTTATCTTCTTGAACAGCTTGTTCGATGTATTAATTAGTTCTTCTAATCTACACTTATCTTCAAAAAGATCCTCCTTTAGACACCTCATTTTCTGAAGTAGATCTAAATAGCCATCACGCACCTCGTCCCCGTCCACCGAGAGCTCATCCTTGTCCATAGCCCTGGGCTTCCACTAACCAATTTCATCACTCTTGGTTTGGAAAGATTGTATAATTTCTACTTTCAAAAGGGCTAGAAAAGTCATACACATCCTCAAACTTATTGTTCTCCTTAGTCCCATATTTCTTAACCACTATTCCTTTGGAACTTTGGAGAAACACACCTGTAAGTGTGTAGACCTCAAGTTCAACATTTTGGCATCCGTTCATTCTTATCTGATGCCCGCTGCAAGAAACCCTACAGTCTTTAATGTTATTGAGAACCACAGACTTTTCACAGCTGAAATGTGGAAACACTGTATTATGACAATTCTCGATAACAACCTCCGTACAATCTTCAATGGTTACTATACTATTATTGACATCCTTGACATACCTCTTGTTCTTAATCCCATCCGTTTCATTCTTCTGCTTCTTGAACAAAGTGTGATTCTTAAATGGAATGATGGGCGTCTCTACAACGTTATAGGTGTTGTAAATGTCCTTTAGTCTTGTAACTTTCTCCAGCAAGACCTTTCTATTATATAGAGACGGTTCTTCACGAATACACCCCTCAATATTCAAAATCGTCTGCCGAGCACCTTCAAAATCTCCTTCTTTTATCTTTCTAATAGCATCTTCATCCATCAGGGTGTATCTCGATTCTAATATATCAAGTAAGCAAACATAGTAGTAGAAGCTTTAATTTTTATCTAACTATTGCTCCGTTTCTCTGCCAGGCTCATCTTCACAATTTTCATATAGAACACACATCCCTCCTTTCCTATTTCCTCGGGATGTGAGATAACTTCATATTCATCTATATTGATCCTCTTCTTGAACATTGGGCAGTCAAGAACAATTGTTTCGTATTCTCCCCCCTCTCCACAGAAATTGACCTCCTCCTTCGCTGCCTCCAGATACTCATAAATCTCATCTATCCTCATATTTATACACTCTTTTCCTAGTATAGAAGATGCAATTTTCACTATTCTTCCATCCATGCCATTGGATATCATGTCCAAAAGCAATCTCTTTTGGTCCATTTCCCAAAGTGGAGACAAGCATTTAAGAAACAATCTACTACATACATTCTCAACTCTGCTCTTTTGGTATCTAGATAAAATTGCTCCTGATGATACTCCCTCAAAGTATACCTTTTCTTTGGCACGGCTAATAGCTGTGTAAAGATCCTCAACCTCATCTCCTTCCTCTCTATTGTACTCCAGGCTTTGATTTATACTCCTGCATTTGGTCTGGTAGATAAAAACAGGGATGTTCAGACACTCCCCGAGTACATCGGCCACTTCCGACCCAACAGTTTGATACATAAAGGAATCCTGATACCCATCACTGCATCTCATATGCAGCAGCCCTACAGCTCGATGCCCCTCTTGTTGAAGACAGTGAATAGCGTATAAACTGTCTTTTCCACCGCTGGCCAGTGCAAGAAATCTCATCCTTCGAGGACTAAAATTTTCATTGAGTAAAGAGGTAGAGTAATACTAAGCATAATTCAGATCTAATGATCTTTAATTTTCCTGATCATTTCCTCAGCTTCCTTTGGCATATCAATTCCCTTAGAGTAGTAGAATAGCACGTCTCCTTTGTCAATAGATAATATAGAATCAAATACATTCCACAAAACCTCTGCCTCATGGGAACTTACACTGCTGAACTCCTTGTCTCTTATGAGGCTGTCAAAGATGATCTCATAGTCATGGTATTCTCCATGACTATCATGCATTAGATCATTAATATTCTTCTTATCATGTAGAACATGCCTAATAGGATCTGATCCAACGAGAACTTCCAGAAACACCTCACACTCTGGATAAATGTTAAAAACCAGCCTCACAGCTTCTATTTCGTTAGTATGGACGGTCCTGCCGGAAGGTTGATCCCCACAGAAAAGGTCGATACATTTTGCAAATGCATCTCTTCTGAACTCAATTACTATTTCTGTTCTTTTTTCATTCATCCCCTTTCCTGCAACAATAATAAAGGGAACCTTAGACCATCGAGGTGAGCTTATGTTTATAGGAATCATACAAAACGTCTCCGTACTTGAATCCCTGTGGATCTCCTTGTTGTAATCATCATATTGCCCGTAAAGACATTTTTCAATGTCAATGGTGCATTCCTTGAATACTTTTAGCCTTTCCGATGCCTCCATGGTTCTTGATGGCTCCGTCACATCAGAAGCAATAACCCCGAGGAGTTCGGCCATGTGTCCTTGAACTATATCCTTTATAATCCCATTTTTATCGAAGTAGCTCCTTCCTTCTCCCCCAAGAACCTCCTTTGATATTATTTCAACAGTCTTCACATGCTTATTATCCATAACCTCTTGAAGTGCTTTAGACTCCCTTATAATCCCAGGCATCACCACCACCAGTGGCTTCAAAAGATAATGATCAATAAACTTGGCTCGGCTCAGATCAAACTCCTTTATCTTCTCAAAGGACTCTTTAGTTTCTCCATATGGCTTTTCAATTCCAACTACCTTGTAATCAAGTTTCGATATCTCTCTAAACAAGCAAGTGTAAACAGAAGGTGGCACAGAAAAATACAGCACAGTCTCAGAGTCTACAATATCTCTAAGCTTCGAAAGGTCGTCATAGGATCCTCTGATATAGGCAACTCTCGAGAGGAATTCTGGAGAATAGTTCCCAACTTCCTCAAGAACCTCAGAAAATTCAATGTCGAACTTAGTCCTTGCATATCCAACAACCTCAACGTCCTCTAGATTTATTCTAGAAAGAGCAGGAAAGAGCTTTCTTTTTGCGAGATCACCACTGGACCCAAAGATAACGACCTTCATGGGCCTACCAAAATGTTTCATGCTTAAATAATAATTTTTCTTGACCTAGAATAATCTAATAGGGTCTTTTGAATGATCCAAGTCAATACCCATCAATCGGAGAATAGAAGCCTGACTAATGAATGAAAACATGAAACAAAACCGACCGATCAATGTTTTTGGATTCGTATGAAGTCAACATCAATGGTCTTTTTATCCTTTTTATGGAAGTCATGTTTCCTCGGAAGCTCATACTTGATCTTTGCCAAGACTTCTACATTTGGATATCTTGCAGTTATATATTTTCTAGTACTTGTCTTATGGAGAGAGTACACCACATTGCAGATCTCTAGAGCCTTGTCGACAGCTTTTATGTCTGCATGCTTTATTTTTGTGCCAAATGGGGGATTGACTATTGCTGTATCAAACCTCCCTTCAATAAAAGTAAGGTCGTCAATGGAGCATCTCACAAGGTCTATGTTGATTCCAAATTCAAGGTTATTCAGCCTGAACGTTTCCAGAGCTGATGGGCATAAATCGATCCCAAGAATATATGAGGGGGAGAAATACCCGCATGCAAAGGACAACATTCCTGTGCCGCAGCACAAATCCAAGATAGACCTTCCTTCAATATCATCATAAGTGCTGTGAGCAACGCTAACCATCGATGCCGCTATGTCTGGAGGAGTCATGTATTGCTCTAGCCCAACACTCATTTTATGAAAGTCTTTCACTTTGGAAAGTTTCATCTTTAGTTCCTTAATTTTCATGAAGAATGCAAAAAGTCCTGTCTGGGGTACGAAGATAGATGCTTTTGTTCAAAAAGCCACCACTGGGATTCGAACCCAGGACCCTTAGCTTACAAAGCTAAAGCTCTACCTACTGAGCTATGGTGGCTCAAGGGCGTAGAATTAGCCTAACATCCTGGGTGAGCCCCGCAATCAAAAGGAAACATCGCTGGAACAGGTAGAAGAATTTGTTATAAAAAACTTGACGAAATGTTTTATTCTTTGTTAAAATCATCAACATCATAAGACCCTACTTTAGTCCATCCATCCTTATCCATATAGTACAAGTTTATAGATCCTCCAGAGTAGGCATCACGATGTGCTGCATGGAAAATAGCTTCTCTTCCCAACTCCAAGGCCTCTTGCTTACTCATGTCAAACCTATAAGATGAAGAAAGAATCCCATAAGCCACTGTGGACCCACTTCCCACAGAAAACAAATTGCCTTTAACTCTTTTTCCGTCGTCATCAACATAGTAAATACTTGGTATAGATCCATCGTATCCACATATCATTGTTCCCATCGAGAGGCCATACCCCTTATATCTGTACACACAATTACTCAGATACATGCTTGCTGCTGCTGCAGTTATTCTCCGGCCATTGGTAAGCTCATAATTCTTTGCATACAACCCCATGAGTTTTTCCCAGAAAAAGCAATCAGCAGCCCCTCCAGCCATAGTCCCAAGCAAATTCCTGTTTATCTCAATTACCTTATTCACAGTCTGAGAAGCTATGTATGATCCCGATGTTGCCCTTGAGTCAACTGCTATGACCATCCCTTCTTTAAAGACAAAAGCAAGAGTTGTTGTTCCATGGTATGGCTTTATGATTGACCTAACTAACTTCTGGTCTATGCAAGTTGTATCGATTCTTCTGATGTCTCTTTTCAGTGTTTCTTCCATCCGAGGGGTTCCATAATACAAGAAGGTGTACAAGTACGATCAATTACAAAGAAGACCCCGAGAGAAATGGAAAGGCTGAAGGAGAAGATCTTTCAATTCGGGATATATGGAGCAAAGCTGAAAAGACTCAGCAAAGATGAAATAGAAATGGCGATTGAGGAGCCGTGGACGGAAATAGTAAAGGCAGAAACCGTAGAGGAATTGAGAAGAAACTTTACCACAGATTGCTTGAGAGTTGAGACAAATAAATTCATGGTGAACAATTACAACTGGGATGATTTGTATGTAAGAATGGGGACTCTTGCATGGAAGGATCATCTAACAGCGGGGGCGTTTAACTTTACATCTAAAGAATACTTTTTGATAATGAATCTTCTGATAGAAACTAAAGAATATGTAGATAATGTGGAACTTAGAAAGCTATGCCTTGATCCTAAGAAAACCCATTATTGCATTAACAGGCTTGCAAGAAAGGGATTTATTGAATATAAGACATCGGAAGAGGTTGAGAAAAAAAGCTTTATATATAAGGTCAGGGCAATAATAGATGAAAAGGGATTTGTGACACGGAGGGTGGAGCACCAACAGTTGGATCTGAATAGGGCGGGGTCTGGTGGAAAAGGATGGATGTTTGAGTACAGAATCGACATCGGGCTCTATGATAACGTCAGGAGCATGATTCTAAACTCGAAAGGTGGGATAATTACAGAGGACTTGAAGAAAAAGCTCGGTGTTAGCTCTAAGATCGGATATAAACTTCTTAACAAGGTTTTTAATGAAGAGAAAAATGTTTTGAAAGGAGTTAAGGAGTTTGAGGGGAGAGTTAGGAGATATAGATACCATGTGGTTGGCAGAGGGACTTCCAATGAGGTTGGGCGTGGGGAGAAAGATGGAGGATACATAACCTCTGAAGAGAGAGTAATGGCAATTAGAAAGCTCATGTCAATGAGTCCTATCCTTCAGCTCGATAAGAGAACATACGAAAAACTTCAAGAGTTGACGGGCTGGAAATATGAATTTGATAGAAGAACTATAATCAGAGCAGCAATTCTTGCAGGATTTAAAATATACAAGCAAAAGAGAGGGCGTGAGGGGAAATGCAGTAGGTACATGATAATGAGAAATGAGATGGTTGAATCTGATGTCAAAGCCCTGGACGTGTCTAACTGTAACGCTCAAGAAAACATGTCTGAATTCCAAAGGAAGATATATAACATTTTTGTCAATTCTCCAAAACTTGTAGAAATGGATAATGGATATATTCCTCTAAGAGAAGAAAGATTGAAGTTATTTTACAAATTCCTTATAGAGCACATGGATTCTGAGGAAGCTGAGTCGGTAAGGTTTGATTGGGAAATAATAGGAAAAATGGGGCTTGATCTTTTATTGTCCATTGTTCCCTTCAGCAGAATTGGTTTCAGAGAATCCCTATGTAAATTTATAAATTCTGGAGAGACCGATGGCAATGCATTCAAAACAAGAAACTACATATTGCATGAGGAAGAAGAAAACTCATATCCTGCTTGTTTAGTAGGAAAGACTGTCTCCGAGGTTGTTGATTTGAAACTTCCTCCGAGTATAAGAAAGTTAATAAGATTGAAAGTAGCTGTGGGGAACTTTGCTTCTTTGCTCAGGCAGTTAAATGACCTTCGGGTCCTTGACATTGAAATGTCAAGTGAGAAAGTAGTAATAAAGAGAACAACTATGGATCTTTCCTCAGGAATGAAAATTCTAGAGAAGGCTAAAAGGACTAAGGGTGGAGGGAAATATGTTTCCTTGAATAAGAGGGTCTGGTTCTTCAAGAAGATATGCAATGTCGAAGAAAAGAAGTTCTATGATGAAGCATATAAAGTTGTATACACCGAATTTAAAGGAGATGAATTAGAGGCTATGTTTGATAGACTGAAGATGTTCAGAGATGAAGAAATTGATGATCTGAAGCAAAGTGCATTTGAAAGGCTATATATGGGATTCAAGAAGAACATAATTGAACTTGGATGGCTGGGGGCACTGGATTTCAATTCCTATTCTGTTTCGGATGCTAAAAGAGTTCTCAAAGCGCTTTCTAGGGATAAGGTAATAGCGAACTACAAGGGGATAAAGAAGGTTGAGTTTGTCACCCCCCATGAAGGCTTTCTAAGAGTAATCAATAAGAAATATGATGTATTCAGGTTCAAGGGATATCATGAACATAAAGGAATGGGGTACTTCTCACATTACTTCGATTTAGTCTACTATACTCTGGCAACTTCAGGATCATTGGAAATCAACGAGTTAATCTCTCGGCTAAGATTCATGGCCAATTTTGAGATGGAATTGTTTCTTTTTGAGTATAAGAAAGTGTTCAGGGTCTCTAATGTTAATGATACTAGAATTGTTTCTCTTGGAATATTTATAGATCCATTTGAATGAGAGGATGCTTCTTGCCCGACTTTTTCTCATCTGAAAACTGAAGGAACTGTTAAAATGGTATTGATAATAAAGCACAATAATATAGGTATACCGTTTTCTTTTATTTTTTTGAAATCCTATATGCTCTCTTACTTAGCTGATAGGTTTGTGTCTTCCATCCTATGATGCCTTAATCATCCTCAGTAGGAACAGTAGGAACATTTCCACTACCAGAGCCTCCACTGCCAATAATTTCATCTCTCATTTGGGTTGCTTGTGTAACAATATCTTGAGCTGCCTGATTTATCTTTTCCTCAAAGGTGCTATGAAGAACATTCTGGAGATTAGTACTTTCCGCACTAATACCTCGAAGCATATATATAGAACTCAGAATTGATCTTAGTATTATTTCTCCAAACTTCATGATCTGTCATCGATGCTGCTTTATATACTTTCTACTCTCCTTTTTTCTCCTTTCAATGTGATTCTATTTGGTGGGCGTTTAGATTGTAAAGGGGTGCTGTATCCCGAGAATTGAAGAAGGAAAACAACGGAGAGACTGTTCAAGACTATGATGTGTTTAACTGTGCTTATATTTTGCATGGGCATTCATGCCATAAGCTCTGATGAGGAGCTGAAGGATGCAATAAGGGCAACTATAAAAGAGGAAGTTACCAAAGAGATGCATGATACTGTGAGTAGGATTACAAATGATATGAGGGAAGATCTAGAAAAACGGATAGATTACCTTATATCTGGTAAGGAAGCCGAGGAGGAGATTGCAATTGAGACACCGGTACAAGATACAGAAGAGGAAGGGGAAGAAACGTCTGCTGTCTTTATTTCGAAGAAAGTTGGCGAAGGTTTAGGGATTGGAGTTATATCTATATTGATTGTATATCTGGTTAGAAAGATTTTTGAATACTATCGAAGGCTAAAGGATTGCTCTGAATTAGATGAAGACCATAGCAATTTATAAATAAAACTGCTAAAATTTTGTCTGTTATGATTTTGAATTTTCGTCTAAGGGTGAGATGAAGTTTAAGAAGCACAAGAAGAACGATATCAGAGTTGGATTGTTAGGGAATTTTGATAGACTAGCCACAGAGGCTGTGAGGCTTAGGGTTGCTGTTGCAGTGTATGGAGAAGTTGGAAAGACTTCATTGGTGAGTAAGCTTCACTCCGAACTTTGCGATGAAGAAGGACGGTTGGTTGAGATTGATTCTCGCGAGATAACTGATGCAAGGACATTAGGAGGATTTTATGCGATCAAAGGGGGGGACGTTGAATACGTAAAAGGATTGCTGATTGAGTCAATGAAGAGTGGAGATTGGGTATTGTTCAAAAGGATAGATAAGAATCATGGGTTGCTACAATATCTTTTCACGGTTATCAAATATAGGAGACTACTGGGCAATAATGGAGAAGAAGTGTTGGCACACGATAACTTCAGGCTATTCTTTACTTCTGAGGATAGATTTGAGGTGGATGATGTTGTGTTTGTAGGTCCTCTTAGATTTATGTTTGAAGATGTAATGAATATATTTGAAGTGGAGTGTGTTAGAAGGCTTCTTATCAAAGTTCTTGAGAACATTTCTGGCCTGTGGAAGGGATGCATGAGGGACAAGGGGGAAGAGTGTCAATCCAGCTGCCCTAAGAATGAATGCAGAAGCAATGGATGGTGTTTGTCGAAGGAAACTGGAGTTTGTGGAGCACATTTCCGATCTCTTCTGAAAATAAAGAAAAGGATAGAGAATATCAATGGGACTGGGACCGAGGAGCGGGTGAGAATATATCAGTCTGTATGTAATGTCTTGTTAAAACACGGATCTGATTCTTTAAGATGTTTCCTTGCCTTGACCGAAGTTCCTAGTATCTCTCTTCATGGGACAGATTTTGCTAAAACCAGTTGTGTTGAGTGGGGGATTTTCAACCTTCTATGGAACATCAGTCACCGAGACCATACATTGCTTATTGGAGACACGGGTGTTGGAAAAACATCAATGATCCAATATCTTAGTCTGAAGTCCCACTTCTTCCTAGGAAGACAAACCAGATTAAGAATTGTGAACATGTCGGCAGATTTTGATGGAACGGATTTAATCGGAGGATATGGAACATTAGATATGAACAAAGCCATAGAAAGGTTGTGCAATGAAGAAAAAATAACTGTGCCGGTTTGTTACGGTAACAGACAGAAGCTTGAATATTTGAGACACAAAATTTCTCTAAAAGTCAGAGAAGGGATCTCTAGTTCTGCGGGTTCTATCAAGAAGATTGATGATTTGGTTAAACTACTGGAAAAGAAGGTACATTTTGTGTACAAAAAAGGTATTCTGACTGAATGCATGATAAATGGAGAATGGCTACTTTTGGATGAAATCAATCTTTCTTCTGAAGAGACATTGAACCTGATAGATGGTGTGTTAGGAAAAAGGGAGATCCTCCTCTATGAAAGTGGGGATGTGAAGCCGCTTCGAATTCATCCTGGGTTCATGCTTTTTGGTTGTATGAATCCTGGGGGAGACTTTGGAAAGAAAAGATATGAGGGGATTGAATTCAACACTGTTTATGTGCATGACTTTAGCACTTCTTTGAAAGATATCAGTCTTGTGATTCATTCTGTACTTGGATATGAAGTATCGGAAGAAAAAAAGGGAAAAATAGGAGAATTCTTTCTGGAGTTGAAGAACAAGGTTTTGAAGAATGAGCTTAGTAATGTGGTTGAGCCTCTGATTAGTGGACGAAGTCTTGTTCGAGTGCTTAATTTTATTAGAAAGAAGAGTGAGGAAGAATTTGAGCGAGGGGTGTATGAAGCATTTGATCTATTTGTGTTTACTCAGCTGGATTTTGTTAGCCGCTCAATTGCAACCACGCTTTTATCCAAATACTTTACTGTCCAGGCTGAATCTATGGAGAAAACTAGAGTTAAGGATGGATTTGTTCTAACACGTAGGATTCAAACGTATCTAAGAATCATGGAACTGGCCATTATATCGAACTATCCTTTGCTATTACAAGGAGACACATCTACTGGAAAGACGAGCATGGTTTTATTTTTGTCTAGAGAGATGAATAGACGTGTGATCAGAATAAACAACCATGAGCATACTGAAGCATCAGATTATATTGGTAGCTTTACCTCTACAAGCAATGGAATCGAGTTTAGAGAGGGAGCTCTTGTAAAGGCTATGAGAAGGGGAGATTGGGTTGTTCTTGATGAATTGAATCTTGCATCTAGTGATGTTCTTGAAGTACTGAATAGGCTTTTGGATGATAACAGGCAAATATATATTCCCGAGACCGACGAGATTATCACTCCTCACAAGAACTTCCGAATATTTGCTACACAAAACATAGGATATGGAGGTAGGAAAGGATTGAGTAAAGCATTTAGAAACAGATTTGTGGAAATGTTTTTCTGCGAAAGTAGCGAAGAGGAGATATTAGAGATATTACATGGAGCATCCAAACTTCCCAAAAGCTTCTGCAAGAAGATGGTTGAGGTTTATGGTGGGCTTAGGTCCAAAAGAAGTATTAATGCATTGGTAACACTTAGGGATCTTTTCAAATGGTCTGGAAGAGTGCCTAGGACCCTAGATGAGGTGTGTTTTCTAGGAATGGGTATAGTATATGAGAGGCAAAGAGAACCAAGAGATAGAAGATGGGTATACCAGATTTTTTCGGAGTCGTTTGGGAAGATGAGTGTTGAGAGATATGGAAGAATAATCATAGGGGAGGAAAAAGAATGCCTGAGAGATATACTGATTGGAAAGAGCATCAAATTTACTTTTGAGGAACTTCGAGGAAGAAATTTTGTGCTTACTGATACATTTAAGAAGCTTATAAACCTGGTGGTTTTAGCATGGGGATCAAAGGAGCCTATTCTGATTGTTGGGGAGACAGGAATAGGAAAGACAAGGGTATGCGAAATAGTTGGATCATTGTTTGAAACAAAGATTGTTACTCTAAGCATGCATAAGGGTATAGAAAGTTCTGATTTTATTGGGAATTTTGTATTTGAGAATTCAAAGGTTGTGTGGAGAGACGGACCACTGGTAAAAGCTATGAAGAACGGAGATGCTTTTCTCATTGATGAAATAAACCTGGCAGAGGATTCTGTTCTTGAGAGGCTTAACAGTGTACTAGAATCGCAACGCACGTTATACATAGCAGAGACTGGAAAAGAAGTTGTTGCTCATGAAAAGTTTAGGATATTAGCCACGATGAATCCTGGAGGAGACTTTGGAAAGAGAGAGTTAAGCCCTGCTCTCAAGAATAGATTTACGGAGATATACTTTGAAATCTGCTTGAGTGAAGTTCCTATGATATTTGACTATCTTATAGACAAGAGATTAGGAGAAACAGGGATATCAAGGGAGAGCATTGATATTTTTAAATCTCTGGCTAGGTCTTTAGATGTGTCTATTCGGAAGCTCGAACTTATGGCAGACTTTATATATAGGCGCTATACAGGAAAGTTTGAAGGGGTTGTTTGCACAGATGGATTTGATGTAACAAATACATGGAATGAAGCATTAGAGATTGCAGGGATAAAAGACTTTGAGGTAGAAACCAGATACATTGAATGTGAAAAGATGTTTGGGGCTTTTCCATATTTACTAGAGCATAGAAATTTATCCTCGTTTGACTTTGAATCTCCAACATCAACTCTGAATCTCAGAAGAATTCTTAGAGCGATGGGGCTTGGAATAGGGGTCATGCTAGAAGGAGATCCTGGGATAGGAAAGACCAGCATAATCCAGGGGATAGCTAGAAAGATAGGAAGGAAGTGCATTAGGATAAATCTTAGTGAGCAGACCGAGCTATGTGACTTGGTTGGGAGTTATCTTCCGATTGATGGAGAAATTCGATTTATAGAGAGTGAATTACTCCATAGTCTTAGGGATGGTGGTTGGATAATTCTTGATGAGATCAATCTCTGCACTCAAAGCGTAATTGAAGGATTGAACTCCGTGTTGGATTACAGAAGAAAGCTTTTTATACCTGAGGCCACGGTTAATGTCCATAGAGATACTCGGATATTTGCAACTCTTAATCCATACAATTCAGTAAATGGACGAAAAGTACTTCCAAGAAGTTTTCTTGATAGGTTTATAAGAATTAAGATGGACAAGTACACTATAAAGGATATTACACATATCCTTAACAAGATGTTTATGAAGCCTATAATAGTGGATTCAGCAAGTCTAAGAGAGAATATTAGGTCAAATCAAATGGGGGCATTAGAAGATAGAAAAGTCAGTTATTCTATTGATGAGTCTGTTGTAAGGATCGGTTCTTTTTCTACGAAGAGGAAAGACAGAGATTTGGACTTTGTATTGATACATTCTCAGCTTCAGCAGATAGAAGTAATTATGAAGTGCATGGAAATAAACATTCCAGTGGTTATATCTGGAGGTATAGGGAAAGACTCCCTTCTTCGGTTTATTTCTTCTGTGATTGGACAAGAAATAATGATATTCAACTGCCATAAGGATACAGATGTGTGTGATCTTCTTGGACAATATCAAAAGATGCAGAACGGAATGTTCGAGTGGTGTGATTCGACTGTTGTGTGTGGGATAAAAAAGGGAATGATAGTTGTATTTACCGGTGTTGAGTTTGTAGAAAAGTCCGTATTTGACAGACTGAATTCCCTATTTGAATCTGAAAGGACACTGAATGTGTATGAAAGAGGGATTGATACGAATGTTGTTGTCAACCCATCAACACGACTGATTCTGATGGCAAAGGAGCCAAATATGTTGTCTCCTGCATTGCTTGATAGATGTATGCATGTGGGGTTGAGCGATAAGGTTGACTATATTGATTTGTGGAAGTTGTTCGTAAGGTCATCTATTGACTCGCACCCTGTCTCCCACAGGGACTTTTGTGGGATATTAATGGAAGGAAATCAGATTAACTTCGGCTTGGATCTAAAAAGATTTAATCTTTTGGGTATTTGGCCAGATTTTTTGAATAGACGGCTTGGTGGGGTATATAACACTCTTGAGGAATCGGAGATTGATAAGCTATTTGAGTTCAAGGAAAAAAACATTGCAGGTACTGAAATAGACACCGAGCTCCTTAACTTTTACAGAAAGATCAAGCTCCATGTTATGTCCCCTCATGATGATGAATCTAGGATAAAATTACTTGCAAACATCTCCTCCATGAACTCGGAAGCCCGGAAAACAGTGGCATTCATTAAGTCCGCCGATCTTTCGGTTTTTAATCGCTTTCATAGCAACGAAAGATGTTCTCTTAATTTCCCAAGATCGTCTAAGGATCTGAAGGTAAAAGTTATCAGATGTTTCCGAGACAAGAAGCTTTCCGGATACAAGAGTCTAAGAACGATTGTAGAAAAACTTGCTGAAGTAAGGTGGGAATCATTGCCTGATTTCGATACATTTTTCTTTGAATTCATTGAAAGATGTTTGGATGATCCTTTGAACATACTGAAGAAAGAATTGACTGCAGAGATGAATGTGTTTGAAAACAGAAGTCTTTTGGAGATACATAATACTATGAAGAACATGTATAAATATGGAAAAGGATCTATAGACGAGATGGTTGATGACTATGAAAACGGTGTTAAGGAGTACAAGGCAAAGATTAAAGACATCGAAAGAAGGATGGATCGAGACTATTCTAAGTTTAGGGATTCATTGATGAACTTGGACTTTTGCTCGTACATGTGTGGAGATCGAACTTTTTATGAGTCTTTTGATGATATTTTTGACTACTATTTGATCTATATGTTTTATAGATGGGTTAATGGAGAGGGATGCTCGGGAAAATGCAAGATCAAACGGTTAGATGAGCATTGTTTGGAGGAAAAAAGCGTAAATCTTAGGGATGAAGTGCCTGGTGTTTATGTTAATTACAGTATCCTGTGCTCTAACTTAATTCATCAGGGATTGAAAGTTCTTTCTCATTTAGAAAAGATAGATTATAAATTGCTGGGGTATGAGTTTTCAAGATACTTGAATTCATTATATTACTCGAAACCAGAGGATAGATGCAGCTTGATTTTAGAAGGTATTATTTTTGATAGGATGATATATGTCAAAGAAGATGGATGGATAGACTATGCACTAGGATTTGACGAAGAAGATTTAGATAAAAGTCTAAGATCTATATTTAACATTAAGAGTAGAGCACGAATTATTGAAATCAACACGGATAAAATAGAGATCGCCAAGGAGTTGATTTCTTCTATGGACCAAGAAATGATGGAGCTTCCAATATTCACAAGTATCTCATATCTTACCGAATATACTGAGAAGAAGATAATGAATTCTGAGAATGAAAAAGACATCTCACTTAGGAACATGAATGACATGGGTTTTGATGAGGACAGGGTTTTAGAATCAACGATTGTTTTAAAAAAGTGGACTGAAGAGGCCAGCGTTACTGATAATAAGAAGGCACCATTATACAGTCTAATGGAAATTTTGCAAGGATTTTATAAGGATGCATCTGTTTGTGATATAGAAAGGAACTACAAGTACTTCCTATACTTACTTTTAACTCCATTCGATTTTGAAATGGCAGAAAGATACTTTTTAGATTGTTCTGTATATGAGTTTGTAGATAGAGTTAGACATGCACAAGAGATGGCTATAAAGAACAAAGAACCTGTTTTTTACAATGTGACTTTGAAGTATGCTTCGTTTGAGGTTGAGAAGATTTATGAAGATAAAATTAGAGATGCAAAATCTAAGCTGAGGAAAGAGCCAAAACTTTATAAGAAGACATTGGAAGATCTAAAGAAGTTTCTCATATTGCCTGTTACTAACGTATTGGATCTTAAGTTTCCACAACCATATCCTGTCTGCCAAGGATATCATCCCGGCGTGTGCACACATATTCTAAAGGACAGGTCTGATTGTGAATGTAGAGACTGGATTGAATTCTCTAAGAATTTCAATAAGAAAGAAGTTGAGAAGGCCTTTGAAAATCGTAGGATCAAAAAGAAGGATATTCTTGAGTTGTTTTTTAACAGGATTCCTGAGGATATGTTTTCTACCTCAGAGATATGCTTAGGTAAAGTTGTTAATCAAATGATAGAAGATACAGCAATAATGAATTTGACACAGATATGCATTGAAAACCTATACATACCATTTATGCATTTCACATTCATATTTGGATATAGGGAAGAGGAATTAATAGATGGGGATGAGGTAGGAATGAAAAACGGAACAGGTAATGCTAATATAAGTGATCAAATAAGGCATGAGGACGAGATAGATGATGAGTATGGGGAACATGAGAAAGTAAGTGAAAGCGATGGAATAGACTTCGATAACGATGGAAGCGTTTCCACTGTCAGTGAGCCTGAAGAAGAAGAACATGAGAGCGGTGTGGAAGGATATAATGACGAAGAGGAGGAAAGTAAAGAAGAAGAGAAAGAATGGCTGGATGAACAAGACACAAGGATTGATGTGGAAGACGAGGGTTTTGGATCTGAAAGGAGTTCAGAGAATGAGGAAGGAGAAATACAATACTCTGAAGACTCGGAAGAAATTGAGAATTCAGGAAGAAGTGAAGGAGATGATATGGGATCTGAGGATGAAGGCGATACAAAACCACAAAATGATGAAGATTCAGATTTTCATAATGAACCTAAGACAAATGAATATCAATTTAAAGAAGGGGCTCTTAACAAGAATCAGACATGTGAGGTGGCAGATAACTATGATAGGTGTGTTGCTGGAAACAACCGGGATGATAAAGCTCTATATGCAGGTGAAGGTAACGAGAGGATTTCAGGAGATGAAGAATCAGGAAGTGGAGATGCCTTTGAATCTACCATAAGAATAAGAATAGAAGAAGGAGATTGCACTAAACTGACTAATATGCTTAGAATAATCATGGAGTCAAGAAAAGGTAGTAGATATAAGGGCGATTTTAGAAGTGGAAAGAAATTGAACATGAAAAGGTTGGTTCCATACATAGCTAGTGGGTTCAGAAGGGATAGGATTTGGATGAAACGGCAAAAGAATGATAAGAAAGACTATATTCTTCGTTTGTTCATTGACAACAGCAAAAGTATGTATAACCAAGAAATGGTTGATACTCTCTTGTCGTTGTACTCCAAGATAAATATATCTTTCTCCCTGCTTGGAATACCTGTTGAGGTTTACAGATTTGGAGAAGTCCTAGAAAGATGTTCAGTGGAGGACATGAAATTCAATGATTCTAAGACTATGATCGACTGGATTGACGAATTTAATGATGGAATCAACATCATCTTAACTGATGGGCTCTTTCAGAATGTAGGGCATCATCATCCGAACTTCTTAGTTCTATTGATAGACAAGTGCAACGTGAAAAAGATGTCCAAGGTAATCGTTTCTGAAGGATCTGTATTTGTTCAGAGATATTTAGACACTTTTCCCCTTAAGTATTGTATTATTTCAGATGTAGATGAGCTTGAATCTACATTTGTAATGGCACTAAATGAACTAATTAACTCTTGAGCAGCTACTTGAATAAATGCTTCTTTTTAGTGAGTTTTACGGTCCCACAAGATTCATTGCCAAGTAGAATCAATCGGTCAGCATATAAAGTAAATTAAAGTTTAATTCAGATTGCACCTATTCTACTAGCAATTTCAAGGGCTGCATCCTTCTCATCGAATCGGACATATGCTTTCTTCCCATGCTTATTTATCAGGGTATTGACTTTCTTGACCTTGAACCCATAGAGCTCAGTAATGGCTTTCTTAATCTCCGGCTTGGTGGAGGTTTTCTCCACATAGAAGACCAAGGTGTTGAACTGATCCATGCATCTTGCGGCCTTCTCTGTTGTGAGAGCATATAGTATTATGTCATTAGGAGTGTTTCTCGGGACTTTTGGGACGAGGTTTCTAGAGTGGCCAGAATTCTTTTTTAGCGCATCCATTGGGGTGAAGCGATGGAGTGTTTTTTGTCTGATTATTACGAATGTCTTGAGACTCGGTAGTCTGTGCGTCTGTCTAACTTCATAGGCCTTTGTAGCGCAGTGGTTACCGCGTTCGGCTGTTAACCGAAAGATCGAGAGTTCGAGTCTCTCCAAAGGCGTTTTTGCTAGACACTTCACTATATTGGAATTGCTTCAGGTGCTATTACCTACAAGCCTAAGCTTTTCGTAGAGACAAATTTCCAATCTTTTTTATCCCAAATGACGGAGTCTTTTCAGAAGTTAGAAAAGATCGGAGAAGGAACTTATGGTGTTGTGTATAAGGCAAGAGAGAGAAACACAGACAGAATAGTTGCCTTAAAAAAAATAAGACTCGAGAATGAGAATGAAGGAATTCCAGCTACAACAATAAGAGAAATATTGCTTTTGAAGAACCTAAAACACTCAACGATTGTTGAGTTAAGCGATGTAATTTACAACAACAACAAAATGTATCTTGTGTTTGAATATGTAGAACTCGATCTAAGGAGATATTTAGATAAAATGAATGATGAAGGACGCCTTGCCGATGAAGGCTTTGTCAAAAAAATGTCCCATCAATTACTAACTGCAATGGAGTACTGTCATTCTAGGAACATTTTCCATAGAGATTTAAAGCCTCAGAACATCCTCATAGATCCCAAGGAAAACATCAAGCTGGCGGATTTCGGTCTTGGAAGGGCCGCTGGTGTTCCATTAAGAACCTATACTACAGAGGTGGTAACACTCTGGTATAGGCCACCTGAATTACTTCTAGGATGTAAATATTACGACGCTTCTGTAGATGTGTGGAGCGCCGCTTGCATTATGGCTGAGGTTGTCCTCATGAAGCCCTTTTTCCCAGGAGACTCCGAAATAGACCAATTATTCAGAATATTCAAGGTTCTTGGGACTCCAAGCAATTCTAGATGGTCAAATGTAGAAAATTTCCCAAACTATAAAGTGGAATTTCCTATCTGGGATCCCGTGGACTTGAAAACAATCCTCAAAGCAGATTCCGATTTCATTGACCTTATTTCAAAGATGCTTGAGTATGATCCGAAGCTGAGAATGACAGCCAAGAGCGGATTGTCTCACAGATACTTCAAAAATATTCCCCCAATACTAGAATAAGGCATTTATAAAACAATAATTTAAACATTGTTTTTGGAATGTGTTTTGGATATTCATGGCTTTTAAGAACAGATATAAACTTTTAATCTTATAGAGCCTCTGTTTTCGGCATCTTCTCGAGTTCCTTGTTAAGCCATTTGAATGCATCGATTATCTCCCGGCCATTCTCATCATCAGCAGATGTCATCGACCCTGCCTGAAGGACACTGATGGGAACAATCTGTGATGGCCCGTTGTACTTCTCGAGATTGAACTCGTTTCTGATGCTCTTTATCACCTCACTTCTCTCGTGCTCTTTTAACAGGTCGATCTTATTTGCGAGCACCAGCAAGGGCCTGGGTGTGTTCAAGATATTCAGTATCCTCCACAGCTCCTCACTCGACTTCCCAAATCTCTGTGGGTCTGCACAGTCCACCATGTATATGATTCCACATCCATCATTTATGTACTGATGCCAGAATCTCATGAAAGAGTTCTGCCCTCCAATGTCCCACACCTGGAACTTCATATTTCCGAGGTTAACATTTTCACAGTTGAATCCGAGTGTTGGGACTGTCTGATGCACCTCTCCGGTTTGTAGATACAGCAGAAGTGTTGTCTTTCCTGCTCCATCAAGCCCTATCATTGTTATGGACCGTTCGGTTTTCCCAGAAAATATCCCTCGAAGCTTTGCATACAATATATTGTTTACTTTCGATATCACTGTACCCATTGTTTACCCTCGGGTGTTTTTGTTTTTTATATACTCCGTTTCAATTCAGGGAGCAGCTCCACTTCATGCCATTCCAAGGTTAATCAGAGGAAAGATCAAACAAATTCAATACAGATTCTCGGAGTGAAACAGGGAATCAATATAAGAGAGATGGGTTTTACGATCGTATGAGAGGAGCGGTGGTGGTGTTATTTATTGCCTCCAGAACTGTGTGTGATGTGATAAGACTTGTTCCAAAATGTGATTCGGCATGCATGAAAGGAAGGCTTCTGGCATCATACTATGCAAGCCTTGTGCCCATGCCCCCTGTATATCTTTCAGCCACGGATTCTCCAGTGGCAAAGAAACCTAGGATAGTCAGGCCTGCCGTGGTAAACCTTGATGGGGTCAAAAGAAGCATATCCAAGCCTCGTCTTGCGAAGGTTCCTGAGGTCGTAAAAACAACTGTAACAGCCACTGTTCTGAAGGCTGTGCCCATGGAGATGCCTCGGACTGTGCAACCGCCTATTGTAGTGATGCAGCCTAGATATGTAATGCAGCCTATTCCTGTGGCCCTGAGCCCAATGAGTGTATCCACGGTGCCCAAGCCCAAGCAGAGTGTGAGACCTTCTCGCCCATGGATTGCTGTACAACAACAGGGTAGTGGGGCAGAAGCAATCAATAGGATAGGGAAAAGAGTGAATCTGATCTACACAATGCTGACCACGCTAAAGCAAAAATACTTGCAGATGATCCCGCCGAGGCCGCAGAGGATTGTGGTGGTTGCTCCTGTCACAACAATGACCATACTGAAAACAGTATCCATAACACCCCCTCAAAGAACCGAGATTCCCGTCATCAACCAGCCTATCACGGTGGTCACACTGACCAAGTCTGCTTCCCAGCCTCCTCAGGCATCAAAGAGTGTGAAAGTGCAACCGTCCACCAGTACGGCCTGTGTGCCTTCTTCCCAAAGCACCAAGGGTAGCAGTAAGGTTGTTAAGTCCAATAAGAACACGGAGTCTGACAAGGACACTCAAAGGGCTCAGAAGAGAGACTCAGAGGACAGCAGCAGCTCACAAGAAAGCTCCTCATCTTCGGAAAAAGGCGGGAAGCCTTTGTACATGTTGAAATCAGCTAGGCTTGGAAGAAAAAGGCCGAAAAAGAGAGAGTCGTTTATTGACTGCTACTTGAGGGGGAATCCATCTGAGTGCACTGCAGAGAATTCTGAGGGAAGGCTGGACATAGGTGATGCAGTTATATATAGAAACGACTTTGACAGCGATGATGAAGTTATATATCTTAGCGATCTGTTGGGAAGGTAAGGGAGCCCGGTTGGTTATTAAAAGCATGTTTTCTATGCATCATCTCCATGTGTTCTCAGGCCATCAAAGAACGGGTGACTTAGAGCATCGGATGCTGTGATTCTGGATGAGGAGCAAAGATCAAGCATTCTGTAGAGCAAGTCATATCCCTCAGCACCCACCTCTGCCCACGGATTGAGCGACTCTACGATTCTTTCAAAAGGGATTCTTTCTTCTGGAATTGTATCTATGTTCGACCTCCATAGTCTTCCATAGAATCTTGCAGCCTTCCTCATTTCAGCATGCCCAAAGATTGTTGCAATTTCAACAATGGAGTCAACATCATCCGATGAGTAGAAGAATGGATACTGTGCCGTCAGGATTGTTAGGAAGATCACCCCGATCGACCACATATCTATGGCCCTTGTTTGCCGTTGGTGGCGAAACAGAACCTCTGGCGCTCTAAACCCTCGTGTCCCAGCCCGAGGTGCTTTCATTTGCGGCCTGCCGTCCCGTTCGTAGTATCCCGGAGGTTTGGCCTTCGACACAATCGAATTGAAGAAAAGCAAAGGTGTCGAGGATTTGCTACTATCATCCCTTGCTTGGTCCTCCTTACAATCCTCATACTGTGCTAGCCCAAAGTCTATAAGCATTCCTCTTCCAGCCTCTTTATTATATAGAAAGTTTCCCGGCTTGAGATCCCTATGTATTATACCGTTGCTATGCACATGATCTATTGCCACAAGCAGGTTATACAGGTATTGCTTGATGTCTGCCAAGCCTGCATTTGAGATGAACTCTCGGAAGTCAACGGGTTTGAAGTATGGGAAGACTGCAACCACCTGATCCTCGTTCCTGAAGACTCCAAGAAGCCCCATGCAATTTCTCTTTCCCTCAAGAGCCTTCAGAAACATCAACTCCTCTAGTATCCTGGCTGGAGAACTGGTTCTTGTTATTGCCTTTAAGGCAACATATCTTCCAGACTCTGCATCAAGAGCCTTGTACACAACACTGAACGACCCCTCGCCTATCTTCTCTATGGGCGTGTATTTCTGCATGATGAAGGATATGTGCTTGAGGTCTGACTCCAGGATCCTCTCTTCCTCCATTCACCCTTTCTGGGTTTTTTATTTTAAGATAAGGTTCTGATGCCATGCCTGATGGTGCTTGGAACGTCGTGGCGGACGGAAAGAAATGTTGATAAATCATAGGGTGTGTAGCCCTTTAATGTGTGGGGGGCTGAAGGCCGATCTTTTCGTTAGGTACAAACAAATGGAAAGAAAGCTCAAGCTTCTGGAGATAAGGGAAGCTTATGTACGCAAGGAGATTGAAACTCTGAAGAGAGAGGAGAGGCATGGCAGAGAGGAGCTGGACAGGGTCAAGAGTGTTCCGTTGATAATGGGGCAGTTTCTGGAGCCGATCGACAATTCCACTGCGATTGTAGGGTCGACAGCCGGGAGCAACTTTGTTGTAAGAATACTGTCCACTGTTGATAGGGAGCTTCTGAGGCCAAACACCACTGTTGCCTTGCATCGACATTCAAGCGCCATTGTTGATGTACTTCCTCCGGAGGTGGACAGCACGATTCCTGTGATGGGAGAGGAGGAAAAGCCAGATGTGACATATGCAGATGTGGGAGGGCTTGATGTGCAGAAGCAGGAGATAAGGGAGACTGTCGAACTTCCATTGCTGCAGTCTGATCTTTACAGGCAGATAGGGATTGACCCTCCCCAGGGAGTGCTACTCTACGGGCCACCTGGAACAGGGAAGACCATGCTTGTGAAGGCTGTGGCAAACCACACAAAGGCGACATTCATAAAGGTTAATGGATCCGAGTTTGTGCAGAAGTATCTTGGAGAGGGGCCCCGAATGGTAAGAGATGTGTTCAGGCTGGCAAGAGAGAAGGCGCCGTCGATTGTGTTCATTGACGAGGTGGACTCGATTGCAACAAAGAGATTTGATGCATCGACGTCAGCAGATAGAGAAGTCCAGCGAGTGCTTATAGAGCTTCTGAACCAGATGGATGGGTTTGACCAGACGGCAAATGTCAAAGTTATCATGGCGACGAACAGGGCAGATACCATTGATCCTGCGCTGCTCAGGCCTGGGCGTCTGGACAGGAAGATAGAGTTTCCGCTTCCAGACAGAAGGCAGAAGAGGCTTGTGTTCAATGCAATTACATCGAAGATGAGTCTCAAGGATGAGGTGGACATCGAGAGCCTTGTGTGCAGGCCTGAGAGGATAAGCTGTGCAGACATCAACTCGATCTGCCAGGAGGCGGGGATGCTTGCTGTTCGTGCGAGTAGATACATGGTGACGCAGAAAGACTTTGAGGAAGCATATTCAAAGGTTGTTGAGAGAAGTGACACACGGCCTGCATTCTATAATTAAATAGTTTGTGATTTTTATACTTGCCCACCTCTCGGGACCCTTATCTTCATACATAAATGTAAATAGAGAAAACAGTTTAATTACTAATCTTCTGAGCCGGTGCTGCTGCTAGTATTTCCCTTGTTTTCCATAACTTTTCCCTCTTCATCCATCTTTAAAAAATCTTCTTTCTCTGTAGAAGGATTGGCCTCTTCCACTAGAAAAGAGGATGATTCTTCTTCCTTACCTGGAACGTTACTACTCTCATTGTCTTTTCCTTCAGTACTTTCAGAGCCCCCTAGATTTCCCTCGGAAGAAGAAGATGTTAAGTCTCCTTGTAATTGATCTCCTTCCCTTACCAATTCCTGTTTTTTGATCATGTCGTTAGGGTCTCCATTACCCGGAGTCGTCGGATCCGAGCAAAGAACAACCGTGAAGATAGCCTGTAACATAACAAGTTTAACTTTCATGTCTTGTAAGGCTTGGAAAATTTTCTTTTTATATTTTTATGCAGTTTATTAATTATTTAGTTAGTCAAGAATTTACAGTAAAAAATAAATGGAGAATAATTTTCATTAATTATTATTGATAGGTACCTGAATACTGTGTTTAAATTAAACATTTACCATAATATTCTTAATGTCTTAATAAAAATCATAAAATTACTAGGAGACGATGTAAGAGCAGAGATTATATTAAATAGAGAGAAAATTAATTGAGAGTTCGAATTTCGGAATATACCCAAAGTAGAGTAACATTGTTATGAGTTGTATGACATGTTTAACTATCTTTTTCCATTTTGGCCAAATACATGGATATAAATATTTTAATATTATCCCTGCTGATGCAAGAAAGCTATTCAATTGCTATTGAGGCCATTAGATCAAGTAGGGAGCCCGCTCTTCTACTTGCTACATTGATTCTACATTCCATAAATAATCTTCTAAATATGGTGAAAGATCCAAAAATGGTACCTTTCTTTTTATATGGAAGCGCGCTTCAACACTTGAGAGAGAAGAACTTTGATGGATTCTGGAGGGAAGTGGACTTTGGAATAAAGGATGCGAGAAAAGAAATTAATGCACTTTCTACCCATGTTACAAATTGGCAGTGGGATAATTTTGATACCTGGTTTATGGCAAGGACTTCGAGGTTTGATGAACTTCAAGATTTCAACCGTGACGTATATTCATTATACTTAGATGAGTTAGAATGTGTGGTAAAAAAGAACTTCTATGGCGACACCAATAGATTATGGCAGAATCTTCGTGACTTAACCACTTTTTCTAGAGAAAGGACTTCAAGATATATATTGGACTATTTAATGAATACTTTAGGAAATAAGGTAATAATAGCTCAAAGAAGTTATTCTTTTATTAAGCCTCTGAGTGATGGTAGGAGTAGAAAGGTTTATGTAGTTTTCTTAAACGATTTTATAAAGAGGCCTGATGAAACTATGGATGATATCATCAACGGTACCAGAAATTTGTCGAGAGAATCTATAGCTTGGCATTGCAAGCTGTATGGCCTATATTGGCTCTTAACCTTGGTTACGACTGGCAATACATTCTAAGTATGGGATTAAACTGCTGTCTCTATTCTATTTATTAATTCCATTTGTTTCGTGATCCCATCACCAATGGATGATTTGAAGGTAAAAATAGATTCTTTGACTAGAGAGGTTCGAAACCTTAGCAAGGAGTTACAGAAAGGGTATGAGGAAATAAAGAAGCTGAGGGCAAGAACTAGGGAGCAAAAAGAAGGGATAATGCAAAGAGATAGCAGGATTGACGAGTTAAATATGTGTATATCGAAATTAAAGAAGCGAATTGATGAAAAGACCAAGGATGTTGGAAGTAGAGAAAAGGCCATTATAAATGAGAGCAGAAGAAAGGAATTATTTAATGAAAAAGTACTTGGGAGTTCTAGAAGCCAGGGGGAATATTATATTAGTTTAGAAATGAAAATACTTAACACACGACTTGAAATAATGAGAAGATTTATTCTTGAGATTTCAAAGAGGTTTGGATTTGATTTTGAAGTCTTTGATGAACTTACAAAGATATCGGAGAATTTTGACGATCCAGTTATATATGCATTCTTAAACAGCGTTTCTCCAAACAAACAGTCATCCCAGGAAAAGAAAGAGATGGAATGACTGCTTGGCATTATTTTTAAATGACTTGGGTGTATTTACATTGAATGTTCATAACACCCTGAGGACAAATTTTTCAAAATTACAAGCCCTCAGCTAATGGCAGGACAAAAAGTGATTGACCCGGACACAAAATACATTAAACTGCAAGTTGTAGGAGGAGAGTTACCTGGAGCAACACTTGCCCAAAGAGTTGGTCCACTAGGGCTATCATCAAAAGTGGTTGGTGAGGACATAAGAAAGGCTACAACAGACTACAAGAGCTTGAAGGTTCACGTAGAGCTTGCAATAAAGGACAGGAAAGCGACGGTTGAGGTTCAGCCTAGTATTGCGACATTAATAATTAAGGCCTTGAAGGAGCCTCCACGAGACAGAAAGAAAGAAAAGAATATTCTTCACAACGGAAGTCTTAAGATGACCGAGATAGTTGAAATAGCAAGGATTGCTCGATCAAGCCGATCCTATTCCAAAACCCTTGCTGGTGCGGTGAAGGAGGTTCTTGGGACATGTAAGTCCATTGGATGTAAGGTTGATGGAAAATGCCCTAAGGAAGTTACTCATGAGATCAATAGTGGAGAGATCAGACTACCTGATCAATAAATATTTATGACGAGGTATACTTTGTTTTCTAATATTTGACCTTTTGTTGGGTTTATTCTATACGGCATGTGGATCTGAAACAAATGTTTGAGGAGGTTATCCTAATTTGTTGCAATATGGTCAATGTGAAACCTCAAAACATATAAATCTTATCTTGTCTTACTTACCATGAGACTTTTGATTTTGTACATGACTTCACTGGTGATGGGGAGTAGGATGGTTAGAATTACTTCAAGAAACCATCCAAACTTGGGCATAGTGATTGTACCCTCAAAAGCCAACGGGAAGGGTAGTGTTAGAATGCTTAGTACCAAAGAAAATAGAAAGATGGAACAGCAAGGAACTTTCAAGATTAATAAGGGAATGACGGAGGTCTCACAAGGGGAATCCAAACTTTGTAAGAATGAGAAAAACGATGATATTGATGTTTGTACAGGAAGCGATGAGCTTTATTCAAAATGGAGATTAGTTTCCGAAGATGGTGGCGTCAGATTCAAAACGGAAAATGACATATGTCTAGAGACGGTTGAAGACCAATCGGTATCGGGGGGTGTAAGGTTGGCTGGTAGAGAATGTAAATTGAACACGAAGAGCCAGCTCTTTGACTTGAAGTTTGCTGAGGAAGATAGCCAAGATTCTGATGAGGCTGAATTCAGCAAAAGCTCTCCGAAAGACTTGCCTTTGGAGGAACTACTTCCTTTCTTGCTTTATGGGAAAGAACCAGTGTCAAATCAGCGCATAATTTTATATGATAGTCAGGGGAAAAAGAAAGCCTCTTTCAAAGGACCCGTAAGCCCACTCATGGTAGCCAGCTTAAGTTCTGGTATTCTACCACATTCTAATAAGGTATCTGCACCTTATTCTGGTTCTAGGCCATTGTCAAACCCAAACGCTCCCGAGAATGAAGTTGCAATCACACCGAACTACGCAGACTATGGAAAGTTTTACTAATTAAACAAATGTATTTATTACTAAGTCATTAGACAGAAACTATTGTGCTGAACGGGCATTTTCAGAGTCATATAGATGGAATTGGCCTCATTGAATGATTTTGAAACCATAAAAATAAATGAAAGTTGTTAGTGCAAAAACAAGATGAAGCTATTAATTGTACTAATGGTATCGTGTATTTTCTGTAAATCGGACCCTATAAATGTCAGGATAGTTTCCAAGAAGGACCCAAGGAAATACTTGGCCCTGTTCAATGGTGAGGTAAGGCTTGCAACCAAAGAACAAATAAAAAGTAATAAAGGATGCTCTAAGTTCATTGTGGATGAGGTTCGAACAGAAATACTGCAGGGAAATAGGCGTATATGTAAGAAGTATGGATTCTCTAAAGTCATGTCATGCATTAATGAGAATAAGAACTCGATGTGGGGTGTTATAATTGATAGCTCTAAATTTGTCTCTTTCAAAATGAATGAGGAAGAAGATTGCATTACAGCCAACGGGCCCGACTCTGCAGACATATTAGGAGATGTTTTAAGTTTAAACAAGTGCGATAAAAATTCCGATTCACAAAAGTTTTGGATTAAGCTGATAGTGAATAGAAAAGCAAGGGATTGATAGAAAGAAATAAGTAAGAAAACTGATGAAATACTAATTGGCTTATAGAAATGAAAATAAATGTCTTTTTTTCAATCCTGTTGTAACTATGGAAGAAGTTGTCTACTTCAATGATGGTAAAACTGAGGTTAACAAGGTCTTAGATGAGAATCCAAGCTACAATAAAGTATATATGAAGATTACAAGGAAAGATAATGTTACAGACATAATACTTTCTAGAGAAAAGGGAGATATCCTATACATCTTAAGCAGTGTGGAAAAAGAAAAATACAGTGATTATTTCAAGAATAAAACAGAAGATGAGGCTACCACTATAAATAATGAAAAGAAAATGAAAGGAGGCCCAATCCCTAAAAGAACAAAACAATCGACACTATTTGACTTCATTAAAAAATAGTAGAGAACATTGGAAAAAGATTTGGGAACAGGGTGTTTTTGTTTATTTTGAAAAGAAGATCCTTGGAGCAGGGAATAAAAGACACAAGGAAGGAAGCGATATAATTTACAGGATGGCTTATAATGCAGCAGAATGATTTGTATGTTGATGAGGTCTACGACTTGGATCCCAAAAAAGCTTCTATTCTTGATGGGGTGGAGATACTCAAGCCTACTGAGACATAGATAAATACATTAGTAAGGAAAATTACGATAAAGATAAGGGTCCTCCATGTAATGATATATTCCAAGTATTTTGAAGATGGAAAGATGTACTCCTTCAGAGATCTGACCAAAATAAAAATGAGAGAAGATGTGGGAATATAAATATAGTGTTCTGGTCCTTTAGACAAGAGTATCAGGGATACTATAGAAAGTGATAATATAACTAGATCGATGCAAATAGTAGTACCGGTGTCGATAAATGAAATCAACTCTGGAGTAAGACTGCAAGAAGTGCACAACAGGTATGGAAGTGGGACAAACAGGGAGGGGAGAAAAACAGAATTGGCCAGGACTCCGTCATTATCATCCCACTCAGCGAACGGAAATATAATGGCTGAAAAGATAGATACAATCGAGAACATGGCAAAAAGAATGTTGAAAATAAAATAAAACATCCTTTGTAGAATAGTCAATGACTTCCAATCAGAATACCAATTATCGCGAAACAGGGTGAAATATTCAACTGCTGAATATGAAAGAGGAGGAAGCACTGTGAGAAATTTGAGGAGGGGATTTCCATCAAACTCATGTTCCTTGAATATATAGTATATAAGCATTGGAAGTGCCATGGATATAAATGCCAAGAAACCTTTGTATTGTGACTGGGATGGTTTGTTCTTCTTTTCAGACGATTCTCTAATCTTATATAATCCCAAGATATTCATTGTACTTGTTTAGGGAAAGTAAAAACATTATATATAAATGGTAAAAGAAAGGTGGTTAAGATATGTAAGCACGATGCCTTCCTCCTTATAGATGATTCGCCTCAAAATCAATATCTGTGGTGCACCAACTGACCTTCTGTTTAAACTATTTACCATTAAAAGTCTTAAGTACTTACTGATTCAACTAGGCAATAAATTTACTCGGTTTTATACACGATCTAAAGGAACTAAAAGCAATTTTGTATCATCCCATTTGGTAAAATGAATGAGAACTCTTCGTCATCACATCAAAGCGGAGGACTCTGGCAATCGGCTTTTAGAAAATTAGAGGTTTTTAAATCACAGTTTAATAACCTGTATTCCTCTCTTCTGGGTTCAAAAGATAACGACCCTTCTTCCGTCCCCGAATCCGCTGAGGCAGATTTTATTGATATCAACCCTTTTAATAGAAACTTCTTTTTTATACTCTATTGCCTTACAACTCTAGGATTGCTATTTTTTAGTTGCATTGTTAAAGGAAGTGTGCAGTCGAATAAGAAAATGGAAATGGGAATAGATGTGTTATTGTTCTTAGTGTCTGTGGCAGGGCCTATTATGTACGGAATGTGGATATTGATGAATGAATATAATGACAACGGAATAGAAAATGTGATAAAAAATAATTGGAATATTGTTGGTAGTATGATACCAATAATCATCGGAATTTTGAATGGGAAAGTGACTAGAAGATACAGAATTATGATGGCAGGGCTGGGCATCATAATGATATATGTGCAGAAAATCGTTCAAGAAAAGATACACAAAGGGCAACTGCTTACACTCATAATTGGAAATGCAGTGATGATTTCAGTTTACTTAATTAAACTAGTTAATGAAGGATTTGAGGATGAATATGAGATCGTTATATGCATTGTTCCTATTGTAATTGCAATTGGGCTAATAGTTATAGACATGCTAGAGGAAAAAAAAGAAGGAAGTGAAGTAAATTCAGAAATGAAGAATATAGTATGTGTAATGTCTTGGATAGTTGGAACAATTGGATGGTATCTGGGGCCATCTGCTTGAGAGTATTAATACAAGCAGTACTATGAAATAATGTTATATAAAATGATGAATATTTATTAGACCTCAGAAAAAAGGCCATTTAAGGCATTGGATAGATGAAGGAAACGATTGATAATGGCTATACATTCACAGCTCACAGCTAGAAAGCTGAGTGTGATAAAAATAAGGATAAAAATAAAAACGAACTGTCTCCATATCGTAGTCGGTGGTTTCTTTTCAGGCAAGGAATATTGAAACCCCAATAGAAATGAATGCTTTAAGTCCATGAACAGCTGGTTTGGTTGGGGATCTACAAGGTTGTTTTTCCTACTGAACAGATTTCCAATTGAATATGATTCTAAAACATCGGTAGTTTCCATTGTTTATCGGGTAAAAAGGTGTGTTTATCTGCTAATTATGGAAAATAAAAGCTAGGCATTGGATAGTTGAACATATGAATATGGAACAATATGTGTATCAAAGTAGAACTTGAAGTATAAAAAGTCAAAATGTAATAAAGGAGTTGCAAAAGTAGTAATAATTGGCTCCGATAATATTATATATTGAAGTGTTTAGCGAAGGGGTATGAATATGATTAATGAAGCTGTAGATGGAAAAAAGAATGAAAGACAAAAACACAAAGAACCAACAGACAGTCTCCCTAAATCAAAGAGTTGGAAGGATTTTCCTGATACGTGGTTGAGTCTTATACTAACTCTCATGACTGGAATTATGGTTTTCTTCCGTTCTTCTTTTAGGACAAAAGTTGAAAATATATTTTCTCAAATCATTGGGTGGTTTAATTTAGGACGGTTGATATATTTTACAGCCAAAAGATTATATTTCAGAATAGAGGGATCCAAGAAGCTCAAAGGAAATGACGTCGCGATGATTGTGTGCTTATTGCTACACCTTTTAATGCTAGCCTTTCTTGTATGTAGCAATTTTATTTTCCCGGGGATAGGAATTCATAAAATGGCTACTGCTTTGGAAAGGAATCCAATAGGAATTTTTTTTGCTTCAATATTTTTTTTAAATGCACAGCTTGTAATGGAGCCCCATAATACCTATTCCGTTTTAGTGGTTGGGCTGGAGGCAATTCTCACAGCATGGGATGTGGAGGGATTTGATTATGAAAAGGATGTGATAAAAAATCTATGGACACGACTTTTTATATCAATCTTCGTTGGTGTAATGTTGTGGATTGTAGAAGATTGGATTGTTGATAGTTTGAATATATCTAAAAGAAATGTAAGGAAGATTCGTAACTTCATGAAGATAGTGGTGGCTTTGATATATACCATTGGAGGGTATTGCATAATGAATATGATATTTTTGAATGCAAGTAATACAAATTCACAACCCGTAACTGTTTAGGCCAGAAAACATCCTCATAGCCGACTA